TTTGATATAAAAAACTTGGAGTTTAGGGGGAAAGGGGGGGGGAAGGGGGAGGGAAAAAAAGGAAAAAAAAAAAAAAAAAAAAAAAAAAAAGAGATTGAGGCTGACCCGTCTCGACCAGATAACCTTGCGAACTGGAGTCGCTATGATAATGTTAGTCAAAATTCGTTGAAAAGAGGACTGAATATGAACGTACCACGCGCTACCAATTGCGCCACAGCCCCAATTTGGTGACAGTGCGGTCACTATTTATACTCATAATCCATGCAGGGGAGACATTGACCAAAAGTTTATATTATACCAATATACGAGTAGATCACAGGCGGGTATTCTCTTGCATTGATTGGCGCTGAAAGTCAGGATATTTTTGATGACATACGCCCCGGGAGGTGTCTTATAATCAGTTTTCTCTATCTCGCCCAGAAAACCTTGGAAATTTAACTGTTGCGTCGTATCCAGATACCGCAACATTTGAGCCTTGGACACCAAGGCGGCTTCGTTCTCCTTCAGAAACTGCGGTTCATAAATTCTTGTCACAGAAATTAAGAGTGGTAGTAAATAGGAAATAACCAAAGTCTGGCAGGAAAGGAGTAAAGCTCATAAATAATAATAGGCTCATACGGAGTATGGAGTACTTAGTAGGGTGTAGGAAAGAGTTGCTACGCCAAGCTTATCTAGATACTCGACGAACAGCGCTCTTGAAGTGGGTTAGAGATGACCTATGAAAGGTCGTCGAGGATGTGTGTCAAAGAAGGTGATACTATTATCAAATGTGGATTGTTTTCAATTGAGTGGTATTTTGAGACCCTGGGAAAGGGAAGCACATTCACCGGCCTAGCCCAGACTTCATATGTGATGGATACAATGGTCGTGCCGGGGCGTTACAAGATGGACTCACCCTAAACCTTCAAAGCCATCAAAGATCTTAGCGATCTCCACAAAATTACTTGATGCCCTGCTTATCGTCGATAATATGGATAGGGTGCAATACCAAGGTTGCGGGGCATCGGGTTTTCTTTCTTTGCTCCCAAGTTTATCTTTTGGATTCATTCACAACTTTCCAACATTGCTATATTATACAGTAGTGGTCAGTGGGCTTTTTTCTCTGCTTGAACCCCCGGACCACGGACCAATGGTATTTTTGTGTTACTTTCTGCCATTCTTCAGAGTAGTCACCTCTGTGGCATGAGGCAAATTTTACGCTAAGAAGAAATCTCAAGGTGTTGGTCTATTCATCAATGACATCAAACTTTAGAAGACAAGGAAAGAAGAAGAGGGCAAGCAGATAAGGTGGGGGGCATGTATACCATCCATGGATGGAAACTATTAATCTAACGATGAGAGTGGTGCAATGGCAATAGAATAACCAGGAGCGATATAAATATATGATACTCTGCGGGTGGGACTTCTTTTATTTCCACCTGTTTTTATTGAGGAGTAAAAAGAAGCCCAAACAGAATTGGCAAAAAAAAAAAAAAAGAGATGAGGCTGACCCGTCTCGACCAGATAACCTTGCGAACTGGAGTCGCTGAGATAATGTTAGTAATGATTCTGAGTTTGGGATTGAGAGAATAGAAACGTACCACGCGCTACCAATTGCGCCACAGCCCCAACTTGGTGCCAAAATACGGTCAGGTTGGCTATATAATCGTAGCAAGCTCGCTATCCAAAACAAGAAACTTAATTTTTTCACACACAGACCATTTCTCACAGAGACAAAAAAAAGCCAATTAGGACTCATCCTTTAGCAACAATAATTATTTGCAGCAGGAACAATACTTAATTGGGCAAAAAAAAAAGATATTGAGGCTGACCCGTCTCGACCAGATAACCTTGCGAACTGGAGTCGCTATGATAATGTTAGTGAAAATTCGATGGCAAGAGGACTGAATATAAACGTACCACGCGCTACCAATTGCGCCACAGCCCCAATTGGGTGGCAATTTTTGCTGCTAGTGGTACTATGAGCCTCCACAAACTGAGTAGCAACATCTTGTCACGTATAATCTACTTAAGTACTTAGAAGCCATTGACCATAGGTGTGTAAGTAGGCTGTTGGGTGAATGCTCAAGTGGTAACATGCACGGATTCTCTTACTGTCCGCTTGACATATTTGATTTAGTTGGGGCGGTGCAGCATTCGAATGCCACCAGGGAATTCATGGGGGCAGGGGTTGTTGTTGGGATACGGGGCAGCTGGTGGAAACGATATCTATAGATCAAGTCAATGCCGGTGGAAACCTTGAATTGAATGAAAGGCATTCTTAAAGTTGTTGGACACCGAGGTCTCTTCATTCAATTCAAGTCTCATATCTACTTTGGTTCTAAAGTTCGAAGGTTCCGAGGTTGTATGTGTGAAAAATGAGGACTACTTAAGTATATATATGTAGTGGACTCCCGCCTCCAGGGCTCGACATGGAGTAGACTACCAGAACGTAGAAATTCCTAGGATCAAATGGGTCCAACTCCAATCCACTAAATCTTTGGACCTCACCAAGCCGATTGATCATCAAAATACGAATACACCACCGACGATGTAATGCGAAACCTACACTCCAAAAGTTGCCCATCTCCGACATACCAAATGTGACGGACCAGGACGGGATTTACCCTCGGAGAGCATACTGGTCTATACGGGGAGTACTCCGTACAAGTCGAAAGGTCCAGTAACTCTTTCCCTAGTCGAGTCAATATTCCCATGGTCCCATTCTCGGGATCTGACAAGTCTTACGCTATTAGAGCTAGCGTAGGAAGTTCGAAGTGGCAAATTCGGAAGTCAGATGGAGTTGATATTCTACAGAGTTATGGTATTGTAGTGATCTCCAAATCACTAGAGTCATAAGCAAATATACTATACTCCGTAGAGTAAAGAGATGTCAAGTAGAGTGCATGAGATCTCCGACACCTCCCCCGCGGAGCGTTATCATGTCATCACCGGGATGGATGATGATTGGTGGAGAGCAATGAGGGGGAAAAAGAACTGTTAGCGTCGCGAAGATTTGCGGCCAAAAAAAAAGTTGACTCTTAAAAACTCGTCTCACACTCTTCTTATATACAAGAAGAATCACAAATCAAATCATGGGTTCTGGATCTCCCCCAAGCTCGAAGCCATCGGCCATTCCGTCCCACATGCTGAACGGAAGCTCCCCTCTTCAACGCTCCTCCACGGACAGTCGTGATGCCCGTGAGCGTGAGAGTCTCAATTCGTCCATTCGCACCTCCTTTGAGCCCCGGATCCCTTTCCAGTTCGACACTGAGTCCGAGTCCACTGGAACTGGAGCCGACCCCACCGAGTCCACCTCCACTGTATCCGTGCCTATTCGCAGTGTCGCGCCAGTGCGGTATGTATAAAGAAATGTCGCACCGTCCTCAAATTTTACATCTGACTGACACTGCATCATTAGCCCGACCCTGAATGACCCTGCTCGCGACCCCCGGGATGAAGCCGGTCCATTGACCCCTCCCGCCACCGTCAGCCGCCCCGCTAGTCCTTACACATTGAACCCCCCCATCGACTTCGATGGCCTCAGCTGGCCTTGTAAGTGTTGTTTCTTTTTACAGTCTTGTGGATTTTTTTTTTGGCCGCTGGTACCAAGTGTCTAATCATCACCCCCCCAGGCCCCGGAACCAGACAGCGGAAAGAGTCGACCCCCGAGGAGACCGAAGAACGACTTGACAAGCTCTCTGGAGCTATTCGGACGATTCTCGAGTGTATTGGAGAGGATCCAGAGCGGGAGGGTCTTCGGGAGACCCCCATGAGATATGCCAAGGCCATGCTCTACTTCACCAAGGGTTACGAGGAGAATGTGCGGGACCTGATGAACGGCGCGGTCTTTCACGAGGATCATGACGAGCTTGTCATTGTTAAAGATATCGATGTTTTCTCGCTATGCGAGCACCACATGGTTCCCTTCACCGGAAAGGTAGGCGAAATGATGTATTTCAAACCGGATCCACATTAACCCCCTACAGATGCATATCGGATACATCCCTGATCGTCGTGTGCTTGGTCTCTCCAAGTTAGCTCGCCTGGCGGAGATGTTCTCCCGCAGACTGCAGGTTCAGGAGCGCCTGACCAAGCAAGTTGCGCTGGCTATTTCCGAAGTCCTGAAGCCCCGTGGCGTCGGTGTCGTCATGGAGTCTTCCCACCTTTGCATGGTGATGCGCGGTGTGCAGAAGGTTAGCAGCACCACAACCACTAGCTGTATGCTTGGATGCATGCGATCCAGCGCCAAGACCCGTGAAGAGTTCTTGACCCTGCTGAACCGCAGATAATGACATATTTCGCTGATTTACGGATTTCGTTTCGGAGTTTTGGCGGTGACCTTTCAACAGGTTTTGGGTGGCCTTGCTTTTTGTTCTTTATGAAGCGTGGACTGGTGTTTTCTGTCTGGTCTTATTCTGGTTCCTCTGCATATGCTTCGGTTGTTTCCATTCTGATGTCTTCTGTGCCATGTGTCCTTTGGTGGCCATGCCGTCGACTTTCACGATGACTCGACCGAGGGCAACCATTTCCCAGATCCCACTAGATCTGGGAAAAGGATAAAATTTTTTCTCATCCTGCTCGACTAACACAACCCCTCAAGAGGCCTTTGCTTTGCAGCCCATCAAGCAATTATTGATGGCACTGTGTTGGCAAGGTCGTTTCAACACTTGATCCCATACACTCATAATTTACCTTGAGAAATACTGGGAATTCCACTTTGTATACAACCCATGTACCAGAATCAATGTACATTTTCTTTCCGAGTGACTGTACTCTGTTTAGTCAAGTAGAAGAACTGATCAATTACATAGGGCATTAATACCATTGACCATGCTTGTTGTGGAATGATGCTCCCTCCCAAGGCTACAGGGCTATGTCTATCGATGGATGGCAATGCTAGTGGCTATCTTCACCAAAGTTCGTAGCCAAGCTACCTGGCACCGACCTAGGGTTACCCACTAGATTTCTTGAAGGAATATCAAATTGAGAATGATGAAAATCTCTCGTACAAACTAGTCCTGCCAGCAAAATTCAAATGCCATGTCTCTCCCAACGGAACTATCGCTTTCAATCCATTGGGTCTTCAAAAAGCCAGAGACTTCTTCCGGAAAAGGATCTCTGCATCGAGGTTAGGGAGAATATGCTCTCCAATAAACACATTAGCAGGTCGCTCGCCGAGCTTGTCTCCGGCAAGCTTGAAGTCATAGTCCAGGATCAGCCGGCTCAGGATGATCTTGGTGGTGTTTGATGCGAAGAATCGACCAGGGCAAGTCTGAAGCCCGTATCCAAATCCCATGTTTGTCTCAGTCACGGTCACCCAGCTAGCCGGAGTGTTGGAAGCCGTATCTTCATTCTTCTCGGGCTCGTTGTCCACCAGAGACGATTTGACCAGCTCGGGAGACATGGCGTAGCGATCTTCGGGGGTTTTACACCACCTGAATCCATCGAAAGCCAAGGGATTGGAAACATAACGGGGATCCATGCTGATTGCGCCTGCGGGGAAACAGATATGAATCCCCTTTGGGAGGACGACACCGTCGTGAAGAGTCAGTGGCTGCATGACAATGCGGTGGAATGACACTGAAAAACCCATTTGGTCAGATAATGAAATGGAATGGAAATTCTCAGAAAGTCCATGTGGTTAATCGAAGCTGTTTCAATTACTTACAGTCGCCAGGTGGTCCAAAACGCTGGGACTCGCGCAGGAAGCTGTCCAGTCGAGCCTGATCTGCAAATGCAGCTTGAGTCCCCTTGCGCCAGCCGTCGGGCAGAGTGCGCTGAATCTCTTCCCGTAAAGGCTTCAGATACTCCGGCTTGGTGATCAAATCGAACATGGCGTGGCACAGAGCCATAGTACTGGTATGTGTAACCGCCAGGCCCACCAAGAGTAGCATATGTGTTGAGATATCAGAGGCGGGGATGCATTCATTCATTTCCTCACTCAAATCCAACATCCACTGCAAGAAGTCATCTGGCTTGGTGTATGCTGGGTTTTCCTGGGCCGCTCGTCTTCGCTCATCGATAATTGGAACAAAAAGCCGCCTCGCCAGGCGTACGCTTTTGTTCATATGCCAAATAGGAGGAAGGAATGGGGCTACCAACGGACGGAGGTATTTGGGAACAGGCCGCAAAAGGACAAGAGTAATCCCAAGGCTATGGGCGTAGGTAATAACCGCATTAAGCCACTCTTCGTTTTGGCGGAGGGCATCGCCAACCATGAGACGTGATGCCGATACCGCAATGAGACGGTTGAACAATGTATTGGCATTGATTTTGACCCAATCTGTTGAATAGGGACCTCCCGTGAGTATTGTTCCTATATGGAATGTTGATATGTGTAGAGTTGAGCCATATCTTACCTTCGCTTTCGGGCAGGATATCATTAAAGACACCTACTAGCTCGTCAATCATGCGGGGGACGACCCGACCTAATTTGTTATCTTGCGTGAGCTCAGATACGATTAAGTGGAAGTTATGGTAAAGATTAGCCTCTCATACTTAGATTCGGGGTCAAACGCTTGCGAATGGTCAGAGACACCAACTCTGTGTTGAGCAAGATGTGGGTGTAGTCGCCCAGTGCATTCTATTATATCGATCAGTATCTGTTCAAACAGTTCATCTTGTCGATCAACTTACTTCATATTGGGCATGCAGAGAGCTGACCTTGGAGAGAGGCAGACGTCTGAGGTCCTTCTGATACTTCATTGGCAAGATGTATACCTCGCCATCGCCAGTAAGCATTCGAAAGATACAGTCCTTGTACTGAAGCGATATTTTAGTAAGGACTGAGACATAGCAGGCTCAAACATACCTTGTAGTAGCCTTCACTGATCATGCGTATAGCATTGGGGTAATAGAAGATCCGATTCAGAAAGTCCGGCAGCAGAGCATGATACTTGACAGTGGGAACATCCTTCAAAGCGGGAGTCGAAGACCACCGCAATAGAAAAATCAACAATAGTCCAATAGCGAGGCAGAGGAATGGGTTATCCATGATCAGGTTCATTGTGTCATGAACCAGAGGGAGAGTCATGGCGGGGGGATGGTGAAGTGAAGTAAAGAACCTAGGGCTAGTAGGGACAGAGAAAGAAGAAAGGGAAGGAAGGAAAGAAAGGGGGGGGCAGAGAGAAGAGAGGGGAATTGAAGACATAAAGGAAACAGATACAAATATTATCCGGGTTGGAGTCGGTGCAATCTAGTGCAGAGCAGAGAAGTCAAGAAGGAGAAGTGTGGCACACATCGGATAGTATCGACAATTCGTTTGCTACATCTAAATGGGCCCGTTTGAAGGTTTCAGTGTGAAATATTATTCAAGGACGTCCATTTCCCTTTTTGTTTTTGCTATATACAGAACGCCTGGCTCAGATGCAAGTAGACATAAATCATTCAAGGCCAACCCATTCACCTTCACCCTCGTCCTCATCAACCATCTTGTCATCAACATCGGCATCCTCTGTTTCCATGGCCAAGAGAGCACTGCTTTGCTTCTTGTTAGCGAGAACGGGCTTTGAAAGCAGGTAGTTGAGATTGTAAAGATTCTTTTCAGTCAGTCGTTTCAGATTCTCCCGGATATCGTCGACAGCACGTTGAACAGCACGGAGCTCAGGTGCAAATTGTCCGGTATTGTCCTTGAAGTAACGGCCATGGCTGCTGAACAGAGACTCAATCCACATGAGGTTGAATTCCAGATGGGGTGTCTCCTCGGCGGCATGCGCAACGAATCGGAGCAGACGAGGAAGATAGACTGATGGCACGGACCGAACCACATGGGGAATATCTGACGGAGGAATAGATTCATATACAACACGCAGAAGCTTTTGTTCGTTCAATCGGAAGGCCATGATGAGGGCTTTGAGGAATGTGTTGTCCTCATCCACTGCACCAGATGTAGCGGATTCCTTGGCAGCATCTAGTGTCGCAATGATACTCGAAGGGGTGATGGTGATATCCAGATCAATGGGATCGAAGATAAAGTCGGTATCCAAACTGTAGATAAGCAATCCTTCGGTGGAGGCCGCACAGAATGCTCGCCCGGTCGGTGCGAAATCAACGGATGTGACACGCACCTCCGGGCGGGTAGTGCGCGCACCAGCATCTCCTCGCTTCGCACCGGGAAGGGTGCTGTCAACACGGTCCTCGTGGTCAGAGGCCTCGCCAGTCTCATCAATCAGAGCGCGGGGACCGGCTTCAGTCAGATCACGACTGTTCAGGATTTCCTGGGTACCATCAATTGAAGTGTTGACGGAGACAGTGAATTTCTTGATCAACGATCCTGTGGTAACATCATACAAACAGATGTATTTGCTGTTACCACCGGCCAAAATACAGCTACCGTCTGCGCTGTAGGTGATTCGGTTGAAAGATTTGGTACCTGCGGCGTTGGCGGCAGTGCGGCGGTCAGCCACCCGTCGTCCTCCAGAGACGTCACGGCGGCCATCGACTGCTCCCTGCTGCACAGCATCTTCGACTGACCAGAAAGAGAGCTGGCCGTCTAGCGTGGATGCTGCGACTTGCAGCCCATCTGGGCGGAAAGCCACGCTGAGAATGTCTGACATAAGTTGGAGGGGCTCGCTAGTTTGCGAACGACCAAAGATACTCCAAATGCGAACTGTGTGATCCCAACTTCCACTGACGAGGTGGTTGCCATCGGCAGCGAAACCGAGACTAGAGACCGGTCCCTCGTGGCCAGAAAGCTGGTCAAGCAGTTGACCGGTCTGCACGGACCAGACGTGAATATCGAAAGAGTCTGGCGAACCGGCACAGACCACCTCTCCGCTGGGGTCAACAGCCAAAGAACCAAAGGACAGCCGGGAGGGTGCGGTGAAAGTTCGGAAATTACGATAGCGGATGAGATCCCATGCACGAATGGAACCGTCCAAAGATGCCGTGAACAGAACACTTCCCTTCTTCGCAAACTGGCACGCGGTCACTCCACTGGTGTGTTCCGTGAATGTGACAATGCAGAAACCTGACTTGACATCCCAAACCTTGATCTTGCCATCGTCGGCAGCTGTGATGATTTTTGTGCCGTCCGGTGAGTATGCAAGTGCATTCATAGAATCGAGGTGTCCTTGTTGTTTCAAAATGTAGGACTCAGACTGCCACTCCCAAACCAGGAGCTGACCGTGCTTGGAGGATCCAAATGCAAGCCATTCACCGGATTTGTTGATCGTGACAACATCGATGTTGCTTTGGGATACACTATATATTTGTTAGAAACCGATGAAACAACTGGAAGTAGCGGAAGTACCTGAGAAGATGGATCATGTTGAACTCTGGGAGATCGTAGAGCCCAAAAAGCCCATTGGAGAATCCTACAACCAAAAGATTTGATGGCGCATGGAATGCAGCGCAATTCACCTTGGCATCATTTTGCATGAAGAAGTCCTTTTTGACAATTCTCCAGCGTGCTTCAGAAATATCTTCCATAGTTTCCTCGTCTTTTTTTGTGACATATTCCCAGCGGAACAGTGCACCGTCCTGGCTGACGGTGTAGATCTATGAAATAGTCAGTATATACTTCTCAACTAGAATATTCCTAGTGCCACCTACCGCTTCTTGAGATGCGTTGAAATAAGCCCCTACCACACCCTGACGATGTCCCGCCAGAGTAGTGGGCTCGAATCCATCTTCCGGATCCATACTCCATACTCGCGCTGTCAAGTCCTTTGCGGCAGTGAGCAAGAAGCGTGAATCGCTGGACCACTCAACATTCTGGATGGTGTCGAAGTGGGCGGCAAGATCGCGGTGTAGAACGAACGGAGCAAACTCAATCTCGCCATTGGTCTCAGTGCCGGGAGTGGAGGGCGTTTGCCAGATCTGCAGACGGCGGCCTACACCGACGGCAAAGTGCCGGCCGGAGGGAGAGAATTTTAGTGCCGACACTCGTCCTTTGAAGGAGAAGTGATGAATGGCAATGCGCCGGTGGAAGTTGGTCAAAATTGCGCGACCATTTTCATCGACGGTCAACAAGAGGTTTCCCTTGGGTGAGAGATCGAGACGATCGATGTTCGTCCGGTGCGAAAAAGGTAGAGTATAGGAAGTATTTCTGTACGGGCCAATTGTGAGCTAGATTATTCCCATTTTGCGCAGAGATTCTCTGTGACACCTACTGGACCAGGTCAAAGACCGAGACTTGATTGCCTACTGGCGAAAGCAAGCATGTTCCATCGGGAGTAAAGAGAAGATTTCCTTTGCGATAGACGGTCCCCAAAAGGTTGGAGAACTAAAATTGACACCGTCAGCCCTCAAAATCGTAACCGGTCACTTTCTGCAAGGGGACAATCCCCCACACCACAGGCGCCCACGTACCTTGAAGTCTGTCTTCATTTTGTCGGCGATCTCGACTGATCAAAAAAGTTAAGAGATAATTCAAAAGCTATGATAAGCGGATCATCCATGCGTCCGTTCCGGACCCGATCAGGACTAGTGACACACACTAAACCTAAATAGGAAAGGCGAGGTATACTCCAGAAAACGAAAGGAGATTCAGGGGGAAGCAGCGACGGGCAATTCGAGCAGTCCGATTTCACGACTCCCTCCCTTTCCCTATTTCTTTCCTCCCCCCAGACTTGCTGTTCTCTCGTCTGGTTTCATTCTCCAGGGGTCTCTTTGCCTTCTTTTCTGTGTTCATTCTGAATTTGTTTTTAATTCCCCCCCTTTAGCCCACCATGTCGACTACGGAAACCGCCACACCCATTGGCATTGCCAACGTGAGTCTGACAGTGTTTTTTTTTTTGAACATTCTTATAATTCCGAGCTAACCTGTGATGTTTTCTACAGCTCCCCAACCAGCGGTGTGTATCTCCGAATACATGACGGAAGCAAAGGAGGAATCTAATCAAACCATGTAGCCACAAGATCGTCGCGAAGCGGGGAGCGGCCTTCACTATTATGGTGCGTCCCGACGATTGGAGCAATTCCTGTGTCTTCTAATGCTAAACGTGCTCTAGGTTGCTGGAGAGTCGGGATTGGGAAAGACGACCTTCATCAACACCCTTTTCTCCACCACCATTAAGAACTACGCCGACCACAAGCGCCGCCACCAGAAGCAGGTTGACCGGACTGTGGAGATCGAGATCACCAAGGCTGAGCTCGAGGAGAAGTTCTTCAAGGGTAGGAGCCAAATTCCCTCGCTCGAGGGGAGTGTGTACGAAGGTTTTCGTAGCTGACCACGATCGCTCTTCTAGTCCGCCTTACCGTTATTGATACCCCTGGATTCGGAGACTACGTGAACAACCGTGATTCGTGGCAACCGATCATTGAATTCTTGGACGACCAGCATGAGTCCTATATGCTTCAGGAGCAGCAACCCCGCCGAACCGACAAGATTGACATGCGTGTCCACGCATGCTTGTACTTCATCCGACCCACCGGACACACCCTGAAGCCCCTCGATATCGAGGTGATGAAGCGCCTGAGCTCCCGCGTCAACTTGATCCCCGTTGTTGCCAAGGCCGATACCCTGAGCCACGCCGATTTGATCCGCTACAAGGAGAGAGTAAGTGGAAGAAATCTGGAAAGTGGAAGGATCTCGCTAACGAGTGGGTAGATTCGCGCTGTCATTGAGGCACAGGGAATCAAGATTTACTCCCCACCCGTTGAGGAGGACGATGAGCACGCCGCTTCCCACGCCCGCAGCCTGATGGCTGCCATGCCTTTCGCCGTCATCGGCTCCGAGAAGGATGTTCAGTCCAACGACGGCCGTGTTGTCAAGGGTCGTCAATATGCCTGGGGTGTTGCCGAGGTGGAGAACGAGGACCACTGCGACTTCAAGAAGCTTCGCTCAATCCTGATCCGCACCCACATGCTCGACCTCATTCACACCACGGAAGAATCGCACTACGAGGCCTACCGTGCCCAGCAGATGGAGACCCGCAAGTTTGGCGAGGCTCGCCCACGCAAGCTCGACAACCCCAAGTTCAAGGAGGAAGAGGAGACCCTGCGCAAGCGTTTCACCGAACAGGTCAAGGTCGAGGAGCAGCGTTTCCGCCAGTGGGAGCAGAAGCTCATTTCGGAGCGCGACCGTCTCAACAAGGATCTCGAGGCTACCCATGCTGCGTACGTTCTGGAAATCCCAGGCGAAATGTCAATTACTGACCGGTTTATAGGATCAAATCTCTCGAGCAGGAGATCGAGGGTCTGCAGGGCTCCAGCACCCGCAGCCACGGACGTCGTTAAGATGTTGCATTTCTGTCGGGCGTCTGCTCGGATTCTTCAAAAGGGGAGTAGCCAGATTATGGCCATGTTGTTTTGTTCTGTTTGGCTACTCTACGTGTTGCCGTTCGCGCTTGGGAGCACCTCCGTCTTGGAGGGCTGGTTCGTTTTTCTGTTATATCCATTTACCGCTGGTAGCTAGCGATGGTGTGTCTACAACTTTGATAATACCTTCTTCTGTATTCCGTAGCGTGAAATACAGTATTAATTTCTTTTGGGCAATATTGGTGCAACAGTAAAAGGGTTCAAGAGTTGGAGAACCAGCAGAGTACGAAGTGCGAAGTATTTTGTAGCGACAGAGTAAGAAAGCGGACTTTAGAGTCGAAGCTCCGAGCTCCCCAAGCTTCTTCCTCTTGACACCTCGGCCATGCCACGGACAGTATTTCCCACCCGGCATGTCCACACCCTGAAAACACACAATGGTAAGCACAAGATCTGCTCGTAAATTTGGAATGGTATTCTGACAGTATAGGCCCGGTCAACGCGGTAACTTACTCGAACGCCAGTGGCACCTACGTCCTGACGGGCTCCTCAGACAAAGCCGTGCACCTGTCGCGCGCGGTTTTAAATGACTCCAATGGTGCCAGCCCGGCCGAGACAACATCTCCGATCCAAAAATATGAAGCGCATGGCTACTCAGTTCTCGATGTCGCTGTCGCAACAGACAATGCCCGCTTCGCAAGCGTAGGAGGTGACCGCCAAATGTTCCTCTGGGATGTGGAACAAGGAATCACCACCCGGCGCTGGTCTGGGCACAATGGCCGCATAGAAGCCGTCCAGTTTGCCGGTGAAGGCGACTCGGTCGTTGTGACGGGTGCGTAGTCTTGCCGATTTTGCTCCGCTTTGCGCCCAGCTAACGATTCCCAGGCAGCGCTGACACCACCATCAATCTATGGGATACTCGCGCATCATCCTTCAAGCCTATTCAGACTCTCTCCGATGCTGCCGATACTGTATCTACCCTCCATGTTCATGGTCCGACTTATTCGATCGCTAGTGGCAGTTACGATGGCCATGCGCGCATTTATGATGTTCGCACCGGTAAAATGACGGTCGATGTCCTTGCTCACCCCGTGACGAGTGTTCGATGCTCAGACGACGGGAATGCCCTGTTGGTCTCTACGCTAGATGGCTACATCCGGATGTTAGACCGGGTTGACGGGAAGCTGTTGAATGCTTTTGGGGGCCCGGCGCGACCTGGGATGACGATCTCAAAGCTTGAGTATCGGAACAAAGAGTTGAGGGTCCGCTCCGTCTTCGCACAGGGTGGCGCTGTTGTATTGAGTGGAGGTGAGGCAAGCGAGGCAGGGGCAGGGGCTTTTGCTTGGGATGTTATTAAGGGGGAAGTCATTGCAGCCGTTCCTGTTGGGGAAAAGGTCAAGGCAGTGAGTTGTGTCGCATGGAATGAGAAGGGGGGAAATTGGGCTGCTGGATGCTCTGATGGTACGTGTTCGATGTCTGCTCTGGAAAGATCTCAGGCGCTAACTGCTTCTAGGTACGGTCAGAGTCTATGGTTGATCCAAGTCGACTGTTCGAGAAAAGCTTCTCCCCCAAGCAACTTCGGCCCCATTTTGGCACTCGACCAAATGTGCCCATCATTACGATCCTTCACCGCTATCTGATGCCATCACGATTTTAACGGTTCGGCGGTCCATTGGAGTCTGTGGCAAAAATTGCCATTGATCATGCGTCTCCTTGGTAAAGATCGATATTCTACTCGTCCAATTGGAGCACAATAGTTCCCCCAGCAAGCATTAGTGCGATGCCGCTATCCCCCCGGACCAGGCCTGGAAGAGACCTGTCACATTTGGTCGATATGCTCATGTACCCGCATATTGTATCAATGCAATGAGGCGTTAGGTCTATTGTTTGGGAACTTTGTATCTTCGCGCTGATATGCCCCCAAAACGGCGGGAAGTCCATAACATATATCCAATCAACTCAATACGGAATACGGAGTTTACTTAACGAAGTACGAAGTACTCCATAGCAAGCCGGCTGTTCTTTATCGACCTCGGGAACTGAACATGGTGTCCTTTTAGTCGCATGTAAAGCCTGGAAATCCACCAAGTGGTTTTTGCTTATTCCAAAGCTGCAGATCGAGATTGATCTGTCATATACTCTCAACAACTTTAATTGTGTACTACGAGGTAATATTGCCCCTTTGGGCTTTATGTAAAAGTTTACTGCGACTTCAGCAAATCTCATAAAAGGTGGTATACTGAAGAGCAGACTGGACCAAGTACGGAGTAGTTTTGAGGTGCCAGTAACTCAAACACCTATCTTGGTTTTAGTTACCATTCCAAGGTTCGTTAAATGCCTTGAATCTGATTGCATTCTGAATCGACGGGTATCTTATATTTAAGTATTAGTGCGTATGCATCGTCGAAGAATTATATCATTAATACCTGGGCACTCTCAATGTTTAATGCTTAATCCATAATGCTTACTTCTTTCCAGACTTTTCACTAGCAAATCTCAATTTCAGCTTCAACTGAAGTTCTCAAGATAAAGATATATGGAGTAAGCCCAAACAACATATCTAGAGAAACTAAGTACCCGGGGAAAAAAGAGGGTTGACTCTTACCTACTCGTTGTAGATAGCGACATACTCGACAGGCCATAGAGTCGAGAATCCTTCCGAATCGCCCGGTCAGTATCCCTCAAGCTCACCGGAAAGTGTCCCGAATCTCCTGATGTTGCGGGTTTCGCTGGCCTTCGTCGAGAACTGCCATCCTAAAACCACCCATGCACTGGCGACAGGTGCAGTCCGGGTCAGAGATATACAACTTCTCCCAGTACTGACGCATGATAGTATCCTTGGCGGAATCAGTCGATGTATCCTTGCCCTCCCAGTAGAGCTGTAAAATCTCTGTGAGCCGAGCATTATTCTCCACGTTCTGCTCCTCATCGCGCCAGCGACGCAAAGTAAGTCGACCAATGTTGAGTGCGATCATGTAGATCATCCTCCGTAGATAGAGGGGGACTTCGCTGGGCCCCAGTCGATCAACTACCTGATGGATCTGGGATGCGATGTTCTCACATTTCATCTGAAAGCACTTGTGCTCGGGGTCGGAATTGTCCATGAGCTGGGGCCATGAAGAAATAGTTAAGGAGGTTTCTAATAAGACCATCCGCATATTGTTTGTGTTTTCACCTCGTTCGTTAAACATGGCAAATCCCTCAAGGTGACTGGTGAATTCGTCACGCTCTCCTGGGAATTCGTTAAGTAACATTCTTAGGATTTCTGGGTCCATGGTGTCTTCTAAAGTCAGTAAATAGTATTCGACACTGTAGGACTGGTTCTAGATCTGGTCTTGTTGAGTAGGAATTGGAAATTGGGGTGTGTGAGTCAAATGAGGCTAATGCTTTGTGTCAGAATATGATTCCTGCTGGGCCATACAAGGTACTTATGTTGATGAACTTGAGCTAGCGGAGCCCAGTGATGAGACTCGAGACTACTATGCATTGTTTGGCTTGTCTACAAAGATTCTAGCATTGAGAGGTCAAAGGCCTAACATAAATGCTTTCTCGGAGAGTATTGCCTATATAAAGGCATGGTTCCAACAAAGGACGCGGTGTCCAAATCAAGTCTTCTGTTCAAAGCGGCCTTGCTAGTTTATTCTCGGCTACATATCCTATTTGTGTCCTCTCAAGGTGTTTGAGCATCGAGACAAAGAAAACAATTAAGCATTGTGTTTTTAGAGCCTGAGTGGCTTGGTTTTCATTCAGCCATATTTTCCACACTCTAGAGAGCTCTGGTAATATGCACCGGGAAAATGCCAAAAAAAAAAGATTGTAGGTCTCAACTAGACAATTAAACCACAATATACCTGTGTCTGGGAACCAAAGAATCCAACACGCAGCCCTGGAGGGAATCATCCGAGCCAGCCATCATTTTTCACATTCATATTCGATCATTCATACATTATTCCGTATTCAGCTCAGCAAGAGCCCTCGCAAGCTCATCCTCCCCAACAACAATGGTCCCCGCCCGCGCTGTGCTCAGGAAACTAATCTCCACCGCCCCCTCAACATTGGATGGCAGGTGGCTTAACGGCGCCAGATTGTGTGCGGGAGTGGAGTCCGTCAGGCGCGTGCCGAACGTATCGAACAGTCGGGGCACGGACCCTGTTACACTGCTGGCGCTACTCAGTGCGCTAGGGCTCGACGAGAGGGGCCGAGCGGCTTCCGCTAGTCGGCCTGCGACACCGCAGACGATACCGGATGCCTCGAGGGGAAGATCGCGGAGGTCCAGCGTGATCGGAATCAGATGGTCTTCTTTCGAGCCTAGCAAAAGACCCGAGCCATCTTCGTACTCACCGTGGCGCGCAAAGCGGGGTAGTAATCGCTTTTCCAACAGGAGGGAAGCGGCGGGGTCAAGCGATGCTAGGGTGAGGGAGAGAAAGCGTGGATTGTCCACGACCAGGACAGTGGTGAGGGCGTCACGGAGGATAGACATGGAGCTCTCTGAGCTGTGATATTCGTGATGAGCGGCACATTGGACTAAGCGCAGCGTTGGATCGACTGATGGGGAGATTTGGCGGTTTCGGAGAGTTTCAAAGGTGCGTGTTTGCAGCTCAGCGAGGGTGGAGGGCGGAGGTGTTCTGGGTGGGATGAGATCGCTGAGCCGTCTTTCGGTGGATGGACTCAGTGGACTGACGAAGGCTGCGGTTGCGTCGTCGAATTGGAAGCCCCTGGCTTCGAGGGCAGTCATCACATTGGTTTTGCTTTGCATTGGAACCACAATGTAGTCCGAGAAATAGGTTGAGATGAAGAAGATGGATCTTTTGGATATGGTGAGTATGGGGTGTCTATGTCAGGAATGGACTCCACGTACATCCCTGCCAGTGCGAGTGGACTGGTTAATTCCAAGACTCGTCTGCCGGCCTCGAGTCCTTCGCCCAAGACTTGCATGACAATAAAATCCTTTTCGCTTACGACTAGACGGGATTGCAGGGCCGTGTCAAGCTGACCCAGCTCGTCTATGACGGGAACAAAATACTTGTCGACCAATCGTCTGGGACATGTGACTGAGACCTCGACGGGCGTGATGGAGATATTCATAAAGGCTGGCGTTTTGTAAACGCCATCATCCTGGGACTCTGGCCCCTCTAGCGGGGAAGTCTCATCAAAGATCAGGTTCAAGACCGATTTCACAAAGTATGGATACAACTCCAAGGGGATGTGCACCAGCACTACTGGTTCATCCTAAGAGAGAATTAGCATGGAAATTTTAGACGATGTCAGGTCGGGGAGACTCACCAGGAAATGTACCTGGGCGTCCACCGAGGAATCCATTGTAGAAGAGGAGAGGTTCTCTCGAGGGAAAATAAGCTCAACGGATCATGGCGTCAGTGGCAGATCAGAGCACGAAAGGTCATGAGTCAGGACTAAGTCAAAACATAAACATAAACATGAACATGAACAAGAATAAGAACTAGAATAATAACAAGAACAGAATCAGAATCAAAATCAAAATCAGAATGTCCTGTCCCTCTGTTATCAACTTCCAAATGACAAATTTCGCGAACTTCTCCACACTCTTATCGTCTCCGCTCGGGCCTTTTTTTCTCTTTTTTTTCTGCTTTGGGGGGAATTTGGTCTCTTTGATGTGAGAATATGTTCTGTTTCTTTCTTTGGGTATCTTCACCTGTAGACCCCGCTTTTGCCTTGTTGTACACTTGGGTAAAGTATTGGGTACTTGGGTACTTAAAATTTCTCCAAGTTCGTTAAGTCTATATCGGGATGCCATGTAGATCAGAATACAGACATCTAGATTAAGTCCTTTTATTTTCTTTTCAAGGTTCTTTAGTAAATTCGCAGAGGTCTGGAGGTATAATAACTTTAGAAAAAATCTTTTATAGATTGGAGATGAATGTATACCTTGGGAGTATCTACTACCTAGAAGCTGATTGTGGGGTTCGTGTGAAGTACTTAAGCATCCTTGACGGAGTGGAAGTTTCCAAGCGCCGTTGCCGCTGATAGTCTACGATGTAGAACTTGAGAATTAGGGCTCAACAGATAAGAACCTCATACTTAAGTATGATGGCGATATATGGACTTCAGAATCTGGCAATTTGCCCCCTTTCCAGCTCCGATATCAATGGAAATTATTGCGCAGTTGGGCATTGGACACAGTAAAAACTCCCATCAAGGTGGTGGAGTGTACAAGGTTGGCCCGGGTATGCTCCCTTGCGTGGGATTCCCCGACGGGGAAAATATGTACATTCCACGCGACCAGAAGAGAACATTCCTGACTAACAAGGAACGCCCTCGAACGAGTGAAGGTGTTGACATTCGGTGCATTTCGGTCCCTGAACAAAGGCACCAATGACAGCCCTGAAATCGGGGCAAAGGTGGCGGCATCGAGGAACATACCCAGGCACCCCTGATGCAGATCGACATGAACATGCTTGTTTACCGTCGCAATGCTTAAAAAGAATCGCATTTCCCTCACCCGACAGTTCCTCCACTAACCCCGCCAGCATTGTTTTGTATAGACCTTTGGGTCTCTTTCTCGCGTTCCCAGTGCTTTTGGATCTGGATTCAGCTCGATTTATCGGCAAACACTCTTTTGGAGGATTTGATTATTCTCCCAAGCCGATTGATCATCATTCGTTCAGTTGAATCATGGTCAAGTTTTCTTTGTTGGCATTGGCCGCTTCGGCTGGTCTGGCTGCGGCGAGAGATGTATTCTTGGAGTGGAACGTTACCTGGGTCAATGCCTCGCCCGATGGCTTTGAGCGGCCTGTAATTGGTATCAATGGCGAGTGGCCCTGCCCTCAAATCGACGTCGATGTAGGTGATACTTTGATTGTCGATGTATACAATGGCCTGGGTAACCAGTCCACCGGTGTCCATTGGCACGGCATGCACCAATATGCCACGGCAGTGATGGACGGATCGAGTGGTGTGACCGAATGCGCGATCCCTCCTGGCTCTCAGATGCAATATCGCTTCACCGTCAACCAAACGGGATCATACTGGTATCACTCACACGACATGGGCCAATACCCCGATGGTTTCCGCGGTCCTTTCATTGTCCACGACCCCAAAGCTCCTTTCCATTACGACGATGAGTTCACACTCACTTTGACCGACTGGTACCACGAGCAAATGCCCATCCTTCTCAACGACTACTTGTCCGAGCAGAACCAGGCAGCCTTCCACGGTAGAGAGCCTACTCCCAACTCCGCTCTCATCAACGATGCGGCCGATACCAAGATCAAGGTTCTACCAAACAAGACCTATTTAGTGCACATCGTTTGCATTGGTAACTTCCCAGGTCATACCTGGGTAATTGACGGACACGAGATGACTGTTGTCGAGGTTGACGGTATCTACACGGATCCCTATCCCGCTGGAGACAAGTTCTTGCGAGTTGCAACCGGGCAGCGTATGAGCGTCTTGATTCACACCAAATCTGACACCAGCAAGAACTTTGCCATCTTCGATACCATGGATGTCAACATGATGTTCTTCTATGAGCACAGCACCCCTCCTCCAGGATACAACCCCAACGCGACAGCCTGGTTGGTCTATGATGAGACCAAGCCCTTGCCCGACCCTCCATCTTTTGCTTCGTTCGACAACTTCGTCGACGACGTGGCACTTGTGCCTGCTGACCATGAGCCCCTTCTCGAGCCCGTGAACCACCAAATTGTGTTGGACACCGCTTCTGCAGTGATCAACGATGTCGCTCGCTTCACTGTGAACAACAAGACCTACATCCCCCCCAAGGTTCCTACCTTGTACACTGCCACCACCGTCGGTACCGAGTACTCATCCAACCCCGAAGTGTATGGTGATGTCAACCCCTTCGTTCTGAAGTATGGTGAAGTCGTTGAAGTTGTGATCAACAACCACCACCCCAACTTGCACCCGTGGCACTTGCACGGCCACCAGTTCCAGGTTCTGCAGCGAACGGGTGTCAACGGTGGCTACTACAACGGCCTTTTCAGCAACGTTTCCCAGACTCCTATCAAGCGTGATACCATCATGATTCAGAACAATGGTCACACAGTCATTCGCTTCCGTGCCGACAACCCTGGTGTCTGGCTGCTCCACTGCCACATCGAGTGGCACATGGAAGCTGGGCTTGCGGTAACCCTCATTGAGGCGCCCGAGACTTTCCCGGAAACTTTGAAGGCTCCCCCTAACAGCCACTACAAGGCTTGTGCCGCTTATCCTAGTCTCACCTCTGGCAATGCCGCCGGTAAAGAGGGACTGGACCTGACAGGAGCCAACACAGAGGTTATGGAGGGTAGCGATGGTGCTATGTACAATGCGAAGGCACAGAGCAGCGCTGCCCACGTCTCCTCTGCGGCACCTAAGCCCACCAGCGAGGCTCAGGCTCCTGCCCCCCAGCCGACCAGTGCGGCCCAGGCCCCACCTCCCAAGCCCACCACACGGACTCCAGTCCCTAAGCCCACTACCCGGACCCCTGTCTTCAAGCCCAGCACTCGGACCCCGGCCTCCAAGCCAACCCCCAAAGCCCCCGGCTTTGCGCCCCAGCCCGCTGCGCCCACTCCTGAGCAGTCTCCCGCCCCCTCGGCGCCAGCCGTCGCTCCCTCCACCCGCCCTGAGTCCTACCCTGGCTACTACTACGAACAACCCCCTTCTCAGCAGGATGATGAAAATGCCGAGACTAGCCCCGTAGACGAAGGGCAGCCTCCACTTCAGAATTTCTGGCCTATTCCTGCCGGTGGACAAAATACCAACAATGATGACTCTGGGTAAGCTCACTCCAAAATGAGCTCAAAATTGCTCAGCTGACAGTTTTAGTTTCGATGATCTAAGCGATGTTCTCGCGGGCGCCGGTTTGAAGAAGTATCCCAATGGACAGTAGATCCATTTCCCAGGCTGTATAACACAAAAGCCCTCATATTCACATTCACTTGGATTATAATTTTAATAGAGCTCCATTGGTTTTTTTTCTTGATCTGTATTCCTTCTCACCTTCATGACGTGTCTAATACCTCCAAGTTCATCAACGTAGAGGTCGTCACTATTTCGCACGCTGAACATCCTCGACAAAATGGACCACAAATTCTGACGAAATCTGACGACTTTAACAAAAATCACTCCCTAGTCACAACAGCTACTTCTCATCTTCAAGGCTCGAAAAATGTCGGTAGAGGTCTTCTGCTGCTCGGATACCAACTGTCTCTTTACTCCAGGGGCCCACGATATCCGCAAGCTCCACGATTTTGTGAAATGGGCAAAGGCAACTAAACCGGCAAAGATAAACCTAAACGATCCCTTTGAGACCAAATCCTGTCACGCACCATTCAGTATCCAGCTCATACGCCAGAGTCCATTTCATTCGAAACAAACGTTTCGATTCTTCGTCCCAATCAAACATGGCAACTTCGAAGAGTTCCCCATAGGAGTGATAGAGAACGCCTTCCAGCGAGTGGAAAAGTGAGTCCTTGTCATTGAACATTATTATCTGATGTCCTGATAATCTCTAGTCTCGGAACTTTGCAATGCGCTCGTCACAACCAATACTACTACATCGATCTGTTTGAACCGAAACAAGGCAATACTCACTCAAGAGGATCAAATATTGCTCGGAGTCTTGGCAAATCTGCTTTTACACAAGCCGCCCACGCACTGAGCCACGTCCATTCTGGCTATGCTACCTCGTCCACGGCCACTGAATCCAGACACTCGTTTTTCAGACCCCCATCGCCCCGATCTTCATCTTCTGGGCCTTGGATGGCTATATATCAATCAAGCGATTTCAATAACGGTGGATTCAGCAGCGACACTTGCAATGGCAGCAACCAAGACTACGCGCCATATGATCCGGCCGAGACTCAGACTCAAGCTACTGATTCAAATGATTCAAACATTTCAAATGACTCGGATGACCAGACGATACCAAATCAGGGTGAAATTGGCGATACTGTTTACATTGTAGACGAGACGGAGGGCACCGCATTCAACCCAAGCGACAATCTGCACTTTGAAGACCCTGTGTTTGATGGCCCAGAGGACTATTGTAATGACTATGGCACCTGCGACTTCGGGGACTCGAGTATTGATAATTGTGGGAGTGACGATTGGTCGTGATATCTAATCCATGGATGGTACCTTTGCTTTGGCCTCAACCTTCGAGCCTTGGAATGAATCCAGACAACAATTACAGAATGAGAATTATAGCTGAAGAAAACTAGGCAAGTTTTATACCATTCTCTCTTATGTTATTTTCCCCAGGAGTAGAGAAATCACAACTGGATCATTGAAGAAGGACGGAATATTGGATACGGCATCTCGAAGAAAAAGCCAATCATTCAAAGGCTATGTATGCTTCAACAGAATCGATTTTTACCCTCAAAAACAAATCTGGTACTTAAGTAGACTTTGGAAAGTCTAGTCAAGTCCCTTGAAGACCTCCTCGAATTGCAGCTCATTCCAGCGCACGTTAGGCTTCAATCCAGCAAATTTCCAGACTCCATTGACCTTGCGGTAATAGTGCTCATTTGTGGCATGGGAGTGCCCGCGCAGCTTCACGGTCTCCAAATCCACAGTCTCATAGACTTGATGAGCAGCGCGCAGCTGGTGGTGGCCAATCACCTCTGTGTCGGAGATTTTCTCCCACCATGTTTGACCAAGCAGATGCTGTGTTTTAATGGTCTTGTCACCCAAGAAGCCGGGGTGTGTGATCATGGCCATATAGTCATCGGCGGCCATGTTGTCCCATTTCTTCAGGCCGATCTTGGTGTAGTCGACCTTCAGCGTAGGGGCGATAATGCTGCGAAGGCGGTCCCAGTCCTATCATTCTTGTTAGGAGTTGATCTATAGAATGAGAATTGAACGATTTCTTACCTTGGCATCATAGCTATCAGCCCAGTCAAAGACGAGCTTGGAAAGGACGAGGTAGTCTATTGTTGTTAGTTAACTAGGAAGGTTGAGCTCATGATGTGGGAAAACAAACCTTGGAAGCTGATGTCCAAATTGGGCTCAGCGGTGTTGTTCTTTACTGCAGGAGACATTTTGTTGGATAGCAGGTAATTCGCGTTTATCGCAAGGTATGAAGTGCGAAGATGGGCTATATTACAATAGATTCTATTCTAAAACTCATGGAAATCAGATTCTCCGGATCTGGTACATTGCCCCAGCATTCTTCCCCTGCACAGGAACCGAGGAATGTAACCGGGAGTTTATGATGTGACAGATGAGAGAGGCCCATTGACGGCCGCATGCGGTAATGAGAAAAGCCAAGATGGCTAAGAATTTCCGTTCGCAAACATCCAGCACACTCTGCAGACTGCTAAGAGTAATCAATGGCCATTGACAAATTTGAAACATCCTAAGGTAAACAATGTGATATGCCTAAGAGCCATATGCGGAAAGCCAAGTTTACCTTGCAGTGAGTGCTTATGGAGATGGGACCAAACCAGCCAGCTGAATTCGGCCAGGTAGTAACTGGTCGTCTACTGTGTTAAAATGAAAAGATCCAATATCAGTCGTGTTTGCCCACTCCCTGCGCGAAGACTCACCCTAAACTGTTTTACCTACTCTCCTTCAACAAAAGAACAACCGTCAAGATGGTCGTCCCCAACCCCAACGGCACCCAGCACGAGCTCGCTGGTAAAGTAGCTCTCGTCACTGGCGGTGGCCGTGGTATTGGATCCGGTATCGCCCTCGAGCTGGCGAAGAAGGGCGCTTCTGTGGCAATCAACTACGCCAGCAGCTCGAAGACCGCCGACGCCGTCGTGCAGGAGATCAAGGCACAGGGTGTCCAAGGTGCAGCTTTCCAGGCCGACTTGACCAAGGTGGAATCTATCGAGAACCTCTTCCGCCAGGTCATGGAACACTTCGGCCAACTCGACATTGTTGTCTCCAACGCTGGAACCGAGAAGTTCGTTTCCTTGGCCGACACCACTTTGACCGATTTCAACGATGTGTTCGACCTTAACACACGCGCTCAGTTCTTTGTTGCTAAGAACGCCTACGACAACATCAGCCCCGGCGGCCGGGTTGTGTTGATGTCCTCTATCGCTGCAGGTGTTGGTGTCCCTGGACACTCCTTGTATGCAGGCAGCAAGAGTGCCGTCGAGGGATTCACTCGCTGCTTTGCTGCGGACTTTGGTAAGAAGAGGTGCACGGTCAACGCCATCGCCCCTGCCGGAGTCAAGAGCGACATGTGGCTGAGCAACTCGTGGCGTTATGCCCCTGGCTGCAACAAGGACTCTTCTATCGAGGAGATCGAGGAGGCCCTGGCCAATGGTAGCCCCCTCAAGCGCTGCGGTGTGCCTGCGGATATCGGCCGTATTGTGGCATTCTTGGCCAGCCCTGCTGGAGAATGGATCAACGGTGAGACACAGGAATGCTGTACCCTTCCTTTGAACATTACTGACTCTTTCTCAGGTCAAATTCTGCCCTGCAATGGTGGAGCTAACATCTGAGCGAATCAGAGATGTCTTTTGGGAGTTTATTTGATTTGAGGTCGGAACTTGTTTGAAGCCTGGCCATGCACTAGGGCCAAGGCCTGTTAAATTTGTTTTTATTCTATTTCAAAGATGTTCAAACATCGGCGTTTATTTAAAAAGAAAGCAAACGGCATCAAGATTGATCGCATTGATACTATACCGTGAAAACAGAGGAACAGAATGTGCATTAGGTACCAAGTCATCTAAACGGCCTGACATTAGGGCTCAGTAATCACGCGTTATCGCCGAAATGGCTCCAAGAAAAACATGAGCACGAAATGTCAATTTAAGCCAAGAAGAACGGTAAGACCCGGAGAGGATGAATAGAGAAGACTCCCAAATCTACACAAAATAATCCAAGTTGATTCCTTCGAGTTCATTTTGCATCTGTCGCGTCCGCATCCGGAAATGCTTGGAACAACCCCTACTTTGCGATCTATTCATACTGCCGAACTCGTGGCAATGCCCTACCGTTTTCATCTAGATCGACATCCTTTGTCCTGATTTTGTTCTAGTTGTAACTGCTAACAGACAGCCTAGTTGCTATCAATGTAGTCAAAAGAGGCTGCTTTGCCGCGGACATGCAGATAATAAATCTTATCTTAGCAAAGCCATACACATCACTTCCAAAACTATCGTCAAAATGGTGAATTGGATTCTCGGAGACAAGTTCGACACGGTCTACCCTCACCAAGGGTCGATCAAGGCTCTGTGGGAAAAGAAGTGGAAATTCCCTGTATGGATATTGATGGAAGTTTGAAGCATGAATGTATCGACTAACGGCCTTGCAGTGCACCAAGTCCATCTACCCATTCCATGATGGCTCCGTGGAGGATTTTGAACCCATCTTCGAAAAGTTGATCGCCGTAAGCACTGTCAGAGCACTTTGTCAAGGCCAGAATTAACACCGAGCAGGACAGTGTCAATGATGCCAGCACAGATGCATACACTGAGGCATTCCTGCCTACTGCGACAGCCCTAGAGAACCAGGGAGACGAGGCTAAGAAGAATGGGAACCTCGGGCTCGCATCAGACCTCTACCGCCGTGCAGCAGTGGTCTTGCGTATCTCGCGTTTCCCATACGTCAGCCCGGCCACACGCCCAGAGACATCCATCAAGCGTGCTGCCTTCAACCGCCAGAAGAAGGTGTACCTGAAAGCCACGGCTCTATGGAAGCCAGTCATGACTGAGGTCATAATCCCGCACACCCATCGTGCTGGCCGTGATGGCGCTGAGATCCCGATGCTCGTTCGCTTGCCCGAGGAGGCCAGCGCCGACAACCGCGTTCCAGTGGTGCTTCTCATGACTGGCCTTGATGGCTATCGCCCTGACAACAGTCAGCGCAGCCACGAGATCATCAGCCGTGGATGGGCGACGGTCATCGTCGAGATCCCCGGTACTGCGGACTCGCCTGCGGACCCGGCGGACCCGGAATCGCCTGACAGACTCTGGTCAAGCGTTCTGGACTGGATGGCCCAGAGACCTGAGTTTGACATGTCTCGGGTTGCAGCCTGGGGTCTCAGTGCTGGTGGCTTCTATGCCATTCGCGCGTCCTGTGTCCACCGCAATCGTCTTCTTGGAGCTGTGGCCCATGGCCCTGGATCGCATTATGTTTTCAGCCCTGAATGGTTGTCCAAGGCCAATGACCATGAGTATCCATTTGAGTAAGTTTTTTGTCGGTGTCTACTACGGGCCGAAGAAGAATGTTAACCGTATGACAGGCTTACTACTGCCATGGCCGAGAAGTACGGCTATGACAATGTTGACGACTTTGTGCAAAATGCCCAAAAGAAATTCTCACTGATTGAGACTGGTATTGTCCAACAGGATAACTGTCGTTTGCTTTTGCTGAACGTATGTTTTTGATTCAATTGATCTATGATGAAACAGTTAGAAGCTAACTAGTCGCAGGGCGTTGACGATGGCGTCGTCCCGATCGAAGACTCGATGGTCCTGCTTAACCACGGAGGCCCCAAGGAGGGACGGTTCTTCGAGAATAGGGTGCACATGGGCTATCCGGACACCCTGCCAGTGGCTTACAAGTGGCTGGAGAGTGTTCTGTCTCCCAATATGCCGCAAGTCAAGAACTGAGAGCCTGTTGATGCTTTCAAAAGTTTGTCGAACATTTGATAGTATTGTTTTGTATGAAATGTAACCTCGTTGCCGGTACACACCAGAATAATTAGCCCAAGTTGTGTATGTGCGACATCTGGGCGAGACTTTGTATTGCAAAGTAGTTCGATTCACATGGACCCATATGACCATGGTCGGCCCACTTCAATGTAGGCCTCTTTTTTTGTGCACAAAGAGATTGTGGTCGTCACTCTCAAGAACGCCTGAAATGCTTAAAGGATATTTGACCGATGCCCAGAGAAAGTCACAAGAAAACATAAGAATCGCGTAGCATAGCAGATAGAAAGACCACGTTCAGTCTTCATCGACCCTCGCGCGCTTCGATCCCCGGTCGTCACTTTCGGCTTCCTGAATACCATAACGTTTCTTGCCGGCGGTGACATCTGCAATCATGTTGTCGATACCAAATGGATCGGCAGTATCCTTCTCGAACTGAACTGGACCCTGGCGTTCCTGTGTAATCTCATATTAGCCATGAATGTATCATAAACAATAGAATTGTACCAACCTCAGCATCAGCAGCGCCCTTGAATCCTTCCTTGGCGCGCCCCAAAACCTCAAACCGGTTGGTCTTCTCAAGCTTGCTCATCTCGCCCTCGCCTGCATCCTCATCATCGGCGTCAAGCTGAGCACGTGGGCGATATATACTGTTGATGGCGTCCTGCGCGGCGAACAGCGGCTTGTCGTAAGGGTTGTCTTCGTTAAATCCAGCTTGCATGCCACTGGTTTGGTTGAACAAGCGAGAATCCCACATCGTTTCGGAGCTTTGCGTGGGCTTGGCTAGACCAAGAGCCACCTTCTCGGAGATGTCACGGTTCTGTTCACGAGCCATGGTCTGGATGCGACGTTCTGTGCCCATACGGGACTGACGCAGCTGTCGCTCATCCTCCCGTCGTCGCTCACGACGCTGCTCGGCACGGTCCCGCGCAGCCTCGTCATCCTCATTGGGGGAAGGAGACCTGGAGGAATAAGATGAGGCACTGCCGCTGGCGCTGCGGGAGCGAGCCCGAGAATCGCGTTGACTGGGGCCAGCGCGATCTTCGCGAGCCTTTTGTGCCAGCTGCCGGAGGTGCTCCTCTTTCTGTGCCTTCTCCTTTTCGGCCAGCTTTTGTTGCATTGAGGATCGCAGCTGCACCTCTTCACGAGCATGGCGATCCGCCGTGAATAGAGCCTCGGCGAACTGGGCAAACTTGTCGTTGATCGAAACATCCTGGAGTCCACGGCCATCCGCAGCCAAACGCTTGTCCAAGGGCACGGTGTAACCCTTAGGGTTCTTCCAGTTAGACACAGGCGGGGGGATCTTCCAGGCTTCTTGATCCTCCGCGGTCAGCTTACGAGGCGGCGAATGCATGACGGGGGGTGGCGGGGATGGGGGTCCTCGCGGGATCTTCTTGTGTTTGAACTTGGGAGGCTCCATGGGATCCTGCTGCCTCTCGACAATCTTCATGATGCGGTCATTCTGCTGGCCATTGTTGCCCATCTGATTGGCTGGGGTGTACCGAACAAAAGTCGGTTCGGCTCGTTTCCCTCCCTTGACGTTCTTCGGCTTTTGTGCAGTCGCTGCTCCTTCGACCAGGGTTGCCAGTGCAGCCTTTGTCTTTTCCATCTGCATTTGGATCTCCTCCTCGGAAGGCTTCTCCAGGGAGATTTCTCCCATATCCACCCGCTGGCGAAGCGGGATCAAATCTTTGAATGATGCATGGACGGTTCGGTTGTCTGCGTGTCCACGGCGCGCGATCGCGTCGTACTTGACCTTGCCTTCGGCATCAACCTGGACAGCAAGCGCGTTTGATGTTGAAGCTGTCCCCTTTCGTCCCATATCAAGAGGGTATTGTGCAACTAGGATCTCAGGGAACGCGCCACCGTCGCCAAAGTCTTCGGCAGCTCGAGGTCGCCATCCGGCGCGGTTTCCGTAGGGTGGAGGGCCGGTTCTCTGCAACGGTTAAAGTTAGATTTGAAGCCAATCAAGCAAAGAAAAAAGACAGCTTACCCGCAGCACAACTTGGGTTTCATCAAGCTGGTCGGCGCCCACCACGCGCGGACCACGGGGTTGCGCATGTTGTGGCAACTCCTCCCCCTCACCTGAATGTTTTGGCTTGGGGAGAGACTTGAAAAGTCCCTGTGCAATAGAAGTGGACATTGTGAGAGTTGACAACGCAAGAGCTTTGCACTTGCAGTTGATGTGAAGAGAAGACGGAGTGAGGCTCGATTTGGCTTTTCGGCCAAAGTGCGCGGTTTGCGCTCTTGGTCTGCCGTACACATAATGCCAAGATCTTCCAACTTGAAGGCTGGTTAGATAGCCCGGATAGTTGGTCACCCAGGCTAATCCATGCTAAAAGAAGGTCGTGAATATCACCCGAAGCTTATAATTAAGAGATTGGTCAAATGGCTAGAATGGAGTTTGAAATGGATTTGCTACTGAACAACCTAGATGCTATAATTACATGAAGAAGGGAGAATTTCCCTTTATGCTGTTGGGTTTGAGACAAGGTGTGCGCGCAATGGACAGGAGACTTTCTCCTTATCACCTGCCTCTACATAATGATCACGGCCCTGGAATCTATACCAGATCTTCAATCGCTTGGGTAGCAATGGTGCAGGGTCATGGAATCCCAAAATGTGGAACTGAATAGAAGTCAGCGACGTAGTTCGAGATTTGACATATCTGAGATGCTTCTTCACATTGACTTACCTTGATAGATTTCTTTGAGATCACCAACTGACCTCGACTGACCAGGGCAGCCACGGGGATGGTGACGTCGGTCACCCGAGGCTCTGTGAATCCATCCTTGGGTTTCTTGTTTGCGGGCGGTATGTAGCCATACTCAGCCTTCAAGATGATAAGACCATCGTGTGCTTCTTCGCGACCTTGTCGTCTTTGTACTTGCTCTGTCATAAGCTCGATGGCTTGGAGACTTTCCTCGCGCTTCTGGGGGAGAAGCTTCTTTAACTCGCGGTGACGCCGAGCCGCTTCCTGTCGACGCTTCTTTCTATCGCGAGGGCGGATATAGCCAAACTCAATGGCACAATAGGCTAACCAGGGGAATACAGCTGTTAGTGCCGTGGCACCGCTTGTTGCCTCGTTAGCTGGACAAATAAGAATCGGGATGTCGATGTTCTGTCCGAGACGGCGCCACGTTACGGTGAGCATCATCCCCTTGTCTGCGATGCCAACGCCAAGACCTAGACGCGTATACTCGCCAACCCGACGAATACCTTTAATGGTCCAGCTCAGGGACATATCCAAGCTTGCGATTGCGGAAAGCTCGAGCCGGACAGCACGTGCCTCGTCCATTGTCGGCATGGGGAAGTATCCTTCGGAGCTCCATTCGGTCTTGACTGGATCATCAGCGGGTTTCCCAGAGAAAAGATTCCGTGAATATTTCAATACAAGGGCACCTCCCCCGGGAGAGACCTGCAGATGGCTTTCCCACGCCTCTGCCGATTGATCAACTTGATGTTTTTTGGTCGGGTGCTGGTGATCATCCTCGAAGTCTCCACTAGTCTCAGCCTCATCCTCGTCGACTTCCATTGCAGCCTGAGGTGATGCGGCAGGTGCAATCAAGCCGATCTGCAGGTGGCCGACCTCGTTGGCAGATGCAAAGGCACTCTGAATACCCATGCCAAGAGACGGGAACCAGCCGTGGAGAAACTCAGGCCAATTAACAACACCGCTTGACCATGAGATGACTCCGATCTTTTTCTTGAACAGCTCTCTCGAGACTTGGACCTCAAAGGAGGGTGGCGTTTCATCCAGGGATCTCGAGTGTATGCTGGTCACGCTGACATTAAATGGCGCAACGCCACTGACTGGTACGAAATTCCGGGTGATGGTTGTTCTCAAAGAGGGTGCAGGCAGAAGGAGACCTTCAAATGTAACCGCGGAGTCCCTGAGCAGTGTGAACGGATGCTTGGCCCAGATTCCCTTTGTGCCCACCAAATTTCGAACATTGGGACTCAAAGAGGCACCGAGTCGGAAGTTCTGAGCTGCCAAAATTGGCGGCATTTTGATCTTGAAGAACGTCAGTGAAACTTCCAAATCCACAGTTGTTTCTCATGAAACATACACTTTCCTCTCCCTCTGTTCCATCCTCGTATTCGACTGTGGCTTTCTGAACTGGGTGGGCCAAGCCACCAGTTATACCTGTGCTTAACGTCATATGAACAGCCTGAGATCCGTCCTCCTGTCCGTCTTCACTATATTCCGTCGCTGTGTCCTGTGAATCCGGATCCCTCTCTGCTGCTCCCCAAAGCTGGGGTAATGCCACCGGTGTATCGAAATTATATGTCACCCCATATGTTGTCACTCGCGGCGAAGGAACATGGAACTGTACATCCTCATCCTCATCCACCGAGACCATTGATGCCGCATTGACTCCCAAGGTAATACCGCCCTACAACGAAAGCCAATTCCGAGTCAGCTAGAGCCACTTGGCCAAGTCTCCATGGCTGCAAAGCTCACGACGAAGCTACATACCCTACTGGAAACCAGACTTTCAATCGCCTGTCGCTCTCGTTTCTTCATTGTCTTGAGAAACCAGCGTCGGAATTCATCTGGCGACATCGTCTTCACACCCACGTCTTGCTTCTGGGCCTCTCCTCCAATTCCCATAGCTCCAAGTTGACCCCATTCCTGCCGCACACCTTCAGCGCCGGATATATCGTACACAACGCGCTTCTTGGGATCGATGAGGGTATCATATGCGTCTTGGATGTGTCTGAATTGACTCTCGGCTGCATGGCGCAGATGCGACGGTTGTTTATCTGGATGAAAGCTCAGGGACAGGCTGCGGTAGGCTGATCGGATTTCCGCGTCGGTCGGAGGTGGGTTGCGCGATAGACCTAGGAGCAGATAGTAGTCGGCTTCGGGGTAGTCGACCATGCTGTAGTCTTCCAACCCATCATCTTCCACGGTGGCGCGGAACTCCTGCGCTCCGTGCTGACCGAAAGAGGACATTGTAATTTACTGCGCACTTTCTTTTTATGTATGAGCAGGCCTCATCTTAGGTCCCAGGTCTCGGGTGTTCAGTCTCAGGTAGGGCGAAACAAGGTGTCGGAGGAACAAAGGGAAATTCCATCGGAGAAACTTTCCGCGTCCCCGAATCCCCGCAGATCGAGACTGTTTCATATTGGAGTCAAGTCTCGAGTCCTAGGCTTCAGTCGATTTTATACTTAAGTATTCCAATGTGTGTGCTTAGGAAACAACAAATTAATTCTAGTGCTCATGAATCTCTATCTAGGCAGACCTTGTCGGGTTTTCAGCTGTACCCCAAGCTTGACCACATTGATCTATTTGATAGCTATGATTTCTGATCAACCCATGTATCTGATACATTCGGGAAACAGTAAGAAGGACCAAAGGAAATGAAGATAAAAATAGAGGGTTGATTGTACTGCCGGCATACTGTATCTATACTCTATAGATTCAGATGGATATGCCAGAAACACCAGTTGATGTACTCGGAGTAGTACATAGCTTCCGAATCTATCTCAGCTACTTGATTAGTCCCTCTGTCTCTCTCTGCCTAGAAAATAGCCCGGGAAACTATAGGCTACTGGAGAATGCGTTATTATCGGATATCTTCACATTTTACACAAGCAGATTTACCTTGTACCGTGAAAGCAACCCGCGGAGCCGCATGTAAGGCACCATGTCGATGTCACTTACCAAGAGCACCATATCGTCTTTGACCATTTTCCCACGACGAACCCAATACTCCTGAGATAATACTTACGCACGACAGAATGGCGTTCCATCTTCAGTTTTATCTCATATTCCGGTGATGTGAGAGATGGAATCGCCTGCAAATGGATAACTGGAAGAATAATTCAAGATTTGATATCGAGGATTTTGCACATCTTCAAGCTTCCAAGTTTACTTTTCTAAAGTTGTTTCTAGCCATAGTATATTCTTTCAACTCAATGCGGCTCAATATGTATAAATACAAGAGGCAAGTAGGCAAATACTCGCTGAAAGTAATGTACAAGTGAAAACAGATGATATATGGTACACGCCGAGGCAAAAGGATTACGACAAGATATCAAATCATGCAGCTCGAGTGTCGTCGGTGCAGGCAACGATAGATTCACATCAAGTAAACTGTGGTCATTATTGAGATTGGCATCCATGACGTCGTTACTGGAAGACAATAAGCAGGCTAAACGTCAAAGAAAAAACGGTCTGGGTTGTGAAATGCCTTGCCGTTGCGGGAGTTTTTATAAATATGCGATGCGAATTACCAACCGCAGATACACATGTAGAACATTCTGTAGCAATCATAGGACCATGCAATTTTGGGAACTGTCATCAAATGGGTATGGATAATGGAGGAAAAGGGGAAACGATTGTCTCATGGATCTCTGATCCAAGCAATGTTGCTTACTGAGATGAGGGTCTCGTCAACTCGCAAAGCATTCAAAAGCACGTCTTTGGGCATTGAGCCTGAGAAAAGATCTTCGCCAAAGGTAGAAGGTGGATGTGAGAGTAAAGCCCCAGTGTGAGCTTTGGTTTCAAGTGATGGTCCCTCCAACGCGAAGCCCTGCTTCTCTTCGATGACACTACGCTCATTCAGGCAGCCAACCATCAGCCCGAGACGTTTTTGGAGAACCGCAACCAATTGCAAAGAGCTGTCCCAGTATCGACTCAGCTCCTGCACTGTGTCCAGTGCACTTCGAGTATACGAGATGCACTCCTGTAACTGAGAAGCCAAGCCAGCTGCTCCCAGAACGTCCACGGCTGAGAGAATGAGGTAACCCAGGAATGGGTTGAGGAGAGCTATTTGAGATGCAGAGGACTCCGTGGCGAGTTGGGATGACTTGATGTCTTTGGAATATTGGTCAAAAGCAAGTGCTATGCGAATGATCTCGACGGCGTGGTATCGTGCTCTATGAATGTACTGAGCTAGAATTTCGGGTCGTAGGGTCTGGTATCGGGCGTGTCTGTATAGCTTCATCAAACTGGCGTGGTAGAACAGGTGGATCGAGATGAAAGTGTCTGCTTTTCTTTGTCGGATATTCCGCTCCATGTTCATGGACGAGAATGCTAAGTAGTCGGGTAGTCGGTTGATCCAATGGTTTGCCTTTTGAACGATGGTAGCATGGAAATCCTCGGAAAGTCGATTGTACGCCTCAGGGGGAATGTGAGGTAAACGAGTAACATGTAAGGAAACATCCCCCCACACAGCCATGATCTCGATCATGAAAGCCATCGCGCTGAGGGTAGAGCGATCATTCTCTGGGGAAGTCGCAGAGTAGTTGAGGAAGGTTTGGAAATAAGGCACGGTTGCGTATTGTTGGGCTTCGTAGATTTCTTCCCTGCAGGGAAGTCGTAACAAGGCCGCATCCGACGAGATGCTAGTCAATGAAGCGGAGTAGAGGCTTGAAAAGCGCTGTTGAATTGTCAGTTACTAAACTTATGGGGGGCTTCCCCACACGCCATGGATTACTTACATCAAGCACGAATGCGATCCAAAATGTGCGTCGACGACACTCAATCAACGCTTGTGGGTGCAGCCCGTAGTCATTCGTCTGGGTTTGGTTGACGACGCCTCCGGACTCCACATTGTAGCGAAGTCCAAAGACCGCTCGTCCCGCTGCCCCTATCGAGTCCCAAGACCCGGCCAACGAACCCGTAGCGTAGTACCAAAGGCTCATGATTATATGACTCTGTGCCAGCTGCAAAGAGAGTTTATGCTGGCTTTTGTTGATGGCAAAGCGGGCTATACGAGCATATTGCTTCATAGCTCCAAGTTTGTCCGATTTATTCGAAAACACAGACCCGAGAGCCATCATGGAATAAAGAAGCATTTTGTCTTCGGCAGATTTGGTAGGGCACGTTTTCAACCACAGAGGGAATCGAGAATGCGGGAACATGTGGTACAGAACGTTGTTCACGTGCAAAAAGAAGCACTCAGTATAATGTAAAGTCGTCTCTGGGTCGATCTCGTACGGGTCGAGATACCAAGAGGTCATCAGTGGGTCGTTAAGGTTGCTTTCTTTGAGTTCCCCAAGAATCTCAGAGTACTCGGGCGAACGACGATTCTCGATATGTGCCGAAGCTCGTCCGAGGGTGTCATCTGCACTGGAGAAGGGTGGTGGGAATCGGTAGGACCGGGACCTTAGAGCTCTGTCTGCATCGGCCATGCTTTCATACGTGGCATCTTGAGCCGATGGTGTGAGAGTCGAGCCCTCTGAAGCCGGTGATTGTCCATTGGCTCCAGAATAAGAGGTCACACTAGCCGAGTCTCGAGTGACGTTGTAAAGTGACGGAGAACTATCCGAGGCGATATGGGTGGGATCAGGTCTGCCAGAAGGCCCAGTTGACCCTCTTATCGAAGCACGGTTGCCGCGCGGACTTGGGAGACATTAGCGAGACTTCAAACTGACAGAACTTGAGACCCATGGTTTTCACCAGGATCATGGCCACACTTACGCACTTTCAAACCGGCATTCTCGTCCAGATTTCCGGCATTGATCACAAATAGCCTCAGTGGCAGGATTGCATTTAATCTTCTTCTCGCGGCACGTCAAACATGCCAGTGCAAGCCGCTTCCTAGGCCTCCCGGCCTTGGTGACCCCCCAGTTAGCATTTACGGGCGTGCCGTCGATAGTCTGTGGGCAGTATGATCCATCGGCGTATATGAAGCATAATCCTTCTCCCTCAATCACTCGTTCATCTATCACAGCAGGTCGGACTGGTGTCTTTGCTGCCCGGCCCGAGCTATCAGACGATGAAGGCTCTCCGCCGGGTCCTTGATCGTGTGGGTTTGCGCTGGTATATGACAACGGAAGAGGGAATGGTGCAGTGGATGGATCGCTTCTCGTGGACGTGTGATGGGACAAGTCTCTGTGACTCTGTAAAGTCACCTGAGATAACGAAGGTAGGCTGGTATTGTGGGATGGAGGAAGTGGTTCGGGGCGGCCCTTCACTCTATCATGCATGGCGGACTGGGAACGTTGTGCAGATAATCTCAAGTCATGATGGGGGAAATTGTATGTAGATTCACGGCGTTCGGTGCCAGGGGTCAAAGGGGCGTATACTTGAGAGTGTGACCCAGGAGGCGCTTCGGTGGTGAAAATTTGGCTCAAAGATGGGAGTTGTTCGGGCTTCTGGGATCCAATGTCTTTACCGTCGGAATTGTCTGTCCTTAGAGACATGTCTGTCCCAAATTGTAAACTGGTCGGTACACGCGGGGGTGGAAGTTGGTATGGAGGGTCCTCAGAATCTTGCAAATTAGCTGGATGCTCGGACTGCTGCTCCGAGAATGGGCCATCTGCAGTGGGTAACATACGGCCGAAGGGTCCAATGTAATAGCTTGAGCCTGGGCCTGGGCCTGACATGGCGGTTCAAGATGGGTTGTCGAAAGTAAGGTGGTTTGATCTGCCTACATAACAGATCCCAGACAATTGGGCAGCCTTCGAGTTTGGCAACAACAGTCCTCCGGTCCTTCCAATGGAATGCTGTAAAGAGACTTGGAGTCCGGACTGAGTTGGTGACGCTGTTCTTTGGCTGTTCTTCAGCAGGTCGTCGAAAGGGAATTGTCTGGTCTGAAAGAGCTCAGGCAGTGGAAGGATGTCTATTGAAGGGAACCGGACGACTTAGCAATGGGCTCTTCTCCGATTGTCCGCCGAGAAGAGACGCTTTGCACATACCAATTCCACTCCTCTGGGGGACAACAGTCAGAATGGTCCAAACACAGAGGCGCAACGGACTCCGAACCAGACGTCTGGACAGGGAAACGGATTGATGTACGTTTATAACACGGGTATCGAATAACGGGCAGCAATCACGAGGCGAACGGAAGTTGTACAAAGGTTGCCAGCGACTTGCGAACGGGGATCTCGGCGCTCAAAATACTAAACTCGCTAATTTGCATAAAATGTCGGTAGTTCGAGAAGGAAAGGAACCGAAGATGGCCTAATGGCTCATCATGTTGCGATGGTGGCGGGCAATCACCGTCTTGGGTGCATAGTCCCAGTACCAGGGTAAGTGCCAGATCCCAGTAAATTCTGCGACGTTCAAGCACTGGCTAGTTGTCGAATCAGAAATACAAGAGTTGCAAGCGTACACCAGCCAAGGTAGTCACGGAGAACCGGGCCGGTGTGTAGCACCGTTAGGAAGCCCCACGAGGCCGAAAATGATCAGTGCTGACACTATGGGGAGAGGGAAGATCAGATGGCAGCGAGATCTCCGATCCAAAGTACTCCGTACCGAACAGGGGATAGATATTGGGCAGCCGTCAGCGGGACAACAACTCTGCTAATCCGGAACTGAGGTGGGTGTGTAAAAAAGAAGGAAAAAAAACACCAACAATACCCCGATAATGACAATGATAACCGGGACGATCGAGGTTGGAGCCGATGGTGGCACACAGCTTGATTATGGACAAAATAGCCTCGAGGGAAGCGCCGTCTATCACTGGTCAGTGACACCCCCTAGGGTTTAAAAAACGACTAATAGTAGCGCCGTAGATTTCAGATTTCAGATTTCAGATTCGAAAATCCTAGATGCCAGGGATTAAAGGTCTAATATCAGACGTGTCCCTGTTTGAGGCTCGAGGTTCAACTCTCCAGCTTTGAGAGAAATGGGACTTCACAGCTATAACAACGTGAGATGATCAGGGGAGAGGAAAGGAGGGGGGGCAGTTCTTCAAGCTTCAAAACAGGGCCAAAGCCAAAGAGTGCATGTATTGCGAGTCGTGTATTCGAAGTACATCAAAATTACCACAAGTGCCGTTGATCATGCTGATTTTATTATATTTTTATTTTGGGCTTAAATTTCATTTATTTATCAATTTAATCGAGTATTTGGAACTCGGAATAACCGATCGACAATAGAATCAACCATTGTTTCTCTCGGATTCACCGTACCTGGTACTTCGTAGACAGAGAAGCGCCGAGAGACACGAAGGAACCTATCCCTCGACAAGGATTGTTTTTCTCTTTTTTTCCCCTTCTTTTCTTTTTTTTTTTTTTAGTTCCCACCCACCTGCTTCCACATACGCCATACGCCATATGCCATACGCCAAATTCGGAACACGTTCCCCGGCGTCCTAGTGAATAGACTTCTTAAGACAAGGTAAACGCCCCCATTATTCAAAGTGGATATACTAGAAGGATATCTGGATCCTCGTACGGCATGGGGACTTGGCATATCCGATCACGGTGTTTCAAATGGCGTAACACCTATCCAATGTGTACCTTTGAGCCGGAAGTATAACGGCAATTGCATCTGGACCGTTGATCTGAGTGGGGATTGATGTGAAATTTTATAGAGAATCGGTATGATTGGGACGAAATATTCTACCGAGGATCATCCTGGTTCATCCGCCGGCCTCTCTCTCTCTCTCCAGCTGCATCCCTATATTAATGGCGGATCCTGGATATTATTATTGTAATTGAACACATTGCACTCGCACACAGTGGCCTCTTGGGCGCCGATTATCCACCCTGCAGTACTTTCTGCAGCATGACCAATCTCATGCCCAGGCATGGATGTTTTAAACGGCACCAATAATGGACTTTCGGGGTCTGCACCCACGAACATGTACAAGGATGAAGGAATGCGTCAACGTTGGGTGTACGAACCGATGAGGGTCTGGGAACCATCAAGGTGCTGATTACAGAGGCATGGTGTATCTCAACTCCTTGTATACCGTGCAAGTGTACTTGTAGTTCTCACGAGGGCAGCCTGAAAGAATTGAGCTTGTTTCGGAGGACTGGCCGCGAATACCCTCTCGGTGGGTCTTTTTCCAGTGCCTTCGGCCGGTCAGTGGCGCGGGCGATTAGATGCCTAGACGGGCAAATCCTCCTTTCAGTGTTCGGGCGCGCCCAGGGCTTATCTCACTTTTGGATAGCCTCTCTGGTGAAGATCGACCGTGCGGTCCATAAGTGGAGTTCAATCCTTTTGGTCCCTCGGATTGAGGCACTCGGGTCTCCATACTGGCGTCCCATTACCGAATAACTTTACTCTATGGAGAACAAAAGCCGAGACCGTCTGAGGTTATAATGCTGAATATTTGGCTCAGTCTTTTTTTGGCTTTTGGAGACAGGCGTATAACCCATTCTACAAGCACAGAGTACGAGGGAGTACGAATACTCGTATGTTCATTCGGCGTAATCAGGCCTTTTGGGCGTTGGTTTTCTCTCGTCTAGTGCCGGCTTGGAACAGCCTCTATTTTCTAAACCCTTATTTTTTTTCCCTTGATTTCCCTACAGATTCTGCCGAATTGATCAATCAAATTATACCCGTCAGGTGATTTGATAGTCGAGCATGTCTCCAGGGAAAATAAAACGGGTTTGCCATGCAGCTTCACTTATGTACGTCGAGAATGCAATGCAGGAAACCCCTTCTACAACGTTCAACGTGCAATGTTTACGAGTAGTTTAATTCCCACCTGACCTCTTACCCCAACTGCACTCCGGAGTCGATCACGTATGAGGATGTAATTTTTTTCTTCTTTTTTTTTCAATTTTCTTTTTTTTTTTATTGAGACCTCGAGTCCTGGCGATCCGATCTGCAAGCCGTCACCCGGGATCGTCATTCCAATTGGACTCAGCCCCTGTGATTTCTGTTCTAGGGAACACCTGAGACGCAATGACGCCAGAAGCTTCGTATTTTTTTCTGTACGAGTAATTCCTTCCATTCGTACCCGGTCTTCGGGAGTTGACCGTCAGTACTCCAACTCGGCATTTTGGAGCCGCCACGTCCAAGCTGGAATTTTCACCCGAGGGTCAGCCCCCAATCTTCATGTAAGAGTACGGGATTTGATTTTCCCCGAATAAATACCGAGTAGAAAAAAGAAGAAAAAATTCAGAGTGTTTAAGGGAAACAAAAATTTCACGGAAAAAAAAATCTACGGAGAATTCTGCAATAGAGGTTGAGACATATGGTGTAAGAACAACCCACATTGTACTCCGTAAGTGTGTATATTTAGGTAATAAAGTTCTATCAAAAATCAAGGCCTGAACTGCATACGAGTACATATGGTATGATATAAGAAACAAATATTAGGAGCTCATATCCCACCGGATTCTTCATATGGCTTAATGTCATCTCTGGCCCTTTGAGACCACACTAATGTATTGCAACTCTGCTACTGCATATTAATGTTTTGCATCCCAGGTCTTCTAGCGCCGGTCTGACTCCCGATAGCGCAAGGCGCTCCAATCCGCGCCCCTGAGCCGATTCGCGTTAGGTGAGACATGCCTACGGAGTAAAGTGTAGCTGTATCCGCTTTGTGATCTGCGAATAGAGTCCGTGAGACCCCATCGGTGTACTTGCTTGAGGGCGTTCATGTATGTCCATACAAGGTTGTGTGCGTTTCTCCTTACTCGTGCAGCCCAGTGTCACTCGGTTGTCCCTACCGAGACCGCTCTTTGCACGTTTTCTTTTTCTTTTTTCGTTTATTTCGTTTTTTATTTGTCTCCTTTCCTTTCCTTTCTTCCTTGCATTGTACATTGTATGCTCTGTCATTCTTGCTCCAGCTCTTCTACCCACTTATTCGCTTTCGCTCAGGTTTATCTGCACCGTTCTTGTTGGTCCGGAAAAAATCCCCCCCCTTCCAGTTAGTTGTACGGCCTGGGCCGCTGGTCTCGGCTATTGGACGTTCTTAATTGACGTCGCATTACAATTTAGCTTAGAACTAGCGGGCCTCATAATTCAGCTTGCTAGCTTATGTATGGAGTATGTAATTTACGAGTAGAAAATCCAGACAATATGCTAGCCCTTCATAACTAAATCCGCCAAACGGAGTATTCCATACATAGTAGTTAGTTAACTACGGAGTCTACGGGTACATCCCACCGTTCTATGTAATGCTAGCTATTTATACTGGGGGCCAAAAGTCGGGCCAAACGTCATCCAAGGTCTCAATCCAATGCATTCTACGAGTAAAGTTGGAGCAGTGCAGGAGAAACGATTCAGGCATTGGCGTACTCATACACTTCCCCCCACCGCGCAGGTGCCCACCATCAGACCCTGACAGTGATCTTGGCAACCCCTGCGGAGTACGGAGTCCTTGTAGCATACTCCGTACCTTTCCTCGAATCCTACTCGTACTTACTTATGTAGTAGCCCACTAAACTGTGAGTAAGGGCATCCCAAATGGTACATCGCTTAGAGGATCGGCTTTGGCGGAGATCCGACTCAGATATAGTTCGCTTGTACGAGGTCGTGGGATACGCTACCAATCTGTGCCTGTATATAGAAAACCTAAATGGCCGGGTGCAAACTCTGCTGACCATGCAACATGCAGGATCCCGGGACGTGCTCACAGTATTAACGTGCCCAGGAACCAACGGGGCACTCTGAAAAGTCAATTTAATTGAAACTCGTGCAATGTAACGTCCACGATATATGGACTTGAGAACTTCTTTGCTCAATCTATTTTCTTCTTGCAAAGTCTTCCGAAACCTGTGCATTACTCGTAACCGAGCCGTGAATGTCTCCAAACGGACTACTTCTGGGTCAAGCTCAAAATACTTAAGTAGGTCCGTCTACGGGTATAGACCCAACTCCGTGGCCTTGGGAGGACAAGCTGTCATGTTGAACATAAGAATGCCCATATGAGCCTCGGACATGCTGCTCTCAACTTGAAATTATGCATAATTGACCCCCCTGCAAATTTCATGTGCATCGTGTTCGTGCCTAGGCACGCAAGGGAGCCCCCATCGCATGTGACAGCAAGAATTGGTTTGCTGGCGCTGGCTTCCGCGCCGCAAGAATCACTTAGATGCCTGCATACGAGTAGATATATGACTGCCTGGCGTTCGAACATCCGTCAAGCACACCTACATCTCCTGAAGTCTTGACAGAATGATGGTTGGTTGCAGATGGCTGGTTGTAGACTCCGGAAATCTGCATGCTCACCTAGTAGGTATGCCAAGGTGGTGATCCAGAAAATTGAATATTCATCACGAGAACCCAGGGTAGAAAGTGTCTCGTCTAGCCTTGACCGTGAACCTGTTCATGCATAGTTGATGTCCAAGGCGTCGGGGGCAACCTTCCAAGGTTGGAATGTTCCCTTCAATGTACATAGGTGTAGAACTCTGCAAAAGCTCATACTGTCCAATAGCCATCCACAGGTGCAAGACCCTAGGCCGGCCAGTGGTTCAAGATTAGTGTATGCAGACCGCTTAATGGTAGATGGAAGCTTCCACCTGAACAAGGTTGATGGCGAAGGAAGAAAGCAAAAGACCAAAAGAGGAGGAAACAGGAAGCAAAGACACCTCGATCCGTTCTACGTCTACAACTTACCAGCAAGATACAAAGAATTCGAGGGTCACTTATAAGAACAGAGAACCGATCACATTACTACTCCAAAAAGACCCATGGGTATTGCAACAAAGGCATTGATTCATTTTTGCTGACTACCATTTTGTCAACCATCAGCTAACAAAGAAAATAGCAGGGGGCAAATAAACCCGCTTAGTTCTCGTAGAGAGTGTTGATGAAAGACTCGGCGGGAGCAGTAGGCTTGCCACCCTCGACAGACTGCTGGCCAAGCTTCTGCTTGGAGTAGGCAGCGGCGTAGGGGTTGAGGCGGAGCATGACCTGCTTGTTGCGCAGAGGGTTCTTCTTCTGGACGTTGACACGCTTGGTGCGGGCCTCGCCCTTGGGAGCGCGGAGAACGGACTGGATTTCGGAAGAGTTGATGAGACGGGTGAGGTCGGCGTTGGCCACCAGGTTGGAGGGCAGGAGGTAGTCCCGCTTGAGAGCCGAGGGGCTGGTGGTGGTGCCGTAGACCTGGTCAAGGGCCTGGAAGGCGGAGGAGGTCCAGACGATGAAGCGGCCGAGGTGACCACCGGGGGCGAGCTGGAGGAGGTTGAGGGAGAAGACGGGGGAGGTCTCAACACCGGGGATGTTGCGGAAGGCCTTGACGAGGTCCTTGCCGTCGGTCTCGGGGTTGTAGACGACGAGGGGACCGCGGCGCTGGCGGAAGCGGCGGTTACGGAGCTTACCCTTACCAGCGCGGATCTTGCGGGACTTCTGGACCTTGACGAGGTCGGGACCAGCACCGACGGCCTGGAGGAGGGCGATGGCGGCCTTGGTCTTGGTCAGGGCAGCACCCTCGAAGACCTTGGAGTCAACGACGAGGGGAACCTCGGGGACGTTGGCGACACGGTGACCGCGAGCGAAGAGCAGAGCGGGTGAAGAAGAAGCAGCCAGAGCGGAGGCGGTAGCGAAACGACGCTGGCCAACGTTGACCTTCTGGTGCCACTTGCGCCAGACCTTGGTAGGGGCGAACATACGACCGGAACGGCACTGGTTACCGAAGGCAGCCTGACCGGCACGGTGAGTACCACCACCGGAGACACGGGGGATACGGGCAACAGCACGACCTATTCGGAGGTTTCGTTAGATACTGGTTCCCATTGTAGACTGATATGAAAGATATCGGGCGATCTTGCAAATTTTTGCGCGATCTCAAACCGAATCTTCAAATCTTGAACGAGTGTTGCAAATCACATACCGGTACCCCAGGACTCAGCAGAGGTCTGCTCACCAGCCTTCTCGCTCACAGCGTAAGGCTGGCGCTTGTTCTTGGCCATACCAACGTGAACCTGCCTGTAAATCCATCAGCATCTCCCCTCCATTCGTCATTTCTTCGATTTCGAGCCATACTGGACAATATCCGGACGGATAGGAGCAGAGAACACAGTGGGAAGGGGGTGGGAGGCCCCGGAGGGCTTGCCCTCAGCCGTGGCGATCGAGACAGTAGGGCGGGAGGCCATTGTTGCTGGTCGGTGTCGAGGTGAGGTTGAAGATCCAATCTCGTCGGATTCGGGGGCTTCAGGCTGGGTGTGGATTTTTTTCGCTTACAAGCCCTGTTACACCGCCTCGTGGCGTTCTGCCGCAGTTAGGGCTGCCTGACTAATCCTTTTTTTCCATATTGGGCTAGTAAATCTCCCATTCACGTGACCTTGAAGTGGGGTTTAGGCGCCCGGATCTCTATTCGTAGCTCCACTTGGGACTGTTGACATCAAGCCACACAACAGTCCATACTCGGACTCTTACTCATAGTCGGACATTGCACAGTTTATCATGCGCTGGCCCTTCGGTCAACTGGTGTGTTTCAATTGCAGCATACAACTGCATCCTTGATCTTTGTGGTCTGCCTACCGTGTCTAGGTCACGGTTGCGGCGCCCATGATGTGGCTCTGGCAGCAGGTCTCCGATGATATACACATTCTCCAGTCCACTATCGGCACAAAACAAAATTCACGGTCTATCATCAGTCAAGGGGGGACTGAACCCAGATAGCGTGGTGATACCCCTGCTCTTGGAAGCGTGCTAATATGCTCCACAGTCACTGACTTTTCTACAAACAGTCACATACAGCGGTACTCAGTCTAATTGTCTACGAACGAACTTGGAAGGCAAATATGGTTGCTTGAAGACTGAGATGTCTGATTTCCCTAGATTGAGCTACCCAATGTACAGGATTGAAGTGACATTGTGCACCGAAAAGAAGGTCCAACCCGACTCGAAATGCGGGAGTGGAAAAGAATGTATGAGAAAGAACTCAAAAATGTGAAGGAAAGAAAAAACAGGCGAAGAGAAGTGAAGAAGGTCTTTAAAAGACATGCAATGCAAGGAAATCGTGTCAACATCCGAAGCCAGCGGATTTGTTGTGGATTCAAGCATGGTGGGGGCCAATGTTGCGCTTACGGAAGCGCATGCTGGAGATGTGGCGGGCCTTCTTGGTGGCCGACACGGTGAGCTCGCGGCTCTGACCAGCGCCACATTGAGTGCCGGATGCCATCTGCTGAGAGGCGGACCAGGTACCGCCAGCACAGCGCTGGAAAGAGGTACCACTGACGCAGTTCCACTCGCCCTCGGTGCTGCAGGCACCCGACAGAGTACCCGAACCGGAGCTGGAACCAGAGTCAGAACCAGAATTGGAACCAGAATCAGAACCGGAGTCGGAACCGTAGTCGGAACCGTAGTCGGAACCAGAGCTGGGAGAGGAAGAAGCGACCGGAGCAGGAGCAACAGATGCGGAAGCAACTTGCCCGGCGACGTTGGCCTGGCTCGAGGCGGTTGCGACTGGGACTGGCGCCAAGGTGGATGGGGGAGCGACGGAGGGAGCAGCAGAAGAAGCAGCAGAGGCACCAGAACCAGATGATCCGGAGCCGGAGCTGGAGCCGGAGCTAGAACCAGAGGAGCTGGAACTGGAGCCAGAGGAGGCGTCAGCGGAGCCGCCGAAGCTGGCAGTGCCGGTGCAAGCCTCAGAGCCTTCAGGGGCAAGGTTGGTAGCTTCGCCGTCATACTCGACATCATCACCGGGCTGGGGGAAGCGGATATCCACACCCTCCTTGGTGGTGCAGCCGTTGACGTTGGCGACAAACATGGGCGGGAAGCTGGCGGCGCGCTTCTCAAGTTCCTCGGGAGAGCGCTTGGATGAGCCTCCGCTGACAGTGATTGGGGCGCAGTTCATGTACATTTCACGGTTTCCAATGCGGTTGAACCAAGTCCAAGCCAGGGTGTACTTGCCAGCAGAGATGCCGTCGGGGATGGTGAAGTTGAATTGGGACTGGTCGACGGAGCCGGCGGCCAAGTTGCCTTCGACATTGGCGGGGCAGCCGCCCTCGAAAGACTTGATCACCTTCCATGTCGAGGACTTGGATGGCTTGAGATCTTCGGTCAAACTAATCTGACAGGAACCGCCGCCGTGGGTGGCGCTGCCTTCGAAGGCCAGAGCGTGAGACTCGCCGATTCCGATGATGGTCTCGGAGGAGGGGGCATCGTAGACACCGTCACGCTGCTTGCAAGGGAAGTCACTTCCATCTGCCGCCAGCGGCGAGTTGTTGAGACTGTCCATGCCGTAGGGGGTAGGGGTGCTCATGATCATGTGGGCGTTGACCATGGAGGCTCCCAGGATAGCAGCCAAGAGGTTCGACTTGAACATCATGTTGGATTGAACTTTTGGGGGGTTGTTTTCTGATATGTTTTTCTTGAACTTGGGTTTGACAGTGGGATGCAAATGAATTCGATTCGTGCCAGACGAATGGAATCAGATAAAAGGATTGGACCTTGGTGGGATCGTAAAGAAGGAAGAGCTATAGGTATGGTTAGTATCAGGCATGTTTCAGTAGATCATGGACAGTAGATATACTGCATTGCTCAAAAAGGCTGATCTATATTGGGGGTAGGGCTTCATTCATAGTGGACCAGATCCAACAATAGATCTGAACAATGGTCTCCCAAAGATTGAGGCAACAATGAAACTCAAGGAACACAATACCTTTGTAGCAGAGTGAATAACACAAGATTGTTTTAAAGAGAGTTTATTTCCAACTTCTTTATTCAAACAATAGACTCTTTCACTGAAAGGAATGTATGGGATTGACACAGACAATCACCACCAAGAATAAAAAAAAGAAGAAGGGAAAGGAATGCAGGACTAGCCTGTCAAACTGTCAAAGTCAAGAGAGAAGGAATGCTTGAAGAAGAAGAAAAAAAACCAAATCATGCAGCATTGGCGTCAAGGGTTTTATATTTGAACATGGGTACAGAGTGTACTCTCGGGCCCTCCAAACGACATCATGTTGATCGGGGCGTCCGGGACCCTGAATGGAGCGATGCTACGTGTGTGGACAATCAACTAGACACGCCAGGTTGGATAACCTCCACTGTAGAGAGGCAAGAAGCCTGCGATCTGTAGAAAGGGGTGGAGCCCCGAGCTGGGATGTTTCATAATTGAACGTTGGCACACACACTCAAGAGAGTAATAGTAAAGGGACGACCAATGAGAGCCCCTAGAGAGACTTTAGAGGGTCATAGAAATGATCGAAAGTGCAAGTGACAGGCCAGTAGGAAGATCGATGTCTTATTCCCAGAAGATCTTCTTCTGGGCTGGGCGGCTGGCCGAACAGCCAACCACGTCGGGCGCAAGGGTACTTCTCCGTTCGGCAACCCCCTGGATTGTCGCACCATCAACCGCTCGTCTTTTGGACCGCGCACATTGGCTGTTGCATGTAGCCGCCTGAAGTCTTGTCAGCGGGTCTAACTACCAATCAGTCCGTTTGCCTCTCGATGTTCCTTTTTGCAAGGTTACATACGGATGTGTCCTATTTTCCGACCTCCCTTGCGACCTATAGAAACCCAATGCTGAAACAACATCTGATCTAGCGTTTTTCACAAGTCCAGTACGAAGGACCTGGAAAGTTATGATGGACTACGTTCGGTGTCCGTTGCATCAGCCCTCGTCACGATATCCCGGCACTTCCAATGTGGGGTGCAGCAGTTCCATCTTTTGAAACAGACATCGCGCCAAGGGCTCTAAATTAACGAGGCAAATCTCGGTAACGGCCTAGTGCAACCTGATATACACTCCAGAGAACGGAGTACATTATACTCCGTAGGAAAGTGTCTGGCGAACTCAAGTTTCAGCGAATCTGTTCAAGTCGCGGTGCAGCCCGAAATCAAGTCCCAAACAATTTCCCATGCGGTGGTTCAGGATCTTCGGAAGTGACCATGATAGCTCCACAACCTCATGCCCACAGTTTGACATTGCGGATCTTGACTCGAGACAGTAAAAGCTGCACTCCCGGCACATGGTTCACACCTCGAATTTCCCAAGCTCTTCTAGATCTGTTTCATATTGAGAGCCGACTCTCGAGCCCATCGCTAATCGCAAATGACCGAATAGATCACACTCGGCTAGCCCCTGGAGCGAAGAATGGGGAAATGCAATGTCGGAAACCCGATGTGTTTGCCGAGTAGCCATTGTGACTCGTCCGTTGCATGGAGATGCGGCCTGGTTCGCATCCATAGAGCGCCGCACTTCCCCATAGTTGAACCAATATCTGGTATCAATTCTCCGATCGTAATCAAAGACCTCGCACCGCTTGGAATTCATCGCTTGTACACTACTGATTCGTTCTAGGCGTCTACAGCGGTGGCAGATTCAGAGGCCACACACCCCTCCGTGCGTGATGCTTGGTGCGTGGGAGTCTGGGAATTGCAGACCCTGCATGATCCAACGTCAGTTCGCATGCAAGCCGAAAAGCTGCAACCCGGTTTCATCGTCTTCTATTTCGGTCCGTGGCTATCTAGACCTTGGGGGCGAGTCGATAGTCTGAATTGGGAGATTATACCAACTAACATAGATTGGTCGACTCCCCACTCTGGTATGAGCTTTCACCTCTGGACACCCAAGAACCGATCAGGCGGTGCATTGCCCAATGTATGAGTGTTTTGTCGTAGCGCTTGTGAGAGTTCTTTCCTTTGGAAGCATTTCTACACGTCCACGTTGACAGAATTTTCCACTGGGGCGAGACGCCCGAATAGACCATCAAAAGAAGTCTCAAGTACCAAAGTACTATTCGCGCTCTTGAGTCTCATTTAGTTGATTGGTTCCACCAGCCGGTGTGACTAGTGGGGATTCTCTCATGGCATGAGATCCTGGCAATTAGTTTGAACTTCTGCCAGATCATGCAATCAACATTCAGAGTCATGATTCTCATGGAAGGAAGGTCGTATCCGCGGTGCTAGTGTTATTGATGCCTGTCTGAAGGTTCAACAAGCACACTGATCCTGCAGCCACGGATGTTTCATCTCTGTCACTTCAGGGGAATTTCCCATGTGAGAGGTAGTGCCAGAAAAAGCCCCCAGGAGGGAAGCATCTACCTAGGTACTCCGTACGGAGCAGTCCGTATAGTCCCTCATTTCTTTCCTTTCTTCTTTTTCTCGGTACTCGATGGCTCCTCCTTCTTCGTAAATCCACCCTTGACCAAAGCATCACGGCCTGCATCGTTGATGAGTCGAAACCGAGCTGGTCCCAGGTGAATCCCACCAAACCATCTCGTCACAACCACCACAACATTCCACACATCCATCAATTGCATCACGTGGAGTAGTCGACCACCCGCGGCAGACTCCCCGTCATCATCATAATCTTGCACCACGGTCTCACCAGAATCACTGTTGTCCCCCTTTTGTTGCCGAATCCGCCATGCACTGATGTTGTGCGTCGCAGCTGCAACCTTCCGATCCGTAGCGGTGAGATGATCCAAGAATGCCTGTGCCTGCGCTAGGCTGTTGACCCTCGCAACCCGTCCCACAAACACCGACTTCTTCTCCGTCATCACATCTGACAAAATCCAATCTGGCGGTGAGTCAAGACCAAACGCGTCCCGTAGAGACAGGGTCGTAAAGCTCTCTGTTGCAGTTGCGACGGGCTCACTTTCAACGGGTGGTTCCTCGTTCTGAGTTCCCCCGATGTTCAGTTCGGGAAACACCTCGACCGCTTCACTGATCACATCGAAGAGGCATACTGCGCCGGCTTGCCATGTTCGTTGTATAATATCCTCCAACACGTCGACTGCGATCTTGCCTTCCCCACGCGCGCCGGTTGATGCAGTACCCAGTACTGCGGGCCTCGTTTCAGGGTATGAGGCCTCGAAGCCGATTCGAAATGAGAGGTTCTGCTGTTCGGGGATCTGCAGAGTGATCACGGTGGTGTGTGTGGTGGAGTGGGAGCTTCCTAGGTCGAGAGTGTTGGTCGCGTGTGTGGGGGTCGCGGTGACTGTCACTGTGTCGGGGTCGTAAATCGCATTGACCGCCTCAATTTCTTCGGCGAGGTCATGGTTCTCTGTAAGGGGCATGATGCCGTGGAAAGGGCTATCTACAGAGTTTTCGGGGTTCCAAGGGGTTTGCGGATCAAACTGAAGGCGGGGAGGGCGCATTAGAGATCGTGAGACTAGTCCGTTTTCTAAGTAGTGGTTTGCACTCCAGGGCTTTAGACTCAAGCTGTACTTCTAAAGTTCTAAGTATGCTTTCAGAATCTTACAGAATTTAACCTGATGTTCTCAACCTTAAACTATGTGTCAAATGAATCTCTTTTAAGCTCTAGAGGCTGTCCTGGGTATAAAAACTGCTCAAGGTGGGATATATATTTTGAGTACTTCTAAAGTTATTAGCCCTGGAGACTGGGCCCGAGGGACAACTTTAGAACTTTGAAAATCTCCAGCCCTCCACAGGAAACTCCATTTCTTCATCTTTGACTGTGGCTTCCGGGGCTTCACTGTGGACCCCTCATATGCATCATACGCAGTGCGCATTCTCAAAGGCCCAGGCGCTCCAAGTTGAATATCGCATCTCGACTCTGGAAATCCTTTGGTGCATGGCCTACCCAGCCAGGTAGCGCATCCAAGATGTTGACTTGATCATCGTTTGCAGAAACTCTGAGCGGAACATGCTCATGGATCGAACCGCCCAGCCGCAACAGACTAAAAGCATTGAGTGCGTTCGTCCAACGTGGAAACCAGCTCGCGTACAGTGCGGTCATGGCCAACCCCACCAAGTGAAACATAATCAAAATCGACACCAGGATGATACCCGCCAGCAAGATGGAGGGTTTCTTCGAGTCGGCACCTGCATCATAGGTAACACTCAACGTGGGACCGATACGGAGCTGCGATGTGTCTGTGACCCATGCCATATTTGCCAAATATGCCGCAATATTGAATGCATCTGCCATGATTTTGTCGGAGGATGTCGTCGGCAAAGGTGAGATATGCACTACCTCCCTGGGTCGGAAATTGACTAACCACCCCACTATGTTGTGGAACATCTCTGCCTCGTGATATGCGTTCCTCTCTCTCCACGCATGGCGAGACTGTGATAAGACTCCATCATTGATCACGGTATCCGAGTCTTCGCTCGGTTCTTCATTGCCATGGCGACCTTAAAGCACACGAATAATCCTTCCCATTGGGGCCAGGTCGGCTACAATTTGAAGGCCGTGGGACTGTTTCCGAAAGCCGTAGAGAGTGTCGAATCGGTTTGCGGTCTCAAGCCAGGAGTATCGCCCGAAGAGAGTAAGAGCCGTAGTGAGAAGAGGGCCTTTGTTGAAGACTTCCTCGATCCTGTCCGCTTCCCAGGGTATGATGTCGTGACGCTCACGCTTTTTCTTTGCTATCCTGTGTTGCGGTCAGTTCTGTTTTGAGTTGCAGGGTGAAACCCCGGAGAACTTACTTGTTTGGCCTTGTGAACCCTTGCTCGTCACAATATGAATCGCATGTATCGTAAGGAAACTTCTCTAGAAGCGAACCGGCAGTTTGACCATTCATGTAGTTTGGCAACTCGAAATATCCAGCTGTAGTATTGACAATTACTCGGACGTAAACCGATTCTGCTGTTGAATCATTTTCGGGTGATAATCCCTTCTTGATGCGGGGTGTGAAGGTGATATTCAGATAGAGAACCTCCCCGAAATCCTGTCGATCCCGAGTATTCTTCCACGGGGATACAATTTGGTCATCAGGCATACAAGCATGGAGTGCCCAGTAGTCCATGTCTTCTTTTCTGCCTCCAGCAGGGTCGACCAGCGTGTGGTTGTGCTTAAGGGAGAGTCCACGCGCTGTGTCCTCACAACCACGCGGAAATTCCTTCTCTGAGATAAACTCATATTGGGTCGAAGAGTTGAACCGGGGAAGATACTGCCTTATTAAGCCCGTGCTATAGTTATTGGGCAATTGCGCCCAGAAAACGTCAGGAAACGTGGACAAATCTGTCCATTTTGATCCCGACTGAGAGCACCGGTCTGAGTTGGTCTCAGCGCAATCTATATCTTTCGTCCAGAGCTGTGATGGGATATCATTGGCAGAAGTGCTCTCGAGTAGCTTTCGGGTCATGGGCACAATGATGAGCTTGGGGAAGCCGGCGTCCTGGATAAATTTGTCCGGCATGTCCTGCAGATTGCCAACCCTCGTTATGTTTGTGGGAGTGTTGACCAACTCAGTTGACAGGAAAATTTGCTGGACTGGGGAAATAATCGCGCCAAAAAGGTGCAATGCTAATGCCCATGCTAGAAACGGGGTTCCATAGCGAGGCCACTGGGTTGAGAGTTGGAAATAGGTGGAAATATCCGTCCACCCTTTATCCGCTAGAACCGTCAACTGGCGCAGAGTAATCTTCGGCTTCAATTTGTCTGTGCGGCATTGGAGGTAGACTACCACCGCACTTGAGCATACGGCAGAGGTCACTGGGATGGTCAACACTCCAACAATGGACTGAAGGACCTGAACGGCCTTGTACCATCGCTCGTTGTGAACATACTTGGCTCTCATGGGCTGGCTACTGATTGACCCTTGCGATGTAGTCCTGTACGGATTTGGTGCTGTGTTGCTTGGGTATTTCTGATAGCTTGCAATAGTAACGGGGCGGTAATTCAGCAGACAGACCATGATCCAAGAGCAGAGTACCAGCGTAGTGTAGAAACCCACCAGCCAGAGAACCCATCTCGAGCGACTGATTTCAGCGACTGGTTGTTTTGGAGCATTTTTCTCAGTCGAAACAGAGGTATGTCGGGTTTCTGCATTCGAGGGCATGGTGAATGGAGAAGCTCATTTCAAGAAGAGTTATTTTTGTGAATTGGGGGCGGGGGTATACCGCATAAGAACCCCATTTATTTAGAAAGAGAGGCTCCAAAGGCTGAGACATTAGAAATATGATTGGCACACTGGAATGATGATTTTGGCACCCGGGCAAATTGTGTTGTCGATGTTTTCCTGGTGTGGATGGGGCCATAGGCCCTGCATGAAGGCTATGCCTAAATGAGCACTCATTACGGAGCAGTCTGAAAGGATTGAACCAAGCTGACCAATTTGTTTGATACATCTGAATTCTTGAATTCCTCCATAGCAGCTGGGCCTTATCAGAGGGGCATCAGGCTCTAGGTAGCTCAGCCTTGGAATGTTTCCACATGTCAATGATTAGTTCGTTAGCCAGGCGCAAGCTTGGACCGACTTCTGAGGTGGCTCCGGTGCCTAGGCTTGGGGCCAAGTTTCCCCACAGTCGATCTGCCATTAGCGTTGTGCTGTAGGAACCAGCTCCATCCAGGCTCCCAGTCAAAGAAATGTGATGTTGCGGCTGCAGTCAAGCTCATCCGACAAATCGTCTCAACAACTTGCCTATGATAATATGACAGCTTGGCCGAGAAATGATCGCGTTAGATGCTCATTGTTATCTCTTGATTCTTGTCAATGCTTCATTAATCAAGGCGACCAAGATACCCATTTGCTAGCCCAGAAAGTCCTGATCTCAAAAAAAAAAAAAAAAAAAAAGAGAGAGGGGGAGAGAGAGAGAGATTCCGAGATAGTTGCCAGTTGATAGAGACCTTGAGCCATTGAAAATAATTGCATAGCGCGACAAAATCCCTGCCCATCACGAAGGGGCCGAAGCATCACGAACCTGGCCCTTTGCAACCTCTGCTCGAATGCTTCTCTCCCGTATGGGGGGACTGGCGCCTAGACAAGAAAGCAGTCTTTAATGGTATTTTCGACAGCATTCCTTGGATGTATATTGAACAGGAGAAAATAGTGTCATTTGTCCATCTTCTCTGTTAGGGAAGAAGGAATCCGGCATCCAGTTCATGCTTGATCGCTCGGTAAGATAGGTTCCATCTCTGAACATGGTGTTCAAGGTTGTGTCTCACTCTTGTCGTTGATATTGAGGACTGGATAGAAGAGGATCAAGTTGGATATTTCAGCCTGAAGTTATCGACTGATAACTCATTCAACTGAGTTCCTGATGTTCGTGAGAGAGGAGCGTTCATTGAAGTCTCCATAGTGAACTGAAATCACAGCCTTGGATGGGACTTTGAAAATCTCACTTCAACGAGTCCATCGCAAAAGGACCACTATGAACCTCCGTGCACACAATCCTCACGCCATCTTCACGTTCAATCAGCCAGATCCCGCCAATCACCTATTATTGCGTGTCAGTCGTGATAATCGCCATATTTGAGGTCTCTTCTGTCAGATAAGATATCTCCGCAGTATTGATAGCCATACAGAGCCGATTGAAGTGTCGGAATCAAGTTAGACCTGGTGGAGACCGGGGAACAAAGCTGATTATCAAGCACCGTGGGGGGTAAACGGGTCAACGGCTCAACCGGGAGTTCCGCTGGATAGAAAAAAACATTGAATGCTGGGATTGATCTTCCTGGTTTTCAATTTCCCGTTTTCAGTGACCTTTGACTCTTAAAACTCCAGATATCTGCAGGCTTAAACTGCACCTTTCACGTGTCTCACCCGTCATCTGCAAGGCCGTTGGGATCGGCAATCATGACAGCTCCACCCCCGTTAGACTTGTCGCACCACCTGTCCTATGCGACGAAGAACAAGAAACCCAGCAGTGTGAAGGGGTTTTATAAATATTTTCAGATTCCTGGAATCACTAATTTTGCTGGAGGTAAGAGAGGATAAATTAAACCCAAAAGAACAAAGAGGAAGAAGTTGCCGGTGCATTGTTTACTCACTCTACCAGGATTGCCAAATGCATCCTATTTCCCCTATGATACCCTCGAAGCCAAAGTCGCCCTACCGCAGCGACTGGATACCAAGGAAAATTCCTCTGTTCGAGTCACGGTTCCCAAGGAAAGTAAGACGAAGGACGTTCAACGGAAGATTGACTTGACGACCGCGCTCCAATATGGCACTGCTGCGGGATACCCTCCCCTAAACACATTCCTGCGCTCATTCGCACGAGACCACCTTCACCCAAATGTGCCCTATGCAGGTGGCCCGGAAGTCATATTGACATGTGGGTCGACCGATGGCTTTTCGAAGGCCGTTGAAGCCTTTACGAATATATGGAACCCTGACCGAGATTGGATCCAACAGCGGGAAGGTGTGTTGTGTGAAGAGTTTGCGTACATGAACGCGATTCAAACGGTGCAGCCTCGGGGGCTGAATGTGGCCAGCGTTGCGATGGACGGGCAGGGTATGTTGGCTAGCGGCGAAGGGGGGTTGCAGCATGTACTGGAGAATTGGGACTTCCGCTTGGGACGAAGGCCTCATTTGATGTATACTGTTCCGTGAGTATTTTTCGTGAACCCCAAGAGCCAAAAGGCGGCATATCGAACCATGTAGGTGGAAACTGACATGACTGAAGAACTGGCCAAAACCCCACCGGTGGAACCCTTTCAATCGAGCGCCGAAAGGAGATCTACGCTCTCTGTCAAAAGTACGATGTGATCATCGTCGAGGATGAGCCGTACTGGAATCTGCAGTTCCCCTCTGCCTATCAGAATACAGTCCATCACCGTGGCTCATGCCCCGAGCCCAATCTTTACACCCAGAACTATAATGCAGAGGGCAAGTCCTCGGGCTATGCCTACTTAGACTCGCTCGTTCCATCATATCTCTCTATCGATATCGAGGGCCGAGTAGTGCGACTGGATACCTTCTCTAAGACCATCGCACCCGGGAGTCGTCTCGGCTGGGTGACTGCGCAGCCAGCGATCATCGAACGTCTGACTCGGATCACCGAGGTGACAAGTCAACAGCCGTCCGGTTTTGTCCAGGCATTGGTAGCCCAGTTGATTTTTGGCAAAGACGACGATTCAGCCAAATCGTCCAAACAGATCGCTTCGGGTTGGCACATGGACGGATGGGTGCGATGGCTGGAGGGCCTCCGCGCCCGCTATGAAGCGCGCATGCATGACATGTGCACAATTCTGGAACAGAACAAGTATCTTTTCCATGGATCAACTGGGGCTGAAGTTGATGCCTGGGAGGTGGTGGATCGAGTGCAAATGTATGACTTTGTCTGGCCGATGGGTGGTATGTTCACGTGGATAGATGTCCACTTCGATACACACCCCTTGCGTTCACAGTTCTCCCCTGAGAAACTCTCCAAGGCCCTTTGGATCCATTTGACCCAGCGTCCCCATTTGTGTCTCGTGAGCCCAGGCGGTATGTTCGCCCCGACACCGAGATCTGCTGAGAAAGCCCACAGGTACATCCGTGTGGCATTCGCCCCAATGGAATCTGACGAGGTGGCGCCTTTTACCCAGAGATTAGTTGAAGGGTTCCGCTCGTTCTGGCAGCGGAAGAATTTGGATGGGCTGAGTGGCGAGGAGGCACAGGGGTTTGATTTGCAACCAGAAGTCAACCTCCTAGGGAACGGCTGCTGATAGACATCGCAATGTTTTGCGGGTCTCTATAATTCCGTGTTAGGCTATGATCACCGAGTAATATGTTTTCTCTATACTCCGTACCATTGCCAAAGTAAAAGATGATGGGAGTAGATGCCCAGGTGAGAAGGAGGGCGCCGATCTGTCAGATCGCAGCGCCACCATCGTCAACCTGATTGGATGCCTTGCTGCCTGGGGTTCCCCGGATCTGACCGTCTACACTTTCTAAAGTTGCTTTCGCATATATTTTCCCTTTCTTCTTATATTTCTCGGCTAGTATTTTTTTTCTTGTATTTAGCAGGAATATCCATACTCGTTCTGGTTCCTGAGCATCCCTGTGCTATTCGGGAGATCCCCACTGTTCATCGCCGCTAGCACGTCCGACCGCCGACCGACATCATACCCGTTCTACGGAGTCGCAGTTGAATCGCAGCTGAACACTCTTTCTTTCCAGCTCAACGACCCAACATGCCTGGAGAGGGTCCTGAGGGGGCCGCGCAGATCTACGTCCCTCCTTTACTCGAAGATGATGACCGTCTCGTTGACCCCGAAGCTTCCGAAGACCTACCGCCGCCCGATGTCGAGACAGGCATACTCCCCGTCTGGTTACAGGAGTCGTCCAAGTCATTTCGCTGGGGATGGGTGCCGCTGCCGATCAGAAAGGTCGGCCGCGCCACCGCCAATTGGGTGAAAGGCCCCGATCCGCCGCATGTGCTACTTTTGAAGCCGCTGTTTCCCCGCGTTCAGGAACTGCCGGTCCAGTATCTCGACCGCTTGTTGCCCAAGCGCAAACATAAGACGCTTCTTCTATTGTTACTTTATGTATCGTGGTTCCTACCTTGGTTTTTGATCTTGCTGCATTCGCGCTCCTCTGGCTATATCGAAGGGTACGGTCGGCCTCAGACCTTATCGTGTTCTTCAAACTTTTGGTATGTAACAGACAACCCCAACTTTCTTAGGCTTTACTAACGTAGTTGTGACTGGATAGGGAGTTCGACAATGGATGTGGCATGAATGGAAATGACTGTCGGCCATTTTCGTCCTCGAGTATTCCCTTCCGGTGTCCCGCGAATTGCCGCGATACCATACTTTTGGAGCCTCATACAGTGGGGAATCATACATATAATTACCAAGCGCTAGTCATTGGAGGCCCGCAAGAGGACTCCTCTGAATCAGCGCTCTATCGTGCTGATAGCTTTGTCTGCCAGGCAGCGATCCATGCCGGTGCCATCTCGAATGACGGCGGCTGCGGCGTCGTCAAGCTCGAGGGCGCAGCGCACTCGTTCCCTTCGGTCAAGCGACATGGAATTCTATCTGCGACGTTCCCGTCTACTTTCCCAAAGGCTTTCAGTTTCCTTCGACTCTCATCACCACAGGCAAGCTGCCCCGCGGATCCACGCTGGACGCTCCTAGGAATCACTGCCGCCGCTATTGGCGTCCTATGGCTGTTCTGCACATCTCCGCCAGTTTTGTTCTTCAGTTCATTCTTCATGGTGTTCTGCCACACGGGACTTGTGGGAGATCCCCCTTCCGATCCTTTCCTCGCCGAACTTGTCTCTAGCCTTCTGTCTCGGCTTCTGCCAGCATCGTTTGTTGTCTATGTTCTCTACAAGTTTTGCGCGGCACCTCTGCTCCGACCAATCAGTTCACCAGTTTACCAACTTTCGAAGATGTTCCTCTTCCTACCCCCGCTTTTCATCGGAGCTCTGAACAACTATACATTTGCCCGTTTGATTCCCTTGAAGCGCCTTACCCCCATGGATATCCAAAAGCAGCCCGGGGCAAAGCTTGCTCTGGCATTCGTCATCCCTATTGTGCTCTCGATCGTTCTGACTCAAGCGTGGCAGATCCGCCAGGGAGGATTGCTGCCACGCTACTTGAAGATCTACGGCACCATGGCACTGATTATCCTAGTTCTGCTTCCTCTGCCTGGCCTTCGCTTACGCATTCATCATTACATCTTAGCGATCTTGCTTATGCCTGGTACCGCGTTCCCCACTCGCCCGTCACTTGTGTACCAAGGCTTACTGCTGGGTCTGTTCATCAACGGAGTTGCTCGATGGGGATTTGCTTCCATCATCGAGACCCCTGCAGCTCTTGGGGAGCAACTGCCCAACGGAGATGGGGTAAATGGCTGGTGGGGCGCAACTTACCCCAACGTCACAAGCTCTTCTGTCAAGATTTCTTTACCAGAGTCGGAAGACACTTACCGTGGCAACGGTAACATCACTTTCGCTTTATGGGAAGATGAGCGCATGTCAAAGCTTGCCGTGGACGGCATCTCGGTTCTTCTGAACGATGTTGAGCGCTGGCGCGGTTACCTTGATGAAGACAAGGCGGGCGAATTCACCTGGCACCGTCATGGCCATGATGGCCTAGAATTACAGACTAGCCCTCGTCTGGTTACTCGTGGTGTGGACACTATTGAGGAATCGCAATCGCGCTTGTTGGGTGACGACAGCTCCGACGCTGAACCCGATGATCTGTTTTTCCGCTTCGCATTCTTGCGAGGCGCCGAGGCTGGCATATACGGACCAGCAGGCGTATGGCTCAGCGACGGTACTTGGTGCTCCCCCAAACCTCCTAAGGCATAAGCAGTTCTGCTGTGTGTGTTTTTGGAGTTTTTTTGGGCTTTTGGTTATCTTGGTTTTTTTGACGTGTATTCCACACCCTTGGCGAAATAGATTATACACTTATACTTGTGTGCTGGACGCGCAGTACTAGATCATTTTCACACTCGTTCACGACTCTCAATGAATATATACCTAGGTATTTTCTTCTCTTTTGATGATATCGAGATATCCCTACTTAAGTAGCTATCCCTAGTTCTCTTGCGATGGGTGTTTTGTTGGACACCACGTGATCACATAGGCAGCCGAAATTCGATCATCGCAGCTTCAAGTTTTCCCCTAAGTAAAGTTAGAATGTAACATCGCCTCCATGGAGCCCGAAGAATCTGACCATGAACGAGAGCCAGGGTTGGTCCGACGTGCGGTATGTACTTCGGCCGTGATACAGAAAAGCAGGGCCTAACAAGAACTCCAGTGTGACCAATGTCGGGCTCGAAAGGTATATGCACTCCATACTCCCTACGCCCCCATCTTTACACTTGAGCAGTCTAAACATCAATGCAGATCCGATGCGATAAGCGCACGCCATGCTCGAACTGTCGTAGTTCCAGCATCGCTTGTCGATCCACCGACAGCCAGAAACCCGCAGAGCCTCGGCGGCGAGTCCTCATTTCTAATCAATAGTAAGTATAGCACTTGTCGATGGCCATTAGCCTTGTTAACTCGGGCGCAGCGAGAAAAAGATTGATTTAATTGAAGAGCGTCTGACCGGTATTGAAAAGACTCTCAAAGAGTTGGCAATAAATACATCTGCTTCAAGACCTGCGTCGCAATTCACCCCTCCGCAGTTCATCTCTTCGCCTCAATATTCAAACCAACCCCAGGCACCATCAACACAGAGCGTGGCAAAACCAAAGGCACCGTTTTATAAAACGAACGCAACAATTGAACAGCATGATTCAAGCTCTGCATTTGAAGGAAGCTCATCCCTCAGCGCTCATGGAGCCTACGCAAGCGCGTTTCTGGAATCGGCCGTCTCCAAAAGCTCGCCCCAGGTGTTATCCAGCCCGAAAATTAATGCGGCGCTTTCCTCGCTCAAGCAGATCGTTGGAATTCAAAATCAACGACGAGAAGCTGATCCGCGAGGGGCTCGACTGCCTACTAAAAGCACACGGATGGGCGTCAAATGTGACATCCGTCATCTTGACATGCCACCTTTGCAATTGGTATTACAAGTCCTGCGATATATCAAAGGTGTGATTCCCAGACTTCAAAATGACTTGGCGTTTGTTGTTCTGACTTTCCTAGAATACCAATCTTCCTGCTTTGGCGGTTACATGCCTTTTCTCGCAGTAGATTACTTCATCGAAAAATGCCGTGAAGTGTATTTCTGCGCGGAAGACTATTCCGATGCTGCATTTATCATAACTAATTTCTGCCTTTACAGCGTATTTTATGAACTGAGTGTGACAAAAACTGCTGGTCCCATCGGGGAGGAGTGTGATGGACACATTGAGACCTGCCGCAACAACCTTGAAGCTGCACTTGCCAATCTTAATATCTTGATGCCTGCAAACCAGGAATCGATCATGGCATTGGCTGTAGGGGTGAGTTTCCTTTGGACTTTACTTCGAATCCCGGGCGATCACTCACCAGATCACAGGCTATGCATGCGATCGAGATCTCCAAACCATCAGTGGGTTGGAACCTAGCTTCCACGGGCATGCATCTGTGTCAGACGCTGGGGTACCATCGCTTGAGCTCCATGGAAAATGATCCTGAGCCAGTCCAACGTAAAAAGCAACTCCTTTTCTGGTCGGTCTACACCATTCTGAACATGATGTCGCTACGTTTGGGGCGTGCTTGTCCCATTCAGAATTATGATATCAGCCTACCCGTGCCACTTCCGGAGGCCCTTGATGTGCCTGCGCCATGGGACCTTGTCTGCGTGCTCTGGACCAGATCCGCTATCATCCAGAGCAAAGTCTACCAATACTTATATAGTCCGGAGGCATTGCAACAGCCGGAAGGTCATCGGGTCGCGCATGCGCAGCGATTGGCCGCTGAGATGAAATCGAGCGTCGTGGAACCATTTGAGGTAGATGTACCCGCAAACGCGCAATGATCGAGCGCGCTAACATGGGGGAAAAAACACAGGTATTCATGTCGTCAAATTTGAACATCTCGGAAATGGACCTCATGTATCTTGCAACAGACAAGGTCAGCAGGCTATCAATTCTCACATTGATATACCGAGCGATTCCCGCTTCGCCGACATCTGGCTCTACCGCCACTTTTATACCAGAGTGTATCGAGACAGCCCGTGAAGCCTTAGAAGCCCACCGGAAATGTGGCGCTGCCCTGAGAGAAACTGATGACTTCATGAAAACCTCCTACATGCATTGGTAAGTACTGACAGACGTAGATTCCGCATACACATTTGGCGACACGGCAGCTTACAACCGCCCAGGGCCATTCTCCTCTCCCCTTTTGTCCCCTTCATCGTCATTTTCTGCAATGTAATCACCACCTCCAACCGAGAAGATCTCGCCCGTCTCGACGAGTTCATTGCCTCTCTCGAGCCCCTCAGCTCATTCTCTCAATCCATCGATCGCCTCCACAGCCTCTGCTCTGTGCTTGGCACCGTCGCCCGCCTATATTTCGAGGCCAACAGCCGACCCCAAACCGATACCGATGAGAATTTCATCCAAGTCGGCCAGGAGTTTGATGCTTACCTGGGTGCGCTGGGACTGCCCAGCAACTTCATGGGCAATACCCAGCTGGGGTCGGGGTTATTCCAACCGGATGCCCCCTCCGTGCATGTTAGTTCTGACCCGTCGCCTGTGTCTGGGTTCCCAGCTGAAACGCAGGACTCGGGAGCTGCGCAGTTAGGGAACTGGTTCTGGGGGAATCAGTATATGATGGGTCTACTGGAGGAGGATCTATCCCAGTTCAGCGCTGGTTGATCGTAATCGTAAGGCAGAATCGCCTGATCCTGGCTGGTTGTATACTATGTACCATAACACACTTCACTCTTTTTTTGGAAAAAGAAAGAATTACAAAAACAAACAAAAAAACCGAAGACCGATACTCTGACGGCTTCCATTAACGTCTCTCTAAAAATACTGGAAGATGCGATAGAATCGATATTCTGAATCATCCCAATGTTGAGTTGTGCTAATTTCAATTTTAACTCTTGACGATCGCCCCTGAGGCATTTTGCGGCATGTCAACCTTCCTATTACATGAATGATCAACAGTGCCACTTCGGCCTCCAAGCAACACAAAAACTCAATTGCACTACGAGAACTCGTACAGGTGTTCACGGTCCAAAATACTCCTTCTAGAAGGTAGCGAGTCAGGGACCACTAGTGCGGCACGGTCGGCGCCAGTACGAGTACTTACTCGTACGCGTGGACGTCTAGGGGGAACTACTTATACGAGTAGATCAATATTTTCCCATGAATGTCCAGGCTAAACAAGCCCTATCTGCGCCATGCCGATTTGTGGCTGTACTTGACACGACCCCGTTTTCCATACTCCGTCTAGGTACGTTTCGATTTGGTTTCAGCCGGACAAACCGAAATAAGTAAATTGTAGATTTCGGTGAGAGGAAAAACAATTTAGAAAACGCCCCCAATCTGGGAGATGCACTAGAAAGGATGTGCAGCGGGTGTTATTCCCGTTCCAGATTGCTCCACTATACGGAGTAGAGAAAGGTTTACCGGTCGTTGTACTCGTATGCGAGTAGACGAGAATTTCCGTGTAAGTAGTTATGTACTCGTAGTCATGTACAGTTATAACCTCAACGTCATAGCCGGAACTGTGGGTGTAGTGGATGGGGCTATGGGAACTCATCAGACGCGATATCAAATCTTTAATTCTTTCAAATGATGTCAATTGAACCACAGTGTCTTTATGGAGTGAGGTCGGAGTGGATAGTAATTCTTTTAGTGTCTATTCAGTGTGCGGCATTTATCCAGAGTGGTTCAGTAAGTAAACGAGAATCCCAAACGAGTTCGGTTTGCTTCCGAAAAAATATGAAAATATGGAAATATGATCTCAACGGGTAGAAAAGAGTGGGAAAAAAAAGATGAAAGAAAAAAAAACACTGGGGCCTGAGCCGAGAGAGCCCGCTGAAACCGAAGTTCTTCCAACGGTGATGTTGTCAGTGGAGTCGTTCATAACAAGGCAGAGGAAAATGAGGGAGATCGCAGCCCGAGTTAAATAGGGCATCTCCCATACTTGCCGGTTGACCGGTTTTCGACCAGAATTCATTCAATCGCGAGTGTTGTGCAGAGCAGTTGTTGATATTTTGCAAAAAGGATTATTCCACAGATTCGATTCTGTAGTCTTGCACTGTACGATATACGACACTGGATACGATTCTCGCTATATCGCCATTCGACCATCCCAAGCGACAGATTCGACAATCCTAGCAGCAACAATCTGAGTGCATTCGTGCATAGACACCCGCAGCGCCAATACTCTTCCAACAGCACCATCAGTCATCAATACGATATCCCCATGCAACAAGCCAAAAGCATCTTCTAAACCTCGACTTCTCCAGTGCACCAAATATCTCACTCAACTCCCTTGCAGCTACAACTCCAGGACTTCCGACGTAATGGGTGAATTCGACCTCGAAAAGACCGCCAGCGTCAAACCTGCCTCGAGCAATGGTTCGCGGTCCGAGTCCGACTCGGACGCCGCTCGTCTCGCGGAGATGGGCTACTCCCAGGACCTGAACCGGAATTTCAACATCCTGTCGCTGGTCGGCATTGCTTTCTGCATGTCAAATTCCTGGTTCGGTATCTCTGCTTCTATGATCACCGGTATTAACTCTGGGGGTACGGTGCTGATCATCTATGGTCTGTTGTGGATCACGTTCATCTCGCTGGGTGTCGGTGCCTCGCTCTCCGAGCTGGCCAGTTCCATGCCCAATGCCGGTGGCCAGTACTTCTGGGCCTTTGAATTGGCTCCGCGTAAGTACGCTCACTTTGCCTCCTACCTCAGCGGCTGGTTTGGCTATGCGGGTGCTATCTTCGCGTGTTCCAGTGTCGTGCTGGGTCTTGGCCAGGCTGCTGTGGGCATGTGGCAATTGGGTCACCCTGACTTGTATGCTGAGAATGGCTTCCTTTCTCCCTTGTCCATGGTGTGCTGACTTTCTCCAGTGTTATCGAGGCGTGGCATGTTGTTCTTGCATACCAGTTGATCAACTTCTTCTGCTTTTTGTTCAACTGCGTTGGCAAGGTACTGCCTCTCGTGGCCAAGTGCACTCTGTACATCTCCCTGATTTCCTTCTTGGTCATCCTGGTTACAGTTCCGGCCTGTGCCCGCCCTCATGCCAGTGCGAGCTACGTGTTCGGTCACTTTGTCAACTCCACCGGCTGGGAGTCTGACGGCATGGCGTTCATTGTCGGGCTGATCAACCCGAATTGGATTTTCGCTTGTTTGGACTCTGCGACCCATCTGGCGGAAGAAGTCCCCCACCCGGAGAGAAACATTCCCATTGCCATCATGGCCACTGTCGCTATTGGCTTTGTCACTTCATGGACTTACTGTATCTCTATGTTCTTTGGCATCAAGGACCTGGACGAGCTGATCAACTCGTCCACCGGTGTTCCCATCCTGCAGCTATATTATCAAGCTCTCGACAACAAGGCCGGCGCAATCGTCCTTGAAACTCTTCTCCTGGTGACTGGAATGGGATGTCAAATCGCATGCCACACCTGGCAATCCCGTCTGGCGTGGGCGTTTTCCCGTGACCGCGGAATGCCCGGCCACCAGTGGTTGTCGCGGGTGAACCCTACCCTGGATGTACCCCTGTATGCGCACTCGGTCAGCTGCTTCATTGTCGGCCTTCTTGGTCTGCTGTACCTTGGTTCCACCACTGCATTCAACAGCATGATGACTGCTTGTATCTCTCTGTTGTATGTCTCGTACTCGATCCCAATCTTGTGCCTGTGGTACCGCGGCCGCGACAACATCCATCATGGTCCCTTTTGGCTCGGCAAGTTTGGTCTGGCTGCCAACATCATCACCATCACCTGGACGATCTTCTGTATCGTCATGTACTCTTTCCCCTCGACCATGCCTGTTCACACCGGAAGTAAGTACTTCAAGTCTTCATTCAATCTCACCGATCTAACTTGTATCAGATATGAACTATGTCTCGGCTGTTTACGGCGTGGTGGTCTTCATCATGCTTGTCGATTGGTTTGCTCGTGGCAAGCACTCTTTCAAGCGCGATGAAGCGACTGAGGAAAAGATTGAAATTTCCCAGTAAAGCTTTTTTTATTTCTTGCTGTTCTTTATCTTCCTTGCATTTAGAAAGCGTTTATGCATTTGGCGGAGTTGCATCTATAGAGAAGCTGAAGATAGAGTATACCCAAATCACATTCCAATCACCCACTTGAGCAGAGCTCAATAACTCCAACAATACTCAGTAATTCAGTAACTTTAGAATTACTCCGAGATCGCCTGTGGGTTTTTTGAGGTTCTGTCTTAAATGCTGCCATTGACCAATCACAGGCGGCGTACGTAATGCGATCGGAGGTCCAGTTGGAGTCTCTCCCACCACCTTCGGCCAAACGACTCAATCATCGTCGTTCAGTCGGTTTTTTTCTTTTCTTGCTGGATACCATTTATAACACTCTTTAACCTTCTTTTTCTCCATACACCCCGCAGTCCGCATTATTATCGTGGGCCTGGAAGTGACGAATTAATGCCTTGATAATCGACATTTTACGCATCTACGACCATATTGTATGGTGAACACTGTACAAGAGAAAAAAAAACAAAGAAAAAGAGCGACATCATGCTCTCTGCCACCCTCAACCCCCAGGCTAACAAGATGATCCCCACCATCCCCGAGTCCGGGGATGGCAAGCCTGAAGAGGTCATCTTGGAATCTCGCGTCCTGATTATCATGACAGGCGGCACAATCTGTATGCAGCCATCGCCATCAGGCTTCATTCCAGCTCGTGGATTCCAAGAAGAATGCATGGCGCGAGTCCCTACCTTCAACGATGCCTCTACGCCTACACCTATGGGCGTGGTCGTTAATGCCGCTGGGGATCAGACGGAACATCCCAGTCTGCGCACACCCATGACAGCTTACGGCCGCCGGGTGCGGTATACTGTCTATGAGTTCGAGGAACTGCTTGATAGCAGCTCCATCGATGCAAAGGGTTGGGCACAGATTGCCGAGACTGTGGAGCGCAATTACACGCTCTTCGATGGATTCGTCATCCTTCATGGCACAGATAGTCTGGCCTATACATGCTCTGCACTGAGTTTCATGCTGCAGAATCTGGGCAAACCGGTCGTTCTGACTGGTTCCCAGGCGCCGATGTTGGAATTGCAAAATGACGCCACAGACAACTTGCTCGGTTCACTTGTGGTCGCAGGACATTTCATGATTCCAGAAGTGTGTCTGTATTTCAATAATCGACTCTTTAGAGGAAATCGGTCCACCAAGGTTGCGGCGAGTGACTTCGCTGCGTTTGATGCGCCGAACTGCCCTCCTCTTGCAGTGACTACTTCCATGCGTACCAATGTGAACTGGGATATGGTGCATCGTCCCACAAGTTTGGAGCATTTCAGCATCCAGACCAATCTGGATACCACCCACGTCGCTTGTCTGCGTATCTTCCCTGGTATCAAGCCGGAAATGGTGGATGCGGTGTTGAAGCTAGAGGGTCTGCGCGGGTTGATTCTCGAGACCTTTGGTGCAGGCAACGCCCCTTCCGGTCAGGACAATGCCATGATTAACGTTCTGGCCAGCGCTATTCAGCGCGGTATTGTGATTGTCAACATCACCCAGTGTAAGTCTTTCCCGATGCACAGATTTCAATTGTGATCGATCGCTCATTCAAATCCTCAGGCCTCACTGGCAGCGTGAGCCCAGTCTATGCCACAGGCATGAGTCTATCCCGAGCCGGTGTGGTTGCCGGTCTCGACATGACAACCGAAGGCGCCTTGACCAAGCTGGCCTACTTGCTCGCCCTACCCGATGCCACCCCGGAATCCATCGCCAAGCGCATGTCAGTCTCTATCCGTGGCGAGCTCACCGAGTCGTCCCTGCCTATCTTCCGCCACCCGGATGGTGCCCTCCCCGAGCGCATTCAGACACTCACTTCCATGGGCTATGCCATTGCCCACGGCGACCTTGAGAAGGTCCAAGCCATCACCAAGACCGAACACCACTGGCTCCTGAACGACGCCGACTACTCCGGCAACACCCCCATGGTCAGTCCCCCCCCCCCTTCATTCTTATCTCCCGGTTTCTTGAATTGCATGGATCTAACCCCCTCGCAGCACATGGCCGCCACCTCCCCCTCGGCTCAGATTCTTCATTTCCTTCTTTCACAGGGTGGCTCCGTGCACCTCCGCAACCGTGCCGGTCGCACCCCGCTCTTCCTCGCTGCCAACGCGGGCCTTTCGGAGCACACGCTCCTCCTACGGAAGTCCGGTGCTCACCTGCACTCAGATGAGCGCCCGGCTGCGGAGCTCCTCGCCCGGCACCGGCCCTTTGTCTGGGGTATGGCGGGGGTGGGACCGAAAGAGATAAGCCAGCGTGAGATGGATGAGGAATGGGACTGGGATACTCGGCAGAATCGAATGACGGCTGGCTCAGCGCCCTCGTGAGCCATTGCTTCAAATTGACTTAGAATTGAATACTAGGGTAATTTTACCCGGGGTCCTTGACACGGCGTGTACTCCGTATTATAGGTTCCATATAGCCTTTTAGGGCTATATGACGAAGGATAGAGTGATCACGGGTCCATTCTTGCACCATCCTGTTGTGGACGGAGTCACGCAGTATAGTTGAATCATACACCATTACCGTACACACCCATTGTATGGCGTTACACTATAACTACTCTGTTCACCGTACGCCGTGCGCTGTGACATCCGCGGAGATCTGAGAGATTCACCCTTGCCCCGGTACACTGTACCTGGCCCCTCAGTGGATGAAGATAAGACCATTGGGTCTGGATTTTCCTGGGGTTAGCTCCCCTAGTCTCCGAATATTTCCAGTATGAGTATTTCAATTACGCGTGCCAAGAAGTGCAAACGGGGGCCGATACGATGTACATTTGTCGTTGGGGTCACCTTGGAGGCAATCCACTCCGTGTTTCTGAAGTTTTTCCCTTTCTTTCGGTTTCTTTACTTTCCCTTTTTAGGTGTGTATGCAAGGGATAAGAAAAATTATGGAGTATACTGGATATTCAAGAGCTTACTCTGTACACAATACGTATATCTCCGGTCCGAGGTCTGATCTCTGCAGGGAATGGCATTGCGGGGTTAAGGTACGGAGTACCTTACCTACTTGTAGGTTTCGGCTTAGTGCTCGTATCTTCAATCCTGGATACCCTCGTCTAGCCAGCTATATACGTACACCTAAGTTACCAGAAAGACCTAGACATTTCAAGTGGGAAGCGGATAGGATAGCCCTGGGGCCACCACTTGTACAACGTGCTCGAATCAAGAGCATTGAGACTACGATTGGACCGAAAGCCCAGCCCACTGGGAACCACGTGAGACTACCCCTGGCACATTGTTGGACAGAAATGCGCGATTTGGTGGCCGTACGCTATTTTTCCCTTATATCTTATGACCTCGGAATAGCTTCCGGGACTTGGCAGAGATAGGAAAAGGACTCCCAGGGCTACAGGAATCTAAAGATATAGGTAAATTTTCAAGTTCCTATATTCTAAAAAGTAAGAGTACGTTCAAGTAAAGTCGAGTAGGGCCAAGTATATCGAAGGATCTTCCCGTCTTAAGTTGGGAGCCGAACGGATGCCGATTTACGTAAAATTCGGTGGACGAGACCGCACTGAGGCCTTTTTTTTTCAATTTTTTCAATTTTTTTTTTTTTTTTTTTTCAATAGGCGATGGTGTCATTGCAAAGATCACGTATGATAATATTCGTGAGATATAGAAACATATTGCATTATAACTTCCTAGTTAGAACATATAGCCCGGACTATATAACCACCTTATCTTATCCTCTCTCCGCGTTTGCAGAGATCGCCTTTCTCTTTTTACTCTGAAATCTTTTCCTTTAAGGTCTCGACTCTGGAAATCTACCGATCCACCGCTGATCAAGGTCCAGTAGATGACTGTTTCAATCGCATAAGAGCTGGTTCTTGTTACATACCACTTTGCTCCCCTCCCAAGGTACCCCACCACCTTCTCGCCAAGGCTTACTCCAGATTTTCTTCTTTTATCTGGACTGTATTCCCTCGCATCTGATAGCCCGCGACTCCGTTCTGTGTGCTCTATACCTATCCTCCCTCCCTCAAAAAGATCCACCCGAATGACACAACCGCACAAGACCATCGCCGTGGTCAACGGGACAGGCCGACAAGCGGCCTCCCTTATCCGCGTCGCATCCGCCGTAGGATACTCCGTCCGCGCGCAGATTCACACCCTCAAAGGCATCATTGCCCCGGAGTTGCAACAACTTCCCAATGTCACCCTCCTCCAGGGACCCCTCCTCGGCAATGTCCCACTGATGGATGAGCTTTTCAAGGGCGCCCAGCTCGCCTTCATCAACACCACCTCACAGTCTGGCGACGAGGTCGCCATTGGTCGCGATCTCGCCGACGCGGCCATGCGCGCCGGTACTATCACACATTACATCTACAGCAGTATGCCCGATCACTCCGTCCATGGGAATTGGCCCGCGCCCCCGCAGTGGGCGCCCAAATTCACCGTCGAGAATTACATCCGCCAGCTCAATATGCCCTCCACATTTGTCTACGCCGGCATCTACAGTAATAACTTCACCAGTCTGCCTTATCCACTCTTCCAGATGGAGCTCCTCGCCGACGGGAGCTTCGAATGGCGGGCGCCCTTCGATCCTGAGATCCCACTGCCCTGGTTAGATGTCGAGCACGACGTAGGTCCTACTCTGCTACAGATCTTCAAGGACGGCCCCAAGCGGTGGCATGGTCATCGGTAAGTCGAATCCGCAATTATTCCAGATCACGGAAAAAGCTTCCGGATCATATCATTCGATCATATCTAACGTTGCTCTCGTCGTCTTTTAGCATCGCGCTCACTTTTGAGACTCTCTCCCCACTCCAGGTGTGCGCTGCCTTCTCACGCGCCTTGGATCGCCCATGCCAATACATCCGGGTCCCCAAGATCGAAATCAAGGTCAATATCCCGCCTGGATATCGGGAACAGCTCGAGGCGCTGGAAGAGCTGTTTGGTCGGTGCGATGCGCCCTACTTCCCCCAACCAGAGTTCTCACAGCCCGCTGCGGGCTCCCCTAAGGGTCTGGGACCCTTTGGTGGAAAGGGTGCTGGCGCCGGTATGATGCAAGGGCCAGGTGGTGTTATCTCACTGCGGGTGACCGACGAGGCCCGTTATCTATGGCAGGGCTGGCGTGATATGGAAGAGTATGCACGGGAGGTCTTCCCGGTGGAAGAAGAGGCCAATGGTCTGGATTGGATGCTGTGAGCTTTCCGTCTTGACCTGGTGCCTTTTTCCCTTTTAGCTTTTCTTATCACGACCTGTTCAAGCGAAGACGTGCACAGTGATGTGTTCTGTGCATGTGGTAGCCCTTGCCGTTTGGCCGATGCTTTTCTTTTCTTATTTCCTTTCTCTTCTTCTTCCTCTTTTTTTTTTTTTTTTTTTTAATCATTGCATTCTTGGCGAACGGGCATGGGATATATGAACTTTCATGAATTGACGGTTCTTAATCGGAAGATGCTTGGACATTGAACGAGGATGGTTTACTTTGGATGTGATCTGATGTCTGATCGGAGTCCCTTAAAAAAAAGTTGTTATGTTTTGCTTTCTCTTTCTGTTCTTTTCCAGTTCAATCCTACTACTCCTCGAAAAGGGGAATCTATGGAATCAGATATCCCGACTCTGGTGACTGCCATGAGATCTCTGCTCACATTGACTTCGAGTATACTCGTACTACGTATCCAGCTTATCTCTCGGAGCTCCCTGGCAGGTCCCGTGCGTTCAGGCTTTGCGCGCAGACCGCTTCTTTTATTTAACCGAGTCATGTAATTGCTTGAAAGAGGGGTGTCCTTCGTAAGCTCCGTAAGGAGCTTGAATTGGGTCTGTCATGGCGTATTTTCTTGGACTTCTTTCACGGTTCTAGCTGTGGTTTGTATACCTGAGCTCATCCCTGCTACTTTCTCCCAGGTGCATCAAACCCTGCATTGCCGAGGTCCTGGATCACTTGATATTTTGGCTTGCAAGAACGAACTACTCGTATATGTAATTCTCAAGTTATAGATGTTTAATTAAAGTGAAAGCAATTTAGAGATATTCCTGCCTTAGATATGCCTGGAGATACTTTATAGAGCATTAATGAGCTAGTCCAGTAGTGAATATCATTTTCTCTACTACTGTATGCGTTTGACCACATAGCAGCCCACATTCAATAAATCCAATAAACATACTAGACTCTTCTACAACGGTCTACACTCTCCAGATCCACCAAGATCAGCGTCAGAGTTTTCTGATCTTCTCATCGCCTCAGGCCGGAACCCCCACTATTTCCAGACTTTGTACTCTTGGGTACACAGAGGTACTTGGGTCCACCCCTCCAGTACCATGGAACATGAGGTACCATCAGGTATCCTCAGGTAGCTGGCAGAGCTCCCTCTCACCTCCTATGAGCGCATAGTTTACTTTTTTAGTTCGCTTTTTTTTTTTTTTTTTTTTCTTTTTCTTCCCCTTTTTTTTTTTTTTTTTTTCCCTTCTTTTTTTTTTTTTTTTTTTTTTTTTGGCAGTTGGTTATTTTTCGTGATACCAGTGACTCACATGCTTTTCTCGTTACAAATGATTAGGGCATAGGACGGGTCTCTCAGCCTGGGCCCATGTTGAAGATGTATACTGTTGGGAGCTCTGTATTATGACATTGAGGGATATCCTAGGTCCCCTCTTCCCGTCACATACTACATATTTTTTAGACCTCATTCGAAACGCCAATACAAGAAATCACAAATGCCAAAGAAAAAGAACAAAGTAAAGGAAAATTGAAGCGGTATAGTACAGTACATAGCCTCCGAATATGCAATGCAGACCATGCAGAGACAAAAAAAAAACAGACTCTCAAAAAGTTATACAAAGTTTCCAAGCCCTAAACCACGGGCTCAGTCTTCTCGGCCTCAGTCCGCTCCTGTACAAGCCTCTTCACCTTCCCGACGCGCTCATTAGCCGCATGAATCCTATGGATCAGCTGCGCATCGGAAAGTCCCTCTTCAACCTGCACACCAGCCTTCTCCGCCTCAGCAAGAAGATCAATCTCACTACCGAGCCGTCTCGACTCACGGCGAAGATACTTCGCCGCCCAACGAGTCTCCCGCTCTGCCTCACGCTCCTCCTTGCTCAGCACAGCAGGTCGATCAGCAATGCTCTCGCCGAAGGGTGTGATAATCCGCTCAACAACATGGTGCACGTGTTTGCTCTTGGGCGCACCGGACGAGAACTCAATTACGTCGCCGGAGCGCAGGGAGTTCATGGGGTCCGAGACGAGGAAGTTCGTTTCCTGCGGGTAGTATTTGCGGATGTGGCGGTCCCAGACTGTGTGTCTGTGGAGGACGCGGACGGTGCGCTCCATTCGGCCGACAGAAACCACGGTGCCGGTCTTCAGGGCTGAGGCGTAGTTGCGGAGTCGTGGGGGTGCTTGGGTTTCTGTCCCAGTTGGTTGGGGGGTTGTTGAGGTGTTGCGGCTGGTGATGTATGTTGATTGGAGAATTGGGGTGCGTGTCAGGGACAGAGGCGTGATGATGGTTCGGAGTGGCATTGTTGCCCGGAGGAGGTGGCTTGGGGCCATTGTGGGACGTATTTTTGCTCCTTGTTGTTTTTTTGGAGCTGGTGAGGGTTCGAGATGGGTAGAAGCAGAGTGCAGGATAAATCCGGTGGTGATTGGATCTCCCGTGGTTGCGAGCTTGAGGTGTCGGCGGTTGAGATTTCGAGAATTTCTCGGGGAAACGTGTTTGCACTGTTTGCACCCTTAGTATGCGTCCATTGAAATAAATTGAGCTCCAGGAACTCTAGAACAACATTGACAGATGATGTGTAATGATCGCTTGTTGCCCTTCAGCTTCTTACTAGTTAATCTTTCAATGGAAAGAGATCGAATACGAGCTTGGAAGGTGATGCTTTATACCCGAGCCATACAATTCGTACATCATATGCATGCATTCAACTGCCTGTAAAGCCTCTATTGTAGTTACAAAAAAAAGAACTCCAGTAGACACATGTAATCTAACCTCTCGGCGATTAATCCTAGTTTTAAGAGAGTAGGAGATAGAGAAAAAGAAAGCCCATACAAAAATCAACCTGGGAAAACTCCCATACATTCGCCTCGTACAGTTCGTGTCTAAGTTTCATTTCCCTTCAGAATTACGCGGCGGTTTCTTCCGCCAGTTGCTTGGATTGAAACTTCTCGGCAGAATGTGCTGATATGCGAGTGAGTTCAGTGACAAAGGATTGGCCCCAGAATGCACTGAGAGTGTTAGTAAACGGCTACCTTGGAAAGTCTGGCTTGAGTGACATACCTGGTGTATTTGGAGACATATCTATCCAACTTGGCAAAATTCAGAGCTCTTTGTTCATCGCTCATGGTAACCGCTTCTTGGTAGGCGCCTGCTAATTCTTCTGTGTTCCAGGGGTTGACAATGATACTGCCGTTGAGACTTTGAGCCGCACCAGCGAACTCGGAGAGTACGAGGACTCCGTGACGCTTCTGCTGTGTGGCAATGTACTCGTATGCCACCAGGTTCATACCATCACGGGTAGACGAGACGATGCAGGCGTCTGATACGGCGTAGAGGGCGATGAGTTCATCAAAGTTGACGGATTTGTGGAGGAAGTGGATAGGTTGGAACTCGATTGTGCCTTTGAAGGATGAGCATCGTTTTGGGGGGATTAGGGGGTGGGCAAGCTTACCGAACTTTCCGTTGATTCGTCCGACCAGTTCGTTGACCACGGCACGCAGATTCTGGTACTCCTCGACGTCTTGTCGACTGGGTACAGCAACTTGCACGAGAACAACCTTGCCAACCCATTCTGGGTGGTCGCTGAGGAATACCTCGAGCGCATGCAACTTTTGCGGTACACCCTTGATGTAATCGAGACGATCGACGCCAACCATAAGCTTCACGCCCTGGAACTTTTGCTCTAACATAGCAATGCGCTTCTGCACCTTTTCCTTCTTCAGTCCCTCCGTGAACTTCTCGGGGTCGATGCCGATGGGGAATGCTCCGCATGTGATTATCTTGCCCTGGAATTCAATACCATTGGGCGTTGTGGCAAGGCCTCTGTGATTTTGATTAGCTTGATATTCCAGCGCGGTGGAGATATACTCACAGTAGACGCGAGCAACTGCTGAGGAAATGACGTGTGTAGTCGTAGGTGTGGAAGCCAATGAGGTCGCAGTGCAGAACTCCCAGAAGCAACTCATTGCGCACAGGAAGGATTCGATAAATCTCACTGCTAGGGAACGGGGTATGTAAGAAGAAGCCGATCTTTACATTCTTCTTGCTCTCGCCGATCTCCTCGCGCAACATCTCCGGAAGAAGCATGAGGTGGTAATCGTGGACCCAGATCAGGTCACCATCCTTCACTTCCTTCGAGATAGCTTTCGCGAAGAGCCTATTAGCTTCCTTGTAAGCCTCCCAGGCAGACTCGTCGAAAGTGATTTCACCAGGGTGGTAATGGAACAGCGGCCAGAGAATAGAGTCTGTGCGGAAGCATCAGTATCTTTGCTAGAGCTTCAGAGAGCCTGTGGCTAAGGACCACTCACTGGAGAAACCGTTGTAATGCCTATCCGCCAGGTCATCGTCGATAAAGACGGGCACGGCGCCGTATTCCTCCTTCAGGCGCTGCTTGACCACCGGGATTTCGGGCTCAGGCACTTCCAGGCCGGGCCAGCCGTACCACTGGAAGGTAGTTGATTTTGAAAGGCCGCTTAACCCGCTGACCAGACCTCCTGAGGACATTGAAAAGTCATATTTTCCATCGTCAGACCGCTTGATGGTGATCGGCAGGCGATTGGAGACTAGCAGCAAACGGGCTTCGTTCGTGGGTTCTTCGTCGGCAGACATGATGACAGGTCGAAGATCGGAGTTTAAGTATCAGGTTCAATGGAGACAAGACCGAATAAAGGTATGAGGCTGTGGTTCCGAAAGAAAAAAATGCGATTAGACGATCCGACGGTGTCGTGCGGGGGAAGATCACCAACCTTATGACGCCCGATCTCCAGGGAAAAAAAGGCGAGAAGATAGATTGCAGCTGAACGGGGATCCAGCTAGTTGCACACAATCTCCATATGCAAAATGCAATACAAGACTTCAGGGGAGCTCTCGAAAGGAGAAGGGTGAAAAAAGGGTGTGGTAGGGTGGGGGGGGAGGGAGTGGCCTGGCGTCACACTCTATAACTTGGAAATCCTGCTGAAGTTCTTCACTAACACTTACATGAGGTGAAGATAGAGTGAAAGGGGAAAATTGGAAATTAAGGAAAAGAAAGAAAAGAAAAAGAGACCAAGATATACAGGCATCTCAAGCCAGCCAGTCAGGGAAGCCCATTTCAGTGTTTTTTTCCATGCTTTTGTCCATGACCGATCGCTGACGTCTGACATCAAAATCCCGGTTTCTTCACTCCCTCAACTCTCAACTCTCAACTCCCAACACTAAGTTATGTCTCTGGATATAATGCAATAATAGAGATCACAATGCTGACCGCTCACTCAACATCCATCCCCCATCCCTTTCCACGACCCTTCCCTCATCTTCCAACTTCGCAAGCACCAGGGCAACCCCATGCGAAGCTGGCAAGTGCAATGACTCGGGAACACCCTTGTAAATCTGTTTCACGAGCTCCAGAGGCGTCCATGGCTTAATATCCACCACTGTCCCATCCAGCGATCCAAATTTGAGCACGTGCAGCACCTCGTCTTCGCGCTGCTGTCGGTGCTTGATGTACTCCGTGATACGCGCCCCGGAATTCTCAATCACCGCCCCATGACCGGGGTATCCGCGACCGCAGGCTCGGTCACGCATGCGGTGCAGGCTACTGAGGTAGGTCTTCAGATCTTCGAAGACTGCCGTGCCATGGCCCAAGACATCTGTAGTTGTGAGACTTCTTTCACTATAGTATGAGAGTTGGGGGAGTAAATGAGGAGCGTACTGTCACCTGTAAACATTGCGTTTTCTTCTTCTAGAATAAAGGCCATGTGGTCGACCGTGTGGCCTGGCGTATGTAGTGCCGTTAACGTGGCACCGTCGACGGAGAAGGTCTGGCTTTCTTGGATCTCATTTTGCTCTGGTTCCGGCTGGTGTTTGAAAACCTGGGCCTGCGGGCACATCTGGAGTAGATCCGGGAGACCGCCGACATGGTCGCCGTGCCAGTGGGTGATGATAGCCTGGTGCACGGTGGCTTTCTCCGCTGTCAATACAGTCTTGAGGTTTTGGGCCCATGCCGGCTGTCCTTCTCCAGTGTCTATGAGGATTCTCTGGTGCCCGCGACCAATTAAGTATGTATTCGTGCCTGGTGGAGTTTAGAGGCTGGTCTAAATAGGGACCTCTGCAGGTTAAGTGCTGACCTTGGAGTGTGAACTAGTTGTGGTGGCTTGTCAGCATGCGCTGTAACTGTCGTGCCTCGGGCACACGGATGTATCCATGAATACATATTGGGCATCTGGTATACTCACTTTGCCTGGGTTTCCACCCAAGATTCGGACAACCGAAGCGCTGAGGCGCTCCACCTCTGGGAGCGGCACCAGCTGGGTTGCCATCTTTTGAGCAGTGAACCTTGGAAAGTAGATATTGATGCCTTTGTGTGACGATAACAATCAACCTGGGAAGTATGGGAGATGTGGACCAATGGAGGACCGGCTCTTACTAATAATACTCCAGGTTGGCGAAGTTGATGGAAGTGCTTAGCGGTGCTGGAGCTGGAATATACTGCCACGTTCGGCAGGGATTGAGCTTATTGTCCAGATTACGAAGTACAAACAGTCGGCTCTTCACGGCTGTCAGCGCGGGGCTAAGCCTCGGCTGCGGGGACCATCATACCCAAAGCGGCTTTGACTCTGAGATGTTTCCGAGGGATTGTAGGAAATTTGTAGATGTGAGGGCTCTCGCAGAGATGGCTATTCGGGGTAACTCTTCTCTTGGCACGCCCGACCCAACGTACAACCTTGGAATCTGGCAAATGAACTCCGTAGTGCAGGTGTCCTTGTGAAGAGTGACCATGTATAGATATAACATTGAAAACGCCAGCGTTGGAATGGCAAAGCCACCCACACCAGTTCGAACTTTGGAAGATGAACTACAATTGTTACAATGTCTACAGCTGGAGAGGTTTTTTTTTTTAACTCAAAGAAATTGTGTATGCATGCCATTCCTAACATACAAAAAACGATGTAAAAATCAAAAAGAGTATATCCATTGAGCCCACCCAAATATCGGGAATCAACGCAAGGCCAAGCAGGCCTACAAAAACACAAGATCATAAAATTTTTCCCAGAGCGCAACTCCTCGTATGCCCGAGGGATCAGGGCCACCTTAGACAAACCAATGACTGCAGCACCCTACCCCTCAAGCATGTATCTGAATTGTTCAACACACAAGAGAACGTAGTTTACACAAATGACCGTGATAACGGACCATTTGAAGGTTTTAATGAAAAGTCATGAGAGGGGCAGTTTAAGCCTTGCGGGCCATGGTGTTGAGGGCAGAGCCATCGTGGAACCACTCGATCTGGGACTCGTTGAAGGTGTGGCTGAGGGAGATGTCGAAGGCGGCACCACCGTCCTTGGGGTGGACACGGAGGGTGAGGGGCTTGCCAACCTCGAGCTCAGTGCAGAGGAGGTCGACCTTGTCCTCGGGGTGGATGCGGTCGTAGTCGGCGGGCTCGGAGAAGGTCAGGGGAAGCATACCCTGCTTCTTCAGGTTGGTCTCGTGGATACGAGCGAAGGAGCGGGTGATGATGGCGAGACCACCGAGGTGGCGGGGCTCGAGAGCGGCGTGCTCACGGGAAGAACCCTCACCGTAGTTCCAGTCACCAATGACAACCCACTTGACACCGCGGGCCTTGTAGTCACGGGCAGTGGCGGGAACAGCGTCGTACTCCTTGGTGAAGTAGTTCTTGACCTTGTTGGCCTCACCGTTCTCCTCGTTGGTGGCACCGATCAGCATGTTGTTGGAGATGTTGTCCAAGTGGCCACGGTACTTCAACCACGGGCCAGCCATGGAGATGTGATCAGTGGTGGTCTTGCCCTGGCACTTGATGAGAATGGGGAGGTCGGTAGCATCCTTGCCGTCCCACTTGGAGAAGCCAGCAAGAATCTGGAGACGGTCACTGGTAGGGGAGACAGCGACGTTGACAGCGCTACGGTCGGCGGGAGGAGCCTGGTAGGTGTCACGGCCAGCATCGTAGCCCCGGGTGGGGAGACCGTCACCGGAGGGAGGCTTGAGCTTGAACTCCTTGCCGTCCTTGTCCTTGAGGGTGTCGGTGATGGGGTTGAAGTTGAGGGTACCGGCAACAGTCATGGCGACGACCAGGTCGGGGGAGGCGACGAAGGCGTGGGTGGCAGGGTTGGCGTCGTTACGTCCAGTGAAGTTACGGTTGTAGGAGGAGATGATGGAGTTGGCCTCGCCCTTCTTGATGTCCTTGCGGTCCCACTGACCGATGCAAGGACCACAGGCGTTGGCAAGGATGACACCACCGTACTCCTCGAGAGTCTGGAGTTGACCGTCACGCTCGATGGTAGCGCGAATCTGCTCGGAACCGGGGGTAATGGTGAAGAGAGACTTGGACTTGATACCGTGGTCAAGAGCGTCACGGGCAATGGAGGCAGAGCGGGACATATCCTCGTAGGAGGAGTTGGTGCAAGAACCGATCAGACCGACCTTGAGCTCCTCGGGCCACTTGTTGTCCTTAACAGCCTGCTTGAACTGAGAGAGGGGAGTGGCGAGATCGGGAGTGAAGGGACCGTTGATGTGGGGCTCGAGCTCATCGAGGTTGATCTCGACGAGCTGATCGTATTGAGCACCCTCATCCTCGCGGAGCTGGGCAGCGTAGTCGCGAGAGAAGTCACCAATGTGCTGACGCTTGGTGGCCTTCAGGTAGTCGTACATACGGTCGTTGAAGGGGAAGATGGAGGTGGTGGCACCAATCTCGGCACCCATGTTACAGATGGTACCCATACCAGTGCAGGACAGAGAGTCGACACCAGGACCGTGGTACTCAATGATGGCACCAGTACCACCCTTGACGGTGAGCAGACCAGCGACCTTCAGGATGATATCCTTGGGGGTGGTCCAGCCGGACATCTTACCGGTGAGACGGACACCAATGACGTTGGGGGCCTTCAGCTCCCAGGGGAGACCAGCCATAACGTCGACGGCATCAGCACCACCGACACCAATGGCGGCGGTAGCGAGACCACCAGCGTTGGGGGTGTGGGAGTCGGTACCGATGATCAGACCACCGGGGAAAGCGTAGTTCTCAAGAACAATCTGGTGAATGATACCGGAGCCGGGCTTCCAGAAACCAATGTTGTACTTGGCAGTGGCGGAGGCAAGGAAGTCGTAGACCTCCTTGTTGATGTCGTTGGCACGAGCAAGATCCTTCTCACCTCCAACCTGGGCCTCAATCAAGTGGTCACAGTGGACGGTGGTGGGGGTCTGGACGCGGTCCATGCCAGCGGACATGAACTGCAGAATGGCCATCTGGGCGGTGGCATCCTGGCAAGCAACGCGGTCGGGGCGGAGCTTGAGGTAAGAGACACCACGCTGGATGTCCTGTCCGTGAGGGTCGTCAAGGTGAGAGTACAGGACCTTCTCGGAGTAGGTGAGAGGACGCTGCAGACGGGAGCGAACGATGTCGAGGTTCTCGGACATCTTCTTGTAGTTGATGTAGTGACCCTGATATCCAATGCGTTAGCTACTGTTGGTTGTTGATACTCCACGTCCGGCCTGTGCGGCGCTAAGTCTGGCAGCCACTCACAGTTTCCTGGTTGGTCATCTCGACCTTCTTGTCGAGGACATCGGTGGCGTAGGCCCGAGTTCCGTTGAACTATAGATTCTCAAGTCAGTAACTGCATGTTTTCGGCTTAGACTCAAGCCGGCATTTATGCCGCCACGTGTGGCTGAAGCTTGATGCAAGGTCGCTGCTTACAAGGCGGAACTTGGGGGCCTGGTGTCAGAGTGAATTAGCCATCCATTCAGTTGAGAATTCCCCTTCGACCCTCTGAGCAGCATCGGCCGCACACAGAGCCGAGGATGTAGGGATATCAAACTTACCAGCGCACCGGCGCGCGCGAGGCGGGTGGAGATCATGATGCAAGCTCTATGAGATGGAACTGAACATCCAAGAGCTAGTAACCACCTTCACCAAAGTATGAGAGTGGAGAGTGGAATGAGAGAGGAAGAGATCAAGAAGAAAGAAAAGGACGAAAGCTTGGTTTTGAGTGGGAGAAAGATTCTACGGGGCCCGGGCATAGAGCCGTAACCGCTGTTACCAGGGCGATACAATACAGCGTATTGGGCTAAGCCTCCCGCATGCGACGGCAAAGAAGGGCTGGGCAATTTGATAGACGCTGCTTTAGGCCCGAGAATTCACGAAAATTAGCTCGGAAAATGTGAACCTAAGTGCCCTGGTGACATTGCGCTTTAGCCCCTGGATTTCCTATTTTCGTGCCTCCATGTGAAGCCTTCCACACATATGAAGTGGTTCATCTGGTGAGTTGTGCCGGGGTTGTAACGGCGATACAAGGCATGTGACGGGTATAACTCGGCCACCAATCACGGAGTTTCCAATTACCAGGTTCTTGCCCAGCTCTCGTTTCGGACCAAAGGGCTAAGTACGGAGCAAAGGTCAATGTGTTCTCTACTTTCGGTCCTGTACCCCATATGCAACCCTGCTTGGACTCGGCATGTGGGTTTGACGGCTCAGAAATCCAGCTTGTCAGAGCGCTCCTTGCTAGCTATATTTCGTACCATGTAGCTTCCTAGCTATACATTCAGCCTAACAGCTGCACATGTGTTATAGCAATATCGCCTAGTGATCCAGATATCCAGGATATACTCGTATATTATGGAGGTATACACTAAAGATCTGGGTTAAACTTACCGCATGCAAACGTCATAAATACAGGGAGTACGGCAAGTGACGAAACCGATTGAGCCGAGGCGTGCCGACGGCAATCCCGCATCGCCGCCAAGAGGCCGTGTCTGGGAGCCGGCCAATCATATCCCGGGCGTTTGAATCGCTGCCCGTGGCCCACAGTCAGCGGAAATTTCGTTCCACGACTTTGTTGCTTGCCCTTCACACTACAGACCCGCTTTCCTCACCGTTCACTCCGGAAATCGGCTGATAATCTTTTTTTTCCCTTGCATCTATTTTGATAACATTATTCGGCTGAAGCTCCGAGGTATTTCGGTTATCAGCTACAATGGGTGCTACCAGGCAGATCAAGAACAGACGTCGCACCAGGTACGTTTACCCTCGGCAGTGTCCTACATGGCTTCTTGCTTCTTGTTGTTGCGGTCCGATACTAACCTGCTGGCAGAGACTATGATCAGGTTGTGGCGGACATGAAGTCGCCCCGTCACTTGGAGCAGTACAAAAGCACCAAGGATGTAGAGGACCTACCCGGTCTGGGCAGACACTTCTGCTTGGAATGTTCCAAGTGGTTTGAGAGTGAATACAACCTCAAGGCTCACACCAAGGGCAAGAATCATAAGAAGAGGTGAGTGTCGACACCATCAGACCCATATCGCGTCGCATAACTGACAATCTGGTGCTTTGCCCTACAGAGTCAAGATTCTCAAAGAAGAGCCTCACAGCCAACAACTCGCCGAACGTGCGGTCGGACTCGGTCTTATTGACAACGGCAAGCGAGAAGAAAACCCCGACCTGATGAAGGAATAAACAGGCAACGCCTTCTGGGATAATCACAATCTTTGCGACGCGACCACGATCATCTATTCTGCAAATCGACCTACAAAAAGTTTCCCATTTAGACCGACGTTGGATTCCTTCAACACGCTCATGCATATCGGTGGAGTCTCACGTGAGGGCTTTTTTTTTTTATATTGCCGATATTCGCCGGCTCTCCGTTCTTCCGGTTTGCGGGTGAACTTTGAAACCGCCGATGTTCGGCGAAAACGGCATCCGAGCGAAATTTACCTCCTTAGTTACCATATTTCCCAGTATTTCCAATAGAAATCCCTCAATACCAAATAGAATCTAACCTGAATTGGGTGTCGGTCGGTGCATTTGTTGATTTGGTCAAGTCTGTCTATTCTCTATACCTCCATCGCTCCGATGCAGGCAAATCTACAGACCCACCGTGGATTCTTGGAGCTTCACTTGTGTGCCCCATTGACTGAAGCTCTTCATCAACCATTCGTAGGCTGCCCACTGTTTGGATATTAGCTCACGATCTCCCGCAATGGCTCGTAGGATGTACCTGGACAGCATTCACCATGAATGCTCTGACGCTGCAGACTCCAAGACCTCGATAGAATGCCTTAATTCCCTCGGCGCGGTAGGTTTCTTTCGCAATCTGGAAAGAATTCAGCGTCTGGCGCTGATGTAGAAGAGACTGGGTTTCGGTCCCCCGGCCGTAATCAATAGTCTGTGCCTGCAGCCTCGTCTTGATCATGTCCAAAGGAAACACCGAGCCCCAAGTGACAACGCCAGCAATGCCGCCGCAGAGCAAAATGTTCATAGCAGCCTGGTATTGACCATCATCTTCAGAAGTCATAAATCTTTTGCAAAGTTCATAAGACCAGAAACTGCCGTAGATCAGCAATTAGGTTCTTCTGGGGTATCTGGGGGTGGCGTGTGTTCCGTACTAGAATCCGTAGCCAATTGCATCTCTGGCGCTAGTAATCCCTCCACCATAATAGAGCCCCCTCCATCCGCGCGTGTGAAATATGTCCTTGGCTACCGTCCACGATGACACTTCTGGGCGGCGATCTAGCTGGGCCCGACATTTAATGAACTCGGTCGGCGATGAAATTGTCCAGCTAGCCAGTCCGCCTGCAGCTCCTGCGAGCCAAATGTTGTATGGTGAGACTCCCACCGGATTAGTGGGGTCTGTTACAGACCCATCCAAAGCTTTCAATGACCGGTTGTAAGCCACAAAGAGAATGGCATTGAGAGCTCCATATCCTAGGATTGGAGCAGCGGCACCTAGAATTATAGTTAGTTGATTGATTTGAGGCAAACCTGTGCCATCAAAAGAAAAAACAAAAACCAAAAGGAAAAAAGACGGACCTCGGACAAGAGAGCCTGCTCTTTCCCAGCGACTCAAGTTAGACGACGATGTATCTGCATGCGCATTCCCGGCCTGCAGCCGAACTTTGATGACATCAAGAGGATTGCCGATGATGATCCCAATAGCTCCGCTAAGGTAGCCAGCCCAAAAATCGGCAGCCATCAGATACCCGGCAAAAATATCACAAAATATCTACAATAGAAGAATTAAAGCAAGTTATCTGAACTCCCCCGGTTCCCCGGTGGGGTGCCCCTCAGGCGGAGCATCACGTGCGAGCGTGACATTTTGGTGTTTGTAAGCCTAGGCTGACGCGAGGCAGGAGCGCGTTGAAGATCGAACTTCGCCACTTCCACCACTTTGGGATCATTGCATTGGAGTTGGTTACGGTTTTTTTTCCTCTCAATTTGGATCTTGGATTAATGTGAGTTTGTCTGACCCTGGCCATCGTGCGAGATACTGACATCGCCTCGAAGGTATCGATCACGACCGGGCGGCGACGGCGGCGTTAAGACCCCCTTACAACCCAAATCAGTAAACTCACAGAACTCAATTGATCGACTCGTGAGGCCATTTAAATGTCCGGGGACCGCGACACCAACGCGGGCATCTGAGAAGCCCTCGAGGAAGAAGCGAAAGGTCAATTACGCCAATGCTGATGGAAGCGTCGAAGATGGCGAAAAGCCATATTCAAACGAGGACAGACTCGCTCTGGCAACGAGAGAGGTGAACAAGTTTCCCGTTTTCAAACCGAGAGATAAGGACACGGCATTCAGGTCCCGATTTCAGGTCCCGTTGTTGAATAAAGACACAGACGACTACAACTCTGGGCGGGCTGCTCCGACACTGGGTATGCGACGAGGCGCATCATTTGTAGTCAGGCCGCTCCATGACCCAAGTGGAGAGTTTGCCATCGTGTTATACGACCCAACTGTGGATGATGTCGCTCAAGAGCCTGCGCCTAAAAGCTTGGAAGCGCCTACGGAAGAAACACAGAAAATAGATGAACCGATCATGCACAAAAGTTTGGCCGACATTTTGGGGCTCAAAAAGGACGTGGAAGAACGACCTAAGGTGCCGGTTGTGATTGATCCCAGATTGTGCAAAGTTCTTCGACCGCATCAGGTTGAGGGTGTAAAGGTATGGCACCCAACTGAGGTATCTCATGCAATTTAAGCTGACACTTGATGAATGTATAGTTTCTTTATCGATGTGTCACTGGTTTGGTCGATAAGAATGCGAATGGGTGCATCATGGCAGACGGTATGGGTCTGGGCAAAACGGTATGTCCAGTCGACTCGAAAATGATCGCCGTTTGATCCTAACGCGCGCAGCTGCAATGTATCGCGTTGATGTGGACTCTTCTCAAACAATCCTCGGAGGCTGGGAAAACTACAATTCAGAAATGTGTGATTGCATGCCCGTCTAGTTTGGTCGGCAATTGGGCTAACGAACTGGGTAAGTGATGTGATGCATGGTGCCAATTTTGTTGTCTCAACTGACCATATCAGTGAAATGGCTTGGAAAAGATGCCACAACCCCATTTGCAATAGACGGAAAGGCCACCAAGGCAGAGCTAATAGCTCAAATCAAGCAGTGGGCCATCGCATCCGGACGTGGTATTGTCAGACCCATTCTCATTGTGTCTTATGAGACACTCCGTATGTATGCGGATACCTTGAACGACACCCCAATTGGACTTTTACTATGTGATGAAGGCCATCGGTTGAAGAACAAGGACAGTCTGACATGGACGGCTCTCAATCAACTTAATGTTACCCGTCGAGTCATTCTTTCTGGAACACCCATCCAGAATGACTTGTCCGAATATTTCGCTCTTCTCCACTTCGCTAACCCGAACGTCCTTGGCTCCCAAATGGAGTTCCGAAAGAAATTCGAATTGCCGATTCTTAAGGGCCGAGACGCGGAAGGTACAGACGAAGAGAAAAAGCTTGGCGATGAACGTCTTAAGGAGCTGTCCGGTGTGGTTAACAAATTCATTATCCGCCGAACAAACGAGCTTCTCTCCAAATACTTGCCCGTCAAGTATGAGCATGTTGTATTCTGCAACATGTCCCAGTTCCAGCGCGGCCTATACAACCATTTTATCCAGAGTCCAGAGATCAAGAGTCTTCTCCGTGGAAAGGGCAGTCAGCCATTGAAGGCAATTGGACTTTTGAAAAAGCTTTGCAACCATCCCGATCTTCTTGATCTTCAGAAAGACCTGCCAGGGTGCGAGCATACGTTCCCCGAAGATTATTCGCCCCCTGATGGACGGGGGCGCGATAGAGATATCAAGAGTTGGTATTCAGGGAAGATGATGGTGCTTGACCGTATGCTCGCCCGCATCCGACAGGACACGAATGACAAGATCGTCCTCATTAGCAACTACACTCAAACCCTCGATCTTTTCGAGAAGCTCTGCCGGTCCCGCGCCTATGGCTGTTTGCGGCTTGACGGAACAATGAATATCAAGAAGCGCACCAAGTTGGTCGACAAGTTCAATGACCCCGATGGACCAGAGTTCGTCTTCCTCCTGAGTAGTAAGGCTGGTGGATGTGGTCTGAACTTGATTGGTGCCAACCGGCTGGTGCTCTTCGACCCTGATTGGAACCCAGCTGCTGACCAGCAAGCTTTGGCACGAGTATGGCGAGATGGACAAAAGAAAGACTGTTTTGTCTACCGCTTTATTGCGACTGGCTCAATCGAGGAGAAGATCTTCCAGCGTCAATCTCACAAACAGTCTCTCTCGACTTGTGTCGTTGATTCTGCCGAAGATGTAGAACGTCATTTCTCTTTGGACTCCTTGCGAGAGCTCTTCCAGTTCAAGCCAGACACTTGCAGCGATACACATGACACATTCAAATGTAAGCGATGTCGACCAGACGGCACGCAATACATCAAGGCCCCTGCAATGCTGTATGGTGACACAAGTTCTTGGAATCATTTTGTCAATACTGGCGAGAAAGGCCCACTCAACCAGATTCAGGATCTTCTTTTGCGGCAAGAAACTGGAGAGCGAGATGTATCTGCTATCTTCCAGTACATCAGTCATTGATGACACTGTTTGGCATATTTGGGCCCTTTCGGCGTTTTAATGTTCTGAGTTGAAGTTGAGTTTGGAGCGTAGTATTAGCAACAATCATGATCATATGAGCAAATTCAATAATATATGACTTTTTCACTAAATTTATTTCCATCAAATGGTTGTATATTCCTAGGAGTAGGGCTGTGTCCGGGCTGTCATATACCAAAGGCGGTCACGGATAACTCCAAGACTCCACTGGGAACTGCTGACAATACGTCACACCGCGGTTGGATCTCCTCACCTCCACGTTGCCAACGCATCTTCAGCGACCGGTGATAAATTTTACCTTTTGACATTAACTGATCTAGCTAACGGATGATCTAGACTTTGGTCTCTGCATATTTGCTCGCAAGATCAACCACTCCAACTTGACTTATGAGCTCGTGACTTTGACCGATCGCCGTCCGCAATACTCCCTCCCCACCGTTCTCCAGGTTCTTCCACCATGAGCATTGCTTAACCGACCAACTCGGAGAATAACTGCAGCACAAGCTGTTTTGAGTGATGGATCATTCAATCCAGAGGCTGTTGAACGACAAGCTCTACGACCGGAGGAAGCAGGGTGCTTTGGAGTAAGATCTCTTTGTTCCAATATCGAAGAATAAAAGAGCTGTATACTGATCGCCGTGGTTTCTTTTCAGGCTCGAGAAAATTGTCCGCGATTCCGTTTTCCAGGGCGAGCAGGAGAAGATCAAAAAAATCGTCGACCAGCTTTGCCATGACTATGCATACGCCGTGCATCAGCCCCACGCTCGGAATGGAGGTTTGATTGGATTAGCTGCGGCTTCCATTGCTCTCGGATCTGTGAGCATATGTGGTATTGTGTCAGGAGATCATTTGGACTAATACAGTGGATACAGGAAGCTGTTGCACCATACTTGAGTGAGATTGTGCCGCCAGTGTTGGCATGTTTCTCTGATCAAGATGCGAGGGTTCGATACTACGCTTGTGAGAGCATGTACAACATTGCCAAGGTGGCCAAGGGCGAAATACTGCTATTCTTCAATGAGATCTTCGATGCGTTGGCAAAGGTAAGGAGTGCAGTCTGGTTTGGGATGATACACATGCTGACGTGCAGTATAGCTTGCATCCGACTCGGAGCTTTCAGTGAAGAATGGTGCGGAGCTTCTAGACCGACTGGTGAAAGACATTGTTGCCGAGTCAGCGGCTTCATATGTTTCAATTCTGTATATGAATGAGAAGGACGCGCCGGAGTCAGAAAACCAGGAAGACCCTGAGCTTCCCATGGCCTTCTCTCTCGCAAGGTTCATTCCTTTGCTTCAAGAGCGCATCCATGTGATCCAACCGTTCACTCGTAACTTTCTTGTCTCGTGGCTGACTCTCTTGGACACTATCCCCGATCTAGAGCTAGTGAGTTATTTGCCAGACTTCCTTGAGGGTCTGATCAAGTTCCTCGGCGGCCCGAACAACGATGTGAACGTTGCGACACAAGCTTTGCTTGATCGTTTCTTGCTGGAGATTAAGAGGATCACGCGACTGAAGAAAGGAATCGAAGAAAGCCGCAAGAGCGAGAAAAGTAACAGACATTCCGTTGCTAGCGACGTCATGAGCAGTGCGACGGAGCAGAACATGCAGACCGACGGCGCCAATGACATCGCTGTGGAAGACTCCGCGTCGGAAGCTTCCACCGACGAATTCCTTCAAGCCGATGGAGATTGGATCCCAGGTCAGGATGTGCAGATTGATCATCCAAAGATCCTCGATATCCTAGTCGGCTTTGTCAACACATTACATGGTGAGGTCGATGTTATATCGCTATCGCGATCAACTGCTTACAATGAAACAGAGGAGGAAATGCAACTGACAGCCCTTCGTTGGATTGACGCATTTTTCGAGATCAGCCCTGAGGATATTCTTCCTTTTGTCCCGAGGCTTCTAACGCAGGTTCTCCCCGCCATGTCCAGCGGCTCTGACTCTGTCAGGGCGGCTGCAAACCAAGTCAACACCTCTCTTATGCAGTACATCTACTCTCTTTCCAACGACACAACGGAAGAGCCTCAACCAAGCTCATCAAGAATACCTTTCGCTACGACCAGTAAAGAGACCATCGAGCGACGATCATCTACCCCCGGAATAAGGCCCTCGGAGACATCGAGCATTGATGCAAGGAGGCACACGCGGGAAAATTCACTGGCAGAGACCGCCCGCAGCAGCGGTGTTTCTACACCATTGCCCACAACGGATCTCGATTACGCCGCCGCCGTCAACTCACTTACCCTACAGTTCCTCAACGAAAACGACAAAACCCGGGTTGCAGCTATCGGATGGCTCATCATGTTGCACCAGAAAGCCCCGCGGAAGGTCGTCGCCTTCAACGATGGTACATTCCCGGCTCTGCTGAAGACTCTATCTGATCCCTCAGACGCCGTTGTGACAAAGGACCTTCAACTTCTCTCGCAGATTTCGAGGAACAGTGAAGATAGCTATTTTACCTCGTTCATGGTGAACCTCCTGCAGTTGTTTTCCACTGACAGACATCTACTGGAGGCACGTGGCAACCTGATCATCCGACAACTTTGTACCAATTTGAGCCCCGAGCGGATCTACCGGACGTTGGCAGAGTGCCTTGAGAAGGAAGAGGTAGGGGTTTTTTTTTCTCTTATGTCGAAGGGAATATCCATGCTAAGCAGGTTTAGGATCTCGAGTTTGCCAGTATCATGGTCCAAAACTTGAACAACAATCTCATCACTGCGCCCGAGCTCTCAGAATTGAGGAAGCGACTGAGGAATCTTGACTCCAAAGTGAGATGTCGAACCTATCTGTTGAATTGCCTCGAAGCTAACTAATATTCCAGGATGGTCAATTGTTCTTTGTTTCACTCTTCCGATCCTGGTGCCACAATGGCGTCTCCACGTTTTCCCTCTGTCTCCTGGCTCAGGCGTATGAGCAAGCATACAACCTTCTTCAGATCTTGTGAGTAGCAAGACATTCTCGAACACTAACAGGACTATGGCTGACATGGATACCTGCAGTGCCGAATTGGAAATGACTGTCAATATGTTGATCCAAATCGACAAGTTAGTGCAATTATTAGAATCCCCGGTCTTCACATGTACGTCCCCCCGATATCGAAACCCCCCAAGAGCTAACAATCCCACCCAACAGATCTCCGTCTCCAACTCCTCGAACCCGAAAAGTATCCCTTCCTGTACAAATGTCTCTACGGCGTCCTCATGCTCCTCCCCCAGAGCTCCGCGTTCGCCGCCCTTAAGAACCGTCTCAACAGCGTCAGCAACATTGGCTTCCTCCACAGCGGACCCCGCAAGTATGGACCCTCTTTTTGCTCCTCAATTGTTCCACAATTGCCAAATCCCTTTCGCAAGAAGAATGAGACTAAATTCCCCAGTACCATCCCCACCGGACCCTCGGCCTTTGACCGTGCAAGCGGCACCCGCCTCAAGACCCGTGACGAAAACAACATTCGCTGGGTGGATCTCCTCGACAAATTCAAAGCCGTTCAAGAGCGCACCCGTCGCTCCTCCTCCCAGCTACATCGGAACCAAGACGCCCAGAACCCGACTCTGACCGCCGCGCTCTCCGCTGCCGCCGCCGATGGCTCTCGGACACGACTCCCTGATACTCCCCGTGGTGGGCCCTCTGTGGCCCCGGCAGGCCCTTCAGCCTCCGGTCCAGCCGGTGGACGTGCGTCGGAGCCTGGCACAAAGGGTAGTTCCTCTATCCTTGGTTCCAGTCATAAGCACAAATCGAGTCTGCCAAATCTCGGACGATTGACCATCGGAGGACGCAAGTCGAAGAAGTAACCTGGACTAGTATCTCTTACCACATAGGTCTTTACTGTATTTATCTGAACCCATACATTATCTGTGGAACACTGGCTGTTTCCAATGGTTTCAACAAGTTTTTTTTTCGTTTTCTACTTACCTTATTGATGCAAAATACACGATAGCAATTAACCAAGCACCAAAGCAGATAAAGAATCTAATCAGATAAGTTCACATCTAAAAAAAAAACGATGCAAAGGGCCCTGGAAGCAGACCCATCCAAAATTCAAGCGAAGAGAGCATCCACTTTTGAATTCGGCCACAGACCACACATGAAATTCATAAAAAAGAAACACAATGTCCCAAATATCCCCATGAAAAAAAAAATAAAAACAAGAATTGAAAATGTACAGGAATTGACTCCGCGGATCGTCACGCGAGTCCAACCTCAAATCGAGAAAAAAGGAAAGAGAAGAGAAAGGAAAAAAAAAGCTAAGAACAAGAATCGAACCCCAAAGCGCTAAATAATCCCGAGTATTCCATCATCGCGACGTCTGACTTCCCCATGTTGGTCGCCAAGTCCCTGTGGATTGTTTGGAGACGGTACTGGTGGGTGAACTGGCGCCGGAGTAGACATATTCGCCGTCGACGTATTGAGCGCCCGTGGAGAATGTGCTGCGGTGTTTGCGGCGGGCGTAGCGCTGTTCGAGGCGGTAGAGCTCGAGTTCTGCATTGTCAGTCAGATGTGGTTCTGGTGTTGTGTGTTGGGGGACGTACTGGCTTGTAGCTTGTCGATGAGACCCATGATGTGTGGGATGGTGGGGTGAGAGGTTGGAGGTTGGAGGTTGGCGATTGCAGTGAAATGAGAATGGCTGGAGGCTGGAGGTCAAAGGTCAGAGATCAGAGTCGCGGTGCATATGCAGGGTAGTGCTTACTGGGTTTCACTAAGCGCGGAAGATACTCAGAGGAAGGAGAGGAAAGATGGGAATGGTCGGAGTGATCGGAATGAAAGGAAGTCCGAGATATCAAATGCAAGAAAGAATGGATGGGGTTACGGTTCCCCGGAAAATGAATGTGTCGAGAGATATGTCAGGGAGGGACGAGGGTACGAGTACTTAGGGGGGGGAAAGTGGAGGCCACTAGGGGTCGCGTGAATACACTGCGTTTCAACTTGAGTTCGAGGCGTACGTTCTTTATGTTTGAGGAATTAATAGATGTTGCAAAGATGTACAGATGTTGCAGACATGTTGCAGAGAGAGTAGGTCTCCACGGAATTGAGCTCCGACTACAATAATGATGAAGTACTAACTACAGAGTATGTACTACGGAGTGCCTCGTGGTTGTCATGTTCTGGAAGTTCCCAAGGTTCTGGCCCGCGCACGGTTGGTTTTAATCACGCATATACACTAACCCTAATTGGTTTGTTATCATTCTTGGCATGTTGAATCTCATTCATGCCAGGACTCGAGCCTTAGAATGGGAAGAGAACTCAATACTGCACTGGGATGGCAAACAGCTTCACTCTCACTTGAAGGCTTTATGCCTAATGCCTGTGCCTATAGCTGTTGGACTTTCCTCTCCATAGCCCTGGAATTTCTGTGATGGGGGCATGTTGCTGTGAGTCTCTGGGAGAATCCATATCCAACTTCTGCAAAGATGCTCCTTCCTCGAAATCCGCCAGCATAAAGCTCTGGAATTACGAATTTGACATGGTTTGGAGAATCTTGCGGAAGAAAGTTCGGTCAAGTTTGCCAGAGACCATCGCGGGCGCGTGCTTCACTGGTATATACAAGGTTGGCACCATATAATAAGGCAATGCTTGTGGAAGATATTTCTCCAACCCGACGAGTTGGCTGTGGAGCCCTTTCCCAAACTATGAATGGAACACTGGCATTGGCTGATTTGAGGACCAAGCCCTGAGTAGGGAAGACAAATGCGACAAGATGCTGGCTCTTTGTTTCGTCATCTGGGCCAGAGCTGACGGTAGCAATCTCGACGGCTACCTGTACCTCCCTACCGAGATAGAGATTGATTTGATGCTCAATTTCCGGCAACTCGAGACGCTGACCGCGAAGCTTTACTTACATGCCCTTTTGCCCGAGGAATGACAGGCTACCATCGGCTCTTTGGCGAACAAGCTCGCCTGTTTTGTAAAATCGTCTTTCCTTCCCCCAGAAAGGGCTCTAAATGAATGCGGGAGATGTGGCTATTGTAATGTGAATATAACCATGAGCAAACTCGACGAGGAAATTTTGAAATCCTGAATCTTTTACGGTTGACCTGAGAGGCCCCAGCCCGATTTTTGCCCACTTGCTCAAATCCCCCATCAGACACACCTGGGTACTCGTACAGTACGGATTAAATCGCCTAGCAATTTCCCGCAATGGGCTCGGGGGCCAGGGGGCCCTTTTAGCAATAGCTGAAGGGCCAAGTAAAAGCTATCCGCAACAGGATATCACGAAGACTGAGCTGAGAAACGTGTTGAAAAATGCATCATAGCCAAGAGGGAGCGGGTTGGAAACCCTAGGCTAGTACGGAGCACTCCGATCTTCCCACATGTAAGGGTACGGAGTAGTTACTTAAGTACATTCGACGAGTATCTTTCGTCGCTTCAATCAAATTTATACGAGTAAGATCGACATTCTTCAGCCTAAAAGCCCCGTTCATCGATGACCTCAAACTCTACTTACACCGTCTCTGTTAAGTGGTGGGGTGTAACCCCAGCCCAAGGTCTATTGTACGATACGGAGTACATACGAGTATGTAGATACGAGTAACTACATATGTACCTAGATATGTAGGGGGTTCGTCTGTGTGCAGATCGTTGGTATCCACCTCGCTCATCGAGAAGTGCCCTTTGTGCCAAGAAAATTGGTAAACTGCACTATCCGCACCAGGTAGTGATCTGCAAGATTGGCATCAGGCCAAATGTGACGAATTCTAATATGTATGTAGCCCCATTTGCTAAATAGTCCAAAGAGAATTAATAACAACACAGCTCTCAATTCAGATTGATTCTACGCCATTCCAGCCTTGACTCTCTGTTCATAGATGGAATCACGCACACCACTGCCGGTCGAACTTTAGAACTGGAAGACGTTTAGGGCATACTTTTTTTGTGCCATTCGTTTAAGCCAGGCCTTGGTAACAGTCATGGAATTTCGGTAAGTCAAATCTGAGAGTCATTCATCTACAATACTGTCGATCGCTGTGTTCTAAAGTTGCGGTGGAGTTGACTTTGAGAATAGAAACAAGATCTTATGGAAATGGTTGGCAGCTTGGGTCGTCTTGCTATCAACCATTGCCTGGAAAATATTTCCGTCGAAGTATGACCTACCATATCCCCGGTATACTCAGTCCGCAACTCTTCAGCGGCACTTTTGTAGTTGAATCAGCACTAACTCAATTCCCCCCGGGGCCCTAGTCCTTTTGCGGTGACGGGGCATATGTTATCTGGTAATGAGGACTTCTTTACCTTGGATCTTGTGAAAACGCCAATACACGTCCTCACTGCAAAAGCCGACACACACAAATACCAAGCTCGACGGGATTATATAGCTAGTTCTCTCCAGAACACAGGATTCGAAGATTTTGTGTTTACTTACGGGCCTCATCGACCCGACAAGCCCATCTTCGCCTGTGCATACGGTCATGCGATGTTGATTGAAAAAGCACTCCAACGTCGTCCATTCGTGCCATTTATCATTCTAGAAGATGATGCCGTGCACCTCGATTTGAGCACTACAGTTTCTATTCCCACAGACGCCGATGCCCTGTATCTTTCTGTTAGTCGCTACGGGGCAGAACTATGGGGCACAGACTATCGGAGAGGGTCTGCTCCAGTGTATTTTTCCAACACAACTGTTCCAAACATTGCCCGCATATACAATATGCTTTCTATGCATGCCGTTATGGTTCTAAGCGAGCGCTTTGCAATGAATTTGTTACGTTGCGCGGTTGAGGCCAGCACTCGGGAACGCCATGTCGATCTCCTGGTTGCCCTGACGCAGGAATCATATAATGTGTATGCTCAACATGAGCCACTTTTCTTTCAGGGTTCGCAATTTGGGGGAAATGAGGCCGCCACCAGAAGGAATCTGGCTGGAGAACATGTACAAAGCCAAAGTCATATCCCAAAGTATTTGACACGTCCGAGGTCTGTCTCTTCGGACATGGCTCTGGATCTGACTGGCAACGGGGACTCCGGTGCAGTACTTTACCAGTATAGGTAGCGACGTATTTCTTCAAAAGGAATTTCTCAGCCCATTTTATTTTTCATGCTTGAAGATTCTTCTGGACTGCGTAATATCAAGGGGCTTGTTGAGTGGTGGAGTGCTGCTTGGAGGGTCATGTTTGCCCTGTTTATGTGGATAGATTTCGTGGACAGACCCTTTCTCGCGCTCAGAGGAAGTTGATTTGGTCGTTTCTTCGTTTGTATCTGTGGTTCCTTCTTGCCAGGAGGCGCAAGGGCCTTAATCTGTAACTTTGCTCAAAGCGTTTTCCACCGTTGCGATGTCTCTTTCATCCATTTCTCAGCAGCAGAGAGAGCCGCTTCAGCCCAAATCACTGCGTCATCTCCCCACTTCTCCTCCACGGCTTCAAACAAGAGCGCGGGTGTCAGTACCCTGACAACTTCATTCTCGTCATGATCCTCAATGATATTGGCCAATGTCCAAGTTCCTGGCTGACACAGCGGGAGCGTCAAGCGCCAAGGTCTTTTGGGATTTGGGGATGAGATTGCCAAATGTGTACCGCCAGGATTAGCGATTCCGAAGTTGTATTTCTCACCGCCACCAGAGTTGCGATACTCGGGTTGACGAAGCAGTGATTGTTCTTCGTATCCAGGGATAAGGCTTTTCGCGGAATTTTTGGCTTCCCCGCTTAGACTGTCAGTCTCTTGTAAGAGGTCGAGTATGGTTGGTAGAATCGAAAGATTGGACCAATTGGCGAAAAGACGTGTTTCTGTCAATTTGGGATGATAAAACATCATCGGAATGCGGAAATTATTCACATGCGGGTTGGCATATGGTAGAGTTTGACTGCGATCACCGTCATCAATAGCCATACCACTTTAATTTGTTAGTATGCCTGCTCTCGCATGTAGGCTTCTATGCACTTGACTCACTGATCGCCGCTAATGATAACCAGAGTCTCATCGGCGATTCCTTCAGTTTTCATGACACCAAATAGCTCTTCCACCCATGAATCAGACCAAGCAATTGTATTCAAATAGTTGTTAAGGTCCGAGTGCTCGGTATATTTTCTGTTGGTCCATGATTTTGGAGAACGGAACGGGTAGTGCGTCGTGCTTGTGAGATGACTTAGGAACAAACGGTTGCCACTGACCCGCGATTTGCGAATCAGATCACGGATATAAGGCATTGTAACTGTTTCTGGAAATGACCATTCTCCAGGGTTGATAGTCTCGTTGGGGATCGGGTATTTGGCAGTTGGCAGCTCCAAGGTTTCCTTGGATAGCAACTCTCCCGTATCAAACCCCATCATCTTCATCACTGCTTTTTGCCGATCGTAGCCGATTATAGTTGACTGGACAAAATGTGTGTCCCAGGGTGCAGCACACCACTCCTCTCTGCACCCGTTGCCATGGGTGACTTGGGTCTGGGTGTGATTATTGCCATCGCCGCGGGTGGGGAAAGAGGGAGTAGACCATTCTTTCAAGACGTGAGCAAAGCAAGGTTGGTGAAGGCTGCCAGTTACCTCCTCCATAAAGTCAACCGCAAGAGGTGAAACTCCACAGTGACTTGCTAACATACTTTTGAGCGTGTAGCTGCTTGATGACTCGGCGCCTTGAACAACGATCCCTTTTGCGGGTGTTCCATCATTTTGGTCTCCAAAAATACTTTTAGCAAATGGCGTTGCATCAAGAGGCTCAGCATATGCTTGGTGGGGAGCGCGATGACTGTATACCTCATCCAAAAAACGGGTATTGTTTTGAATTGGGAAGGCCTCAGATCTGGTTGACTCAAGGGTGATCATAACGATGTTTCTGATTCTCAAATGATGCATCTGCTCGGTTGGGATGACTGTCTCTTGATCGTAGGGATTGCTTGCTGCTACAGAACCTGTGACTCTGGTGTGGTTCAAGAAATGGATGCTTTCACTCATTGACCATTCGTTTTGAGCAGCGTTTGGGCGAGATTCATTAGAAGCAAAATTGCCTGGGAAAGACACTGAGATACCAGACGGGAGCCCTGCTTGCGAAGAACCTAAGTTGCCGTGTGACTGAGCAGGATCCAGCGAATTCCAAACAACTTTCTTTTTACAAACACAAAACTGCCTGCGAGGCCCGGTAATCAAAGTTGAAAGGCTTGTGGGAACTGTATGCCTGATGTCATCATATTCGTCTCCAAAGTTCGCGAGGCTGGAAATGGTGAGCAGGCATAATGTGAGCATCTTTTTCACATTTTTCGACTGCTTGAAATTTGACGGTGGAGATTTTGCGTTGACGAGCGACTGCTGTAAAACAGGATCGCTTGGGACACCTAGCTGGATGAATTAGCGGTAAAATCACGGCCATTGACTCTGAATTTGTATTCACCCGTGAGCATGACAAGGGCAGCATTTGCAAAAAGACACGTAAGTGCCGTGACTTTTAGTATTACTGGCCCTCTCAAACTAGTGCCAGCAATTATGATAGCTTGCAGAATTCCAACCTCGGGGTAGCATGAACCTGTTTCTTGCCTAGAGACAGTCCATACAGCTATCCTCGAGACTGCGGGCTCCAGTAGCGCGGCACCGAGCATGCTTGCAATGATTGACGCAGAGGCTTTGGTCTTGGACATTGCAATCATCAGGCCCCAAAATTCAGCAGGGGCATCGAATACCCGAAATAACATCGTCCAAGATGTCAAAAGGCCATGTCCCCAGTACATATACAGCTCCGTCCCAGCACACAGAAATGTGATCACAGCGAGACCTAGGCCAATACCAGTCGCTAGTCTATTTGCCAAGACACCCGACAGCCATTTCAACTTTGATTCCGTTGAACTGCGTGGCCCTAAATCGGGGTTTAAGACCATCCCTCGGATTGATCGGTGAATGAATTGCAAAATGATCAGATCATCGAGGCAAAATAAAGGAAGAATCAACATATCCATTGGCTTCCATTTCGTGAAGGAGTAATGGTGATGAAGATGCACCGATTGCGACAATAGTATGCCGGCGAAAGACAGCACTATGAAGAGGCGCCGACTTGACTCCGACACCTGCGACAGAGTAGTCCCAACTCGTTCCATATGAAATGAAGCCGACATGGTGTGCCAAATTGGAGACAGGAATCTCATCTCACAGAAAGACTAGCAAGTGAAAGTAGGTTTATGGGAACTCATAATTGTTTTCTTCACAACTCGCACTGATCACTTCTTCAAAAATCTAGCTCAGTTTTAGTGTCATGCACGCAGTAAGCCAACATGTACTCAGATACTAAGTGCGTTTTGTATGTAATTATGGATCAAGTCAAGTCGCACATGCCGATCAATACCCACAGTGCACATCCCTACGAGTAGATCTCGACAAGATTCCGTGATGATCCACATCAGCCCTTGCTTAATCGTACACTAAAGACATCGCTATTCTACGATACGTCATATATTGATAGATCGATCATAGATCGATCATAGTGGACCAATTTTGAAGTTACTTGTATGTAAAAAGGCAAGTGGGCTGAGTGGGCTGTTCATCACTCACCTTACATGTATCTTACTCGTACGTTGTTTATACCCTGAGTTTCGTTTCTGAAAGATCGATTGCTGGTGCAGGAGATCGTCCATGTTAGGACTTTGTGTTGTCTTAGATTTTTAGCCAGGAAGAATTTTCTAAAGTTTTACTTCATACCCTGTTCTCCTTTACCCTCAATATCATACTGTTCATCTCGTGCTCAGTCCGCCTCGGGTGATCTTCCCCAGCCGTATACTGAGTAGCTTCAGCAAGATGGCTTCTCCGGGTCGCCTCTTATGCTATACTCTGTGAATCTCCCATCCTCATGAAGTATGACTTGACCGAATCTAACCGTGAATTAGAATCTTAATTTTCCTGAGCTCTTTTCTGATTCATTTTAATCGATACATTCTCATTGCCTTTCCGTTTCCTACAACATTGACAGCATGGCACCTGACCGTATCGGCCCTAGGAACACGCCTGTTGGCGAAAACCACAGGATTGATCAACCCAGTCCAAGCACCCATGGGAAAGCTCTACGGGGTTTATTTCATTCCTATCAGCATTTCATTCAGTATGAATATCATTTTGAACAATGTGGCCTACATGTACTTAAGCGTCGCATTCATCCAAATGTTTAAGGTAGGTTCATCACTCACTTTCTTCGATTATAGGATTCACCAATATTGATTCATCACCTTCTAGTCACTTGGACCAGTCGTGGTCCTGCTCTCAGGGTGGGCTGCTGGCCTCTACACACTCACTCCGTCATTACTTGCCATCGTCAGTGCGATTTGCATTGGAATTGTGATTTCCTGCTACGGAGAGGTCCGCCTGCACGGGCTGGGTCTTCTGATACAGTCCGGGGCACTTATTTTCGAAGCCATTAGGCTGATCATGACAGAGAAACTGCTGTCCAGCCAAAAAATTCGTTTTACGCCTCTGCTCTCTTTATACTATCTGTCGCCACTATGCGCCGGCTTCTGTTGGGCGATTGCCCTCGCAACAGAACGCAATGCCTTGACAGGTGAACATATGCGAGAAGTCAATGTCTGGCTATTGTTCAGTAACGGAATAGTGGCCTTTTTATTGAACATTGCTGCGGTCTTCTTTATCAGCAAGAGCTCATCCCTGAGCCTTGCTTTGTGTGGTGGCCCCAAGGCAATGATGACAATTGCTGCATCTGTTTGGCTTTGGCAAGATGCAGTGACATTAACACAGGTCGGAGGATTTTGTCTGGCGCTACTTGGGCTATTTTTCTATTATATTATCCAGAAGAAACGAAAGTAAAATTGGGCAGTGTGGAGTGCAAAAAAGACATGATTATTGTGACTGGTTGGTTGACCATTGGAGAATGCCACAGCCCTCATGTAATGTTAAGAAAGCAGATCATTGCAAGCATGGCTGTTTTGAGTTATCTCAACCTTGGAAGAGAGAGAGAGAGAGAGCAAGAGAGGAGGTTTCTAATTAAACTTGGGTGCCTCTGAACACCCAAGCACTTGACATATACTAGCTCTAAATCTGTAGGATTTGATTATACCTTGTTCAGCTTGAACCCACCGACAACACCCCGGGCCAAAACAAACAAGAAAGCTCCCGTAATCATCACAACTCCACAGAAGATCTGTAGGTGTGTGTAATCACCATGCAGCACATCCGGCACCAACGCACCGCCAATTGGTGTACCCGTCAGAGCCGCAAACGAAATTACTGCAAAGAATGTGCCATTGCGAACACCCACTTGTCGTAGATCCGAAATTTGTGCCACACAAGCTGGGGCAAGGGAAACAAACGCCCCAGACCCAAATCCGTACAGGGCACTGAAGATGATGGCTGGGACGTTTCCTCGAGCTGGCAGCCACAGTGCAAGCACAAGAATTGCAGAAAAGAACGTCGTGATTACCATCGTATTGTAACGGCCGACTTTGTCGGCGAGGTAACCTGGTAAGGTACGACCAATAATACTAAGAGCCGCGTCAGAAGAGAACGTAATCCCAGTCCTGGGCAGAGATACATACCTAGCAGCGTTCAAAATGGGAATCAGATATCCAGCCAAGCTCTCAGACATGCCATACCGTTCCGCCTGGGTGATCACGAAAGTGAACGGCAAGAACATACCCCAGAAAAAGCAGAACGCAGCCGCAAGGGTCAACGCAAACTTCAACTCAGCCAGCGGCCGGACAAAGCCCAAAATATCGAACGGTTTGGGCTGATGAGACAATCTCGACTTGAGGGTTGCGTTCGCAATACCCAGCATGAAGAGGATCAAGAATGCGCAGATGCGCATTGCCCAGGGGAAACCGACTTCGGGAATGAGTTTGGTGACCATGATAGGGAAGATGACACCACCGAGACTGGATCCGGCCGCTGTAACGCCGAGAGCGAAGGCACGGCGCTTGGCAAACCAGGTACTGACGGAGTTGACGGAGGCGTTGAAGATGGCGCTTGCGCCGATGGGACTACAAATTCCTTGTGCGAGGATGAATTGGTAGTACTCCGTTGAGAGGGAGGCCATCATTAGACCGAAGACGTGGAGGAAGGTGCCTAGCAAGAGGATCTTGCGGGGGCCGTGACTGTCAAAGATTGTGCCAAAGATTGGACCCTAGGTTGGGTTAACTTTTGGTGGTTTGGAGGATGTGGGGAGACTCTTACGCAGAAGAACATCACAAAGGTCTCGAGAGAGGTAATCCATGTTATTGTGCTGGTTGAGTATGCGCTCAACTGGTGGCTTTCATAGTATGCTTGGAAAACTCCAATGCCTGGTGAGGGTCAGTTTTATTGCTGGTTTTCTCTGCGAGTGACACCGACAGTTGATCCAGCCGAAACTGACGAATAGTCCTGAAAAGGCTCCTAGCACGACTAGCCATGCTTGCGCACCTCCGTCTGGTGGTGGTCCGATTGCTGGTGTTGTAGGTGCTGGGGCAGTTGCAGGTGGTTTTTCTGTGGACTTTTCGGGGTCTGCTCCCTTTTCTAGGTCATTTCCGTATACACTGATGGTGGGTGTTGTGGTCTCCGATTTTGGAGAACTTTCAGCAGAGGGAGCAACGTTGGGTTCATCGTGAGCGGCCATGATGCTATATTGAAGGTATGTTGGGACTGGAATTCTTATAGATCTCCCAAACAAACGGGAGTCTCGATGAAACGAGGACGTTGAACAGGGTCGATTCAAAAGGTTATCGAGCTCTTTTGAGACGACTGATTCTTTATCAGTCTATATCTGAAGTTGTTGAGAGTCAAGTTTGAAAAACAACAGCTCTTTTATATTCTTCGGTCTGTCGCGTTTATCTAAGGCCGAAAGATGCGTATTTTTTTTTTCATTCGCCATTACTCAGAAAGATTTACAGACCAAAGCGAGGAAGTATGGCCAATCACACACACCCACGCCCTACAGTGGGCCCGGAGAACCCCCAGTCAAAAGAATTCCCCACTGTGATTTGGCGAAGATTCGGCGCGCGATTGGGTTTGAGGCCGAAAGCCCGAGCCGGAATTGCCCCATTCTACGATTCAGCGGCAGGCCCCCGACTATCAGATGTCGGATGTTCCAAGGTTTGAATTAGGACTTCACTGTTTCGGGAACATTCGGCGCCTTTGATATCGAAGCCTGCAGTCGACGGGAATATACATCGTAGGGCTCTACAGGTTGGAATATGACCTGCATGAAAGTACATCAAAGGCACATTGGTATTCATGGACATGTACTCCGTGCGGAGAACTGAATATCTCCCTAATTCGAAACGTATTCGAGTACATTTGGAGATCATGCAGTTAAATACTCGAAAGGACCTCTGGAATTACCCATGGAAGCCCTGGAGGTCCAAAGAAATAGATCACTGGGATTGGAGAAGATGGTTTTGAGCAGGCATCTACCCGCATACGCCCCTGAACAACTACTGGAACCCTACTGTTGGAGACTCTGTATACGACACAAACTTAAGGAATGACCACTCCATAAATCTGGTAGAATCGAAGGTACGGAGTACTCTGTAGTCAATTAGAACTTTGAAGAGCTATGCGTTCTGACCCTGGAAGAAATTGGATGGGTCACAGGGCACGGCCCGATGCATCTTAAGTGGATGATCTCGGACGGGTACAAATGGACCCCCGAGGAACTATTGCTCTTGATTCGGAATCGAACCTGAAGGATTAGCTCAAGCCATTGACTTTCAGTCTGACCGTTATTCAAAATACGGACCACTCAGCCAGATAAAGTCCCTGTGCAATTCGGAAAGCGGCATGCATTGGTGCTAATAGTTCGGCGGGATTTGATTCAACTGGCGTCAGAGTGTTCCGGGTAGGCTCCTGATCCTATTGGGTGCTCGGCTTCGAATATTGGTCAGGGGGGCCTTTACAGCCTTCAGAGCTAAATTGCACAAATCTTGGGAGTTTGGTGTATTCCGTGCTCCGTTCGGAGTAGCCGGGGTAGCCCAAATCGATCAAAACCAGGCAGCGGGTTTTATATTGACTAAAGGCGACGAGAGCTGAATTGAAAAGAAATGCCCATACTGTACAGGATGCAACGTGATACTCATCCTACCCTAGTCCATACAGCCCAATGCCAAGAACTCCGAATCCCTTCTCAATCTATTTATTCGCGGACAGCTTCCTTTCCATCCTTGCGGATCTGCTCAACGCTTTGGCTGGTACTTTGGATGTCCTGCTCTAGCTGCTCGACGGAACGCGTCAGCTCGGCCATGTTGCTCACGGGCTCCTCGGCCTCTGCCGGGGCAGTAGTAAGTCCGCGAGGCACATTGGCGATTTCATTAACTTCTTGCGCCGACAGAACGTCGTTGAGGCGAGGTCCACGGGATTGCACAAGGATTGTCGTGGGGCCGTCGAATTGCATGAAGAGCTAGACCGAACGTTAGTTGCTGGGCTTGGGTTCAATGGGTCTGCCTTACTCTGTCTCCCCAGATGGTCATTCGGGACCAGGTGCGCAGCTTGTGGAAGAACTGCATGGTGCTCTTGTATGCCTTGGATTCAGACACATCACGAATAACTTTCGCATTTCGTAGTAGTCTTGGCAGAGGCTTCAGTCCAGGAATCTGGAAGCTGAGAGTGGTGGATTTGAAGCGGTAGGGACGAGGGGGATTGGAGGACATGGTGTAGGCAAGGACATTGCTGGCATTTGGTTAGTGATTTCGATGGCGGAGATGGCTTAGGAAATGCATACCTGGGGTGCGCAATGTATTGCTCTCCCTCCTTCAATTCGACGGAGTAAAGCTGTCCGTTACCGACCAGTGCTATTAAGCCCCGGCCGGTGACTTCGGAGCTACCCCAATGGGACAAGCTCTGCACACATTAGCCTGGAAATTTCCACTGGATGATAGTCACGAACCAGGTTGGCGTTGATACTTGGCTTGATAGACAGAGACCGGCCTGTCCATGCAAGCAAAGCCCGTCTCTGGGCAACCATCCAATCCACAGATCCATTGACATTCACCACGGCAAAGGAAGTATTCGGTGATCGAACGGAGACAAGGGCTGTGACGGGGGTCGCGGAGGAGACCTAGCAGTGGTCAATGGCAATCTTTCAGGGGTTTTCAAAGTCCAAGTCGCGCGCATCATACCTTCTGGTAAAGAAAAGGCACACCGACAACAGCCCTGCGGAAGGGCTCAAGAACGCTCAAGGTCGAAATAACCTGTAGAAATCACACGTCAATAAGACAGCCAGCGTATTACAGCAATTGAAAAGGTAGAAATACATTATCTGCCTTGCCGCTCAATCCAACCAATGTTCCTCGTCGTGTGTATAGGTTTTGTGACGCGGAAAGCGAAACCGAGAGAAGCGAGTACGGAGCACCGACAACGTCAAATCGCGCATCTGTGAAGACTCATTGTTAGCCTCCCTCTCAAGAGCAGTCTCCGGGGGCCCAGTTACCTCGAGATTCAACAGAGCTGGGCGTGCTCGCGAGGGGCAGGCTGGCGCCATTGGGCGAAGATCCGGAAGGTGCGGCGCGAATTTGAATACATCGCGTGTGTCGATGGGCTCGAGGGACCACCCGAGTCCAGGACAGGGTCCGAGTTTGGAGACGCATTGTGTTTGTGAATCAAAGGAGAATTTACGTCAGACTCCAACTTTCGGGACAAGATGGAAATCGGGTAATTGTGCTCCCGAGAACATGCGTGCACAACTGCCCCTCGGGATTGCGACATTGAGGGTTTCTTTGGATTTTAAAAGCTTGCGGGTTCCTTTTCTTCTATTCATCTTCTTCGTTTGGACCTTTGGTGTCCCAATTTGCGGACATTGCATTGTGAACGTTACCTCCGAACGCGGCGGCCAAGGTCCCTCAGCTATCGGAGAGCTACGCACCGTCAATCTTCCTCACTCCCACTATGCAATAAACTCTCAGTTAGTGTCTCACACTATTACTGGAGGTCGATAATCATTACAACAAGGAGCCATGCTGCTCAGAGCCGCACAAGCGCCTTGCTGGCGCACGGCGCATGCGTTCGCATACCACCCGAGCCTCGCCGGCCGGCTACGCAGCACGCGAGTCGGAACACACATGCGAGTGTTCACGTCAACCCAGAGTCCTTTACGAAACAACTCGGAAAAGAAAGACCCCTCCATCACAACCATCACAACCAGCCCTGCTACCCCCACTCCGCCACAGCTGGAAAATGCCAATATTGTCCCGAAGCCGAAAGAGAGCGGGGAGGCGAAGACACCACCTAAGAAGGACTTGCTGAGCGAGCCTTTGGCCGCGAACAAGGAACAACGGAAGGCAGACTGGGCTATCATGAAGGAGATGGCCAAGTATCTGTGGCCCAAGGTATCACCCAAGTGGTATTGGTATAGAGCACGGGAAATTAACCATAGTTGTTAGAACGATTGGGGCACGAAACTCCGTGTCAGCTCGGCACTTTCACTATTGATCGGAGCAAAGGTAGGAATTACTTGCTTTTGGCAATATTTGGGCCCAGCTGATTTCAGTCATAGATCCTAAATGTGGAGATCCCCTTCTACTTCAAGAACATTGTCGATTCAATGAATGTAGACTTTGCTACTCTTGGTGGAACTGCATACACCGTGGCTGGATCAATGATTATCGCATGTAAGTGATGCAGGTTTCAACGGTATACTATTTTGTTTTAAAAAAAGACTGGCGACTAATTCTTCTTAGATGGTGTCACGCGAATTGGAGCTACAGTGTTCCAAGAGCTTCGCAATGCAGTCTTTGCTAGTGTTGCACAAAAGGCCATTCGAAAGGTTGCATCGAACGTGTTTGAACATTTGTTGCGACTGGATCTCAACTTCCATCTTTCCCGACAGACTGGAGGTCTGACCCGCGCCATCGACCGCGGTACCAAAGGTATCAGCTTTTTGTTGACTTCTATGGTCTTCCATGTCGTCCCGACTGCACTTGAAATCTCGCTTGTCTGTGGTATCTTGGTAAGAATTAGGTGATCGTGTTGATGCTTCCTCACTAACTATGCAGACATATCAATACGGCCTTCAATTTGCTGCAATCACCACGGCAACAATGGTTGCTTACACAGCATTCACTATTACTACAACTGCCTGGCGAACCAAGTTCCGTAGGCAGGCTAACGCTGCCGATAATCGTGGAGCCACCGTGGCCGTGGACTCGCTCATCAATTACGAGGCTGTCAAGTACTTCAACAATGAAAGTTTCGAAGTAGCACGATACGGCAAGGCTCTGAAGAACTACGAAGATGCATCAATCAAGGTGACCACCTCTTTGGCATTCCTCAATTCCGGTCAGAACATGATCTTTTCCTCTGCGCTGGCCGCAATGATGTACCTGGCTTGCAACGGAGTGGCCACTGGATCCATGACCGTCGGTGATCTTGTCATGGTCAACCAGCTGGTCTTCCAGCTCTCGGTGCCTCTCAACTTCCTAGGCTCTGTTTACCGTGAGTTGCGACAGTCTCTACTGGACATGGAGACACTTTTCAACTTGCAGAAGGTCAACGTCACCATCCAGGAGCGACCCAATGCCAAGCCTTTGCAGCTTACCCGTGGTGGCGAGATTCGCTTCGAAAACGTTACTTTCGGTTATCACCCTGAACGTCCAATCTTGAAGAATGCCACGTTCAGTATCCCCGCAGGGCAAAAGTTCGCCATCGTCGGCCCTAGTGGCTGCGGTAAATCTACCATCCTTCGTCTACTGTTCCGTTTCTACGACGTCCAATCCGGCCGCATCTTGATCGACGGTCAGGATGTTCGCGATGTGAGCCTCGAAAGTCTTCGCAAGGCCATTGGAGTGGTACCCCAGGATACCCCTCTTTTTAATGACACAATCATCCACAACATTCGTTACGGACGTATTGATGCCACAGACGAAGAGGTACGCCGGGCTGCTGAGCGGGCCCACATTCACAAGCTGATTGAGAACTTGCCCGAGGGCTACCAAACTGCCGTTGGTGAGCGAGGAATGATGATTTCCGGTGGAGAGAAGCAGCGACTGGCGATTTCCCGGTTGATTCTGAAAGACCCGCAGCTTTTGTTCTTCGACGAAGCTGTATGTATTATTCTTTGCCGTGTCCGAACATCAACTAACAATTCCTAGACATCCGCCCTCGATACATATACTGAGCAGGCCCTCCTCCAAAACATCAACAGTATTCTCAAGGACAAGAGCCGCACCAGTGTGTTTGTGGCTCATCGTCTCCGCACGATCTGCGATAGCGACCAGATTCTGGTGTTGAAGGATGGTATTGTGGCGGAAATGGGCTCGCACCACGAGCTTCTCGGTCGTGATGGCATCTATGCTGAGCTCTGGAATAGTAAGTCCCTTTGCCTTTGTGAATATGGATACCACTGACTTTTGCCTCTAGCTCAGGAAATGTCGTTGGCGCAGGATGTTGACCTGGAACGTGAACAAAGTCAGGGAGAAGATGAACCTAAGGCCTGAATGATGTATTTGACTTCATTTAGACTGTAAATGATTGAATAAGACGTCATATTTGGCTGTCAAAGTGTCCACGGGTCTAAACAACGCTGCAGCTTGGATGCATACATAGCTCATGAACAGCAAAACAAATTATACATAGACCTCCGCGTCTGGTCGCTCCGGTGACCTTGCTCAACTATTGGATTCAGCTTATAAGACTTTCGACATGCTGTAGGAGCCGTAACGATGAATAAACCGCAGGCTAACAGGACTAGGCGATCGGCTAGACGAATGAAACAAGAAGCATTTAGCCCGAAAATAAGGGAAGTCACAAAAAAAGTCGTTTCCAACTCCTTGCTGACAAGGAAAATATCTTCAACAATCTTGTGTACGCACATATCGCCCCAGAGCCATCATTGGGAAGTAATGAGGATAAAACGAATACCCTAAATATAAATGATTTGGGAACCCTGTCCCTGTGTATGCGGTTTCCGGCCATGACGCTTCATCGGGACGATCGGAAAGGGTCTGCGTTTGCAAGAGATATCGAACTCCCCTTTCAATCATATTTCCACTGGAGTCACTCGGGGGGTGAGACAATAAAGCCATCAAAGCCCAACCTGTCTGAGAAGCGAGAGATGGACCGAGACCTTCCACATGGACACTCGCGTACGACATCACGCTCTCCCCCCATCCACCATCCGGGTTCTGTCTGGAACCCAGCCATGAGACTGCGAAATCCAAGGCATTCCGCACTTCTCTCTCTTGGGAGAAGAAGGCCAATCCACAAATCACGTTGCTGGTGCCGTAGAGATAATTCACTCCCCATCGGCCGTACCAGGATCCGGTAACTTCTTGTGTGCGTAGGAGGTACGCAATTGCTCGATCGCAAGTCATGCTGATTTCTTTGGAAAGGTGAGTGAACTGATTGCCGTTTCTCTGTAACAGAAGTCCGAATGCCTCGAGGACCCGGCCTGTGACGTCTGCCGTGGACGGATCGCAGAGGGCGTCCATGTCACTGAACGGTATCTTATTCAGGAACAGTCGATCATTGTGGATGTCGAATGCACCCCATCCACCATCATTGTTCTGCATGCCAATGATCCACTCCGCTGCTTTGGTAATCGCAGACATTGACCTGGTAAGCTTTGGATCCTGCTTGATCATGGCCAATATTGCAGCGGCTGTATCATCCACATCCGGGTACCATCGATTGATATACTCGAAGCTAAATCCTCCCGCTGTGATATTGGGCTTGTAAATTCGCCAGTCACCCTCTGGTACGCACAACTGACGATCCTTGACCCATTCCATCGCGTGGAAAGCGTGGCGGGCACCCAGGCCGGCGTCACTGAGTCCGATCGTGGTCAGAATTGTGTCCCAAACAGGGGAAGCGCAAGCTTGGATCCTCTTTCCTCGCTCATCGTTCCATGCTAAACGCTCGATGGATTCCAAGCCTTTGCGGACAGGGTCATCATCCAGCGTGTATCCCTCAAGACACAAAGCTAAGACACTGCCATGCATGGGTGGAATAAACCCAGCCCAGTCTCCTTCTGGTTCTTGATGTTCGAGAATCCATTCGATACATTTGCGTCGCGCATATGTACGGGTGGGACAGCTGCGAAGCCCACCAAGCATGTGTAAGATGTTATCTAGAACAACAAAGCCTGTGGCCACGACGTCGGTCTTGAGCATGCTCCAGAGGGATGGCGCATATGGGACGGCCTTCTCTGCCGCATTTACCCATATCTCATCCAAGAAGTCATTTGTCGCGGATCTGCCATTTGGCAGGGCGTATATTGGACGATGGTGCGAGACGATGAGAAGGGGTATAAGGGTACTGCGTGCCCACGATGCGAGCCGATAGATGCTGATCACAGCCGCGTTTGGCATCATGATCAACTCCGCCGGGAGCTCTGGGACCGCATTCCATGGGAAAAGGCCGAAGGTTGCTAGGTATATGCGGGTAAAGATTCGTACTCCGGCGATTCCACCGGCTGAGATGATAAAATTCCGGGCCTTTCGCATGACAGCTGTATCGGGTTTGAGGCCGAGTATCTTCAGCGCGAAGTAAGCTTCCACTGAGGTTGAGATTTCGCCTTCCCCTCCTGGTACTATTGACCATGATCCATCTGGGTTCTGTTCGGACAAGAACCACAAGATGTATTTATCTCGATCTTCCGCCATATCAAGACCTAGGGATTGGCGAAGCATGACACATTCCGCTGTAATGGTGGCATTTGATTTCAGCTCTGCGCACCAATGGCCATCCTCATGTTGACGATGGATAGAATAGTTTGTTGCCAGTTGAAGTGCATTTTGGGCCTCCTTGGCTAGAGTGAGAGTATCGAGGGTATCTGAATGCAGTGCACTCGCACAATATGTTTCGGTTGACATTGTGTGCACAATGTATTGAATCGTGGAAACTGTGAGCCTTCCCTTGGTGTACAGCTCTAGTTAAACCCACCACTCAAGAACAAAATGCACCATCTGTTCATCTGGACAGAGCTGAACCAGAGGGCTACAAAAACCAAGTGATAGCTCACACTTGAGCACATGCGGCATTTTTACCTGCAGGCCAAAGCTCTTAGTTGCCCATGTTAGTAGCTCACATGCTGCTTTTCATCGAGCCCGACAGCCAACTATTCCTCTTCCATGGCTTCCATTACCAACGCAATCTCTTGGCCGTGCTTTTTCTACGGCGTGCCTTGCAACAATAATCTTGGAACGTGCAGGTGTGCCCAATTATGCAGAGCCATGCAACATCATATCAAACTATTGATTGTGATGAAGTGATATCAGCGGGGTTCCTCCAAATCAGGTCCTAGACCGATGTTTGTGGATTTTGGATAGATCTCACCCTCGCCGTTGTACTTCGGACGCACAATAAGATTGGATATCAACTTAATTTTTCTGTAGATCTTATGTTATGGGTGCATCCCTCAGGCCAGCCGGCTTGAACATTGTTCCAATATTGAATGTCGGGCTGATATATGTAAGGTTCGTCACCTGCAGTATCACTTGAGCATATCTGAGCTCGCCATTGTCCATAGATTTTTGGGGATCAAGATAGGCCCAACTCAATGGCGAAATTCTCCAAATTCCCGAATATAGCCTGACTGCCCACACCTGAGCAGGTGGCTTTTCTCTTCATCTCTCTCGTGATTCAGAATCCACTTCCTAGGTACACCCATTAACGGTATCCTTGATTCCAATATGCGAGACTGGAACCCGCTCCTGGTCTGCGTCTGCGGCACATTATTTGCCACATTCCTGAGTTTCGTCGTCCATACATTTGTTCTTAGTCGAGTCCCTGTGGGATTAGAATGGACAGGAAGGCGGTTGGAGTTCCTAGGAGACATCAGGGCATGTCTGCGCGAGTATACCGCAGGAATGACTACAATCCTCTCTGGTTACAAAAGATTCAGTTTGGATGGGAAACCGTTCATCATGCCTGGAACGGGCTTCAAAACTGAAGTCATGCTACCACCGGAACACATCAAATGGGTGGTTGATCAGCCTGAGGATATTTTATCTCATCAGCAGTTTCAGGCTGAAAAAGTGGGCATCAAATACTTTCTACCTGGCTTCGACCTGTACTCCCCGATTGCTGCTGTGGAGGCGCTTCGGCTTCACCTCACCCGCAGTCTTGGGAAAATCCAGGGGGACCTCGTTGATGAACTGCGTCATTCAGTTGACGCCCAATTAGGAGTGGACAAAGAGTGGAAAGAGGTGAACTTGCACAATACCTTCAACAATATCGTCTTTAAAACGAGCGGTCGCGTTCTTTTTGGCAAAACTCTGGCCCGCAACGATAAGTTCATGTATCATCTTACGAACGTATCTATCTGGCTTGGTGCTGGCATCCTCCTGGTTGGTCAGTTATGTCCGTGGCAGCTCAGACGTGTATTTGGCTTCCTTTTTTCTATTCCAATACTCTATCATCGCGCAATATGCACGAGGTACTTGCTGCCCTACTTTGTTGAACGACTCGACAACATGCAGCGCAAGAGACAGGATCCATCATTTGAGTATTCTCCGCCGGAGGATTTGATTACTTGGACTTACCGGGCAGCATTCGACATGAAGGATGGACAGATGGACAGTGAAAAGGAAACTGTGAAAAAATTTACTACTCTGGTAAGGCATTTCGATCAACTGGAATAGAAAAGCATTTAACTGTCTGTCTAGATCGCAGGGGGCATTGGGACATCCACCGCGGGAGCTAGCAACGTGATCCTGGATCTTATTTCTTCTGATCCTCAGGAGAACTATTATCACTTGCTGCGGGAGGAGTGCGATTCAGCTTTTCAGACAAGCGAGGACTGGCATAGTTCAGCCACGCTCTTAAAATTGCATCGCTTGGATAGTACAATTCGCGAGGGTCTCAGGCGTAGTCCTCCTATGCTTCGGGGCCTTTCTCGAATGGTGATGCAAAAAGAGGGTGTCACTCTACCAAGCGGTCAACGCCTTCCACAAGGTTGTATGATCGGATTCCCCGTCCCGGCCATTCACACTGACTCCCGCTACTACGACGAACCTGATGTATACAATCCATTCCGCTTCTTGCCAACAAAATCAACCCCACGCTCCATGGTTGTAACTACCAGTCAAACTTTCCTTCCTTTTGGCCATGCTAGGCACTCTTGGTTCGTATTGCTACCCTGTCGATGCAAAGTCACATAGCTAACTCTGTGCAGCCCCGGTCGTTGGTTTGCGTCTCACTTGCTGAAATTAATCCTGTCATATGTAATTATCAACTACGACATTGAGCCACTAAAGGAAAGGCCCCTTAATCTTATCGTTGGCGATCTGGCGTTTCCTCCTCCGGGGACTACCATCCGCCTACGCCGAAGGGAGAGAAGGGCAACTCAAAGCTAAGACCACTTAACCTGACTTCAGGAGTACTTAAAAAGAACTCAGGGTTATGCTCCATTGGCTTTGGCGTCTCTTAAGTATATACTAGTACTTAAGTATATACAAGGATTGATTTTCCATGCGAAGAACAGACTATGTCACTACTTAAGTAGCAGTGAAGTCTCGCTTCCTGCATTTGGGAATCAAAAGTGAGCTACTTAAGTACTGAAGTATTCCAGAAGTCGTTGAGAAGGTTGAGCTGTACTTAAACTTTAGAATATGTTCAAGCTGAATTGAACCTCTAAGGTAATGTGTGGAATTTTACTTAAATACTTAAGTATGCCCCTGGATATATTTCTATGGAAGTGCAAGGTCGTGTTGCAGAATACGATCCAGCACATTCTAAAGTTTGATGGAGGATTTTGAAGATATCTTCCACTTCAAAGAGCGGAAAACTCATTGTGCCTACTTAAGTACTATGCATTTTCTTGTGAATTTCAAGAGCTGGAGTGTTTAGCAAAACCTTTACTGAGCCTATCACGCTGCATTATCTCTGCCCCGTGCTGAGCGCATAGAAGAGGGGCAACGCCAAGTTGGAATTACAATTTGATCAATAGACCTGAGTTGAGATTCCAATCCGATACATGTGACGGATAATTTTTGGCATAGCACTATATCGGGAAATCTCAAAGGCCAGTTTGATGCCTACCGGGATGTTGAATTATCATAAAGCGTAGGTTCTTGAATAACAACCCAGAAAATAGAATGACTCCGTAGACAAAGCTATCTTCAAGGGCTAGAGCAGACAAGGAAGTACCTCGAGGGCTCTCCAGTCGAGACTTTAGTCACTTAACTTGACTGGAGAGACCTCATTTTTACATCAAATATTTCACAAGCTCTACAGCCTCTTGGGCTAGCTTCTCCTACCCCAATACCAAGAAGTCGAGAATGGGGGCGGAATCCCCCGCCATATTTAACCAGGCAACAGTCTACCGTTTACGACCTCACGATCTGCCAGCCCTGAACTGTCAATACAATCAGAGATTACTTGCATAATATCTAAAGATGACATTTCCCTCACCATACAGCATCTACCAAGGGTTGCGGGGCGTCAACCCGACCACCCTCACGAATGACAACGTCCCAGCCACCAGCCTAGTCGGAAAATGGGTCATAATCACCGGGTCCAACAACGGCGTTGGCTTCGAGACTGCCAAGTCCTTTGCCGCATGGGGTGCAAACATAATTCTGGCCTGTCGCGATCCACCAGCGTGGGAGCGGCATCCTGCCGCCGCCATGCAAGAAATCAAGGATCTAGCCGAGGCAGAAGGTCACCAGTCTATTATCGAATGGTGGAGTATTGATATGGCGGATCTTCAGACCGTCGAAGCCTTTGCCCAAAGATGGCTACACTCGGATCGCGCCCTGGATATTCTTTGTAATAATGCTGGCGTCGCGGCACCCCCTGCTGGACACTATTGGACAAAGGATGGGTTTCAGTTCGTTCACCAGGTTTGTCTTCTCGGGTCTGTCTGCATATTACACAGAGTCTGATTGTCCAGGTCAACTTCCTGTCCCATGTCTTGTTGACTCTCCGCCTGCTCCCGTCTATAGCGCGTAGCGCGCAGCCACGTATCGTCTGCACGACATCTTGCATTCATCACATCGGAGAGCTAGATTTCGAGCACTTCAACTGTGGCTCAGGTATGATTGGCGATCCTTATTGGAACAACAAGCTCTGGTTCCAGATGTGGGTCGCGGAAATGCAGTCCCGATTCCTCAAGCATCCAGAATACCTTCACATCACGATCAACGGGGTTCATCCTGGCTTTGTTGCTTCTGGGATCTGGGATGTCTTGGAAAACGATGGCATCATTGATCGAGCTCTTAAATTTCTTCTGCGATATCTAGCTATTGACCCGAAGCAGGGGAGCTTTGCTATCGTCAATGCTGCTACCAACCCAATTTTTGGGCCTAACCCGAAGACGCAGGGTGTTGGGTCAAGTGAGGGTCGAGGAGGTGGTAAGTATATCAATCGAATTTGGGAGGCCGTGCCAAAAGCATGTTGTGATGATCCAGGGGCTAGGGCGAAGGTTTGGAAAAAGTTGGACGAGGAACTCCAGCTTCAAACTAAGGGTCTTCTAGTCGAATTAGATCTTCCGTAAAGGATAAGACCTGCTCATGTGGTTTGACAATCAATGCTCATAATGATCTTTGCGGATGTTTGTTTAGTATGCAACGTAGCTTGTGACCCTTGGGAGATAAAACGATATCTCTTCCCTTTCCTTCTCTCCCCCTCTCCTCTTGTTCTTTCCTGGTAGCTAACGATATCTCTTCATTCTTTGTTTGGAGCCTTCAAAGCCTCGTTAATATGGGCTCCCAATCAAACTTTATCTTATTTGGGGATTTCGAAATCGAGCCTCCCACGGGGGGGGGACTCCAAGAGATCACGCCCTATCTCGCGTCCCTTAAGAATTTTGCAGCGCTCTGTAGGACTCGTGAGCTCTCATATTTCTTGTCGGCGTATTTCTGTAGCAGCAATATTTGAAGCTGATATATCAACAGGCACTAAGGAGCCATGGGATTATGGGACTTCTTTCAAACACCTAATCGATGAAGACACTGCGGCGTGGAAGAAGTTAGGGGTAGACAGGCCACCTCTTCTCGTCAAACCTAGCGGTTCTATCAAGTCACCTCTTGCCATCCATCTCCTCAATCCGACCTTTCATGTTGCAGACTCACAGAGCACGGTGACCGATGATCCCACAAATCCCACCATCCAAATTCTACGTGAGTGTGGCCTATCATCTGAGCACTGCTTTATGTTTGATGAGATCTGTCGCCGAGAACGAACCGACGATTGTCTCCTGTTCTACACGGAGAATTTGCGTCGGCCACACAGAGAGTTCTCTAGAGTTATCCGGGAAAACATGCATGCAACTGTTGAGATTTGTTTCGGGGAAGAAGTTTTTAAGGAAATCTCTAAAAGCGCACATCTCGTTCGTTTTCCCCTATGGGGAATGTTCAAGTCTGTCAGGCTTTGGCTCGAGTTTGATGATCCAAATTTACTTTCTATGAGGCGATTCGTCATACAAGCCTATCATCCTCAGTTCTTCTCTCGACCCGGTCGCTTCGACAAGTCTAACCCCGAGTTCTTAGAGGCCTATGCGAAACCACAGGATCTGGCAATTTCAATGGCTACTCAACTTGCTGGATTAAGCCATCAAATCAAACTCAAGTCTAACTTTTTTGCGATTCATTTTCGCCGCGGCAGATATGCTCGACTGTCTACAGAGCAGGATCAGAAAAGACGAGAGCATATACGTCATTCGCAGGATGCCTTCAAGAGGGCTTTTCCAGAAAGTTTTAAGGAATATGAGCTGAGACAAGTTCGAAGAAGAGAGGAGCAAAATTTGGTCCAGGGGTTTCAAGAATTCCCCTCTGAACTTTTCATCCATGTACACGCAGATCCCGATGGTCCTCTCACGGAGCAACAGAAGGTAAGCCGGGGTTTGAGATTTGAGCCAAAGCTAACATTGACTAGAGCATTCGGGTTCATGCAAGAAGGGCTCATTTACATTCTACCATCTTTTCTTTCAAGAACTTGCTTGATGGCACATGCCTATATCATGACGAGGAGATTGATGATTTTGTTGAGGGCGACATTGCGGACTTTGAGGATCTTCCAGCTCAGTTCCGGCAATGGCTTCAATCTCAGGATGGACTTAAGATCCACGGTGTGCCAATAACTAATCGAGAGATCCTCGAGTTGGTATTCGTTCTTCTTGACCGAGGGCGTACATCATTTCTCGCGCAATTCTCTGTTGAGTATATTGCACGCGTGGTCGGAGTTTTATACATAAATAAGATCAGCCGCGCTCAATCAATTCTTCAAAGGGCTAGAACTATCCCAGGAGAGCCTGGTGAGGTGGTTCGTCGCAGATGCAGCTATTGTAAAAGGCGTGTTCTCGACGATGGTTTTCCGCTGTTTTCTACAGAAAGGCCAAGCGTCTATCTTATTGAAGTGCCCCGCATTGGCCCAACAGGCGGAAATGGCTGTGGACAAGAAAATTGCAAGGGAAAGCCATCGCTCACGCCTATCAAACGTGGAATGCAGGATTACACACGTATGGAAACGAGGGCCATGGATCAAACGACACGTCGCAAATCAAATTGGAAGGCCCCGCTCTGTCGCAATGGACAATACTTGGAGGGATGCCCCGAGTCAATCCGCGTGCGGTGTAGGGGCTCTTTTCGCGGTAACCATAAAATAGAATGTGGACTTGAAAGAGACTACTGCACGCCAGAATGGACGATTCACTCGCCTCCTCGCCTTGTCCAACCTCGTCTCAAGTGTGTATGTGATGGAAAGACCCGTGATCACTACTTTGAGCCCGTGGATGGAAACGTTCCTTTCATACAAATCACAACACTGAGGAAAGTCTACCAGGGCTTTTTGAATGCTGGTTGTGACTTGGCAGATTACCCAAAGCTTCCCCAAATAATCTTCAACCTTGAGCCTAGTGGAAACTCCAAGAAAAGGCTGAAATCCTATCAAGAAAGATTCCAGGATTTGAAACAAGCAAAAATTGCTTTGGGGAGTCAATAAAAAATTGATTTGGATACACAAATAGTAATATATTTCCCTCGGTCATCCCCCAGGGTTTACTTAAGTACTACTTACTTCGCCGCATTCTAAAGTTGAAGGTACCAATCACAGCCCTGGGTTGCTACAGAAGTGCTTCTTATTTTTTATGCCATTATCATTACTTGGAGGCTTTGGTTCCCGTTCCCGCCCCCGGGGGCCGCCGAGGTCAAGGCCTTGTCTAGTATAGCCATCTTTGAGGCCTTGCTACCATCCAATGGGACGATAGCTCAGTTGGGAGAGCGTGCGATTGAAGTTCGCAAGGTCGCTGGTTCGATCCCGGCTCGTCCCATTTTTTTGCGTTTGATCTGTCTCTATTTTGATTGAGATAGTCTTTATTTTGTATGATGTGAGGTTTGGGGGAGACGAGACAGAAAGTATATGCTGGCGAGCTGTATTGGGAAAAAGGAGTCGGAAAAGGGAATGAATATATGAAGGTTTGGGGAGAATATGTGAATACTTAGATGCCATCTACGGATAACCACATAAGGAACATATCCGTGGACCGTCAGGATGACATATATATTTTTCCTCTCTGCTAACGCTTGTTTTCTTAATAGGGCAACAATATATATAAATAATCCCTTGTTTTCTCTTACTCTCTCTTTCTCTTTCTTTCCTTCTTTTCTTTGGTTTATGTTTTCTTCTATACAATATAATAAAGCTAGTATTAGAATCTTCTAAAGTGATTCTTCATTTTCTGTAAATATTCCCTTCTAAGTTGCTCTATGTCTCACTTCTTTTTCTCTCCTCTTCAATATAAATATTATATGGAACTAAGTTTATCTGAATAAATTTGAATTGTCGTATTAGATGATCGATCTATTAGGTTCAGTAGTTATCGATAAATGGTATATTAGATGGATTTATTATTACTTAACCTTCCCTGCATATATCATATATCTCTCAGCGCTGGTAAATAGATATCTCTTATCACTGTGGTCCTGGTTTGCTGAATATGATTCTGAATATTACAAGATTTATAGATGATGGATAATATTAAACTATAGAAATTAAATTCGAAAACTGTTAGATTTAGTACTAGACATACATTGCTTTGGTAATTACGTAGTACTTTATTTAATACCACACTTCATGCTCTATATTCAATGTTATCCTTCTTTCCAGTTTCTACAGTATGCGCAATGATCGTGAAGGAGAGGCTGATTCTATTGCCTACTTAGGTACCTAGATACGCCCATACCCTGGTAACAAGCCCAGCTCTCTTGACAGACCTGTTTGCGCTTCCAGGCAGTCATCACAGTATCCTCTCTTCGCCAGGCATGGATATTGAATTTGAAAGGCAGGCTGAAGCACATTCGAGAACCCCAAAGCGGTACGTTAGTTTGGCGATTTTTTATTATCTTTTATATGGCGACAATTTGAGCCGCAATCCACCCAAATGGGACGATAGCTCAGTTGGGAGAGCGTGCGATTGAAGTTCGCAAGGTCGCTGGTTCGATCCCGGCTCGTCCCATATTTTTGGTAGATTTTCCCTTTCTTTTTGCAACTCGTATCTATCCGGCTGCTCATCGCACTTGGATTTACATCTAAACAGACAAACGCTTCATATTTATTGAATTGTGTTTTCTTACACCTAGGCAAGGACAATATGTGGTAGCAATGTTTTGCTATACTTTATATGCTATCATGTCCAGTATCACAGCAATGTTGAGTTCTAAAGTTCTACTCCACCTGGGTCGGGTGACTCGGGTCTTCCTGGAGTCTGTACTTATATTGGTCACTGTCCATTCCTAGTATCCCCCTCAACTCCGTACGCCGTTTGATAGTGAATATACCTTTGCCTTCCTCCACGGTCCGTGTATTCTTCTAAAGTTTCTTTTCGTTGCCAGGTGGCTCCAAACACGTTGCCACCCTTGGTCTCGTGGTGATCAGATCTGTGTCGATATATGCTCATTGCCTTCTCTCTCTGCTTTGTTTTTGTTCCTAAATGGCAAATGATCAACACACTCCGCATTTCGTATTTCATTCTTGCTCTTGTCGAGATGGCAGGGAAGCCATGGAAGCGAACCTTGATAATGAATGTCTAAAGTGAGATAATGTTTTGGATACTTCATTAATGTGATATATAGGCAATGTGTTTCTCTCTTTAGATGATTGAGTCCTGAAGTCTTTCTTATATAACTTGCAGCATCCATATATGGCCCATTATCTGCTATTTGTATCTAGACTGTTCCATACGAAGTCCAAAACCTACTATTTTCAAATGGATATAGACCACCCCTAGGTCTGAACAGCAAACTTGAAGGCCAAGGAGCTGTTATGCATATATCAAGAGATGCTTCGGAAGAATTTATGGCGACATGATATATCAACTGAGCACGGAGTAAATAAATGTTATAACAGCCTTACAACGATCGATCAGCTTTTGATCACAAAGTCATGTGTTCCAATGTTGTTCAACTAATTGCATTTGCGTAGAGAGTTGTATTAATGTTCGTTCGTCAGTCTCCAATGTCGTCAACAACCGTAGCTGGAAGGAATATCGATCAATTTAGTTGGATAAATAAAAAAGTTCGTTTTGATGTTTTGCAAAAACCAAAAAAATGGGACGAGCCGGGATCGAACCAGCGACCTTGCGAACTTCAATCGCACGCTCTCCCAACTGAGCTATCGTCCCATTGGTTGATGACATATCCATCACGAAATGTGTCTCAGGAGAACTTAGAGAGACATGATATATCAATTTTCAAGCACAAAGCAAATAAATACTACGTAGTACCAACAACCTTACAGAGATAAACCAGCTTTTGATCACAAAGCTATTTATATATTCCAAGATTGTAAAACTAACTGCATTTGCAGAATGGATCATCATCAAATTTGCGCAAAGAGTTGTACCCATGCTTGTCAATCCTCAATATTGTCAACAACCTTAGCTGGAAAAAATACCAATCAGGCTAGTTGAATAGAAAATTTTCGTTTCGATGGTATGCAAAAAGCATACAAAAATATGGGACGAGCCGGGATCGAACCAGCGACCTTGCGAACTTCAATCGCACGCTCTCCCAACTGAGCTATCGTCCCATAGGGTGCTGGAGAGCAAATTTTGTCACTAGATGAACAGACAGAATTCTGAGGTCTACCCGTGGACCAGTTAACCGCTGGCAAAACCGAATCACTTAACTCTTACTGTATACTAACAGGGGATGTAGCCAAGTTTGGATTTATTTAAAGCTCCAAGCCAAACTTAGAACTCTAGTACCTAGGTAAATATGTGTACATCCATGCGAACCTCGACAAGAGGATGTGTAGGTAGCTACCTGGTGCGATATCTCATCACTGAGCCCCGGACTACTCGGGGTCAAACAGGAGCTTCAGACAACTGAGATTGTGTCTCTGGCATTAATAGAAGTGATCTATTAAAGAAACAAGGGTCAATCTAAGTACGGGATATGGAGACTTGCATGCTATCCCTTCTTCTAAAGTTTCTTTCCCCGTACTGGATTTCTAGTTGGATAGACTCTTTTTCTTAGGAACCTTGCGCTTATCACAATAAAAGTTTCTAAAGAAAGACTTTTCAGACGACCCTTGACGTCCTAGGAGTCATCTAATTGAAAGAAACGTAATGGGTAGCATGGAGTAACTATAGACAGTTATAAAAAGTTTACATTTATAGCCCTGGGTGTTAAAGATGATAATGAATCAATGACTCCCCAGAGTAATGTATATCTATTCGAAATAAAGAGTTAAGAAAAAGGAGGCAAGCAAAGGTATGATTTGAAAAGTCAGGAGATTTGGAATCAGACCCATACAAGTAGGAAACCTATGCAGGAAATATGCAACCCAGTCGCAAATTGATGTACGGGGAAGACTATTGTCTGCATCAGAGGATATAGCAACTTTGAACTGATGTTAGGCAGAATGAGTCAAAAACATTAGTTTTCTGATCTTCATTCAACAGCAAACCACCTAATGCCTTTTTTGAGTCTCTGGATGTTCCCCCTCTGGTTGGTTTAGACCTCTCTTTCTCTCGGCCCAATCCTCAGTACAAACTCCTCCACAATTAATCAGGTACCAAAATAGGTAGGCTCCTAGGTATGTATCATCATTCAAGTCAATGAGCATATTGGCTGTCTTCGCATTTCCCAGAATTATATAATACGAATGAGAATGTTTGGTTCCAATGGGTGTAAACCCCAATCATGCATCTCATCATGTGGGCTTCTAAACTTACTGTTCATTTCTGCCCCAGACTCATCCATTAGGTATTCATTCATTTTTTCTGACGTTGAGCTCGTCAGAGATATTCAGCCAGATAGCAGATGAGCTTTTCAAATTGGATGTCAAGAGATCAATTTGAATCTTTCAAGTTCTTGTCTATGTTTCTGGTGCATGATCTATCTAGGTCAATTTCATATATAGGTTGATTATGTGCCATTGCTAGCCATTGGGGAGTTGCAGCAAAATATGATGAATCTAGCAGTTGTTAAAGAAGGAGGTTGGAGGAGCGAAGTATACACAAAACTAAGTTAAAGATTCATGGGACTGTCGGCCAATAGGTATCGTCCTCTGCAATATCTACTGGTTTTATGTGTGTATATTCAGTCGTAAATTCCACGGCCGAACCCCAGTGTACAAAAGTCCCCAATGCCTAGATTAGTGATCAAACCCGTCCTCGAGACACTTAGAGGGCGCGCATACAACGTCTACCGGTCATTTATGGAATGGCAGGTGGGCATTTTTGAAATCTTCCACTGGTGATTATTTGGGGTTTGTAGGGAATTTAGGAGCAGGTAAGTCAAGAGTATCAGTTTTCGCTCCATCTTTGGTCAAAAATCGAAAAATGCAGCAAAACATAGATTGAACGTTTGGTCACGATTTCACAGTGCATTATCCCTCGATCTTCCGAACGTTCTTGAAAAAGTCGAATTCTCCAAGGCTTTGCCTCAGACTCTGTATTCTGGCTTTTTGATCTCCAAACATACTTCATTACCTTCGGATCAGGATAACCTATTGAATGTTCATACGTGGACTTTGATGACTGTTGGGACATTAAATTCCTATATATACCCTGCATCAGTCATTAACAATCATGCTTGCTATTCCAGATATCATATTATAAAGTTCAAGCCATAACCACGAAGAGATAGGAGCGAACTAGTTGGTACCCGACTATTCATGATAGATAAGGTGTCAACGCCGGCATCTACGATGTGCCCATGGTATCAGCACCTATTACAAAATAGATAGTCTTCGATGGGATACTAGGACTGGGTAGTTGATGTAACAAGGCTGATGAAGAAAAACATAAAATCATGATACTACCAACAAAGCAAATGCAAATTCTAGATTTCGTTCGCATCTTGAAAAGTCAGAATGCGACGAGGCCAAAAATAATGGGACGAGCCGGGATCGAACCAGCGACCTTGCGAACTTCAATCGCACGCTCTCCCAACTGAGCTATCGTCCCATTGGATGGTAACGTGACCTGAAAAGTGGCTACATGAGGAAAGAGCACAATGGCCATTAACTAAACCAAACTAGACCCAAATAGGAACACCTACAGTAGATGTTTTCCATGCCCGCGGGCGACTTGTGTGATTACATATCTACGAGTGAACCTTGGAACAACTTCAGAATGACTGCTATGTGTCAAGCTTTCTCCCCAAAGCGCTAGTGATCCAAAATAAGATTTGATTATAATCGCAATCAGAATAGTGCGCCCAGGTGGCTCCAACAGTACGCCAAACTAACTAGAAGATTATAGACACGAAAACGCCTTGGCACCGTCGCTGAAGGATGATGCATAAAAATAAGAGAAACCACCACTATGCCCCGGTATATTCCTGAAGGTCTCAATGCAATCAAGCCAAAACTCCCTGTCTCATGTTCTCCACCGTCTTCACTCCAACCCCCTTCAGTTGGCTGAGTTGTGCCAGGGTGTTAACCTGGTACTGGGGCTCTGAAATAGCTCCACTGTCGGCATCCGATGTTTGATCCATCTCACAGAGGCAGTCAACAAGTGCCTCCGCCTTCTTGGCACCAACTCCCTTGAGCAACTTGATTTGGCTAACGTCGCGTGAGTTGATGATAGATAAGAGGTGTAGGGTGCGAGGAGAGACGGTTGGGTCCTCGCTATCGAGGAGTTCGAGGTCCTCCTCAATCTGGGAAAGCTTGGCGGATGCACGCTTCTTGTGCTGGCGGCGAGGCATTTCCTCGTCGCTTGAGAGACCACAAGTTTGATCCATTGGATCATCATCTAAATGCTGAGCCTGGCGCTTACCGGGCGTCTTTGTTGGCTCTTTCTTGAGCGAAAGCATACTGCCAAGTCTGCCCTTGGGGGAGGTGGCATTCTGCTCCCAAGCCTTGGCATGAATGCGCTCCTTCAGAGTAGCAATCTTGCTTGCCAGCTTTGTATTATGGGGGAAATGGGGAGCAGCAAGCTGGTACATTCTCAGCGCTGAGCCATCTTCGCCACGTGCCTGATGCTGCTTTGCCATCAGCAAATAAGAGAGGCCTTCAGCACGTGCGTCTTCCGTGCCATCGATTCGCTGCTCTAATTGTTCCAATCTCCTTTGAAGCTGCTCGTTCAACTCATTGATCTGAGACTGCTTCGATTGCTCGCTCACGGCTCGCTGGGCCATGATGGCCTCAACCTTCTTCTCAACCATCTCCTCAATCTTGGCAGCCGATATATCAGCGTGGTGAGACACAGGCTGGGCACTTAGAGGTTGGCGAGCTGCTTTTGTGGGGAGGTGCGAGCCGATGTTGGACATCGAGATTCGTTTTGGCGCTTCGGGTTTGCGGAGTTGACTCGTCAGCTTCGCTTGTGGCTTATCCGAGTAAACGCTGAATGCCTTTACCGGCTTTGAGTCGTCCTTTTCTGCGGGATCCTTGGCAGGTGCTGGCATGTTCACATTCACAGAAGCCGTCAATGCCCGCAAAGGTTGCCTGACACCTGCCACAGATGGCCGAGGGGCTGGTCGCGCAGGGCCCTTGAACATTGGGTCGTTCTCTACCTCGCGAACCTCGATCTTGCGCGTCCGGTTGGCGACATTCAGAGAACTGATTGTGTCAAGCTGGTAAGATCGTACAGGTGCGAGGTTCAGGATCATGACCGTCAGACCGTTGTTCTGTCCCAGGGACAAGATTCTCGTCATCTTGGATTCGCGGTACGGGATGCGATGTTGCTTCTTGTTGATAGCTTCAACGCACTGCGCCAGAACGAACAGACTCTTGTTGATGCTAGCTGATTCGACCATGCGCTCCTTGTCGTTCTCTGTTCGTCGGTTGTCTTCCGAACCTGCGAGATCGATAGCGGAAGCTGTGCTAACGCGAACCTTTTCAGGTGATGTGATTGTGACCTTGACGCCCAGGATGGCGTGTGAGCGGGATGAATGCGCGTTGAGCTACAATTCAACGATTAGCGACAGTTTGGAAGCTTCGTAGATGTTGTTAAACCATACCTTAGTGGCCGAGGTAGATCGATTGGTGTTTGCCTGGTCATAAAGCTGCTCAAACTCCTTCAAGCTTGTACAGGGCTTCTCGCTCAGCCCACAGACGACAGTCTTCCCGCCATTGTCGCGAAGGGGAAGACCAGCCATCGTGCGTTTCTCTGGTGGTTCAAACAAATCGTACACCTTGTCGTTGTATATTTCATAATAACTCAAAGCCACCTGGACTTTTGTTTCTCCCTCGCTGTCCTTCTCGATCTTCTTGCTCCGTCTATAAATACCGCTGAGTAGCCGCGGGATCACACCACGGTCTGCCAGCGTCTTTCCACCGCGCATTGTGTGCGTTTTGCCAGTTCCAGTCACGCCATATGCAAATATTGTCACGTCGAATCCGTTCAGTAGGTGCTTGATTGTCGGTGCGACTGTCTTTCGATCAATATTTCGACCCATGTCACTTCAGTCTCAAAATCACTCACCCTCCGCGTCAAAAAGCTCCTGCTGCGATACCTCAGCAGCATACACCCCATTGAACTGGAAGGCATATTCCTCGCCCTCGTTCTTCGGATTGGGGATGCGGACGACGTTATCTCTGTCCCTCAAAGACGCCAGTTTTTTGTCGGTCTTGTCGGTCTTGTCGCCAATGCTAGACAAACGTGATTTGGAATCTGTTGGGGCGGAAGATCCGGTGCGCAGGATCACATCGAGGTCTCGCTCGGTGTTGAGGAGGGGGCGAACACGCGCGACGACTCGGACACTCATTTTGACGAGGTGGTCATTCAATGCGAAGAAGATTCCAATGCAATATAAACCAGAAAGAATGAATAAAACAGCAAAGAACAGTAAAGCCCTCCAACAAAGCCCAAAAGCAAGAAAACAAAACTAGCTACTTGTCGACATATGCAGAGCCTGAGGTTGTGGAACGTGTGGAGGAGTTCTGAGTTGGTGTGTGCTGTTGTGTTGGCAGGGCAACCCTCGCCCTATGCCTAGTGTCCATACATCAGGATCCAACTAACGCAAGTTCAGATATCAAACCCTGCAAGCGATTCGATGAATGCTGCTATATGTAGCGATTTGGACTGGAAATAGAGAATATTTGCTATTTTAAATTCTATTTTTGAGGTTTACTTAGGCGTACCAGTAGATTCTAAGGTTGTCGCCCAGGCATTGTATATAATAGTTCCAAGGTTAAGACTCGAGATATATTCCACGAATGCCAGAACATTGCATCATTTAATTATATCTCGATCTATTAATATATCCCCATCATAGCGAACTCTTTAGATATCCAAGTCTAGCAGAAAATCGCACACCGTTTTATATTGATCAACAGCAAAAACATCTCGACTTCACAGCGAAACTCCAAGATTTAGTCGTCACATGGTATCTCGCCTGTGATTGGTTGGAGCAACACAACCTAAAGGCCACCGTAGACATCACCGCCTCATCCACACTCCCTCGGTCTTTCTTAGTGAGCTGTCTCTTGCTTCATTATTTGCGTTATTTGCTTCCTGTGATTCACCTCAGTGTTCGTCTCGAAGGTGCGGCAATCCCTGTACGCAATTACTCACCCCTGTTTGGTTGGCGAGAAACTAATTGTGGGGGCCCAGGAGCTGTTACCCTCACCCATCGGAGCCACTCCCTGAATACTGCGATATCCCCCTCCCTAAACACTTCGCACACATATCTCTCCGAACCCAATGGCAGCACCACAAGGGGGCTTCCCTCCCCAGGAAGGGTATGGTCAGCCCGCCTACGGTGTTCCAGAGCCGACACAGTCTCCGGCCTCGGGGCAAGCTGCGCCTGCTCCTGCAGCCGGTGGAAAAAAGAAGAGAGCGTACGCTGGCGAGGCCTTTGACTTCGGGTCTGGTGCAAATGCTGCGCTTGGTGGACAGCAGACAGCGGGAGGCGCTTACGGTGCCTACCAGCAGCCCCAAGCTGCGGGATATCAACAACCAGTTTACGGGGCGGACCCCAACCAGATGCAGCCTGGAGCACCCATCGCATACAGTTCGCCTGCTGCACCAGCAGCCGATGTGAACCAGATGACCCAACAGTTCGGTGGGATGGGAATGGCCGAGCCGCACCACATGCCACCCCCGCAGCCGGCCCAAGCCCCTATGCGGCCTCAAGTTCAGCTTAACCAGCTTTACCCCACCGACCTTCGGTCCCAACCTTTCAATGTCGCGGAGTTGGACTACCCCCCACCTCCCGTTATTCTTCCCCCGGGAGTATGTGCATCTGCGATATTACGCTGTGAGTTGACTTGCTGACGCATAACAGACCAGTGTTTACCCATCCCCCGAAGCCAATTGCCCCACGAAATATATGCGATCTACGCTGAACGCTGTTCCGACCACGAATTCCCTCCTCAAGAAGTCCAAGCTGCCCTTCGCTCTCGTCATTCAACCATACGCCGCTCTCCACGATGCCGAGGACCCCATTCCTGTGATTCCCGACCAAGTTATTTCACGATGCCGACGTTGCCGTTCTTACATCAATCCCTTTGTCACCTTCCTTGACCATGGGCACCGCTGGCGTTGTAACATGTGTAATCTGACCAACGATGTGCCCCAGGCTTTCGATTGGGACTCTACGCTGCAGAAGCCAGCCGATCGCTCGCTGCGTTCCGATCTCAACCACAGCATGGTCGAATTTGTTGCACCCCAGGAATACATGGTTCGCCCACCGCAACCTCTGGTATACCTCTTCTTGATTGATGTGAGCTATGCATCAGTGACGAACTGCCTTCTGGCCACCACCGCCCGCACAATCAGAGAGAGTCTAGACCGCATTCCTAATGCAGACCGCCGTACTCGTCTCGGATTCATTGCGGTAGACTCAAGCTTGCACTACTTCAGTATCCCACGGGATGGGTCAGGAAGCTCGGATCCCCGCATGTTGGTTGTCAGTGATCTGGATGAGCCTTTCCTTCCGATCCCTGGAGACCTTCTGGTGACGCTGAGCGAATGCCGCGAGAATATCGAGATCTTCCTCGACAAGTTGCAGGAAATGTTCCAGCACACCCAAAACAACAGTTGTGCCATGGGTTCGGCATTGCGCGCCGGTTACCGATTGATTTCCCCTGTCGGTGGAAAAATGACAGTTCTGAGCTCGTCCTTGCCTAACATTGGCCACGGAGCGCTCACTATGAGAGAAGACAAGAAGGTGCTAGGTACCAGCAAAGAGTCAAGTTTGCTTCAAACGGGAAATTCTTTCTACAAGAGCTTTGCGGTCGAGTGCTCAAAAGCACAAGTGTCTGTCGATATGTTCCTGTTCTCCTCTCAATATCAGGACGTTGCATCTCTTAGCAACCTGCCCCGCTACACTGGTGGTCAAACATACTTCTACCCCGGGTGGAACGCCGCGCGGGGCGAGGATGCTATGAAGTTTGCTTGCGAGTTCTCCGATTATCTGTCCTCGGAGATTGGTTTGGAAGCCGTTCTCCGCGTGCGCGCCACCACTGGTCTGCGCATGAACACCTTCTACGGAAACTTCTTCAACCGTAGCTCCGATCTCTGTGCATTCCCAGCCTTCCCCCGTGATCAGGCTTATGTGGTTGAAGTTGCCATCGATGAGACTGTCACTAAGCCGGTCGTCTGCATGCAGGCTGCTGTTCTCCACACTACCTGCAATGGTGAACGCCGCATCCGCGTCTTGACCCTGGCTCTGCCAACGACCCAGACCCTAGCAGATATCTTCGCCTCGGCCGACCAGCAAGCCATTGCCACATTCTTCAGCCACAAGGCCGTTGAGCGTACTTTGAGCAGCGGCCTTGAGCCTGCTCGCGAGGCTCTCCAGGCAAAGATTGTTGAGCTCCTGCAGACCTACCGCAAGGAACTCGCCGGTGGTAGCGTCAGCGGTGGCGGCCTTCAATTCCCTGCCAACTTGCGGGCTTTGCCCGTCCTGTTCCTCGCAATGATCAAGAACGTAAGTTCTCCTCATTCTGATATTTCACCATTCCCATATTAACCCTGTTTTAGCTTGGTCTGCGAAAGTCTGCTCAGATCCCGACGGATATGAGATCCGCTGCCCTGTGCCTTCTCTCGACCCTCCCTCTCCCTCTCCTCATTCAGTACATCTACCCGCGGATGTACTCCCTCCATGACATGCCCGACAATGCGGGTGTGCCTGATGAACAAACTGGGGAAATTATCCTGCCCCCATCTATCAACCTGTCCTCGGGTCGTCTCGTTCCCTTCGGCCTGTACCTCATTGACGATGGACAGACCCAGTTCCTCTGGGTTGGCCGCGATGCTGTGCCCCAGCTGATTGAGGATGTCTTCGGTGTTCCCGACAAGTCCCAACTGCGCGTGGGCAAGCAGACTCTCCCGGAGGTTGATAATGAGTTCAGCCAGCGTGTGCGGGCCGTGGTTGAGAAGAGCCGCGACCATCGTGCCAAGGGTGTGGGCAGCATGATTGTGCCTCATTTGTACGTGGTCCGTGAGGATGGCGAGCCTGGTCTGCGCCTCTGGGCCCAGACCATGTTGGTTGAGGACCGTGCCGATCAAAGTGTCAGCTTGGATCAATGGATGGGTTCTTTGCAGGAGAAGGTTTGAGTCCTTTGACCACGGTGACGGTTCGCACTGACGAGTATATGTTCAGGTCCAGTAAATTGGCGGGTTCATTGCTTGAGACCGCCTGTACCATTACGTTGGGGAAGATTGCGTTTGGTTTTTATCATGGCGGGTATATTTGGACTTATCTAGTAGATCGCATTGGCGATAGACTAATCGCATCTCTGACTTCGTTTTTTTTCTAGTTATCTTCTTTTCTTTTTCCCCACTCCCTTTTCCTGATTCTTCTTTTTTTGGGATGGGCTTCCAAAAATACTCTGGTATATGAATACTCCATAGGGTGTACGGAGTAGTGGTAGGGATGTTTTACATGGAAGCTAGTCTTTGGCTATAGTCCAATAGTTTGATTCTCTCGTAGATGGTGAAACCCGGCAGTGCCACCCTGCTCCAATCAGGATGAAACCAGCTCCCAACTCAGTGGAGAAGTGATTGTGACCAGTTTCGGCGCTCACGCAGTAGCGCCGTCGAGGGAGCGAAACGATGATGCGACAGGCACTTCTTTTGGCGCTGTGGCGGGGATCAACTGAGTACCTTCAGATGACCTAGTCAATGTATGGTAGACCCCCCATAACATTAGGTTCCCCTCAAGTAGCTGTGGAGAATAACCACGATCCAAGGTTCAAGGAGCATCAAACCAAAGAAAACGGAACAGGGGGGAAATAGAGACCGCTTTGCACTTCCTACCTTCACACGTACACGTCAAAAGTGTCAGTCTTTCCTTTCACTGTCTCTCCACTGACTTGGGTTTCACCCTCACGAAATTGCCGGAGCAGCCTCAAAGCTCCCTGCCCCACCTTACGGCCCGTGAGAGAGAGTCCCGCTGTTTCTCCAGGTTCACCTCTTCGCTTCTCTTCAACCTCCGACTCCTATCCTTCCCTTTCCTCTCCCTCTTTCTTTTTTTCTTGTCCCAGAGAAAAGACGAGAGGTAAGTGCCCAGAAGCCATGGTGATCCGCGTCAGGGGATGACCCCGCTTCGGGGCACCTCGGCCATGCACATCACCATCGATCCCACTAACATGCCACGTTCTCAGACTCCGATCGCATTTGATACCGCGACCTAACACTGAGCCTCGCGCACCTCCCTCCCCGTTTTCGGTCTGGACGCCGCACCTACTATCATCCCCCCCCGGGAGCTTGGTGTGTTATTTGCTACTTCTCCAAAGCTAAAGTTGAGAGTTTGAGCACGACAATCCAATTCGCCTGCAGCGCAAACGAAAGTAAGCTTTCTTTCCCGACTTCCCTGGATGCGTTTGCTTCTGAGCTCGCGATCGAGCTCGGATTTGTGAGCTCTTGTTCTCTGTCTTGCCCCGAGTTGCCAATTGCCAAATCGTACACTTTCCGTCTCTGTGTTTTCAGCCCGTTTCCCGTTCGTCGTTTCCCGTTTGAACCCATGGATTGCATTCGGCCTTTACTTGCTTTCTTCCCGAGGATTTTCAATGCTGACAATCGCCAAAAGGCTAAGCTTCTCAAAAAGCCTAGCAAACCAGAGATCATGGGACAACAAGGCCCCCCAGCGGGAGGATCCCGGAAGATCTCCTTCAACGTTTCCGATCAATATGAAATCCAAGATGTTATCGGTGAGGGTGCTTACGGTGTCGTATGGTAAGTGATGTCGACTTTCCTTGGCGACTCGTCTGACAACAGACAGCTCCGCTATCCACAAGCCCTCCGGCCAGAAGGTGGCAATCAAGAAGATTACGCCATTCGACCACTCCATGTTCTGTCTACGAACACTCCGTGAGATGAAGTTGCTCCGATACTTTAACCACGAAAACATTATCTCTATTCTCGATATTCAACGACCCCGCAACTACGAAAGCTTCACGGAAGTTTATCTGATTCAAGTACGCCACCTGTCTGCGGAGACATGACAGAGACGCAGGTTACTAACGGTCTACAGGAGCTGATGGAGACCGACATGCACCGAGTCATTCGTACACAAGATCTCTCAGATGACCACTGCCAATACTTTATCTACCAAACCCTGCGAGCCCTGAAGGCAATGCATTCAGCCAATGTTCTTCACCGAGATCTGAAGCCATCGAACCTGCTTCTCAATGCCAACTGCGACCTGAAAGTCTGTGACTTCGGTCTGGCCCGTTCGGCCGCCTCTACCGATGACAACTCCGGTTTCATGACAGAATACGTGGCCACACGTTGGTACCGCGCACCCGAGATCATGTTGACATTCAAAGAATACACAAAGGCCATCGATGTGTGGAGTGTCGGCTGCATATTGGCCGAAATGTTGAGCGGGAAGCCTCTCTTCCCAGGAAAGGATTGTAAGATTCCACTTGGATTATTAGTGTTCGCGACTAACAACCGTAGATCACCATCAGTTGACCCTTATCCTCGATGTTCTCGGCACACCAACCATGGAGGATTACTACGGCATCAAATCCCGCCGTGCACGCGAATACATTCGCTCCCTCCCCTTTAAGAAGAAGATTCCCTTCCGTGCAATCTTCCCCAAGAGCAACGACATGGCCCTGGATTTGCTCGAGAAGCTCCTTGCTTTCAACCCCGCCAAGCGTATCTCCGTCGAAGATGCCCTACGTCACCCATATCTCGAGCCCTACCACGATCCCGAAGATGAGCCTACCGCGCCACCTATTCCCGATGGGTTCTTTGATTTCGACAAAAACAAGGATGCTTTGAGCAAGGAGCAATTGAAGCGTAAGATCTTGTCCTCTCATTAATTTGTTGCGCAATCGTACTAACTGGCCTCTAGTCTTTATCTACGAGGAAATCATGCGCTAATGGTTCTACTGGCCGGAGAGATATCTGTGATTCTTGCACGCAATTGACCTTAACAGCGTGATGTGATTGATACATGGTAGAATTAGGTAACTCCAATGTGATTATGAGCAGAAGTAAACTGTTCTGTCAGCTCCAAGGCCGTACTTGTAGTCTTTATATCTGTATACCATCGAGCTATCTACATACAGTAAGTACACTTACTCCATGAACCGTTCGATGCCCTCTAAAACCCCCTCAGGAGTAGGCCTCTCTGCACAAACATCCGCCTCAAACCCAAACTCATTCCTCAAATGATCCCTTGTCGTAGGCCCAATAGTAGCAACAAACACCTTCTCCCGTCGCACACCTGAAGCAAATGGCCCAAGTCCAAGGACCCTCAACATAGCCTCACACCCCGTCGGTGAAAACACAACCACCCACATAACACCCTCATGGCACTTCTGTATCAAATCCCGGAAATCACCTTCAAAACTCTCCATCACCCCAGTCTCATATACAACCAACTCTTCCACATCTATCCTCTTCTCCCCCAGAGACTCATCCATTAACGTCTTGGGAATAATATCCCGTCGCACCTCACCAACAAGGAAGAGCAGTCCCGGCTTCTCAGCCCCAGGATACAACCCGTTATAATGCTCCAACATCATCTGCGCCAGATTGGCTCCCGTCCCGGCGTCGGCGCCGTAGATCGTCGCATGCGGTAGATGCTTATCGCGTAGCGTTGTAAGTGTCCGGGCTGTCGCTGGTCCAACAGTGTATAGAACTAGTGGGTCGGAGGGGACGTTGAAGACTGCGTTTCGTTAGCTAGGTGCGTGGTGGGTATGGTGGGATTAAAGCGCACCATCTGCATTCTCAATCATGGAAGCAAAGCCTTCCACTGCGCGCTGGCTGGTGAAGATCAGCCCGCCATATTTTTTGACATGGTCTTGTGTTGTGATGAATGCGCCACTGTTGAAGAGGTGTTGGACCTCGGCTAGGTTTTGTTTGTGGAAGCGATGTTCGAGGACTGGGACGAAGGTCGGTGTGTAGTTTTTTGATGTGAAGAATTCCTCGTAGCCATCTTGGGGCGAGGATTTGGTTTTTAGGAGGAGAATTGGGGCGGACATGGTGTGTCTGGGATATTGGAGGTGCGGGGGAGTTTCCGGATTGAGATTGGGATTTCGAGAGACTCTCGGCTTGCAGCCTTAAGAATTGGTCAGGTTGGTACATCAATTGATATCTGTATTTGGAGAAATTTACTCTGGAACTTGTACTGGACTATCTCTCGCTTTGACTGCGCAGGTCTCCAACACAAGGAAATCAATTGAGTCTAGTCGGCTTATATACACATTAAAAAACACAAACTACTGGTCGTCCAGAACGTGCAGGTATCGCTTGTCCTCCTGGCGCTCGCGCTCCGTGGAAGGAGGCAAGTCGTAGTAGGAGGCGCTACGGTAGCCCTGCAGGTAGTGGAAAGTCAGGTTGGCCAGATCGGCGGTCTCCTCCATGCCCAGATCCTTGAAGGTCTTGGCCTCGGGGTCAATGACCTGGTCGATGAACTCGCGCTCGACCTCATCGGCTGACATAGTGTGCCACCACAGGTACTTGTTGATGTAGTGGGCGAAGGGCTTGAGAAGCGCCTTGGGGACGTTGATGTGACGGCGCTTCTTGATGATTTCGCTGTCGACCAGCTCGGCAATCTCGGCGGTGGAGTAGTTCTTGGGTCCGTAAAGCTCGTAAGTCTGACCGGCAGTGCTGTCGTCGTGCAGCATACGCTCGAGGGCGGTACCGACATCAATGGCCTGGATGGGTCAGTTGAGCACATTTGATAGGTCTCTGGAGGGGACTTACGTGAACGGGCCAGTAGCGCTCCTGCATGTGGTTCGCAGTGAAGACGTTGCCAACCTTGGCCAGCTTGTGCAGAAGGTTGTCCTCGAAACCGAACATGGGCGCAGGGCGCACAATTGTGGTCTCGGGGTAGATGTTGCGGACGATCTCCTCACCCCACGCCTATCATATCGTCAGCACTCCACTACTTCAAATCTGCGGTTCATAGACTGACCTTGGTGGCGAAGTACTCGGAGGGCGAGTCACGGCGGGCGTTGTAAGAGGAAACGTGAATGAAACGGTCGACATCGTACTTGGCAACAGCGTCGGCGATACGCTCAACACCATCGACGTGGACATCCTCGTAAGTGAAGTTCCTGGAACTGTCAGTGACTGGCCGGTATTCCTTCCAACGGAGGAATCAAGCTCACTTGGTGGGATATTGACGACCGACAAGGTTGTAGACAACATCGGAGTGACGCACACTCTCCTCGATGGACTGGGTGTTGCGCAGGTCGTATTCCTAGACCGGGTTAGACGGAGCCTCCCACATGATTCTTCTGCGAGATCCATACCATGAAGACAACACGTCCAAGATCACCAGTAACCTTCAAGTGACGCTTGGCCATTTCCTCACGGTAGGGAACGACCACGGTGCATCCCTGGCGAGCTGCGGGCCATTAGTCCACGATCCAATTCCCCTACAAACCCTCGACTTACCGAGCTTGTTGACAATGTAGCGACCAAGGAAACCAGTAGCACCAAAGACCGTCGCGGTGTGACCTAGAATCGTGTGAGCGTGAGCGAGTCGGGGTCGATCAAAACGGAAAGGCTTAGCTACCTCCAATCGAGGAACTGTAGGCTTGTGTTAGCGGGTTGATCTCATGTTACAGCTCAATTGAGTACTCACCGGCCACCCTGGACCTTCACGAGAGGCTTGCCAGTGCGGGTGATAGCCACATCCTGGAGGTTGCGCTGGAACTGAAGCTGCACCCGCGGGGCGGAGAAGGGTCGCGCCCCGAGGGCCGAGTTGATAGTGCGGGTCTTCTGCATGGTCTCTGGCTGAGTATATCTCTCGAGACCAGCTAATTGGAGCGGAGTGTTGCCAAGGGCGTGGTGATGTGCGATGGGCTTTCGCAGTCAAGTCGGAAGAACCGCACGGGACTGATGCGCTAGTCCGGATTGGGAATACCACCTTGAACACCACTTTTTCGGTTTATGCCGGCCTACTTCTTTCAAATTGCCTGGGATGGGAGAATTGGACTATAAGAGTGGAAAGGATTTGAATTATTCTCTCTAGATCTCAGTTCAAGCCCACGCGTAGCCTTGATAGAATGAAATAAGGGTTATGCTCTGACAACACACGGCCTGTGATTGGACGTTGCTCCCCCGGGCTTTTATTCATCAGTATCAAGATCACCCCGTCTATGTTGGAATGTTACCAACATTCATGTTCAAGTAGAGCGATATTGAAGAAGAGTAAGCATCTGCCAATTTGAAACCATGTTCATTGGCATCATCTTTATGAGCATGACTTCCAAGGTTTGAATGTTCTGAAGTTGCATGTCGTACCCTGTGCTCTATACACAGCTATTACACTATGAATAATGAACAGCCACCGCCAGACTCCCAGGTCCTCTAGTTACTCAGTGAATATTGGCAAGTATAGAGTACATTCCTGACCAGAGGTCATACGAGAGGACCAAAAACCATTCTGCCTTTCATGACAGGCGTTGCAATATGATGTAGTCTTTGTATCAAGCGACCTGGCGCTCTTTAAGCACACGCACCAGCATACTTTCAACCCATCAAAACTACATCTCTAGAGCCCATATTAAGGACATTAAAAAAGCAGGTTGGTCCCTACACCAAGCTCCATCATACTCCAACTTCAAAAACACAAAAACAAACGACGGCTGTGTCGCGGTGTTGGTCCAAAGATTTGTAAGAGGAGTTTGGTGGGCAAACCACGGCCATCTCTGGTAAAAGGCAAGAAATGGGTTCTGAACTAGCTTGTCCCACTCCTCGGGGGCCAATCCTTTTTTTGTCATATATACCCCTTCCACTTCCGGATTTGGCAAAATTTCTCACCGTTAATGTCGGGGGTTCGAAACCGCTGTCCAGCGACATTTTATTAATTCATGTTGATTCCATCTGACCCCGCATACATTCATATTCTTAATTCTTACTTCGGAGCTTACCTAGGAGCTTCCTGATCACCTTAATACCTCATCCAATCGAACCCACCATGTCTGCTGCTGCTTGTATCTTCTGCAAAATCATCAAGGGTATGTTTTTCCATTGCATACATAACTACAGCAATGACTGTTACTTCCCTAAACACACCCTGAGCTCCCCATACACGTCATCCGTAGCCGTGCAACTGACATCTGCGCAGGTGATATCCCTTCCTTCAAGCTCTTTGAGAGTGACAAGGTCTTTGCATTCCTCGACATCCAGCCCCTTAGCCGTGGCCATGCGGTACGTATTCACCGTCTCTGCTCCGTGCTCTCTTCCCCGCACCTTCCGACCGAATTCGCTTTAAATCGACTGGACTTGACGACGGGCGCACCGGAATCATTCCCGAGAGAGCCCAAGAGGGAGATCATTCGAAAAGATTTGGACTGACCAGATAAATAGCTTGTCATTCCCAAGTACCACGGCGCAAAGCTGACCGATATTCCCGATGACGATCTGCTTGAGATTTTGGTAAGTGGACGATGAAATGAAGATTGGAGGAGGATATATTTCCAACTCTGAATTGATCTCGCTATAACCCCCGGGGTCCTTGTCCACAAGGTCCTTGAGCTTGCAAAGCTAACCAGGTCCCTAGCCCGTCGCAAAGAAGATCGCCAAGGCCACGGGCGCCGTAGACTTCAACATCTTGCAGAACAATGGACGGATTGCGCACCAGGTTGTTGACCATGTAAGTCAATCATTTTGGGGTTCACCTTCGATATTATCGCTGACCAATGATTTCTAATAGGTCCATTTCCACATGGTATGTCAATCTTCACTAATGGATATCGCAATATACTGACAATATACTAGATCCCTAAGCCCAACGAGAAGGAGGGTATGACCATTGGCTGGCCCTCGCAGGAGACGGATATGGATAAGCTTAAGGCTCTTCATGAAAACATCATGTCGAAGATGTAGACGGAGTAATCTCCTGCTGAACCAGTTATTCCAGTTCACCCTGTAAAAGTCTAAATTGAAGCTATGAAGCAAGAAATTTGACAACATCAGTATTCAAAAGTGAAAACGCTGTATCCTGCACTCTACCGTTGACGGGAAGAGGCTGCTATTTATGTGCCATCTACAGAACTTTGGAAGGTGCTTTTGCTCCTCCTGGCGAGCAAAAAACATTTTCCATTGGGGAAAATCGGTCAATTGAGTCAATTATGCATCCCACATGCCTCACGGTGGCATCGGGCCAGTTTGCAAATATTCATATGTTGTATGGTCAACCCAATAATGTGTATAGGTTGAGATGCAGCAACGAGTCTAAATACGTAATAGATCCAAACAAACCCAGATACAGTCTATTTCGCGGCATCAGGGTAGAAGTCGATCTTGCCACCTCCCTGGACAATGTTGAGTCGGTCATAGAGAGAGCGAGCCCGCACATACGGGTCAAGGACCCAGTATTGGCTGCGCAGCTTCTCAACAAACTCATTGCGCTTTTCCTCAGCGGCAGAGGCAGCGGCAGTCTCCTTCTTGAAGCTAGCACGAATCCACTCGATTGTGACGTCCTGAATCTCCTTGGCGAGTTGTTGTCGCTCGGCCATCAGGGTGTCACGGGTTTCCTTATCGGCCATTTTGGGGTTCTCGTTCTCTCCGACCTCGACGTATTTGTACTCCCAGTCCTCATCGCCTTCCAGCTCCTTCATGATCTGGTTAGGGTGAATGAACTTCTCGAGGTCCTGGCGGTTTTTGGTGAAGTGGACCTTGGCCGCAACGACAGGATCAAGCCAGCCCTTGATGATACTCCAGATGCCTATATCTTGTTAGAGATGTTTGGATGGCAGAGGCAGGATGCTCACTTGAGAAGAGCCATGGCGCCTTGTGGATCAGCACTGTTCCGAGAGACTCGGGGTAGTTGGCCTCGAAACACTTGATCATGAATTTCACGGGGGCATAGTCCTAGGCATTATCAGCATGGGTTGGTTCCGTGATGTAATCGGCAACTTTACCATGTTAGCGACACCAAAGTCGGTCATATCAAAGACAATAGTCTGAAAGAGTCAGTCAGCCTGCAACACCAAGGATACACGGAAACACATACCGCAGTCTCAACCGGTGGAGCGAGCAGCAATCTCGCAGTCTCAATTGTATACACAGTAAAGCGTTCCAAGCCCTCATTATCTTGATCGCCAGCCTTATGCAGACGAACACGAACAACACAGATGGGTCGACCAGCCCGATCGACTCCATGCAAGAAACTCTTGCCAAGACGCATCTGCGTCAGGAAATCATCTCCCTTCTTCTTCTCCTTAGCATCAGTGCCCTGTGACTGCTTGAGGGCCAGTTCCTCGCCGTTGAACATGATATCGTCATCGACGTGCATCTCCAGCAATCGCCAGCGCATAGTCGAAATCAGCATAACAAGCGCCTTCTTGGTATCCCATTTCCGAGCGCGCAGGAACCGCAAAAGCAGAGAGTCGGGGTTATCGCCCTTCACCATGCTCCAGAAGGCTGTGCGGATTTCCTCGGGTTTCATATCCTCAAGCGCTTGCTTGTATTCCTTGGACTGGCCATACTTGTCGTCTTCGGCGGCGATTGATACGCTTGTAGCATCGGAAGATGTGCTCTTCGTGTCGTCGTCGTCACCCTTGCCCCAGATTGCCCACCTGCCCTTGGCCTTCTTCTTGTCCTGGGCGGGTGCGGCATCGCTGGTCGGTTGGGCAGGGGCCTCGAGTTCTTCGAGCGTAAGACCAAAGACCTTCAGCGCAAGGACCCAGAATTCCTTCAGTTTAACCTCTTGCTCCGGGGTGAGGTTCCCGACTGTTCCGGGGGCGGGTTCGGCGGGCATCGTTGCTAGGGTATCAATCACTCCGAGGAAGGACTGTTGAGTAGGTTGTTGCAATACTGCTTTCGGGATTGGTTTTGGATTGTAGTATTTGTCCTGGAGCCAAGCGCCGCCTCCAACGATGGCGAGTGTAAAGGTGATAGTCCAAAAAGACGAGGCCTGTCTTGGTTCTCTCTGGGTGGAGAATGGTCGCGCGACTGGATACCGAGCGACGGGAAATTTGGCCGAAGGGTAGAGACGACGAAGAATCGCACGCATATGCAATACAATTGAGGGTGATGTTTCTATACACAAGAAACGAGGAAAGAAAAAGTGAGACGGCAGAATCAAGGATTATGACGATGCGGGGAAGATCTTCCCCTAAATCGAATAGATTGGATTCTCCAGTCTGCAATGTCGACTCGGAGTGCTCCGTACCTACTGGAATATCCAATTACTACACGACTGTACGACTATACGACTACACGACTCCAGGGTACAGATAACACGCCTTGAGACTTGTGTTTTGAAATCTGTTGTCGCGTGACGGTTCAAAACATAAAAAAACCCGCTCCACCCACCAAACTCCAACCCTCCTAGTTCAACTCGAAGCTCAACTCGAAATCCACAATGGACGCATCACGATCGTCATCACGTCCTCGCCCCTCGTCCAGACCCACAACTCCCCTACGTCCCAGCTCGCGCTCATCACTACGAGAGGCTCACGGTTATGGCAGCAGCATCGGCAACTCAGGATACACACAACCCGCCATCAATGCCTTGGAACCACAATTCGCCGAGCTGGCTGACTCCATGGCTGACCTAGAAGCCAACTTCATGCACCTACAATTGATGCACGAGAGCCTGACGCGCTTCAGCGAGAGCTTCGCCAGTTTCCTATACGGGTTGAACATGAATGCTTTCTGTGTGGATTTCCCAGAGGTATGAGGGATTTTGCGAGTAGACGCGACACTGCTGATACTATGGACAGGCACCGATCGGAGATTCATTCAGGAAAGCTAGACAGGATGAGGAGGAACAAAGAGAAAAGGGTAGGAGTTCTACGGAGTACGTGGGTTAGCGCAACGAGCTTGCTGACATTTGTGCAGAGGAGGAAGCAGAGCCAACGCGACCGGATGATGGTGAAATGACTTTTATGTGAGTTTACATGGGATCCAAGAACTTTCAGACCTTCAAGCTGATCTGCTCCCGCAGGACTACGGACACAACATTTGTCGAGAATCCCCCAAGTACAGCCTCCAAGCCGACATCGAGGTATGCTGCAGGTTCGCGCGCATCGTCACGAGGGACTGCCCGCGGTGCGGCGACTAGTCGATACACTACGCGAGGGACTGCTCGCGGCGGCCGAACAAGTGGATTGCCCAGAGGCCGAGGTACAGGAACCCGGTAAAGCGACAAAGGTAACCAACCTGGCTCAGATGCGCCCTAGGATGTAGTCTAGTGCTCTCCAAGTTCGAAACCATGGCCATTGGTTGTTTCCACATTGGTTGCTAGATCGCACATCTGGGGGTGTTTTCTGCCCAGAATGAATGAGCGAAAGTGATGATTTTTCCCACATATAGAAATACCCACGAAAGTACATGGATAGATAGAGGAGATGAATTCTAAAAAAAGAAATTCCGAGAGTAATGAGCGTAAACGTGAGCGAGTATGTAGAACACAAGAGTCAACTCCGTACGAGATGATCCGACGTCTGATCCGGCGGTAAATCGGACCTCAGGCGAAAAACCACCGCCCGATGGCAAACCTCACCCCCGACGTTGAACTCGAGCCAGCTATTCCTACAATCACATTTGATCTCTATATTGAAGGCTCAATGAATTAGGAAGGTCCTATTGGAGTTTCATATTGTGTTCCGCGGAGTATAACTCCTGTCCACTTCCCCAATTGTTTGCTCCTGTGAGTATTGGATTGAGATCTATTGTTCCATACCTATAGCCTATTCATCTGGTGTTTCTCATTGATCACTTCTCTAATATTGTGACAGTGCAATGCTGGACCTATTCAGGGGGAGTCCTTGAGGCCGGGTCTCTGATCATCCAGCCTTCTCCCTTGGCCTTCCGCCATTCTCTCGTTTTGACTACGTGGTTCGACGTCTGGAACTAGCATCCTCGTTACGGAGAGTATCTTACTGTGAATCACAGCGATTGAAACCGTGTGATTGACCTCGAATCTCACTTCTCTCCCAAGCCTGCCCTTTTAATCCTTTCTTATTTATCCTTTCTCCTTTCCCCTCTTAACCATAGCAATGTCATTCCCTATGGCGAGTCTCGATTCTGCGACTCTGTTGTCCGAAGCAGCCTTCGGATGCGGTATGTTTCGATCTATATGATTTGCCCTACCCCGCTGACAACCACAAAGAGCATCTGGCCGCATTTCTCAACAAGGACGAGAAGATTGCCAGCCAGTTCAAGAGTGCCTTCCGCAGCAAAGACAGATCGCTGGCTCCTTACTCAAAGACCGATACGGTTGCTGTACAAACCTCTGGTCTTCGGACTGTGGAGTCTCTAAAACCCAAATCTCACTGTTTGAGCTGCCCAGAAGTATGTTTGGATATTGAGCGACAAGCACATACCGCAGAAACGGGACACACATTCTGTAAGCCAATGGTTTCAACTAAATAGGATTGTTTTGTGCTGATACCCACTTCCAGATATCGAATCCCGAACACGCTTTTTGCACTGTCAAAAGTGTGGTGATTTCATCTATGATCATGGCTTAGAACGGCTCCGTGGTCCAGCTGGAAAATCCCACATAGCTGGTGAGTATAGAACCACTTGAAATTGCTGCCAATTCTCAATTATCCTCTAATCTTTGATAGATGGTCGATCTATTTGGGCCGAGGATTCAGCCTCGGAGCTTTATGTCAAGAATAACGCTTACAAGAACCCATGCGCTAAGCGTGGTGCTCGTGGTGTCTGGAACATGGGTCAGACTTGCTACCAGGCTGTCATTGTTCAAGCCTTGCTCCACGAACCTAGTCTGAATGCCTTTTTTCTCGCTGGTGGTCACGATGTTCACACTTGCCAAGAGAAGAATTGCCTAGCCTGTGGGACAGCCGAGGTCTTCATGGAGTTTAACAGCGGCGAAAGGAACGAAGCAGTATCTGCTGCCACACTCCTGTACAATGGCTGGGAATTGTCAAAGGTGAGTCGTCCGAACCGACAAGCTGGACAGGTGGCTAATCTGCTCCTAGGAAATGGCTGGATATCGTCAACAGGATGCCCACGAGTACTTCCAATTCCTTGTCAACGGTCTTCACTCGTCTACACCTGGACACACCGAGGTCTACAATAAAAAATGCAAGTGCTTTTTCCACCAGGTCTTCTACGGCGAGCTGCGCAGCAGTGTCAAGTGCCACAAATGCGGCCAAACCACCAACACCGACGACCCAATGGCCGATCTAAGCCTTGACGTCCAACAGCAATCAAAGAAGCGCAAAATCGGGCGCTCCACCTCTTCTACTACTGGAACTCTACTGGGCTGCCTAGATAGTTTCACTGCCTCCGAAGATCTCCACGCCGATGCTGCTTACCACTGTGAGAAATGTGGCAATACTCCCCAGCGAGCCTCTAAGCGTTTACAAATCCGAAAACTCCCTGTTATTCTTTGCATGCAGCTCAAGGTATGCCATAGTTCTTCTATTCGACCCAAGATTGTTTCTGACTTTTGACAGCGATATGAACACACCTTCTCGTCATCCGAAAAGATGGATGGCCATATTGACTTCCCTCTTACCCTGAACATGCTTCCCTACACCGTGAGGAAGGATAATCTCCCAGTGGATATGTCCCAATACATTTACGATCTTTCGACAGTCATTGTCCACGAGGGGACAATGGACACTGGTCACTATTTTGCATACACCCGCATTGGCGATGATAAAGTATGTTCACCATGTCAATGTTTAGCATTACCCATCCGCTGACCTGGTGATTTTCTTAGTGGGTCCTTATGGATGACAACAAAGTCACCGTTGCCGGTGTCGCCGACGTCCTCCGCCAAGATGCTTACCTTCTCTTCTACAGCCTTCGCTCTCTACGCGGGGAGGGCAAGACCAAATAAATAGCCCGTGAATCCTCTTTGCAACTGACAGACACCCACAAACCGCGGAACTAATCAACCGAGCATAGCCGGAGAAGGATATTGCGGTGTCCGGCGTTTATGTTAATACTTTTGATGACTGCTAAAATTGACGTTCTTTTGATTTAAGCTTCCGCCAATAATAGCATAGACCTTTCAGTAATCAAATCTAGGCCTAGACTCCCAAGGACTACGTATGGAAATCATAACTTTAGGTCCCGTACGAAAAGCACAGACTCGGACCCTGGTATCCAGAGAGAGAGAGAGAGCTAGCGCTTTTAGACTTGCGGAGGCAAAGCTACGCCCCAGGCCAAAGATGTCAAGACAATGCCATGTGCACGCCCAGCAACCGAAAGCCCGCGGTAAAGCGATAGAGAAGAGCAGATCCCAGAGAATAATTCCGTCATTGAAATTGATAAGAAAAAAAAACCAGGATGAGGGAAATAACAAGACATCCTCGTTTTCCAAGACTCTCCACGCAACCCCGATCCTCCCCTCGAGCCAGAATTTTGATTTTTGATTCACAACCCGATGACACCAGGCACAGCCGGTGCCTTATCCTCGCAAAACATCAAAGACGCCATTTTTGAGCTCGTCTAGAACGTTCCTCCACTGGACGCTACCGTAGTCGAGTCGGGCACGTAGAGGGATTTGGATGCGAACGGTTCGAGTGGGAGTCAGAAATGGTCATGGTTTGTAGTCGCTTAGCGGTACTGTTGGTGTGGTTAGTTTTTGGATCTTCTTTGAGCGTATTTGTGGCTTGGGTATATCGAGTGTCGAGAGTCGGATGGGTATTGTGCGAATATCGATTGGTGGGTGATCGGGCGAGATGAAACGAACCTTGTTGAAACCAATGTCGGTGGACTTCTCACGGAAGCACTGACGGCAGATGTTCATCTGTATTCCCATATTAGCCGTGGTTCATTTCGCATATTGCTGACGCAATCAGTTTCCAGGTTGTCCTTACGCCGTACTTGCGGATCAGACCGGCGCGGTGAGAGCAGACACGGCTGAAGGCGCACAAATATTAGCATTCCCATTCCTTGTATCGAGCGGTTCCAGTCCTCCATTTCGTGTAAAATTCCAAGTCCGTCGGTTGATTGCTTCATCGGGGAGGTTGATTGGGGTGTACACACCATTCGCGGGAGCCCTTGCCGTACCTGAGGAGGGAGATCAGTTAGATTTGTCGCTTTTCGATATATCTGCGGAGAGGTTCGACTTACTTGCGGGGGCGGCTGTACCAAACGCTCTCGTGAGTCATCTTGAGGTTTTAGAGGTGGGACCTGGGAGTTGACGGTTTGTTGACGGGACGAGGGTCGCTGGCGTTGGGCGTTAAAGGACGGAGACGAGTTAGGGTTGGAATTCGTTGTGGGCAATTTCTGCCCCAATGCGGAATAGGGCACGGGCCAACTCGCTTGAGGGGCCCTAGCCGTATTGGGTAAAGATCACGTGGTATCCAGATCATCACATCTTGATGCCTCAGGCTTCCAGATCGTATACTTCGACATCTGGACATTAGTGATGCTTGGTCACTTGCAACTGATATTGTATATGAGACTTGCGAGCCGATGATAGAACAACGATATGTTGAGAATATCCAAATCTCCTGATAACCATGAATTTCTTCATTTCTTCGACAATGCTGTTATCTCCCCCCTCTCGGCATCCCCGCAAAATGAACATTAGTATGTCTTACTGGCTGAACCTTCCCAATTCATATACTACTAGATGTTGGATCTTCGAATCTGCTCATATAACCAATAAGCAAGTGTTTGACATGATCTCCAATCCAAAAACCAATTCGCTCATGAGGTCCAGGTAACACTTTTTTCTCCCTTCACGGAAAGAGCTGCAATTGCACCTGGGAGATTACGAGAATTTGTTTGGATGTGAAAGAGGGTTCAGTTTCCGAGCTCAATGCTGCTAGATAGCTTTGACTATACATTCATTCCAGGGACACTTGGGTGGGTTGGTGTTTTGGTTCGTTGTCCTTCGGGTGAGATAATAATTGCCGTGACAACATCTCCAGGTCCTTGAGAAATGATCTCTAATTAACACTCTGTGAGCAGTACGGGGTATACTTAAGTAGAGCACATGGTACATTGCATACAAATTGAATAAAAAAGAGAGCTGGGCACCTGAATCGTTTGTGCACATAAATATACGCTAGTGCAAAATACAAAATACACTTGAAGGAGACCGTGTTGATCGCACGGGATGTTCAGGGTTTGACAGGGCTCATTGGGCGCCCATTGCCCCTGGGCAACGGCTCAATCGGAGCCCGGGGTGCGGATGGCAGTTGTGCCGGGTTCCGAGCATTCTATCTTCCGTAGCGTTGGCCGAAGATGGAATATCCTGTGATGTGCAGAGTCGATCGTTTGATGGGCGCAGTACGGGGTAAATCAGTTCAAATTGAACAAACATCATTAGATACCACCCGACGAGTATGTCTAGGATATTTCGTCATTCCTATTATGCGGTTGAGAATATTGCGAAATTTGCGCCTGTCGATTACGAAATTATCGCAAGCTGGCCCTGGCAAACTCATTGGATTAGGCAGTAGGAGTATGGAATGCGCATGCATGAGCAGGTCACACCGTCTCGACAGTATAGACTTATCTGACCGGGAATCGCGCAAGGGCCAAAGCGTTGCCCAATCGCAAAACGATATCCAGATTGAGCGCAAGATCTGAGGTTATGCTTATGCCCAGATGCCATGAGAAAGAGTGACTCATATGACAGCTCCAAAACACGAGATATTCACGCTCGGCGCTCGGAACTAAGACGGACTTTGTCTTCCGGGCATACGAGTAAGGTAGCAAATTTGATCGACGCAGCGCAGATCCTGGGGCGTGCAGGTGCGTGGGCTTAAGCCAGCCTTCAGGTCGCCGGATGCCCGCGGATGCCGATTCATCAACCTAGATCGGCGCGCTCGGGCTTGGCTCCCAAGGTTTAGTAATTGCATGAAAGGTGATAGAAGCTATGGGGTATCAACCATGCAGATAGCATTCATGTCCCAGAGGCTATGGCTACGCTGTGTTGTACAAGGTACACCACATGATGGGGTGCAGGCACCTTGCTTATTACCTACATTGATACCTTTCGTCTGAGACTAGACTGGATGACTTGCCCATAACAGTCTATTAGAGATATTTCATTGTGCTACTCGAACAAGTATACTTCGAACTGTAGTACGAGGTATATCAAGGTTTGCAGGGTGTCCCACTACTAAGTATTCATCCGGCAAATGTACAGTTTTATCCAAGTCTAGTAGAACACTGCGAAAGGTGCCATGCTCCGTACTCCGTATTTCCGGCCGAGTTTCCGCCATTTACATACTGCCTCGCCAATGCTGGCGGAGGATTCGGCATTTTACTTTAATCAGCCCATAAGCCCCACATTCGCTGGACAAGGTCAAAAGGTGCGGCTCGGAAAACGGAAGCCAGAACGAGCGAGGCCGAGGCGGGCACCTGACCAGGGGCTGATTGACACTGGGATTAAGTTCTTCCAGTTAAATCCTGCATGATTCACGGCTAACTGATTGATAATCATGGGCACCTAAGTAAGACAGGGATATGTAGGTCTTGGAGCCAACCAGGTCTCTTATACGGAGTACTCTGTACTCTGTACGAGTACTCGTCTATCTATATGTAGATCTCGCAGATCAGAAAGCGCATAAGGAACACGGAGGATACAATATAGCATATCGTTGTACTCCGTACTAAGTCGAAGTCCCGAGTGACCAAAAACGGAAGTGATCATCTACGTCATCAGTCCAGGCACACGGATCAAGGCAGATGCAGAGGCACTTGGCTATCCCAAATTTGAGGACTCTTCATGTCATAGTCCTACGTTCGGGTCTTGGAAAACCTGGAACTTTTCGAATTTCAAGTATATTATTTTCTTATAATTCTTTATATGGGTCATAGCTCCCGAGACTCCCGAACCCGAGCATATTTGCCAAGACCGCAGATCCGCTCAATCCTACAGTAAAAGTAGAATATATTCAAAGCTACAGAGTATCGTAGTCATTGTATATGGTCAGATGGAATTGGAATAGGGGAATATACAAAGAAACGCATGCTGCCGACTAGTCTCGAGCTAGGCTTGTATATACGGCCCTGGATAGTTCATGAGAAAGGAATGCCCAACGGCCAACAGCCTTACGGGTGTCTTATTTCCACGCGCGCATCATGTGAAGTATTGGAAATCAGCGCCGGCGAGCTTTTTTTCTTTTCTTTTCTTTTATTTTCAATTTTTTATTTCCTTCCTGGGTTGCTAAAGACAAAAGAAAATGAGCTAATTTGTTCTCATTACCTCATTTCTCTATTCCAGAGACATCCGTCCTTAAATATTGCATCTCCTCCCAGACGAAGTCTCCTACCCAGCCCTACAGCTTCAGGCTCGTTGATCCCCGTACATCGTTACGTCACGATTCGAACAGAGCTCTGAGCTTCGACCTCCGGTTGAAGCTCCCTCTTTCCCTCCTGCACATTTCTGCACATAGCATTCCCCAAAATGCGACTTCTAGCTTCCCAAGCCGCCTTCGCGGCTTTTATCGCCCTCGCGACCGCCCATGAATCTATGAACGCGGAAATGGACATGAACATGGCGCACAGCGCGCCGGAGCCAACAACCAACCCCGGGACCTCTGATGGCCCAATGAGCTACTTCGCCTACGGAAAACACTCCAGCTCCATCATAGCCCATATCGCCCTCATGGTTGCGGCTTGGTGTTTCGTCCTTCCAGTTGGTAAGTACGTCTATTTGAGTCGATAAGGCAGAACTGACCCCCCTTGAAGCTGTCATGCTCAGTGTCGCGCGCTCTCGGCTTGCACTACCCTTCCAGTTCCTCTTCACGGTCGTCAATGCTTTCGGCCTCCTTCTCGGCATCATCTATAACGACCAAACACCGGATCTATACGTGAATAATGCTCATCACAAAATCGGATGGGTTGCCAGCAGTGTGATATTTGTCCAGGTACTTCTGGCTTTGCTGTTTACTTTTGCTGGCCGCGCCGAGTCATCCCAAGTCTCTTATGATCATGCGGAACATGGTGCTTTCTTACCCGTTGCGACGGATGAGCATGATGATCGTTACAGGATTCACGAGCATCGTTGGTCGAGGGACAGTGGGCAGGGAACAGATAGCAATTCATCCATCCACAGTCCTGGATCTCCATCCGAGTCGCATGTCGACTACGATGGCTTTGAGAAGCCTGAGATGCCAAAGTCTACACCTCGGAGATGGGCTAACAGTTCCGTTGCTCGAATCTTGTCCAAGCGTCTGCCTGGCTTTGTTTCTGGCTCGGTCCATCAAGGATTAAACGCTGTTTATAATGTCATCGATCGGATCATTCTTCCCTTCGGATTTGCGGCCATTGCGACTGGCGCTGTTACCTATGGTGGTATCATGCGAGAACGTGATATATTCAATGGACTTGCGCACTTCATCAAGGGTGGAATCTTCTTCTGGTATGGTGTTATCACCTTGGGCCGCTATATGGGCTGCTGGGCCGACCTCGGCTGGGCCTGGAACAAGAAGCCATCCGCATCCATTGTCGGCTGGAAATCCAAAGTTCCCTCCGCCGAAGCAACAGAGTCCTTTGTCATCTTCCTTTACGGTGTCACGAACGTTTTCCTGGAACATTTGTCCAACGCCGGTGGGGCATGGTCTCCCACCGACCTTGAGCATGTTTCGATCTCCGTGCTGTTTTTCGGTGGTGGCCTGGCCGGTATGCTCTTCGAGTCCACCCGCATTCGCGACTGGCTGAACAGCACCGTTCTTCAAACCCCTGCCCATGGGGACTCTGATGAGGCTTGGCAACCGCCGAGATCTCAGGGTGTGTCTTTGAACCCGATGCCTCCTTTGATCATCCTGCTGCTAGGCATGATGATGGGGTCGCACCATCAGGACAGCATGACATCCACCATGGTGCACAAACAGTGGGGTAACATGTTGGTTGGATTTGCACTGGCTCGGGGTATGACATACGTTCTGTTGTACCTCAAGCCACCAACCTCGTACCTCCCGGCTCGTCCCCCTACCGAGATCATTGCTGCATTTTGTTTGATCTCCGGAGGTCTCATCTTTATGCTGAGTGTAAGTTGACCAATCTACCCCGAAACACCCCGTAACCCTCACTAACCGGTTCCAGACCCGCAATGTCATTGAAGCCATGGAGTTTTACCAAGTGGACGCCATGTTCACCTTCACCGTTGGATTAGGCTTCAGTGCTTTCGTCATGTCTTATGAGGTCTTGGTGATCGCTCTCAAGGCCTGGTCCGTCAAGCGTACCCAGCGCTCACAACTCAACTTTCGATTTCCGTGAATAATCTGCGATTGTCTTTCCCTTGATACCCCTTGATATTTATGAATTACCTTTTATGCCGCGACACGTGCAAATCGACCCTTTCTACCCCACTTATGATACTAATTTATGCGGCAAAGACGAGAGTGCAAGGCCATATACTTATGCGACGATGGGATATGGAATTGAGAATTGACACTGGAATTTAATATGTCTTTTATGTGGTACAAATATGAAGCCTCTTCACAACTACATGTATTTGTAAGACCTCGGCGTCTTTCCTTTTCACCGTGAATGAGTCCAGCTTCTGCGCCGGCTTTATAAGCTTAACTCCGTGCCCCGTGCCGAGTACCGAGTCAAACCGGAGTGGGCTGGTGGGGTTTTCTGCGCTTTGGAGCTTGAGTGTGAGCCTCAGTCTCGGGAAAACATCTTCCTGTCAGCTACGGAGTATGAGTAGAGAGATACGAGTAACTAGGGGTTGAGTCATGACCGTAGCCTCATCAACCAGGTCCTTCCAGCCAATCTAATCGAAAATCTGCGAGACCCATAGCCTATTCGGGTAACTCTCATGTTGGCCTCCATGCCCGCCCCCTATGCCTCATGGCACATTACTCGTAACTACTGTACGAGTAGTAAAGAGCTGAATTAAAAAGCCCTTTTCACCGCCACGATACATATGTAGGCAACAGGGCGGTACGTCGGCGTATACGAGAAAGACCTCAAAGCCCGAGGGGTAAGTGGAGTCAAAGGGGAAGCGGAAGGGAACTACAAGCATGATTGGAGGACACAGGAAGATGATGAAATCGGAATCCATACGGCTAAATGTTTTATAAAGGAAACCCCTCCAACACTTTCAACATTCTCACTTGAGCATCACTCTTCTAAAGTTGACAATCTCTCAAAATGGCCTCTAACCCCCCCGCTGCCTGCTGCGCCTCCGGCTTCAAGCACGAAGGTACTCCTCTTGGCGAGCTCAAGGACATCAATGGAGGTAGGTAATGACCATTGCATTATATTGGTTCAAGCTAACTCATAGCTCAGTCAACACCTACATCGCCGCCCCCAAGGACAACAAGAACCCCGACAAGGCCATTATCTTCCTGACCGACATCTTCGGCATCTTTCCCAACGCCCAGCTTCTCGCTGACGAGTTCGCCAACAATGGCTACCTGACCGTCCTCCCGGATCTTTTCCAGGGCGACCAGATCGGCGTTAGCGATCTCGAAGCTGGCAAGGTCGACTTGCCCGCCTGGCTCTCCAGGCACCAGGTCGCTAATGTCGAACCTGTCGTTGAGTCTACAATCAAGTATGTTCGCGAGACTCTCGGCGTGAAGAAGGTCGGCGCTGTTGGGTACTGCTTCGGCGGCAAGGTATGTACTACCATTAATCTCTGTAGACCCAAGCTCTAGATCAATGGCTAACTGAACCAGTACGTTGTTCGCTACCTCAAGCCCGGTCAGATTGACGTTGGTTACTCTGCTCACCCCTCTTTCGTCACCCACGAGGAGCTCGGTGCCATCCAGGGACCCTTCTCTATTGCTGCTTCTGGTATGTTGACGCTTCCCGATTTGCGAAATGCGAGTTGCACCGCTAACTTCCAACAGAGATCGATCAAATCTTCACCACCCAGCTTCGTCACGAATCCGAGGAGACTCTCATCAAGACCACTCAGCCCTGGCAGATCAACCTGTTCGGTGGCGTTAGCCACGGCTTTGCCGTGCGCGGTGACCTGAGCGACCCTAAGCAGAAGTTCGCCAAGGAGCAGGCCTTCTGCCAGGCCGTTGTCTGGTTCAACCAGCACCTGGCCGCTGAAAAGTCGAACCTTTAAATGTAATTAGAAATTGTTCGATACCTAGCAAGATAGCCATGGATCAGTTTACGAATTGATGTCATTCCAAATGCAGCGCATTCCAGGTTCATTCGAGACACCCCACATATGCGGATGTATGAACGACACAGTTGGTCTATATCGCGGAACGTAACTTCGGCGAACAGGCAGTTCGAAAAGGGCCCGGTCTTCATTGCATCGACTATTCTTGCTTCGGTGGACTGATATTACGACTGGGGCTTCATCTGATCTTGGATCTAGAAGTTTTCATAGAGACTGAATCGATTTCGGTCTTCGCAGTCCTTAATATTTCGACGCCCAATTCAGGCGTCGCGTGCGCGTGAGTTATCCCTGACCGGCCCGGACCTAGCGCGGAGAGGATTCAAAACTAATCGTCGATCTCCTATTCAGTCATTACTTGTCTAACTCGAGTTTCCTTCCATCCCAGACTGTTCGCCGACAGTACGGTGCCTGGCCGCGATCTTGATATCTCATCCTTTCGAACTATATCGCTGCACACCACCGGATCCTGTCTCAGTTTCGACAACTGTATACCCTATTGAATATCAAGTGATTCAAATCGCAAAACATGGCTACTCCTGCCGCTCTCCCTCCGTTGCCTTTTAATCCGGCTCGGATTAGGACCTATCTCATTCGACTGCCGCTCTTCACCCGCCTGGTTCTGTTGATCATTCTGGCCTTCTGGTTGCTTGAATTGCAAACCATATGGAGTGTTGTGCAATGGGGCGCATTGATTCCAGAGGAGATTAACCTGGGGACCAGTATGTTTGAATTTGCTAGATGACAGGGTGTATGCATGCTGACCATAATCAGTGTACCGTCTTAACACCTATCCGTTCATCCACACTGGCTTCTGGCACGCTTTCTTCAACATTCTGGCGCTTACTCCACTCCTGGAGCGCTTTGAGGCTGAGCATGGCACTTTGACTGCTGTCGCGTTGTTTGTTGGACGTGAGTGTTGACGAGACTGTATAACGAATCTTGGCTAATGGTGGTTAATAGCTCTGTCAACTGTTCCCGCTGGTCTTTACATCCTCATCGAGAGGGGATTGCTTCACAGAAACACCTCAGTTGTTGGTGCAAGGTAAGCAGTGGCGGTAAATACATCGGACGAAAAGGGCACTAACTTGGAATCTAGTGTGTGGGTTTTCCTACTACTCGGATCAGAGTCAATCAAGACCTACAAGTCGCACCCAAACTTCAGGTAAGATATCAACCGGACCATTGCCGTCATGGTCTAACATTCTCTAGCCTTGGCCCATACAAGATCCCTACCTGGACCTCGCCCCTGGTTGCTTGCGCTGTAGTCTCCATTCTTATGTCGAACGTGAGCTTCCTTGGTCACATTTGCGCAATCCTGGTCGGCTATCTCCGTGAGTTCTCCGTATCCCGATACAACGGCATTGGCTAATTGTCCATTAGTTGGCCTCGGATACCTCAAGGTGTTTGTGCCCCCCGAGAAGATCCTTCGCTGGATCGAAGGCAAGTTGAACCTCCTAGGACGCCTGCCTCACTATGTCTCCGTCGATCAGAAGACCTATGGCCGTTACGGAGTCCTCCCCACCACCAACAACCCCGCCGGCGCCAGCGGCAGTGGGACCCCTATGAGCTTCATGGGATCCACACAGCGCCTGGGAGCCTGATACTGACGACACATTCTTCCTTTCCATCTTTAATGTATATTTCCCACCATATTCTCTTTTCTTCGTTTTACGGAAGACAGGGGAATTGGATAATAGCATAGCGTGTGCATAGTCCGTTTAAACTGCGTGGTTGGTCTGTGTCGTTCGGCGTAAATTCCCCTTCTCCGCGCATAAACAACGGAGCTTCAATCTCCACAACTTCAAGTTCAATCGAATTATTTTACTATTTTGACGGGCCTTGTAGGCACGAATCTCCTGTTCCTAATGGTAAATACGTCATGGCGTTGAAATGTGAGCTTGAAACACCACCTGTCCTCGTTGCATCTGGGGGACACCAGCTAACAAGATGCCAGCCGCAATCCGCAATCTGCGGAGTAACCCTCATTTTCTATTCGTTCGCCTGCCTAAGCTCCTATCCCTCCTTTGCATTGTCGTTGGCGTCGCCTGGCTCCTCCTCCTGCCTTTGAACGAATACTCCCGACGTACCTATATCTCCGAGAATGCGCTCCTGCCAGGACAGGTCCATGCATACTTCACGGGCAGCGAGCAGAACATCTTCCGGGGATACAAGAAGGAGCTAGAGGGGATTCTAAATGACGAAACAAAGGATAGGGCGGAAGTGACCGCAGGGTATGTCAGTCGAGGTGGTCACGCTGAGCAATTGCTGATACTTGACAGGGTCTCGGATAAGGTCCAGTCCATATTCGAGGAGGCGGGACTTAAGTTCGCCAGACAGAAGTATGAGTATAACTCTGCTGGAATTACACACCAGGGCGAGAATTCATATGCTATCATTCACGCGCCACGCGGTGATGCCACGGAGGCAATTGTGTTAGTTGCACCGTGGTTGACGGCGGATGATAAATTGAACCTGAACGGTGTAACTCTTGCCCTTACCTTGGCTAGATATTTCAAGAGTGTGTACTATGGCTCTAGTCTCCGGACTTGGATACTGATTAGCTGCTACAGGATGGTCGTTATGGTCCAAGGATATCATCTTCCTAATCACCCCCGACAGCAAGACCGGAACTCAGGCTTGGATTGACGCCTACCATGATATGCACCCGGCTTCAGTGCAGCCTTTACCATTGAAGAGTGGAGCCTTGCAAGGAGCCTTGGTCATCGAATATCCCCTCGAACATCGTTTCCAGACACTGCACATTATATATGACGGAGTCAATGGCCAGCTTCCCAACCTCGATTTATTCAACACTGCTGTTTCCATTGCAGGTGGGCAGATGGGCATCGGTGCTAATCTACAGGAAATGTGGAACCACGATGACAGCTACGAGAATCGTCTGCAAACCATGGTCCGTGGCATGACCAAGCAGGGCCTCGGTTACGCAACCGGTGCTCACAGCAGTTTTATGCCGTATCACATCGATGCTATCACCCTCCAAACCAAAGGCGAGGGATGGGAAGATGAAATGGCCCTAGGCCGCACTATCGAATCTCTCTGTCGCAGTCTGAACAACCTGCTGGAGCACCTACACCAGAGCTTCTTCTTCTACTTGCTCATGCAGTCGAACCGGTTTGTCAGTATTGGAACTTACCTGCCCAGTGCCATGCTGCTCGCTGGGAACTTCAGCATCATGGCAATTGCGCTGTGGATGCGCACGGGATACTACCCAGAGACCAAGTCCGTTCAGACCAAGGGCGACAAGGCATCTGCGGAAGAGAAGACAAAGACGAGCAACATTGCTGAGCGAAAACTGGCCCTTCCTCTTTCTCTGGTGGTTGGACTTCATCTCCTAGGTCTTGTGCCACTTTGGGTCTTTAACAACGTCTCTCATCAAGTAAGTCTGCCCAGGGGACCCTGAGAATGACAAGAGTATCGCTAACAAAACTAGTACTTCACCACGATTACATTCGTTGTACTTGGCGTGGATATCATTCTCCCGCTATCTCTCGCCGCAATCTTGTCAAATGGTCTGGGTCTATCAAAGCCACTCATCCCCCAACAATACCACCTTATCAAATCATTCTCCCTCCTCCTCCTCGGCCTCTCCCTCTCAACCCTTGCCACCCTCAACTTCTCTCTTTCATTCATGATTGGTCTGCTCTGCACGCCACTCAGCTTCATGACCCGTCTGCAGGGGGCTGCGCCTGCCCGTCTTGCTACCTCCGGCCTAGGCTTGGCCCTTCTCAATCTTCTCTCCCCGCCGACTGTCCTCCTAGGCGTCTGTTGGTACACCGGCGTCTCGGTTGAGACGGTGCTCACCGAGGCAGCCTTTGGCTGGGATGTTTGGGGCATGTGGACACAGGTTGTCGTCTGGTGTGTGTGGTGGCCTGCTTGGTTGACTGGTGGAGTCTTGCTTGGGTCCTCAATTTTCTGATGTTATGCATTGTGCTAGCGTGCCCATGCCGAGTGGAGTTCATATAACCTATAATATATACAATTCCGATTGGCGATCTGCAGGTGTCAGAATTAGACAAAGAGCAGACAGGGGTTTGGGGTCCACTATCCCCGGCTGATGGCTTGCGTGTGCCATGGCTAAGATGATCGTACTTGTGCAACCATGTGCAGCAGAGCCCTTGAAACAAGAACAATATGGCCACCCTTGCCTCTTTCCTTGTTAGGTGCTAATACTCGTGGTCATCAATATAGCTGACCATGCCATTCATGCCGCATCGATCAAAGACTTGACCCGATCCCTGGCCTCCTGTCCAATCATCGCCACCGGCCATCCGTGGCAGTTTCATAGAATACTCTGGGACCAAGAATGGTAAGAGATCAGACCTAACCTCGGATTCGATATACCTAGGGATATATTTGGAAGAAAAATGTCCGAACAAAGACATTCCTCGCCTGTTAGACCTGGGTGTATGGGCTCCCCGGGCCTTTGTTTGAACCATCCAAGCCCTCTGGCTCATCATCACAATGTCAAATTTGATAATGCCCTGGAAATATCCATAAAATGACCCTCGAAAGAAGACCGAGCGTGCTTCTAAAGTTTCTGTTAACGCTTTCGATACTACGTTTGTTGATCAATACATACGTAGAGAAAGTTCCTCTGCGATCATTTAGACCATAATCTTTGAACAGAATGATCGGTGCTCACCTCCTTGTCCTCAGTGCTCTCCTTACAAGGTCACTGGCCGCTGTTCCAATACCAGTCGATGGCTTCTGTGCTAGCTATATCATCCAAGGGTACGATACCTGTGCCCTAATCGCCCAAGCACATGGTATCACCGAAGCCGACATTGAAGCCTTCAATACAAGAACCTGGGCATGGCTCGGCTGCAATCAGTTGTACCAGGGTGACTTTATTTGTCTCAGCCCCGGTGAACCGCCTATGCCAATGGCTTTACCGAATGCCATCTGCGGCCCCCAAATCCCCGGCACAGCACGCCCAAGCAACTGGACTGATCTCGGCTTTATGCATCCGTGTCCCTTGACTCAATGTGTGAGTTGCCTAAGTATCAATGGAAGAAAGATATCGTGATGCTGACTCTCCCAGTGTGCTACATGGGGTCAATGCGGTACAGGGATTGAATACTGTGATACCAAAGCCCGTAAACCTCCTGCTGGAGTGACGGCTACTGTCAGTGCTGCTACGGAGGCTGAGCCTCGGGCCACTGAGCTTCAGGCTACTGCTGTTGCTATACAGACCAAGAGTGACAATGGTGTCATAGTAACACAGTTGCCAAAGTCACAAACTGTGGCACAACCCGCCGAGGCCCATATAGAGCAATCTGAGTCCCAAGTTTTGTCCACGGCAACATCTACAACTTCAGAATCCACGACCACAACCGAGGAAGAGTCTTTGGGGAGAACTGACAAACCGTGGGAGGGAAGCATGGAGATGGATGAATGGAATGAACCATGGGAGCTCACATGGTATAGCGAGAAGGACTGCAAAGGTGACTACTACACTTTGTCAGGATATAACGACGAGATACCCTCAGCCGAGGAAGAGCGATGTCAGAACAGGAAAGACGGGGTGAACAGCGCGTTCACTGAAACAGGTGTGATGTGCAGATGGTGGACGGCAGGTGGTCTTAAGTGGGATCCTTGTGAAGCTGGCACACTGGAGAAACCACAGTCGTGGATTCTGAAGAATGCCTACTGTACAGTTTTTGATGCTTGGAACTGTGATTGCTTTGACCACTTTTCTCACTCTTATCATTCTGTGGGCTGTCATAACAGGGACAAATTTGACCCGCCTAAGTTTGTCTCTTTCGTGTGTCAACGTGTTAAGTCTGATTGAGGCTACTGGGTGGGAGATTGTTGAAGGCTGTTGATTCACGTCCAAAGAGTGAGGACCCTACAAGACAGAAGCTTGATGTCTTTTAACTATTTCTACTTGTAATCATTTGGGTCGAACTTTGGAGTACCTGTTCATAAATACAACTTCATGGCTGTATCCTTTTCAGACTTTGTAGAAGATGTGGTTGGGATGGAGTAGGTTTTTGCTGATATGTATCACAGAGGACAGAGGACTGAAACCGATACCGGCTAGAAGACCATGAGAAGGTCGATTTAGGGCTTGATAATCAAGTATAACCGAGAGCCGTATTTCATCAGGACCCGAATTTGATAGTCAGATACAAGAGATGGAACCAATATCTACCTGAACCTTCTACAAAAATACGTCAAACAATCAAGCAGTCATGACAACGGTGACCACACCATGTATTCATTATAGTAGAAATGGCCCAAACAAAGAGAAAATCTATGCAGCCCAGACATCCTTACCAGCACCCTCGATCCAATGACCAAGCTGATTGACACCGGCATCCCAGTCCTTGAGACGGTTCCGCATGCCATCAATCTGCTTCATATCGAGAACCTTGGGTTGAACCCAGTGGATCTGGGCAACCTGAGCAACCTGATCAATTGAACCACGCAGCAAGCCCAGAGATAGAGCCTTCATCACCAGGTGCTCAATCTCATCCGGCTGGACCTTTGTTTCGGAGGAAATGTCCTGGAAGGAGAGAGAGCGGTCGTGGGGCGGACGGCGGAAGACCATCTCGGTCAGCGCTGAGAGTGAGATCTTCTGGTACAGGAACTGGCGGTGCGATTCCAGCAGCTTGTTCTTGCTGATGTTACCGGCCAGCACGTCGTAGGCAGTCAGGTCACCGCGGTTGAACGCGAAGAGGAGCTCGCGGAGCCAGTTATGCGGGGTCTGGTCCAGGGAGTTCAAGATAGGGTGCAGGAGGAGCTCGCCGAAGTTGTAGATAGTGTCTGATACCAGGGCTGCAACACTGAGGTTATAGGCGCGGGATGCGCGCTCGGTCTCTGGGAGTTCTTCCAGGTCAATGCAGGCGAGGTAAAGGAGGGCGTTTTTGTAGAAGGAGGCGAATTCTTGCTTGGACTGAGGCTGTGTCAGTTTTCTGATTGAGTGTCAACGCTGGACATTCCCGATACATACGTGGTGGTAGTCTGCGTTCACTCGGTAGAATGATGCGTGCACCACAGTCTCAACCGAGTCAAAGGTATCCAGCACCCGCTGACAGGTGGCCAGGTCCTTCTGTGCTCCTTCGAGATCCTTCAGCGACAGCTTGACGTTCGCCACGTCACCGAGTGCGTACACATATGCATCCTGTGTATCGGCTGTATCCACCTTGCCGGCGAGAGAGGTGAGGAAACTGAGTCGTTCTTGGTCATCTAAGGAGGGGAAATGTGAGTATACATCTATTCGATATCCTGGACCAAACGATTGTGTTCAAGCTTCTATGCGGGATCTGGGTGCACTAACCTCCACATTCTGTTGCCGCCATTAGGCCCAGCGACACGAACTTGAGCTGGTTGATCCGGTCGGCGAAGCTGAGCACAAATGTCTTAAAGAGAGCTAAGCGGTGCGGAGCACTCTCTGGCAGGCGGAAGAACTCGACCAACGAGTCTGTGAGCTGGTGCCATAGTTTACGCTCCCAGTAGTCTTCGAACGTGAGGAAGTAGGGTTGCGTCTCTGCGCTTCCGTGTGCTTGCTGCTCGGCGAGGAAATCAGGAATCTTAGACTCCATGGCGGAGGGTTGGGAGTCGCGGATGCGGAATCACAGATAAAGAGCCGGATAATTGAAATGATAGAACGACGTAGGAGGATTGACAAGAATTGGAAGTGTTGATGGTTGTCGGACCGGACAGAGCTGATATGATGTCCTACGGCAGTTCACCAAGCTCGCTCACCGCCTTACCTTCTTCGACGCTCTTCGATTATGGGAGTCTATACTAACTGTAGCATAAATATGCTTATTATACTGGGATGTAATTGACTAGATACCCTTTTTTTGGATATTACCCCTCAGTTCGCTTGTAAGAGTTGATGCCCCATTCATATTTTACCCTAGTCGTCGGTCTCATCCGTGAACTGCTATACACAAGAATAGTGACCTAGGAGCTCCCAGGGCTCCTAGTGATGTTTAAGCCTCTGGGGAAATAAGAAGCAAATGACTTGAATGACTTGAAGGCTCGGCAGAATCAGACTACATAGTAATGGCAAAAAAAAAGACATTCAGCCTTGGGGGATCTACTTCGTATATGGATCTAGTCTGAGATGACATCAAGGCTTTGCACCTGGGCAACTGTCTTTACTAGTCGAGTTGCAAGGCTTAGTTACCCGCCAAACAATATGCAGATTGGGTTAAAATTACTGGGTACACTGATGGACAACACTATGCTACTTGACTACCAACGAAGGTTCATGCAGATAGTCCTGTCCATTCATATTACAGTAAGAAATTCGTAAGGATGCCCCAAAGGGAAAAGGTATTTTTATTTTGTAAAACCCGGACCAAACCCCAGCTGGGAACATGGAATCATAGATGCAACACAGAAAACGACACGCTTAAGCGTCATCGACGTTGGTGGTGTGCAGGCCCTTGGGGTCCTTGACGTTGACAGCCTGGACGTGGGAGTAGAGGCGCTCCTTGGCGTTCTCCTCGTCGTTACGCTTGCGGGAGATGCGGACACGGAGACGGAAGGGGACACCCTTGATACCGGCTTCCCAGACCTTCTTGTTGAGCTGGGGGTCGACACGGACGTCCTTGGTACCCTGTTGAACACGTTAGCAACCCGATTGTCGCCAAAGGGTAGATTGCTGAAAACTTACCATAGCCTGCTCAGCGAAGGCGCGGATCTCCTTGATGGCCTTGGGAGCACGCTTCTTGAAGCTGACGCCGTGGCACTATATTTCCGGAAAAGAAGTTACAATCAGTCTTCCGCCCGAATGCCATCTGCAAGAGAAAACTCTGCGCGATGAATGTTTGTGGTCTTTCGGCCATAGTGGACTTCATAAAACTAATTCTTCTTTTTGTGTTCCGGGTTCGGATGTGTGGATGCGAAAAAGGCTTTTTCAAGTCCCCGTTCGTCGTCTCTATCTGCGATGACAGATAAAAGCGCTGGCGCTCACTTCAGATTTCTCTGTAGGTCATGGCAAGAGTGGCAGTGTGGTGGGAAGTTGGAATATTTCCACGACCCCGACGCACACAAACCGCACACATTCTTCTCCGTAACAAATTCCATGTTTCAGGAAAAGTTTCTTGTTCTCTGTCCAATATGCCTCCAGAACTCTTCGTATATTCGAATCGTCGCAGGTAGACTGGGAATAGGGGGGTGTTCAACATACGCGCTTGTGCAGGTTGATGGTGTACTCGCGGGTCACCACGTCGGCGATAGCCGAGCGCTTGTTGCCGGTCTTGACGTTGGACATCTCTGCAGAGGAGGTTAGAGGAGTAATTGAAGGTGAAATGAGGTGGACTGACTGAATGGGGTGGTCGACGGTGGGCGGAAGTGGTCGAATGTTCAGAAGGGAAATTCGAGATGGTCGACTTTGGTGCGAAATTCAGTGTGGTCTCGCTTGCCGGTGGGGGCTGTGATTGGTGGAAGTGGGGCGTTTACTTGACGAATAGCAGAGGACCCCATATTTGGTGCCCCAGGCAAACACCACCTTAATTCCAGGTTCCGTACCGTGCGAGTGTATCGCATACTAAGTTGAATTGAATAGTCTCGTTGTTGAACACTGTAATATGGAGGCCCGTAGAAAACAGCTAGTATTCTATTTATATACCTGATCTTGGTTTCTCATATGCTATTCTCCCTCTATGACTTACCCGCACTCACATCGGGGTACAGATCAAATCGCCGCTGAGTATAGATCGGAATTCCATTGCGAATGCTTGCGATGGTATCGTTGTCCAAATCAGAATAGACAATGGTCTCTTGCTCTTCAGCCTCTGTCAGAACCTTTGCGCTAGGGTCAACAATCAAGCTGTGGCCATAGGCATGGTACGAGGCTTCCAGATCACGCGCCGGGCTGCACAGAGCCACGTAAGCTTGGTTATCAACGGCACGAGCGCGACCGAGGAGTGACCAATGCAAAGGACCTGTGGTAGTGTTGAAGGCGCCCGGGTAAACCAGCAAGAACGCACCCTTGCGAGCGGCGATCATCGCCGCCTCGGGGAAACGAATGTCGTAGCAGATGGCCAAGCCAATCTTTCCATACTCTGGAAGGTCGATGACCGTCAACTGGTCGCCCGGGGTGAGCACATCACTCTCTTTGAATTGAATCTTGCCGGGGATATCGATGTCGAACAGGTGTGTTTTGCGGTGGGTGCCAATCAACTCGCCGGATGGGGAGAAAACCAGCGAGGTGTTGAAGTATTTTTGAGTTGACATTTCCAACTCAGGAATACTTCCACCGACCAGGTATGCATTGGCCTCCACGGCGATGGCCGACAGCGCGTGGAAGGATGGCGATTGCTCTTTGGTGGGCGGTGAAGGTTGGAGGGTCTCTGCGTATTTAGGGAAAAAGCCAGTTCCGTAGGGCGAGTTGAAGCATTCCGGGAGCACGATCAATCGCGCTCCAGCCTTAGCAGCTTCAAGAACTTTGCTCCGAGCATGGGAGAGATTCACGGTCTTATCGGCTCCTAGATGGGATTAATAAGATAAGGGCAGTTGACTGAACGATTTCATACCTGATGCAAGCTGCACAAGAGCTAGTTTCAAGGGTTTCTTCAAAAAAGTCGCCATGGTTGAGGATGTGAAGAAGTTGAGAGGGGGGAATTCAAAGGTTGGGGTCGTCGGAGTAGGTCATCGGAGTAACCAATTGCGGGGACGGTCATCTCGCCGATAAGAATGTGTTACTCCTTTTGCGACATACTTCGCTGGATTGTGCGAGATTGGGGCTTGCTCAAATCTACTTAAGTACAGGTAAACTGCTGTTATCAAATAAATACCAGTGATTTTGTCATTTTTCAAATATTTGTGATTGTGATGGCTTGGGGGTAGATGATCACATATGTACTTGTAGATACCTAGGTACCCGCGGACGACGTATGTATGCCCATGGGTGAGATGAAAAACAAAAGCAACAAAATCATCGAAAAGGTTTCAATTCCCTTGGGTCTTCAGAGTTCCCTGCCGCTGATGCTTTCGTTGTCCCGCTACCCTTTTCTGATACGGTCACTTGAACCAATTTTATGTACATTTCTTTTCCTTTCCTTTCCACTTCTATTTCTGCTTTTGCCATCTTTTCATTCTTCTCGTTCTTTTATTTGATCTTCTACAATTAATATTCAACCAAAAAGTCTCGGGCACAAGATTGCCGATACATCAGACGTCTCTATGAACAAGTCAAAGATCTCGAACCCGACTTTCCATCTACCTATGATTTTAAGAGACTCGGAATCAAAGTCTTCCAAGCACCCTTGGCCGATACTGATGACGGCACTATCTTGTTCGATCCATGCTACTTCAAACCACACCCGGATAAACTGCTCGAAAAGTATCCAGTCCATCCGCATGTTGAAGCACGCGATCGCCCGGAGCCAATACTTCCCTCTGAACGCATTCGGGACTACATGAAGAGATCCCCCGATGATTATAAGCCATGGACCCTCCCAATCTTCGCGAACCTGAATCGCCAAGACCGAAACAGGTATGACATGGAACATGACTTTTACTCCCAAGCTACTTGCCTTGAACAAGCGTTAGACGCGCATTTGAGTGTGACAAGACTCATACCGCCTGACGAGATGCCCCCTGATGGAAGAAATCCTTACAGTGGATGCGGCGGCGAATTCGCCAACATGTTCTACCTGAAGCAGCTTCAGCAGCTTCAAAAGCAAGACCTCTGGTTGTGAGTAGAGATTCGATTGATATACACTGCACAAATACGTGAGGCTAATGGTTCATAGTCCACCGGCATCGCCATTCTTTACCTGGGAGACGTACAGCCGGCCAAAAAATTGGCGAGTGGTCCAACAAATTCAAAATCCCGGGCTCACCCATTCAATGATGACTGTTGCTTCGATGGTTTGTCCCAACTATGTCAACCAGGATCTCTATTTCCCCATGCGCCTTGGAGGACCCCAGCACTGCTTGTTGCGCCAGTGGCTCCGCCGAACATTCAAGAAAACACCAACCAACCAAGGCCTCACAACACAAGAGTTGAGAGCCATCGTGAACACAATGGTTCTCCGGCTTAAATTCGACCCTTTCCGCCACTACTGCATTCATCCAGTAGGTTCTTCAACAAACTTTGCTCACGGTAAATAGTATCTCACGTCTTTACAGGTTTTAGTTTTCTCCTACATGGGAAATCAACAAGGAAGAATCTTACAGGCATCGTTTGATTGGCAACGACTGGTGATACAATATTCCCAACTTTGGAATTTTGCAAATCCAGAAACTGCACCATTGGAGTTGTTCACTCGATATCGACTGAGTGAGCCTGTTTATGTTCGACCCTTTTTTGTCGGGGAGAGTACTGACACTCCCACTTGTTGAGATGGAAGTTCGTCTCAACCCTCGTTTGCTAGTAGATAAATCCTCCTCCGTAGGCTTTCTCTCCTCTCCCCTTCTCTCTCCCTGACAGTCAATTCAATCAGTTCTCTCTTCTCTTTTCCAATCGCCTGTAAGGCTCAACACCACTCTGTGCAAACCTCAAGATCTCGCCAACGGAAAAAGATCGACCAACATAAGTTGAGATAAAATGGTGACTTTCCTCGAACTTTCCGTTTCAAATAGGTTTGACCGGCCTACTGATGCATTGAAAGATTGTCACTTCACAGCCGGGAAATCAAAGGCTCTGGATTTTAATTGAATAGGATAATATGATGCTTTACAATAAATCTGCCCCCACTGCGTCCACTTTTACGTCACTTGTAGTTTCTGTAGATATACTAGTCTGTGGATCTGACCCAAAGCCGTTGTTCATAGGTAGATCCGATATGGGGGATGGTTGCTGACTGGGACTCAGGTCGGTTGTGATCGTTGTACTTAGGCACGATTCTTGTCTCAGATATCGCTATCTACGTCCAGGTGACTGCGAGGCTTGTTGGTTTGTCAATGTCCTATTCTCCGACGCTAACCTCATTCCCCTCCGATGCATTTAATTTTGACAAAAGGTGTCGTGGTTCAATGCACATTGTGCGCGTTTGAATCTTGATTGAGTATTACGACTTGTTCAAATGGTCATACAATTGAACTTTTTTCTTTTCTGATCGTAAATCCAGATTTTTCGTAGGAGAGGACGTCGTTTCCCTCTCTCAACACTTGCCATATAGATAATGTAAATACTGTTGATTGGGGAAGGAACAGATGCAGCAAAACCAAGGCCTAACAGAATCCCCTTTTTCTGTTCAAGATATCTGATATCACTGCGAAATAAAACTCATCACAATTGTTTTATATGCCCAAAATGCCTGTTGAGATTTCGCGAACCGCAGATCAATGGTCAAGCCGTGCAAAAGAGCTTGGTCTCAAAGACACCTCTCCACACGAGCTTTCCCTTCTCTGTTCGCCCTCTAATGTGAGCGAGGCTAATCGGAAGAAGTGGTCTGTCTGAATGTATCCGCATGTCTGATACCTGGCGCGTGGAGGATACATACTAACGTTTGGAACCAGGCTGTGTGTCGATTGCACTAAGATGGCCAATGCTGTCCCGCCCCCGGACGAACCAAATCGGTTCATGAATACTGTGACTACTGCAAACGTGTCGGTCATACAATATGGCCGACTGCTGGGTCTTGGATCAGGTTCAACAGAGAGGACCCTCTATGATCAAAGATTTGCTCCGGGTAAGTTACCGAAAATTCTATTGATCAACAGGGAAAATGTTAATGAATTGGGTATAGCCCACCGCCGAAAAGTCCCACCATGGAAAGCAGTCGGCTGCTGTGAGAGAAGGTAAGTGTCTAGTCAATCCTACTCACTTCTTCACTTTGCCCTTACTTTGCCCTTATTTTGCCCTTACTATGTTCTATCATATATTAGTAATTACAGTCAACTAACAATAAATATAGCAAGAAAGAAGAAGAGACAGAGAACTACTACGTCCGCCGCCGCTGCTAAGACTGCGCCCTTACCCACTAGGACTACGCCCCTACCCGCTGAGACTACGCCTCTGCCCACTTCCGTCTGAACTACAAATACGCTATATAATAACTACCCGCTGAGACTGACCTACGAGTACGCTTTATGACAGACAGGTGAGTGATTATTGATTACTCGTATACCCATAAGAAGGAAGCTAACGTATGTATACTATGTAGGCGGCGAGCTGCCCACTATATCCAAGCCCAACAAGAAAATGGGTGCCTTCCTACATGTCCAGCGGGCCCAGCAAAAGATCAACATGATCGCCAAGGCGCCCTTCGGAGCCCCAAAACAAGAGAATTATTGTCTCCGTCCCAAAGCCCCTCTGGTAGCATCCACTGAGGACCACAGGACCCAGTGGTGAGCCAATTCGCGAAGGACTTGGCGACGATAATCGACACGCGACAGAATGAAAAACGAGAAAACACTATTATGAAGCAAATCGTCGACGCCGTGAGCACAACCCAGCCCACCATTACCGATCTCCGACAACGTTTCAACGAGATGTTACCCCGAGATCATGTATTACTCGAAAGTATTATACGAACACACTTACCAGATTTACTCGACGAGTAACACCACCAGGGACGGTGGCTTATTCGAAGAGAGGGACCCTGTCACGCGGCGTGGCCACATATATTATTAGTTAGCTAGGCAGGAGAATGCAATCATCTTTACACCTCCCAGCTTGCTTACACGTACGTTCCGTGACACGTACGGTAGGCCCCTTACACTTTACATGCTGAGTGAGCACCTGCTTATTCAACATAAAGTGATACCTAGGTATATTTACTAACCTCATCGATAATGCCTATATCTCATAAGATAGTCTTTGATATCATTCGTGAAATGTACACGGCGCAATATAATCTCTTTGGGATTTGTCGTTTATCCCCGTCCGGAGAAAGTCTTCCCGGGTATCTAAACCTGAAAACTATACGGTTCATAAACAGGCGGTATCTCACCAAAAGGAAATAGGAGATCCAAAGGCGTATTCATCATAAGCTCGTAATCCATGGTTGTCATACTCGACGGTGAGGTTTGTTCCAAAGCGTCCTTTCTCCGCTGGTGCATCGCCTTCAACATCTGTCCTCTCGCGGCCATTCTCCCGTATATCTCGGGGATCTGGGTGCATTCGGGATCCTGTTGCAAGGTCTGTTGAAAATGAGGCCGGGACTCTTCTAGCTTGGCGAGCAATTGGTCGATGGTGTGATTGAAGTCTATTGTGCTTTCGACGTACGTGCGATCCCACCCGCTGTGGTTATATAGTGACAGCTGGGAGAGGGTGACGATTGCTTTTCCGAACTGACAGATTATGGTAAAGGGGACATATGGGAAGAACGTGGAGGGTAGGGCGCAGAAGTTTCGGAAGAATGAGGTTGTTGATTCCAGGCAGCGGTATAGAAGATCTAATCGCATCAGTGGGTGATCGCCGTAGTTGGACTCGGCCGAGTCTTGGTTCAGAGCGACTCGATAGAGATGTATTTCCAGTGTGTCGTAGTGGGTTAATAGGATGGCTGTTGTTGATGTCAGGTGGTTGTAAAAGTACCAATCTGTGATGTACTAACCGCTTTGTGATGGGTCACCCGACATGCGAGCCTTCAATTCTCTGAGTTCAGCCTCCAGCCATCTTATGCTCAATCCAATAGGGGATGATGAGACTGGTGAGGAGTGAAGGTCGGTTCGGTACAGTGTACAATGAATCCTTTTTGCAAGGTTCATCACTCGGACTAGTTGTACCAAGTGGGAATCGACGGGGTTTTCTGCGACCTGCTCTAGAACCTTACAACATTCTTCGGTGTATTTGGTGAAGCGGATGATGGGTCCTAGGTCTTTCACACAAGTGGAAAGCCTGTGATCTGTTAGTCCGAAAGCAGCGTTGGGGGTGAGGTCATTTACATCGTGGTCAGGTAGTAACACCCTAGATAGGTTCGTCGTTCCTCCAAGGTTCGGACAGGATTGTGAGAAGGCTCATGTAAGGCTTCCCTTAAATAAGTCATGGGGTAATTCAAGCTTTTTTGATAGGTCAACTCTTGGTTCAGCCCCAAACTGAGGGATTGGGCCACAAGTAGATGCACAAAAGCATCGAATTGAGAGGTGCTGCGAATGATAGATTGAGGCTCCATCTCGGCTTTGAAGATTTCACTGTGGCCAGATGTGGGCGTAGACGCGGCGGGCGGCTGGCAACGACTGACAGATGTGAACCAAGCTGCATTTACCAGAAGCCCTTGGAGGAGATCCAGACTTTGTTCGCCTCTCATGACGATATGCTCTGCCACGTATCGCTGTACTGACTTCACAATTTCTCTCTGGCGGACAGAGCTTTGGCACACAACCATGCAAATATTCATGAAGAGGAAGGGTTTTTCTCGGCGCAATTCCTCTGCAGTAACCTCCGAGGGAATCATCAAGAAAGGGAAGAGGAGCAGCATCTGCTTTCTGAACACTTCCAATACTTTTTCTTCGTCAAGGTCGGTGGCGATGATTCTCTCTTCAACCGCCGGGGATGAGCTTGCAGTAGTCCCATCTAGTCGTTCTCTGGCAGTGCGTTCTGAGGCAGCCAGCATGTCGACCATACGGTCTAATTTTTCCTCAAGTGCAGCAATCTCTCTGTGTAATTTATCAGCATACATGGCATCCATACACGACAGTATTATCATGCAAATGAGAGCCCTGGGGGTCCACTTACAAACTGCTCGTTCCTGATTTTCTTGGACGTCGGTGAGCCCCAGGTGTTTGATTTCCACATTCTTTGCCTAGACGGAGGCACCTGATAAAGTATCAAAATCACGTCTCATGTAGGCATTTTGATACTACACATACCGTCTGCAGGGGCCATCATTTTCAGGCAAACATCGCACTTTCGCCTTGGCGCAAGTCATGCACGCCTTCGGGTGCCGAGCACTAGCACTCTCCATGACGACACTGCAATTTGGGCTGTCCGGGTTGCCGATGTACAGTCTCAGTGTCGAGTCCGATCAAATCCGAGAGAGAAAAGAAGCGGAGACGGAAGTCCGCTCCAAATCCGCCCCCAACTATTATCATGTGATCTCACATACTATTCCTAGCAAACATACTTAAGTATATCATGGAGCTAAAACAACTCGGAAGTCGATTTTCATGCTTCACACTCTCCTGGGCTATTTACCTGTGGTTGGCCGTCTGTCTGCAAGGTCGTGCACCTCCAAGGCTGGGCAAGAGGCTAGACCCACACCAGCACACTCCGGATTCCTTAGTCTACTATAGAGAGCACCACTTGAGCAGTAGTGTGGTCTGTTTCCGATTTTGTATCCCAGGGGTTAATGGGCTTTCTTGTACAGAGCATGCACGAGCATTCATTTCACGTTTTTATATTGAGAGCCTTGGAATAATTCGGGGACCTCGGAAATGAACTAAAGAGCACTACTCCGTCCTCCTGAAGTCGGGATATACTTCGCTTTTCATATGCACCTATATATCCCTGGGTACAACGCGAACCTTTTGCTTGTATACTTAAGTACAATCAAAATTAGATTCCGATTAACAGATTTTTAATCTACCAATCCTAAGTTAATTATTAACGATATTGTCAAACCTTCTGGTGGAGATGCAGCCGCGGACAACTGTTGGTGGCCTCAACCAGTAACTCATTCTAGCCGCGCCATGAGGGCAGCCTAGCAGCGCAAAAGGCAACGAGGCCACGAAAGGCTTTCCCAGGTGAGGCTCAAAGTTCACTGTCAGGAAGTTTGGAACATTCTCAGGGATCAATCACTTGGGTGAGCACCATATATTTACTCAAGTAGAAAGTAGTTGTCGCCTGCTCAAGTGCATATCACTTTTTACGAGGGCTCAGGGTACATGAAATCATCATCACTGTAGCAGACTCTAATCAATAGCATTTATAATGACCATTCCTCTTGTAAAACTCCCATCCAAATTTCATCCCACCATTGCCCGTCTCTCCACACAGCCTTCCTCAATCGGCCTTCTTCTTGGAATCCAACCTTATGATACGTTTTCAGGGCGACCTCATTCCACCCATACACTTCTAATTGGACCCTGTGTAGATTTGCCATATTGAAAGCCCAGTTGAGAGCCCAACGTAAAACCTCAGTTCCATAGCCTTGGCCTTGTGCGTCGGGTCTCAATTCGATACCGAGATCAGCACATCTGTTTTGAATCTGGCTTGGAGGGATGTTCTTGATCATGAGGATTCCAATTCTCTCTGCTTCAGAAGCTGGTGGGTTTTCTGCCGCATTCGGCGATGATTTCTTGCAGATAACAACCCCCAGAAGGGCTGTTTCGAATTCTTTGATAATTGGTTCAACTGAATCTTTCTTCATGGGCTGAAAAATGCTTTTTGAAGTATTGTAAAAGATTTTTGGGTCGGAATGCATTGCGAAATACCATTCTTTATCGCGGGAGGAATCCCAGGCACGGAAGTAAAGACGATCCGATTCTAAGAAATTCATGGCTGACGTTCGCGTTTTGTATCGTTTGAATAGAGAAAGTAATCTCCCCAAGTGAAAGAGAGCCGAAGTCAGCAATCTGGGGTCTGTCAATTCTACATTAAATAAGGAGAAATGTGAAGACTCTGCTGAATGGGTCCGCTTCAGGCCATATGGAAACCCCGGGGTCCCTATTAGGAATGACCCCGGGGCCCCGTTTATTACTTACGTAACGCTGCCTTATGACCTCGGGATACTCGTAGTAGTATGTACATACTAGATACTCGTATGTAGGTATAACTTTACTTTCCATGTGAGACAATAACAGCTTCTAAAGTTTGAGCACCTTCTGAGGCTTCCGCACAATTGCAGTCTTCGTGTACGCGGCACCAGACATCCTCGTGCTGGGACTAGTGTGGCCAGCAAGGCTGGGGACGTAGCCGCGGGGAGCTGCTAACAGCCAGATAAATTCAGGAAGTTGCACTAAAAACCACGAACATTTTGCAATTTGAAGCAATTTCTACTAGTTATGTGAACCAGAATTGAAATCTTGGAACATACAAGAAAATGATCTCGCCAAAAGCCATGGTCAATCTCCTTTCTTTTTCCTATATTCTACGTAGCTAGTTTATATATAAATTTCGTTTGATGTTTGATAGTATTATATTCAACTCGTTGTCTTCCAAGGAAATAAGGTAAGAATTGTGCTAAGCTCTATCGACCATAACCCGAAAAATCCTATATGGGATAAAAACAAACTAGCCAACTTGTGTTCTTCACCTAGATTCATTATCTAATAGCCCGGATGGTCTAGTGGTATGATTCTCGCTTTGGGTTAACACGCAATTTGCGAGAGGCCCCGCGTTCAAATCGCGGTTCGGGCCCACTTATCTTTTTGCCACAATTACATTGTGGTGTTGTGGTGGACAGGAAGGTGATGTGTATTTTTTTGGTGGCCTGACAAAATAATGATCTATTTTGTAAAATTGAACTTTGGTTAATGAAGATAAGTATCTACTCATGTTATAATATGGAAATTTACTCTGTATGTGAACTAAGTACTCTGTAAAGAACCTAGATAGGCCAGAAAGGTAAGGGTTGAATGTTGAATTTGGCAATTGCTTCATAAACCGTACTTTTCCCTCCAGTTTATGTAATTGCCCGGATGGTCTAGTGGTATGATTCTCGCTTTGGGTTAACACTTATCTGCGAGAGGCCCCGCGTTCAAATCGCGGTTCGGGCCCATCTCTTTTTTTCTTTTTTTTTCAAAGCCACATAGAAACCATTTGTATTGCTCTCACCCAGCATACCAAATATACCCAGAAAACCAACGTCGGCCACGATGTCGACCACCATCTTTTCAATCTCCAAAAATTCCTTCAACCCGACGAGCAGCTTCTTGAGATCTACCAGAACCCTGCTTTTGCTTACCCTTCTTCTTAGTATCTCTCCACTTCTCAGCTTAGCTTCAAATACTTCAACGACTACGGATAGAGCTAAATCATTGATAATAGCTTCGGAATCGCGTACATGATTAACGAAAACAGGTTAGTCCCCTCTCCCTTTATTCCCCTTTTTATTTGAAACAATACTAATACTATCCAGCCTTGACTTCAACATCGTCTGCAAGCGTCTCGGCGCTGAGCGCATAAGCCACTACCTCAACGAGGCTGCTTCCGAGCTTCGCGATCTCCTCATGCCTGACCTCGCTGCCCAGTCTGAGAAGCCCAAGCTGTAGTTTGCATATACCCGGTCTTCTTGTTTTGTTTTGGTTCCCTGTCAGCGCTAGCGCTCTCCAGGGCTAGATGGATATATCTGTGCTTTCGGTGTTTTTGTATTTACATCATCTTGTAGGTGAAGGGACAAAGTTGGTTATTGAGCACCACCTAGATAAATACATCTGTTACCCATTTTGATCTTTTCAACTAACCTTGGAAGGTTCCAATATAGTATCCATGCCCAACTTTAGAAATATACCTAGACTCATAAACCGGCAGAAACCATGGCCATCTCCAAGATTAGGAAGGAGCAAAGACAGTGGGAAAGCACCTGCTCAAGTGAGTCACTTCCAACTTCAACGTAGAGCCCCTTTTCCTTACACAAATAACCACAAAGAACTTTACCCCAAAGCTCATTCGCATTCTCGAACTGTTATTCTACCAATGATGAACGTATATCGATTGAACGAGAGAGTCCCTAACATTGTCCGAAGTATTGCGACTTTTGCGGTTGCGTTGGCCACACGATGGTCAACTGCTGTCATATTGACCAGGTCGAGCAACAAGGGCTGGCCATACGGGTAAGTTACCGAGAATTCTATTGATCAACAGGGAAAATGTTAATGAATTGGATATAGCCCACCGCCCCATTGGCCAACAAGGCTCATCATGGGAAGCGTTCGGCCACCGCCAGAAAGGGTAAGTGTCCAGTCAATCCTACTCACTTCTTCACTTTGTCCTCACTTTGTCCTCACTATGTCCTATTATATGTTAGTAGTTACAGTCAGCTAACAATGGATATAGCAAGGAAGGAGAAGAGGCAGAGGACTGCTGCGCCCGCCGCCGCCGCTGAGACTACGCCTTTACCCGCTGGGACTACACCCCTACCCGCTGAGACTACGTCCCTGCAGGCTGAGACTGCGCCTCTGCCCACTTCCGTCTGAACTACAAATACGCTTTATAATAACTGCCCGCTGAGACTGACCTACGAATACGCTTTATGACAACGATAACGAATTTATGAATACAAAGACCTGGCTCGAAGCCTTTTACTCCACTATCTCCATGGGTAGTACCCCCGTAGACCTCGTTATGTTTTGTTAGAACGATTAGAATGCGCGGACCGAGCGGAGCCTGCTCCACATAGCCCTGTGCTTCGTACATCCATAGATATCTAGGCCTCAACAGACAATGATTCCAAGGTTGCAAAAGGCCGACAGCGCGGAAGAGACAATGAATGATGCCCGTTATTCTCAGTTATCTAGTATATTCTGATTATTTTTGCTTCAACAACCTATTATACAGAGATGTAATTATAGAACCATCGCACCAACCATAGCCATCAAGGCCACAACACCGACATTAGACCCAGCAGTATGAGCAGCATTACCAGTGGGAGTGCTACTCGCGGCAGAGGATTCACTGGAGACAGCAGAGGTAGTAGTAGTCATAGAAGCAGCAGGCGAGCTAGTAGGAGCAGCAGTAATCAGACTGGCACTCGAGTCCGTAGCCGTAGAAGTAGAGACCGCCGTAGAACTGGCGGAAGAAGAATCACCCCCAGTAGAGTTGGCTGTGGTTTCCACAGCCTCAGTCGAAGAAGTAGTAGCCGCGGCTGTATTCGTGGAGGCAGCCTGTTTCCCATTGGGCCCATAGCCCTCGATGTAGCTGGCGGTGACAGTTGCGGTGCCGGAGTACAGAGGACAGCCAGGTTGGTTGGTTTTTGGGGGTGCGCGGCCGCCACCGCAGTCAAGGAACGTGCAGATTTCACCGGTGTCGGGCACGTACCAGAGGTAGCTTGCTCCGTAGTTGATCACCACTTCGCTGGAGACGCAGCCTTCCAGGTCTGTGCGAGCACTGGCAAGGCTGGAGAGGCTTAGGCCCAGGAGGAAAGAGAGCGTAGAGGGCTTCATTAGGCGAACGAGTGACAACGAGTGACAATAAATGACAGGGAAAAATGAAAAGAGAAAAGATGGAGACTAATAGGGGGAAAATAGCCTAAACCTTGTGTGAAATTGAGGCTGACATTTCACAGGGTCTAACAGGGTCTAATAGGGCCCATTTGCCCCTGGAAACTGGCGCCGATATCTCCGAGACTATTTTTGGCCTTCTATTCGGTTCCATTAAATGTCAAATACTTTGTTTTCATGACTTAGAGTACATTCAATGGTGTTATAGTGATGAGACCAAGCCCATATGCTGAGAGTGCAGAGATCGAAACAAATTTGAAAACAAACGAATTAAAGACTCCGGTGCCCTAATAGCAAGTCAAAATGAAGGAAGCAAAATAGATAAGACAGTTGAAACCGCGAGTTCCGCGTGAGAAAAAAAAGGGCCCCTGGCGAGACACCGGGCTCATCTAAGAAGCTGAAAGTGGGAAGAAAATCTGAAACCGAGGAGAAACATTGACAGTCAACGCCGAAGTTCCCTTAAAGTAGATACTGAGGTAAACTGGATCAAAAGTGTGACACATTTTTGTTCAAAAAAAAAAAAAAGGAAGAAGAAGCAGAAAAAGGGGAGCTAGCATCGAGTTTCCGAAGCGCAAATCTCTAGCCCATGGGATAAACCGGGCGAAGATTTGGGCGAAGAGGCGACAGCGAAGAAACTCGAGCTCGACAGAAGCTCAAGGCTAGCCCATGGCGTAATCCGGGCCAACACTGGCAAGAGTCGATGCAGGACAGTAGATCAAGACGAGAAACAAAGATGCAAACCGGGGCAATGCGCTGGGACATAAACATACACTCCATTTTAGGAGGACAAAGATAAACAGGATATGGGAAGAGATTTAGTACCTGATCTCTTGGATCTTTTCGAAGAATTCTGGAAGGAGTTCCTTTCTCACACGAAGGGCCCATTGAACCATGGTTTTGTCCTCGGGAACAATGAGCTGAACGCTGGTGGAACTAAGACTGCAGTCAAACTCTTTCTTCAGAAGCGTGTTCAAAACGACGTTTCCGCTAGGGTCAACACGGAGGACTACGCGAGCCCGGCCAGTCTCAGGATGCTTCAGAAGACGAAGAGTACCAGTACCCTGAGCAACCCAGGAAGATTTGTTTTCGAGCTTGAAGGCACGAGCACGTTGTTCATAAATGAGAGTCTCATCCTCTTCGCCAACGTTGCCCTTGGTAAGGTCGAAAATCTCTCCGGGCTCACCCTCGCCATCTTCGGCAACAGCGACGGCAGTTGACGTTGCCGGAGCGGGAGTAGCCTGAGAAAGGGTAGCTGCAGGGGTACTGGGAGCGAGAGATGCACCGAAGGGGTTGGTAGCAGGGGTGGTCTGAGCGGGGGTGGCCTTAGGTGTATCGGCAGGAAGAGGCGCGTTGAAGGGGTTGATAGCAGGAGGCGTCACAGAGGGTGTAGCCGGGTTTGACACACGCCCGAAGAGACTACTGGCAGAGGACGCGGGAGGCGAAGCCTGCTTTTTCTTGGCAGCTGATTCATCTTCCTCGTCGCTGGCATCGGCGGAGGACTTGCGCTTATGCGATGTTGGCTTAAGACCACCGAAAATGTTCTGTGAAGATGGAACTGGCTGGGCACTCCCAAAAACAGAAGAAGTTGAGGAAGAAGCTGAGCTAGGAGCGAAAACCGAGGTCGATGTGGCAGAAGGCTTGACATCAAAGAGAGAAGAAGATGCAGGCGGAGCGCTGAAACCTCCGAAGCTTGAAGACTGCGTAGTGTTGCCACCGAAGAGGGACTTTGACACAGGAGGGAAGCTGCTAGAGGTGCTGGCACCAAGTGAAACTGGGGTCTCGGCAGCAGAATCGGTGGCAGTCGAAGCAGGGTCAGCGTCAACAAACTTGAACCCTTCGCCAGGAACAAAGACGGGGCGCTTGGTGGCCGCGGCCTCGTGTTTGGCACGCTTGGCACGTTGCTCCTCGGCGTCCTTTCGCTCCCATTCTTCTTCATCATCATCCTCCGAGTCGAAGTCCTCAGCCTTTCTCTTGGCCTTTTCCTCAGCGGCGGTCTTCTCGGCAGTCTTCTTGAATTGGGCCATGAAGTCAGTTCCACCAGTCGAGCCGCTGCCAAACTTGGGAATGGAGAAAGCAGGGGCAGGGGCGCTAGAGATAGGAGTGGCAGAGTCGCTACCAAACTTGGGAATGGCAAAAGCCGGAGCTGCAGGAGCCGAGGCAGATGACTCGGCGGCAACGACAGCTGGAGTGGCGATGGCGTCTGTAGCAGGAACACCGGCGGGTGTGAAGGAAAGCGGAGCCGCAGGAGCCTGGGCGGGAGTGAACGATCCAATGGGCGCAGGGGAGGCAGCGCCACTAGGGGCCGAGAAAGACTGCTTGAACTTGTTGACAGTGTCAGAGGCACCAGAGGATGGCTTGGCAATGGTGTCCTTGGCAGTGGAGAGAGCATGGGAGTCGAAAGCTCGGGGAGGGGCCTGGGAATCAGCAGTGGCCTCGTCGACCTCGTCGGCTTCATCCTCTTCGGCATCAGACTCGCCGAGCATGGCGCGTTCCTGCTCTTCCTCGGGGTCCATGGCTCCAATGGGAACTCCAAGGCTTCGGCGGAGTTCAGCGTACAAAAGAATGGTTTCGTCGATGTCGTTAGTGTATGGATCACACTTGGCCACATGCGTTTTGAAAGAAGACGTGAGCGTCGCAATTTTGACGTAAACAGCCTCAGGATCCGTGTCGCTCTCGAGGCAGGACTCAGAAACAGACATATCGTCGTCAGAAGTAGAAGCCTTGTGGAAAATACTGTCGGCTTCTTGAGCAGTGCGAGTGTTGGAAACATCGTAAGGATAAACGGTAGGCGTAGAAGAAGAGGGTGGGAGAGAAGAAGAGGAAGAGGGACGTAAACAACTTTTCAGATCAGTAGGAGCTTGCGAAGGCGCGGGTGTGGTGTCAGGCGTCGGTCCTCCCTTTTGAGAGAAACCGGAGAATAAGCCTTCGGAGGTGTTTTCCACTACTGGGGCTGATTCCTTTCCAGGCTTCGATGCTATGCTCGACCCAAACAAAGATGCTGAAGGCTGTGCGAGGCTTGTCTGCTCTGGCGCCTTGGACCCGAATGAACTGCTGAACGGGCTCTGTCCGGAAAGGCCAGCAAATGGGTTACTAGGTGTAGGAGCTGACTTTTCTTCCCCAGATTTCGCTGGGGCAGGGGAAGCACCGAATAGTGACCCTGATGGCTGAGACTTGGCAGGTTCAGATGTCTGTTGCTTATCGGCCTCCGCTGGCTTTGAAGTCACTGGCGCTCCGAACATGGGTTTGGGCGGCTGAGTTTCAGCAGGTTTGGCCGCCGCATCATCAGTAGCAGGCTTGGGTGTCGCAAACATGTTACCAAACGCGGGCGTGGCGGTTGAATTGCTTTCGGCATCAGGAGTCTTTGAGGTTGCAGGGGTTCCGAACAGTGATTTGAATGGCTGGGGATCAGCAGTGGGCTTGGATGCTGTCTTCTCCTCGGCTGGCTTGGGCGTTCCAAACATGTTTCCAAACGCGGGCGTGGCGGTTGAATTGCTTTCGGCATCAGGAGTCTTTGAGGTTGCAGGGGTTCCGAACAATGATTTGAACGGCTGGGCCTCGACAGTCTTTCCAGCACCCTCGTTCTCAGTGACCTTCGGCGTGGACAGACTTGCGAACGGGTTGCTTGCCTTTGGTGCTTCTGTCTCCGACTTTGGCGCAAACAGATTGCTAGCAGGTTCTGCTGGCTTGGGTGTTGTGGTCGATCCAAAGAGATTACTGAAGGGCTTCGCTGCTTCCGCGGGCTTCGCGGGTGTCTGCTCTGTTGCCGTCTTTGGTGCAAACAGATTGCTGGCACTTGATGTCTGTCCTGACAGGCTCGCGAATGGATTGCTTGAAGCTGCATCCGAGACAGGCTTTGGCGCAAAGAGGTTGCTAGGAGCTGGCTGTGCCTTAGCTTCTTCTGGCTTTGATGCCGCAGCGGCGCCAAAGAGAGGCTTGAATGGCTGAGGTTCCGCGGACTTGGCGGTATCATTTGTGGCATCGGGCTTTGGCGCGAATGGGTTACTGGCCGTCTGACCGGACAAACTTGAAAAGGGATTGGCAAGCGGAGACCCTCCTACAGCTGGCTTGGCCCCGAACACTGAGCCTCCCTTAGGTTTCGTATCTGGTGAGGTCTGCATGCTATCGTCGGCGGGCGAAGTGATATGTGAGGTAGATTGCCCGAACAAGCCGGAGCTGGGTGTGCTAGTGTTTTGCTGTACGCCAAACCCACCGAATGATGGAGCTGGGGCTGGGGCGGGAGTGGGGGTCGCCTGGTTTCCAGAGCCCCCGGAATTGAAACCTCCAAAGCTGAACCCATTGGTGCCTGTTTGGGAGCTTCCACCGAAGGAAGTGTTGATAGAGAACGGGTTGTTTGCTGGCTGAGCCCCGAAAGAGGTTGGGCCACCGCCGAAGCTAAATGACGACTGACCACCTGCTTGACCATTGGTGCCGGATGAGAACATCCCACCCTGGCTCGCTGCCGAGCTAGCCCCCGGGAAGCTTTGGCTCTGATTTTGCGTTTGTCCGAATGAGAAACCAGTCGACGGAGGAGCAGGGGTTGCGGCCGGAGCTGGAGCCGCGAAGGGGTTGAACGAGCCTGCGTCGGCACCACCGCCGGCTGTGGGTGTAGGGGCTCGACGTTTGCGAACGTCCTTGATTCTGAAGGTCCCAACAAAACCACCGGTCAGCCTGATTCTCTGTCACTGTCCTCCATAGTTGCTTACTTTCTGCTGGCCAGCTGGGCCGCGGTCGCCCGGTGAGGCTTATCATCGGGGGTGCCCTGTCCAAAGCCACCGTCACCATCCTTGGACCCTTGGTCACCGAAAGCTGCGCGTTTCTGCATCTTGGGCGTATGAATAACGACCGAGAGCTGTGAGATCGAGCCGAGGTAGCTATCCGTTCGAATGGAGAGTGATCCTGGATGATTATCAAGTACAAAGAAAACCGTGTCTCGGAGTTGTCTCCTGAGTTTTGGTTGCGATAGAAACGCGGAGTTTATTGCGCGTGGTTTTTTCCGACTCTGCGCCAACTGGGAAAGGCCACAACGATGAATGTTATGGTGTTGTATGGAGGCGACCTAGGCAGGAATAAGGTCGAATAATTCCCTTTCAATTTATTGGATGGTCGTATGGTGCCCGTGATTCCGTGGCAGGTTCGCGATCCGGCGCGCTGAGAGCTGGGAGCTGATCACGCGGTGAGGTTTCGAGGTGAAAAAGAAAGTGAAGGCGTATCAAGAATCAAAGTCCACCCTTGATAAGATTAGTCGGCCCTTTAGATGCCCTGCCCACAATGAAGGGATTCACTTGTTTTTTTTTTTCTCACACGCAGCCAGATATCCAAGGCGGAAAGAGGGAAAAAATGTAGTCACGTGAGATGTCTTGGCACTGAGGTGCTAAGCTATCGTTTTTTGTCCGCATCCGAAGGGGGCACTATTGAATCCCTCTGGTTACTCCGTACGAAGTACGGAGTGAAATTCAGATCCTCGCAGTTTTTATCAATGAAACTCCCCAGCTTCTACTATTACAGAGAATACTCCGTATGGGATTAGATCTATATGGAGTGGCTAACAGCATAAAAATCCATCATTTGTGGGCAACCCACTTATATGACGTTCGGCCCGTTGCGACCTCCGATCTACTCTGTACGGACAAGGCACACACGGAGTAACAAAACAAAAAACACGGAATACTCCGTAGAGACAGAGCATTCAAAATACTCACCTGAAGCATCAGCTGCTGCGGTTGGCTTTGCATTTTAACCTGCGGAATCAGGTACACCCGCGGCCCGTTCAGTGTAGGCTGTATGGCACCAATGCGGGCGAGTCCAATTCGGTATAAATTGCCTTGGCCCAAAGCCGTAATTCAAGACTTGACCGTAAGGCCCGTGACAGGCCCATTGTATCGACGAGAGCACCCCCTCGGTGTTACAGCCTTCGAGTCCAGGTGTGCCGTGTGACACCATGTCAATATAGCCAGGGCAGTTGGCTTTTCCCCCGCAGAGGCGTTATGCCACGGGTCTTCTGACCATCTGACCTTATTAATCTACCAGCATATCTTCAAGCTGGACTGGGTATATGGACCTGGGAGAGTTTGGGGTGGGAGGTGTACGGAGTGGCCCCTGAGTCACATACCCTTGAAAAGCCTCAAATTCTGCTCGTCACATTCCATTCCCATTCCGGGCCGCCCCCGAACACTAAATGTAGTTTGATCTTCTGCACAATGTGATGTGGCCAGGCACAGTTCTTCATTGGTTGGCTGCTACCCGGGTCGCTGCTAAGGCCAGGAAGCTCAATCTCTAGCGGGGAAAGATCAGCAGTCATTCCCACGCTCATTTCCACTTTATCATGAGATGACAGGTCCTGCGTGACAGTTTGAACTAGTTACAAAGCATTTTGGACAGAAAATCTTGCTGATACATACCCCGGTCTATAGTCACTGGCTGTCTGCGATCTATTTCCCCGACTGATTTCCCCGTCTCGTGTTGTATCTCGGGGTGGGATCACTATTGATTTGCATTTTCAGCCGACGATGCAGGATACAGGTGCAGCTGCAAGACCTCCACCCCCTTTATAGTCATGCGCCATGGGGTCGATTGAGTTTGATCTCCTCGAAGGGCTCTACATAAACCATGTGGTCCCCGGTGATTTTTCCCACGCTCTACTGGCCAGTACGACTCTTGTTGACCAGCACTGAGTGCTTGTTTGGCAAAATGTTTTCCTCTTTGATCAAGCTCCTACCTCTGATGGTGGGCATCAATGCCCAACTGCTAGATATCCCCGCCGTGGATGAGCTAGTCAGTTCTGCCATGCTTCCTTTCGAGCAGTACGCCTACAATACTCCGGCTGAAAGCACCATACCCGCGGTTGCTGTCTCCACGACCGCTGCAAAGGTCCAGGCTGCAGCTGTTGAAGCTGCTGCCGCAGACAATGCGTATTGGCTGGCGGATATAGCCCATCAAGGGGTTGCCGCCTTTAATTCCAACCCTGCGGGATATAAGGTTTTTCGCAATGTGAAGGACTATGGCGCCAAAGGTAATTTGACGTCGGAATTCTCCAGTGGTTTTACTAAAGAAGACCAGGCGATGGTGTGACCGACGATACCGCAGCCATCAACGCAGCCATCAGCGCAGGAGGGCGCTTCGGACCAGCAAGCAGACAGTCTTCCACCACGACACCCGCAATCGTCTACTTCCCATCTGGAACATATATAATCTCCACATCAATCATTGATTATTATTTCACCCAGCTTATCGGTAACGCAAATGCCATACCGGTTTTGAAAGCGACTGCAGGTTTCGTCGGCTTGGGCCTGATTGATGGTGACCAATACCAAAACGATGGAAACCAGGGCTGGACATCGACAAACGTATTTTTCAGACAGATCCGCAATTTGAAACTGGACTTGACTGCTATCCCTGCCGGTACTGCTGCTACTGGTATTCATTGGCCGACTGGCCAAGCCTCAAGCATTCAGAATGTCCAGATTGCCATGAGTGCTGCTTCTGGAACTCAACACCAGGGAATCTTTATCGAGAACGGTATGTTACATTGTGTATCCCTGCTCGAGCATTCTAATGTAGTGATAGGGTCTGGTGGTTGGATGAGCGATGTCACCATTACCGGTGGGCTGTACGGAGCCAATGTTGGCAACCAGCAATTCACAATGCGCAACTTGGTCATCTCCAACGCAGTAACGGCAATTTCTCAGATCTGGGATTGGGGCTGGACATACCAAGGATTGGTTATTACAAACTGCCAGACCGCCCTCTCGATCAGCAATGGTGGCGTTGGCAACCAACTAGTCGGCTCGGTGAATGTTCTTGACAGCACCATTCAAAATTGTCCTACTTTTGTGGCAACTGCCTGGCAGAGCTCGACATACTCCACTGGGAGTGTGATCTTGGAAAACATCGCTCTGAACAATGTGCCAGTTGCAGTAAAGGGGGCAAGCGGCACCGTTCTCGCCGGATCAGCAGGTTCGTCTACCATCTCTGCATGGGGACAGGGGCATAAATATACCCCGAACGGCCCTGCAAATTTCCAAGGCTCATTCACTCCACCCACACGGCCAAGTGCCTTACTTGCTAGTGGTTCGACACGATACTACACCAAAAGCAAACCTCAGTACGCAGCGTCACCCGTAGCCTCGTTTGTTAGTATCAGAAGCGCTGGCGCCAGAGGAGATGGCTCTACTGATGATACGAACACCATTCAATCCGCCTTGACATCTGCCGCGGCTGCTAACAAGATTCTCTTCTTCGACCAAGGAACGTACAAAATCACCCGAACTCTCTATGTTCTCCCGGGTTCTCGGATCGTCGGTGAAGCTTACTCTGTCATTATGGCTACTGGCGGGACATGGTCGAATATAAACAATCCAGTCCCTGTGATTCAGATTGGCCAGCCCGGTCAATCTGGGTCGATTGAATGGTCCGACATGATAGTCAGTACTTCAGGCTCCACACCTGGGGCTGTCCTTATACAATGGAACCTGGCAGCAACTGTGGGATCGGGGATGTGGGATGTTCACACCCGTATCGGAGGTTTCCAAGGATCCCAGCAGCAGGTTGCACAATGCCCAACGGGAGCGGCTGTCTCTGCAGCCTGCCAGGTAGCTTACATGTCCATGCACATCACTAGTGCGGCCAGCAACGTTTATTTGGAGAACGTTTGGCTCTGGACGGCCGACCATGACCTCGAAAGCCCGACAGATGCTCGAATCTCTGTGTACTCCGGTCGTGGTCTTCTGGTGGAAGGAAAAAATGTCTGGCTGTAAGTGGTATACCAACCAATCAATCTTCTGAGGTCTGATGGCTGACACGAACATAATATTTGAAGTTATGGCACGGGATCAGAGCATCATTCGCTATACCAATACCAATTCTCAAGTGCAAGCTCGATTATGGCTGGGTTTGTGCAATCGGAAACTCCGTGGGTACTCTATATCGCTCTTACGCTCTATATCTAACGATGGCCAATAGATACTACCAACCCAATCCGAACGCAGCGAACGGCCCATATCTCAGGAATTCTACACTCAAGGATCCAGACTACAGTAGCTGCCTCGGCGGAAACTGTAATTCACTTGGTCTCCGTGTTCTCAATTCCAAGAATGTGATTATTTACGGCGCCGGCCTATACAGCTTCTTCAACAACTACAGCACCACGTGCTCCACGTTCCCCCTACCCGAGAACTGCCAGAGTATGATCTTCAGCGTGGAGGGCTCTACGAGCGGGTTGGTCGTCTACGGGCTAAACACTGTGGGAACAACATATATGATTGTCAAGGATGGCGTTGCGCTCGCTCAAGTCAGCGACAATCTGGCGACATATGCTGCTACCATTGCATATTTTACCCTCTAGTTAGTTCCCACAATTCAAGTACATTCATATATTTTTCAAACTTTACACAACGTGGAACTACTTGTAGACCTCGACATATCACAACTTTAGAAGTGGTCATTGAGGACGGAATAAGAGTAACAAAGCACTGAAACTTTAGAATGCTGTCGGATTTATATCCGCGTGGAGATCCGGGGATGTGGATACATCATGATGAGGGGTATCTGCTTCGGAAAAGGACATAAAGATACCCCGAGGCCGTAGGAGATGAGATTACTTTCCCAAAGTACTAAGTATTTAGCATTGTACCTCTAATCACTTTACAAACCTCTACGCTCGACACAGGACACGATGGCCAAATCCACAACGGAGTTTACCTTTGATGCTCTCCCACTAGACCCTACAGGGCCACCAGGAAATGCCTGGGGTAGATTTGGAAAAGATGACCAGCTGGGAACGTTGAATCTCCTTACGCCGGAGCGCATCGTCGAAGCTGCCAAAGAAATCAAGACCGGAGTGCGCATTTCGCTCGACTGGCCCCTCAGCATGCCGTCACATCCTAGCTTCAACCGCGACCCATTCAAACAGGAGCTTGTGCTGAGAAGCCCGAATTGTATCTTTGATGACATATTGAGCTTTAATAGTCAAGGGTCGACTCAATGGGATGGGTTTAGACATTATGGTATTTGGGAATACAACGACCCCAGGACTCATGCTGACTGTTTGAAGCGAATCAACATTCAAAAAAGTTCTACAATGGACATACCGTCGAGGAGATCCAGAGCTCAAATACTATCGGAATTCATTGTAAGTTCTGGTATCACCTCCGGCCTGAAGTCGAGATCGCTAACAGCCATAGCAATGTGCGAACACGGCGGAATCACAGGCCGCGGTGTTCTGGTAGACTACGCAGACTGGGCAGCGACAAACTCCATCTCCGTCTCTGCTCTCGAATCAGAGACTATCCCTCTCGAGCATGTCAAGCAAGTCGTCAAAGACCACAAGATCGAGTTCCAAAAAGGCGACATATTATTTATTCGCAGTGGATTCACAGCTGCGTATAACAAGTTAAATGATCAACAGCGCAAAGATCTGGCACTTCGTTCATCGCCCGACTTTAACGGCGTGGAGGCCTCGGAAGGTATGGTGCGTTGGCTATGGGAGCATCAGTTTGCGGCCGTTGCTGGTGATGCACCGAGCTTTGAGCGCGCCCCGATTCGGGGTGCCCATGCGGATCCGAACTTCAATTTGCATGAGTGGGTTTTGGCCGGTTGGGGGACACCAATTGGAGAGATGTTTGATTTGGAGAAATTATCGGAACACTGCAAGGCTACAGGGAGATATAGCTTCTTTCTGTCTAGTATGCCTTTGAAGGTATGTGCTTTTCTGAAGCTTTTGGTAACTAATGTTGCTGATTGTGATCTATAGGTAGTGGGGGGCGTGGCAAGCCCGCCCAATGCTTTCGCTATATTCTGAGATTGACCTAGGGAACTCGGGTTTTCGGGATAATACAAGACTAAAGACAAAGAAAGCAACATATCCACCGTGGGTGCCCGTCGAAAGTGAACATCCTACGTGGCGGCGGGACGAAGCCGCCTGTTTCCCGCCCAGTGGAGCATGTGTGGATACATTCACAGGAGGGGGAAGCTGTACAGCTGTACGAAGTACAGCGTATGAGTTATTGTGCCTACGACGCAATTCCTAAAAGCTATAAATTGTCTTCTGTTCTACTATTTTCTTATTTTCCTTTCATACCAACTCCCATATCACACTACCTTATATAGCATCTTCTCTCTCCTCCACAATGCCTATTGAAATCCCCCAAGCAAACTCCCTTCAGGATCTCTTTAGCCTGAAGGGCAAAGTCATCATCATTACCGGTGCCTCTGGCCCAAGAGGCATTGGACTCGAAGCCGCTCGCGGCTGTGCCGAAATGGGCGGCAACGTCGCTCTCACCTACTTCTCCCGCGGCGAAGGTGCGGAGGCCAACGTCAAGGCCATCCAAGAGGAATACGGCGTCCAAGCCAAAGCCTACAAGTGCGACACCTCCAAATGGGACGAAGTGCAAGACCTAGTCAAGACCGTCATCGCGGACTTTGGCAAAATCGACAGCTTCATTGCCAATGCCGGCCGCACCGCCGATGCAGGTGTTCTCGATGGCTCAGTCGAAGACTGGCAAAACATCATCCAAGCCGATCTCAACTCTGTTTTCTACTGCGCCAAGGCTGTCGGTCATCATTTCAAAGAACGTGGCCGTGGAAGCTTTGTGATCACAGCCTCAATGTCCGGACACATTGTCAACTATCCCCAAGAGCAGACTTCTTACAACACTGCCAAGGCAGGCTGCATTCACATGGCTCGCTCACTGGCAAATGAGTGGAGGGACTTTGCTCGTGTGAACAGTATCTCGCCAGGTTACGTCGAAACTGGTCTGGGTGACTTTGTCCCGCAGGATACCCAGAAACTTTGGCAGGGCATGATCCCCATGGGTCGCCAAGCTGACCCTAAAGAGTTGAAGGCGGCTTATGTTTACTTTGTCAGCGATGCTAGTTCTTACACCACCGGATCGGATCTACGGATTGATGGTGGTTACATTTGTCGTTAAGAGGGTCCACTCTGGATGAAGGGGAGCGGAACATTGTTTTTTTGGTTTTGATATCAATATAGAAAATAGAAGAATCAGAGCAAAACTTTAAAATGGCAATGCATTTCTAACTATATCATTTCCGCAAGCCCTACCGAGATAGCACTTCAAGCATGCCAGGCTTCAATATACACATGTCACAATGTCAAAGTACCGCCATCAACAATAATGTCCGCACCAGTGATATACCGACCAGCCCGCTGACTACATAACAAAACCACAGCACCAGTAATCTCTTCGGGGTCTCCCATCCGGCCCATTGGACAACGGGCATCCCAAATCTTTCGAATATCCGCCAACCCATCGCCCGCATTGAGAATTGTATCCATATATCCAGGGCTGATACTATTCACCCTAATGCCATGTACAGCCCACTCAGCAGCCAGGTTACGAGTCAGATGGGCAATCCCAGCCTTGCTCGCATTGTATGCCGCCTGCGGTTGCGGGAAGTTGGTGTAATGTGCCGACATTGATGCAGTGAGAAGGATGGATCCGCCGCTGTCGGATGCTTCCATCACTTTGGCCGCTGCTTGAGCACAGAAAAATGACCCGTTCAGATTGACATCCATCACCTTGTTCCACTGACCGGGTGTCACTGTAAGTGAAGGCTGGCACCCTGGAACTCCAGCAAAGCAGCAGAGAACATCGATACCGCCCATTGTCCGATCTGCTTCATCGAATGCGGACTGGATCGACTCCATCGACGTGACATCTAAGGGGATCCGAGTGACTGTCACAGAGGGAAATTTCGCTGCAAGTGATTCAATCTGTGGCTTGGATGTCTCGAGGGTCTGTGGTAGATCCATAATACAGAGAGAGGATAGTCCGTGCTCAAGAAGAGCTTGGGCGGAGATTAGGCCGAGGACGCCTGCTCCGCCTGTTACCACACCCTTTCCGAGGACTTGAAACCGTGCTTCGGCGCGCTCACGCGCAGATGTGAAGGGAACGGTGGGAAGAGGGCGAGTGAGTGGACTGGTCCCCTCGGATAGTGTCATCACTGGGATGACCCGGGAGGTTAAGGAGGCACGCTGATCCTCACTTGCCCCTGTTGAAGTATCTTGAGCTGTCATGATGCTTTCAGGTCGACTGGTTGGATTCGAACTGTGAGGGTGAACCCAGAATGAAAAAGGAGGAAAGATTTGGTATGCTTTGAGGTGGTCAACAAGCAATGATAGATACAACGGATGAGACGAGTTGATTTGATGGCAAGTGGAAGCTATTTAGACTATGGAGGCTAGGTGTCTTGTAGACCAAGATTTAGGATGTCGGAGATGTGTTGGATCTTTGAGGAGGTGCGAAGTGACTTTCCTTAATTCTCGGCGCTCTGTCAGCCGAGAGAACAAGTAGCTGAGGAGAAAGTGGACACGAGAGTGTCGGGCGGATGTGAGGCGGGACACTTCCGCCAGAGCGGGGATACTCCTCGACCCCAGGCGGAGGGCGCTGATCCGATGCATTCGTGGGCTCCAACGCGGAAAAGGAGAAGATTCCGTCGATCGTCTACATCGCTCAGATATATGCAGCCACAGTGAGCCGGCACTAGTACAGCGTTCCGGCAATGATAATAAATAGGCTCAGACTGTACGCCGAAAAAAATGGCCAAATGGTATTTCCGTTTGTGGGATCGGAGTATCATCACTAGACTGCCACATCAAGTACCTGGGTAAGGTTCTCCTGAATATACTCTCAAACTTGAGGCTCACCAATATGACTTTTTGAATCTAATTCACACGTTCTTCAACTGACACAGGTACCTGGAGGTATATGCTCGAGGTAGTAAAACTGGTCCCCGTAGCCCGGTAGCTCAAGGATAGATCAGCCGAGTATGATCGTGACACAACACACGATTGAAAATCAGATACGAACACCTTTGTCTTGGGAAGGACGATGGGCACGATGACTCGAGCTGCATAATAGACACGGGTCATTCCATGGTCATGGTGATTAGTTACGCGCCTGCTCCATTGTAAAGATCTGACATCTATCTTTGGGAGCTTTGTAGCATCTGTATAATGACATCGGTGCACTCGATCGAAGCACGCTGTACTCAGCCCGCAATGAAGCTGGCTTGGAGGAACACCAAGAGAGGTATGTGACACGAGTTTGGAACCCAGCGTGTCAAGATAAGGAGGCAAATCGCTATCCGCCGTGGGATGGAATTCGATGTTAACTGCGACAGAAGTGCTTCCATATTCGTCCGAGAGAGACCCACGCCTGGGCGCCTGTATGGGCTTGGGGCTTTCTGAGAAAATGTGCATCTCTCCCGCAGCTCTGCGAAGTGTCCCACGTGTTACACAGGCTTTGTTGGATACATTTTGGCACAGTATACTCGTGTCTCCCGTCTGCCTGTCTCCCGCTGGAACCACGCAGAGAGGTTCTGTTGCTGTCAACATCGCGGAGTTTCGTCTGCTTGGCGAGGAGTATACGAGAGCTGATGCATTGAGTTGATATGAGACTTGGCCAGAGTTCGGCATCATATCGTTTTTCATTCCCTTCCCACGAGTGATTCTAGGGTCGCCTAACGTGGGTGGTAGGGCTGTATGTGTCTTGCCCCCAGGCTGTGCACAAGGCCTATCTTTCACTCCAGCGGGAACGGTGAAGAGGAATGGGATCTCATAAACCATGGTGGATGGCGAGATTTGCTTGACTGTATAGTGAGTTTCGTCGATCGGTTGGTCGAGCTGAAGGAAAACATCTTCCAAGGCGAAGGGGATCCGGTTTGTCTGGGACGATTGAGAAACCATCGTTCGGGCCCTGCCTGTGATTAGGAATAACAGTTAGTTAAACTCGCCATTATAGATCGCGGTATGGTACTCTTACCTTCCAAGGTAACTCTGATGCTTTCGAGTTGACTTCCGCTTGGGACCGTCATGGTGGTGACCCCTTTGATCACATCGCCAGTCGTGTAAAACCATTTGAGTCCCGCTTCATCCAATTGAATACTGATTCGGGTTTGGTGCTGTGCTTTGGGCCTGCAAAGCAAATTGCTGATTGTCGACATTTTTGGTACCTGCATTCAACCGAAGAAGATTCAAACCTATTCCATGAATTTCGAAGATACGTCGCGTGAAAATCCCCCATGGCCCTCAGGCTAATTTTTGCCTCCCAGCGCATCGCAATTGCTCACCACATTTGGTCACCATCACTTCAACTTTAGAATCCGATGCAATGTGGGGACGTTGTTTGCCCGGTCCACAACATTACCGGATTGGGTGCACCAGAACGACCAATACAAATATGCCCCACAGCCCTGGAGAGCCATAGCCCTTGCCTTGACTGATATTCTATCCTACGTACATACTTTTTGATTGGAGATGAACCCACTTTGAACATTATGAAAGATCTAGGACTGGAAACCTATTTTCGTTCCAAGAGAGTTTGCCATCAAACACCCTCGGGATCTAGTGCATCCGGTTTCTATGCTGCACATTATATACCAAGCTCCATATTTTCAGTGAAGAATTCGCCCGAGGCTCTGCATCTACCATGCATCAAAAGACTCCGGATCATTTGGCTGTTGTAGCCATAGAATTTTGGAGTTCCACCTCCATCATCCACCGGCTGTGAGACACCAAAAACATCACGCCCAATCATTCTCTGTTGATTGATCGCCTTGACGACAGCAAGAGTCTGATAGACTGGAAATGCTCCCTCCTCCGTTGGCTGCATACTCTTCAGGTTTTGCAGCCATTGCTCAATTCTGACACCAAGTGAGAGATCCTGACAACGGAGAGACGCGGCCAGCAGCAGGCCCGAAAATCCGATTGTGTACGTGTTCATGGTGATGGAACTTCGCAGATCAACGCCTTGCGCTATTTGCAACAGAAGGAGGACCCATTTTTCCGTATCAGCACATCCGTTGAAGAGGCCTCGCGAGTCGTGCGTCTGCAGGCTGTACAAGAATGACAGGCATTGCATGATGCGAGCCGTGGCATAATAAGCAAAATTGAGAGCTGCATCATGGGATTGGAAAAGTATCGGCGAATGGGACGAGGTTGCCTCTTTGATGGGCTGCTCTGACAGTGGTAGGTGTAGAATCCACGTATCCAGTCTCTTGGACGCGTTTTCCAACTCAACAGCCCAAGGGGGTTTGGTTTCAACATGGAAACTCTCCGGGTTAGTAACTGACCAGGCCCACCGTCCAAGTGTCTCCTTTGTGTTTACTCGATGCGATTCGCACAACATGCTCAGTACCACTGCTCGTCGCTCGTAAAGGGAACGAGGGAATTCATAAAATACCGCAGGTAGATGGATCGAAGGCAAGTGCCGTTGCACATCCAAAGAACCGAAGTATGTACGTGCCCACCAAACAAGAAATTGTGACTGAAACCATGCGGCAAGAAGATCTCTGATCAGGGGATCCTCTGTGGCTTGTCGAAGCTCCACAAGGAATCCAGACAGCCCTTGGACATGGCAGTTGAAACCATGGAAGTTGCCCATAGAAGACTCCAAGTAACCAAATGTGACCAGTATGACCAAAATCAAGTGAAGGTTATTATTATAGTCGTGCGAAGTAAGTGATGTAAAATTCTTGATCGCAGAAGAATAGTACAATTGACTCCGCGTTTGATGTTGCAGGCTTGGTCGATATGAGCTGGAGCTCACAATGCTTGCTGATGACTTCCGCTCAGCTTGAATGCGGCTAATATTGCACGCAGAAAGAGCAAGAACTGCACCTCTCAATGGCGCAAAGCTGAGGAGCCCAGTGATTGAGCGGAACATCGGAGGTAGTGCAGGCAGGCAGCGATCCTCCCAGTAAGTTGAGTAAAAGACATCTCGCTCGGTATGCTGCAGTGAACGAACGAGGTCCCCACTAGGGGTTGGAAGAACATAAGGAAATCCGGAGTCGGTCTTAGAGATCGGCCCTTCAGTGGCCTTGAATTTGGAACTGGAAGCAACTGTTGAGCCTGTCGTAGGGGCAGTCACGACGTGGAATTTCAGCTCGGGCCTGACTCTTTCGCAGGGCTTTCCCAGCCTAAAGCACGTGCCGCATACGGGCGTTTTCTCATCGCACTTTAATTGCGCTGTCAGCGAGATCTTTATCACTTCGGAGTGTGCGGCGGCATCGCGTACCTTTGTGCGCCGTTCGCGGCAGCCCCTGCAGCCGTTACGCGACCGAACGATGTTTGTTTTCTTCGGCCTGGGAGGTGCAGGTTTGTACATTGAACACCCGAGATCCAATGGTGGGTATCATATTATTACCAGGACAGAGATGAATAATTGACAGTGTGCTCAGAAATGTGCTAGGATGAACCCCATATCGGTCTCATTTTGCCACTGTGGGGGGCAACGGCGGAGCGATCCTTCAAGCACCGATGACACACATGTATAGTAACATGGTGACCTCGGGAATAACCACTGGATGCTGGATTTGATTTCGGACTCAGTTGAGTCTAAGTTAAAGATTTCTCCTTGATTTTGCTCTTCTTACTTAAGTACAGCTTTTAATACTGGTCTAGATCGAAATGTCAAGTGGTGTTTAAACGCCAATTTAATCCGTTTCACCTTGAGTTGGCGAGAATATTCATGCCCAAGAAGATTATTCATGTCCCCGTTCTTGCATGATCTAGACCTTGGCATTCACAAAACCAAAGAGATCCACTGGCATTTTTCTTTGCATTTTTCTTGTGTCAAATGTTTTTTTTTTTTTTTTTTATCGCTGACACTAAAACTGGCTATACTCCATTGAGTGCGCAAGAACGAGGATGATCCATGGTTGGCTCCCGCGATATTAGAGCCGTCTGTTTTCACTTTTTCGTCTGCAAAAGTTCAGATTAGTGATCACCCTTTCAAATGCCATTGATTGGCTGTCACTGAAGTATTTTACTCCATAGTTGTACAGATTCTAACCGCGTGTGTTTTGCTCTTCTGGGTTGGGTCCGGTTGAAGGAGAAAAAAAAGTCGCTTATGTGACTCACAATAAGTTCCAAATTTCCTATCACAATCGCATACCTAAAACGTTGCTCCTCACTTGCCCGAATTCCACTTGAGCGGTCCCACGTAAATACATCTTTCGCGACCTATCTTTTCCAACATGTTTCTCCCCAGCGTCCATGCAGAGACCGACGATGCCGTCCTTCTCCAATTCATTCGAGAAAACCCTCTGGGTATGCTCATCACCGGAATCAACTCGTCCCTGGATTTTCTGCAGTGCACCCATGTCCCAGTGGTCCTAGATGCCCCGGAAGATTGCGACGACTCCGCTCCCCAGGGCCGTCTGCGGGCGCATATCGCCAAACAAAACCCTCAAGTCAAAGGCATGATCGAATCCTTGGAAAGCAAAGATGGTGTCATCACCTTGGAGGACGACGTCCTAGTCGTCTTCAATGGAAAACACGACCACTACGTCACCCCAAAATTCTACGTCGAGACCAAGCCTGACTCTGGCAAGGTCGTCCCCACTTGGAATTATTCTGCCGTTCAGGTCTACGGCAAGCTTTCTCTTTACTATGACTCCAAGACCCCGGAGGCTGGCAACTTCCTCGCCCAGCAGGTTCACGATCTATCACAACACACTGAAAAATCAATCATGGGCTATACCGGCGGGGAGAACCCTCAGCCATGGAAAGTGTCCGATGCGCCTGAGAAGTACGTGGAATTATTGCAAAGGAACATCGTCGGAATTCAGATTCGGATTGATAAACTGCAAGGCAAATTCAAGATGAGTCAGGAGATGCGGCCCGGTGACCGAGATGGCGTGGTGAAGGGGTTTTCAAAGATGGGAGGCGAAACCGGTGAAGCAATCGCATCTATGGTTGAAGAGCGTGGAATTCTACACGAAAAAAAGAAGCAGAAAGACTAGATTTGCACATCCACTTATGGAATAGAATATCACTCATCAGTATTTAAGCCAGCTTGGATTTTGTTAGTAATTTATTTCCCGAAGCTGCCCACCTGGCAGGTGGATACAATGGTTACTTCCTTCGCTCATTTGCATGAGTTCAGGACTTCAGGATTTGACGAGAATATCTCCCAGGCTGTATTGGCTGAGGTTGGATACTGGGAATATTTATCGGCGACTCAAGCGCCACAAATAATCAATCTGGATTCATTTTGTATGCTCTATATGCAAACTAAAATCGATACACAATGCTTAGAGGTATTTGATACAAACATGAGATATGCTAGGAAGCCCTGCTCCTTGATGGTCATTACTTTCTCACTTCACGCGTCATTAGCACAAGACCAACTTTGGTTGGCGGAGTCATTGTGAATTGCAACGCCAGAGACGTATAAGCCCAATCCACACTGGAGGAAGTTAGTATTGTTTGAGTTCACCAGAAGAGTGGAACCTACTATGGCGATGGCAATAGCCAGAACTCCAAGGTTAGTGATAGTCAAAACCACCTTCTTCCAGTTTTGGAAATATCGGCCCTTGTTCATGTAAAGCCAGAAGATTGCGGGAAGACCGACTAGAATCAAAATTAGTACTGAATTGGGCTGTGGGGAACTTTGGGGTTGTAGTCTTACAGCTGAACCAACTTCCAAATAGCGCACTCTGTAATCACTCATTAGTCGATGCGCTTCGTCGTGCGTGCAAATTTCAAAACTTACAATCAAACTTAGAAGGTCGTTGAAAACAGGGATGGATTCCGCAACAACCCAGGCGACAACCCAGACGCCGAGGCAGATGGCGACCCAGGATCCGATAGACAGGAAGCTGTTGCTATGCATCTTGTCGGATCCACGGAAAATGCGCACGTAGATGTACTTGCAGGCAACATGACCCAGCACAACACCAGAAAGGATGGTCTATGTGTGTTAGAACGAATAGTGTTGACGTTACAGAGTTAAACTCACGGTTGGAATAGAGAGACCCCAGGCAATTTTGCTCATGAGAGGGTTCATGGACAGAATGGCGGGTGACTTCACATCGGGTCCAACATAGTGGTAGATGATCAAAGCGCTGACCAAGTACAGGACAGTGTCGATAATTTGCAACATTGCTAATGAATTGTTGAATGTGCGTGGGTCCTCGGTTTCAGACATGAAACCGAAGTAGGCGACATGGGCAACTGAATGGGATTAGCCAAGGTCATACAAGCGTTGCGGAGAAGCCAAGGGTCAACGTACGGTAAGCGAAAATGATGTTGGTAACAGCCAGGAATCCTTCGCGGAAGCTGACCTCTGTCGTGACTTCATTCACGACGTGGCCTTTGGTCTCGACTCCAACGGTGATCATGGTCAACACCGTTGCCACGAAGACACTTAGGAATGCTACACGTATGTCAATCAAAAGGCCGGTCCTGGCGAGAGGCGATTGTACTTACAGATGACGGACATCACGTAGACCTTGTCCATGGTACGCGGCAAGGCACCCAAGAAGCAGATGACGAGTCCGACCACTCCAAAGACCAACGTGCAAGTACCATGGTCTGTCAGTACATTCATCAGAATGTTGAACATGAGAATATTGCTGGCCATCAGGAAGATCAACAGGAGGAGTTGGCCTAGACCCAACAGCTCACGGCCAAAGGGGCCCATCAGCAGCTCACCAGCATCTCCCATGCTGTGAATTTCAGGGTGGCGGAGCTTGAATTGGCCAATAACGTAGCCCGTGTACCATGACAGGGCTGAGATGAACAGAATCATGATGGCAGCACTAGGAACCCATATTAGTTTACCCGCATATAATGCCAGATGAGTTCGATACGCACGGGACCATTCCAAGGGTAGCCACAGCGGAGGGCAGTGAGAGAATACCCACTGACACATTCTCCGCAATCATGACTGGTCATCTAGTTAGCCACGGGGATGTTCAAGATATGATATATGATAAATCTTATGTGGAGGACTCACGCATTCCACAGTGCCTATGCCATGATTAGCTATGTTCAGATCAATGCCTTCAATGTTTGAATGACAAGTCATTACTCACCACCATTTCATTGTCCGATACTTGACCTCCGCCGTCTCCTCATTGCCGAAGGGCTCCAGCTTGTTGACGTCCAGCGGCTTCTCCATGTCCTTTTCAAAGGCATCATCGGCAATCTCTTTGCCATTGACGGCATAAGACTCTTCGTCTCTCATATTGGCTAGAGAAGTCGTGAGCCTTAACTCCGTTGAACTTGCAGTTGACAGTGACTAATAACAAGAAAGATCAAAAAAATCAGTGTTACCCCAGTCACAGCCAAGAAAACTCTGAACGGGGAACTAAAGTGGATCTCATTTTCCCGATGCGCTCGGCCCGATACGTCGTGCCGAATGCGGCGAACTTGTTGTCCCTTGCAGTATTCGCACACGGCCAAGTTGTTGCAGCGTGGAATAATAGGGAGAAGGCAACAAATTGGGGACCTTTACTATGGTTGGTATGTCCATTTTCGCGCTCGGGGGTAAGTTGGCGATGGTAATAGGAAGAAGGAGTGCGGAGTATGCAGTGCGGAGTACAGCCATTCCGGTTCCTGTAAACAAGTAGACAACGCCATTGTTCTGGAATAATGACGCTTGAGGATTTGACTTGATCAAGCCTCTTAGCGATATGCTTAAAATGATCGGCGATCTAGCAATATTGGCGTTCTCCGCCCAGCCTGCGTGTTCTCCGGTATGCCGTCGGAACTCCGGCCGCGGCGTTGTGGTGAGATGACTAAGGCGGAACGAAGGCGGAGCTGTCCGCCTGACATGGATGTACGGAGTGCTGTTTACAACCGTCCTGTACAGCGTGTTTGAAGTGAATGATCCATGGACTCCAGTCGTAAGCGAGCTTCATTGGCATGCAATCATTGTCGAAGGCGGTAAGTGCTACTCACCCCCTGCTTGTTTAGCCCAACACTGATCGATTAGAAAACGACGCTGCAATGGCGTGGTTCCCTCGTGCGGTCTGTGTGATGATTCCGGCGTCGAATGTGTGTACAACGAAGCCGAGTCTTCAAGGTCAGAAACAAACTCTAAAAACTTCACTCAGTACTCACACATCTACACAGGCCGCGAGGGGAGACTTCCTCGTCCGAGTTCTTTCGACGTCTCGATGCAGTTGAGACATTTCTATGGAATAACCCCAGGTTCCCGCCAACACCCCAAACAGGAGAAACCAGAAATGGATTTTCGTTCCCCGTTGCACCCTCAGAGAATGACAGGGTCGACTTCCAATCATCTATGTTGATCTCTTCCCCGTCACGACCACCACCGGCGGATGTTTCTCAACTCATTAGTGCGAATTCACCTTTCATGCCACCCGAACATGATATTCCTCCCATGAGTATTCCAATTGGACACACCACTACAACAGAATATATGCTCCATATGAATAAAGTGAAGACGCTCTTTGGCGAATTTCCACCGGATCTGTTCATCCGCGCCGAATCCAAACGGCATATGCCGCACAAAATATCCCTCGTTCCAGGATCAATTGCCACCGATCAATTGCCTGATCTTGATCAAGCGCATAGCTACCCACTTGTTGAGGCCTATTTCAAATACGTCCACATGGAAATGCCAATTCTCAACAAGGATCAGTTTTTAGGCCTCTATGATCGCCATGTCAGGTCGGGCTTGAGGGTTGACTGTGACTCGGCATTATGCCTCGCAGTGCTTGCGTTGGGCTCTGCTGCCCTCGAGCAGATTGATCCGACAAAATCTACATCACCATACTGGGTACCTGGAGAAGACTATATTTCGCCGGCACTACAAATTTTGATGAACGAATATCTGCTGTCGTTTTGTCCGACAATCACCCTTCCTCAAAGTTTGATTTTGATATCAAAATATTTTGGATTTCTTTTACGCCCTCTGCAATCGTGGAAGCTGATCCACATGGCTTCTACTAGCATCCAGTATTTGAACAGCCGGTGTGTCTCGATTGACGCTGCCTTTACTATATTCGATAGGAACTCACTAATCCGCTCTTTGTGAATAGAAGCCAAGCTTCACCTGATAATTATGAGCTCAAATCCAGCATAATCCTCCTCTCCTGGGCAGCATTCGACACCGAGTGGTCAGTTCCTCAGGCCTGACGAGAATCATGTTAACTGACAACTATCACAGCGATTTGATCGCCGAACACCACTTACCACGAAGTGGCATTGAGCATGTGATAGATCTTACCCCTTTCCCAAGCTTTACAGACCACCAAGCTCAAGAAACAAACCTTTTTCTCGCAGAGCTGTCCGTTCGTCGTCTCCTCAATCGGGTGCATCACACCATGTACGCCAGTGACTGGACGAGGCGCAGCCTCGGTCTCCAGCCCGCTTCAAGTGATAGTCCATCTTATGACTTTCAATCACTCTCAAATATCCTGAGTGTATCCCAAGAGCTTGACCGACAACTGGATAACTGGTTTGAGCTATTGCCACAAACAATCAAGCCCGATATGAATGATCCATCTCGGTTCACTGGTCTACGCGTCAACATGCTCCACCGGTTTCACTCCGCCAAAGATATCATTACGAGGCCATTTCTTCTCTGTGCTCTTGATTTATCGCCAGAAACAGAGATCCCACCTATGATACTCCAGCAGTGCGAAGCAAGCATTGTAAACTGTCGCGCTTATCTAGAGGCTTCAACGCGCAGACTGATGTGTCCTACATCTTGCGCAGAAATCATTATTCATACGTATGCTGCTCCGCCATGAAATCTTGATGCTTTATTTAACTGACCTTTCCATTTAGAATGTTTTCTTCAATCATACTGCTAACTCTGAGTTCTGTCAGTCCCGCTTTGGCACATCTTGCTCTAGACATCGATGACTTGCAGAAAAACACAATTAGTACAATTGAGAGATTCGCGGTGGTCGGATCCTCGATTGAAGAGATACATGGCATTGTTCTGCTACTACACAGCAAGACTCGAATCTTGAGACGGGCAATGAATCATTCATAAGCGTCTCCGGGTGGCTCTGCGTCGGAAGAAATATCCCGGAGATTGAGCGTTGCGGGTCAGCTCATCGGTTCATTCCACCCCTTGAATGATTACTTTGAGAACATCTTCACCGCCATTTTTCACTTTCTCAAAAGCCTCCATAGCCTCCTCAAACTGATATCTGTGTGTGACTAGCTTTTGAGGCTTCACGCGGCCACTGGCCACAAGGTCAATGGCGGCAGGATATACACCAGCCTTGTACCGGATTGATCCCCTGATCGTCAAATCCCTGATACAGGCAGTGGTAATCGGGAAGACAATATTCTACCGATAATGTCAGCCAAAAGATTATCTGCGAAAGCAACAAGGGAACTCTACATACCTCGCGCCCCATGCCGGCCTGAACGAATATGCCTCCCTTCCGGCACAGCTGAACACCAGTTTGAATAGCACTTTGTGCTCCAGTGGCATCGATGACCACATCGGGACCCTCTCCTAACTTGAAATCTCTCTTAATAGCCTCGGCAACTCCCCCATAGAAAGCGACTTCCGCATCTGCGTCGTGGGGATTCGCCCTGGGCCACTGTGGTGGCTCAAAGACACCATCCGCAGACTGCACGACGTTGATAGCCATATCAAGTCTCTTGCGATTAATATCAACCCCAATCACGATCTTAGCTCCGTATTGCTTCGCCACGCTTTGTACCAAAATTCCGATCGGCCCACATCCAAATACAACGACAGTCTGGCCACCACGGACCTCGCCAACGCGGCAGATCTGCACAGCGCACGCGACTGGCTCACAGAGAGCGCCATCCTCGAGGCTCAAATGCTCCGGAAGTGGATAGCAGAAGTCACCGGCTGTCTTGAAGTATCGCGAGAGCGTGCCGTTGTGGGGAGGCGTCGCTGCGAAGACGGTATCGGGGCACAGGTTGTACGAGCCGCTCCGGCAGTACGAGCAATGACGGCAGGGAACACCAGGCTCAATGGCTACATTGTCGCCTTCTTTGAGATGTTTGACTGCTTTCCCCACGCGCACCACTGTTCCCGCGGATTCGTGCCCCAGGACGATGGGTGAGTCAAGGATGAAGTCTCCTATGCGGCCTCGTTGCCAGTAATGGACATCTGATCTACTCGGACGATCTGTCAGTAAGGATCTTCCCAGATTAGATGGCATGAGACTTTCGCTGCACATACCCGCAGATACCTGTCTGCTTGATTTGAACGATCACATCGTATGGATCCTGGATTTCCGGGACGGGAATGTCCCTGAAAACGACATGCTGAATCGCCTCAAGGACAAAAGAGGGATTTGTTTCCTTGATTTCTGTCATCATATCTTGCGCGAGTTTGTTTACTTCGGTATGTCACGAGCCTTGTTTTCGGCTCTCGGATTGTTGCAATAGATGCAAACGGATGGTGTATAGTTCGTTGAAATGTCGAACCTGTGTGATTCAAAACGAAATTTTGTTTCTCAGGCCTTGTTTTTAATGAGTCTCCAACAAAGATCAAGAGTATGTAGTGGTTGGTAAGATGTCCATAAATATCCAAGGATCCAGCATGGGCGGCCCCGCAGCGGATCCTGCCGCTAGATCCGCGTGGGGCCCCGGGTGGCTGTTGGCCGATGTCACATTCGGATCCTTGGTGATGGAGCGCGTAGCCTTCGGCTTTATTGCTTGATAAATACGCGATATGACAAGAGACAGAGGGCAGAAGGAACACAGAAAGCCGAAGTTAATCACCTGGGAAACCCCCAAAGAACTTAATTGACTCTATCTGGTCACCATAAACAATTGCTTTATGTTGGCTGTGACCTCGAGTGGGTTTGGGGGATTAATTCAGTTCTCCAAGGTCGGATCTCTCCCTATCTCTGCTTTTTCTACTGAAGAGTCGCGTTAGAGTGCATAAACATGAACGTTGCGAGCTAAGGGGAGCCCCGTATTGAGGAAAAAGATGAGGGAGCAAAGAGGCAGGGAGAAATGGCAAACAGAGCAGAATTCGGAAATTTCCAACATTCCTCCTTTTTCTCTCAATGCACGCTCATTATCTGGATCCAACCTTCTAGCGTAGCACTCGAAGTCGAACGTTGTACGGAGTATCGGCAACATGTATCAGTTGATGGGGTCATCCACGTCGGCTGCAGAGACGTCGTCTTTCCCACGAATGACTGGGAAATTGGTTCAACCTTGGCAAACCCTCACTGACATCTCATTACTCCTATTTTGCAACTGCTTACTCTCACTCTCATAAAGACCATAGGACTAGCAGCGATAAGCATGTCCAAAAACGAGGGAATTTCGAGGTAATCCAAAGTTTTTTGTGACTGTCCAAACTACAATCAAAGCAGAATTGGATATTTCTCCCACTTGATAGGTCACTCTAGACCTACTACTGTGAGCAGAAATATTGGGATAAGTTCTTACCTATGTCCGAACGCAGTTTTTGCGCGATATGTCCGTCTCACATGCCATCCAGTCTACCAGAGGAGAGAGATTTGTCTAGCAATGGGCTTGAAAGTTGGGTCCAATTCTGCAAATGATCGATGAACAACAGAGCGTGATCCTTAGACTAATTAACATACACTTCACATCTCAGAAACCTTCTATTATATCAGGTTATCCAATTGCCTCCGACCAGCACACTCTTTGGCTCTAAAGAATTGATGACTGCGCTATTGGTTTCAATGCATGAGCCCCCTTTAAAGGAGAAGACCTGCTGCAGACCCAGCCAGGAGCATACCAACTATGCCAATAGCAGACTTGGACAGCGGGCGAGACGCAATGATACCAGCAGCAGCATTTGCAGTCGAGGTTGCGGTGGAGCCACTCGAAGTGGCTGAGCTAGTAACATCCACGCCAGTACTCAGGGTCAAGATTCCAGTTCCGGTAGCAGTGGCTGTAGCTGTAGCCGTAGCATTGGCGTTGGTATTGCACCAGACCTCACCAGCCTCGGAGGCTTTGATCAGGCAGGCAGCAAGGGTGCCGACACTCTGTCCCTGGGCAAGGCAGTAGTAGTCGCATCCATCGTACTCAACGACGGATGCCTCGGAGCAGCAGCTGCTCATGATAGCGGAGTTGTTGCTCTGCATAGGCATCGCACATGCAGCATCGTGGGTCGGGATATCGTACAGCTTGGCATGGCAGCTGGAGGTAGCCGACACGGAGGAAGCGGTGGAGGTAGAAGTTACGGACATGATGATGACCTGGAGGATGGAGTTGGATGAGCGAAGATGCACCAATGAAATCGAACGAATAAAGAAGGAAAGTTGTAGAGAATGTGGGACAAGCTGAACGAGGTGGCTTGCTATAGTCGACTGGTGATCATGATTCTTGATCATCTTATATACCCTTGAATCTGAGTTCCCACATTGAGATACAATACCAGCGATGCTATAATTAGACGAGGCTTTCTCAGGCAGACGAACAATCATTCCTCCTGTCCGCCCAACCAGAATTAACAAGTATCCACCCAATTATGCAATACCTTTGTGTCTCATCATAGACGCCATCAACTCTGTCCGTATCTTTTTCACTGCCAGTCATCCATAAAGTTGAATTGAGATAAATAGAATACTCTGTGGTCTAGATTGACTGCATTGTATCATAGGAGTTGATAAAAAGAGCCACATTTGCAAGACACCAGGCCTTTCAAGTTCATTCGACGCTCAAGCTTTCTAAAAATGTAATGCGGTAATCCAAATGTGGCTTTTTGGGGTTGAATCTTAACCCGGCCTAGTGGCTAGCGAGGATCATTTGCAAGGGAACTATTTAGGGAGCAAAAGTTTAGGTGGACAGCCAGTAGTGGAGTTGACATATCATGTTGTCGAATCGAAATGATGCAGAAGGGTACTACGGATAAGTTTTGAGCCGACTTGGCAGGTGTTTTGCGAAGGCTCCGTACACGATGCGAAATTGAGACACCACCTCAATAGCCCATAATAAGTCGAATACGGTCGCAGTTGCTCACAGCAACCTTTGAAATAGCGGTCCCATCAATCCATTGATTTCTTCCCATTGGGGTTATTTTTTAGGGTTACGCAGGGTGCGTTTTCATCAATGCCAAAGGCAAAGGCTCACTAAAGGGCAGTGGGATGAATGTAGACACCGAGCTCCTGTCATTTATCACTTGCTTGGGAAGTGATTTATGCATTGCTAGTAGCACCTGCAATGCATGCTGCTTCCTCCAACATCATCAACTTAACCAAACAGACTCCGTTCCCGCTTTCGGTCATATGCACCGAGCACCGAGTGTTGAGCATCTCAACCCACATACGAGTAATCCCCGAGTCCGAGCAGCCGATCAATTCTGCTTCCCGAAATACAGTGCCCCCCTTAGAGCCCCATAGAAAAGCAAGACTATCAGCCACCCCCGTTCACCAAGTGGGCCCGGAAGCTTTTTTGGGGAATACTACCAGGTTCTAACTAAGGTTCGACACATCTTCTCTTCCTCTCTCATTATCCCACATCTTCTAAGAGCTTTCGCCTGTGGATAGATTTTCGCCCTCTCCTCTCTTCTATTTGTCCAGGACATCTCCTCATAACTCTCCATGCCCACCCAACAACTACAGATTTTATATATTGGTAGTTTTATGTACAAGCCTCGAGAGATACGATATTCTTGAGAAGGGTTGAGCATTCAACCACTGTAGAAGCAATGATGCATGTATTGGTTAAAGAGAGAATGTCTAGATCTATAGAGCTGGCTACAAAAGTGGGAGTATAATGAGCAAACGTTGCAAACAGATATAATTGCAACCAGATGGAAAGCTAGTTCGCCGGTTTTTTTTTTATTTTTATCTGGGGCTACTTAAGTAATAAACCCTCATAAACATCCAGGGAATGAGCCCAGCCAGAATGAGTCTATACCGGGCAGGCTCGGCTGTTTGCAACGGCGCCTTGGTGGATAGTCTTTGTTCAGAATATTCCTGAAAATTGGTTTGAAGGGCTACGAAGAAGGCGGATGAGTTAAAGACGCGGTTTCACGTTATCAAAATTTGAAGAAAAGCGAGGGAAGAAGAAAACAGGAGCATCTTTATACACAATCCTCAAAACCGATTCAGATATCTTCTCGCTTGGCCCTTCAAACAAAACATTTGAACTAATCAAGGCTCTTCGCGATTGCCTTATGCGGTCTGAGAAAGAGCAGAATTCAGGATTCGCGGAAAGTGCAACCGACGCACCTGCCATGACCCCGCGAGTATCTTCGTTATCTCGGGGCTTGCTCCGTGTCACCCTTCCACACATTTTCCCGGGCCATGAACACGATCGAAAAATCGCGCCCCTCACGTCGAGCCCACGCGTAAGCTTATCGGCAGACACAAAAGGAGAAAAAGTGACCTAACTTTGGAATATCCTGACCAGCTGTAAGCAATGCCGGACTGCCAAGGTCCGCTGCTCGGGGGTGCGGCCCTGCGAACGATGCACACGTCGCCGCGACACATGCGCATTTGCTGCTGACGAGGCTCACGTCTCAGTGCCAGAGCGGTATCTGCAGGACTTGCAGCAGCAGATCGCTCAGCTGAAATCATTGCCATCCGAAACTACGGCCTCTACCACCTCCGGACGGCCAAGTTGGCGAGGCCCGGAGTCGGAGGCCGAGACCGGCCCGTCGGTGACAACGCCGACGTCTCTAGGCACAATGCCAGGGACTGCGGGAGCGCCGATAGAGACCGACAGAGACCCACCAACCCTGTTTACGCCAAATTCACTTCTCCGCCGAACGATTGATGGTATCAAAATTATTCGAATTTCTTGATCATTTCATTGTGGCCTGATCCCTGACACGATCCCTAGTGAGCAACTCTGCGACCCGTGGTTTCCCTAGCTCGTTAGACGAGCCGACGATCAACCCAAGTTCCCGAGTTGAACATGGGAGCTACAATGTCCCCGATGTTTACAACCCTCTTGTGGCAAGGGATGTGGCATATGTAAGTGGTTCTGACGATCGTCGTCTTTGTACGTTGCATCTCCTTCGGTCGAACCGGCCCCACTACCTAACTAACATGGCGAATCTCTAGTATTTCTTGGACATACTTCCACTTGGTCCTTTTGTCGACGAGTTTTCAAACTCTTAGAAGATGATGCCTTATGTCTGAACTCGCATCGTGCACCACTAAACCTGGATGGAACAGCCTTCCGTCTCCATTGGCAGCCAAAGGCAGTGGTTGATGCCAGCGACTTGGCCAAACTTCCACCCGTGGACCATGCGTTAATGCTATACAACATCGTTAAGTTCCGCCTCGGCGAGCTTTTTGGGATTGTAGATGAGAAGAGCTTTTTGAAATTGTTTGATGAATTCCACAGATGTCCATTAAAGACAGCACAGATGCATCCCCTCTGGTTCATCAAGTACCTGATGATCCTTGCATTTGGCAAAGCTCTCACATCTTATCCGACTCCGACAGCCATCGCGCCCTCTGGGTCTGATCTTGCAGCACGTGCTCTATCACTTCTTCCAGATGTGGCGTTTCTACAAGACGAGCGCCCGGCCTTACTCGCGATAGAAGTTTTGGCCCTGATTGCACTTTATTTTCAGTCGATCGACATGCGATCCCCAGCGTACCAATATGTACGTTTCTTCTTGATACGCTCATTCGAAGCTCCCTAATGCGATGTATTCGATATAGATCGGTCAAGCACTCCGCCTCGCCTTCCATGATGGTCTCCACCGCAGAGTTTCCGAGGATATTATGGATCCAGATGTCACTGATCGCTGCAGCAACGTATGGTGGACAATATATGTTCTTGATCAAGAACTAACAGCAGGTCTGGGATGTCCGCCAACCATACCGCTCAACAGTATCACAATCCCGTTGCCTGATACACGATCGCACCAACTCCCTACAAAAGCACTTGCCCTCCGGAGTCGTCTCTCAAAGATCAATTCGATGATTTATAGCAGTACGTTCATCATTCACATCTACTCATCGTATTCACCTTCATATCCAATGTCAGATCCTTCGCTGACAAAACTCAATTTTCGTAGCTATATACAGCTTCGATGATAAGCTGGGCTCCGACTTTGTTTCGAGCATCACATCCGTTTTACACAATCTAGCTGAAGTCTCACGCGAAATCGACGAGGTCACATTTGGTTTCAAAGCCAGTGGAGGGGATCTTCCCCACATGTTCTACAGCATCACCCTATCTCACCATCATGTAAGTCTGCACAGCTTGATATGCGCCCCACAGGCCCCCGGGCTGAAGATTCAAAACGCAGTGTATTGTCCTAGCGACACGGCCATTGGTTCTTTGGCTTCTGATTCGTAGTGTGACTCCCAGTACTTTCGATTTACGACTACTCTCTCGTCCGATCGCCAAGTTGCTTGAAAGGTCGGTCCAATCTGCAGTAGCGACGCTACTAATCTTAAGCAACATGGTACATCGTGACCTGCTCGGTTCGTGCAGTATCTGAAGTATGATTCACTCAAGATCCACACTGATCTTTCTCAGAGACCTTTCTTCCGTTTCCATTGGAGTACGCGTTCTCGTCGACGGTACTGCTTTCCATCCTCAGTGCAATCCTCCCGACCTATGTCCCGGACTTAGAATGGCACCATGCAATGCTGTCTGTGTTTGAAGAGATGACGAGAAAAGGCAATGCAGTGGCTAAATTACGAGGAGAGGAATTGAAACATTTGGAAGCACTGTTGGAAGGTCATCGGAGACGTATCTCCTCGGTGCCACCTCAGTCGGTTTCTACTCCAAGACCCACATCGGAGTCAACGAGAACACCTCAATGCTTGCCCACTCCCGGGAGTGGACTCGGCATGAATGAAGAGCATGGGCACAATCCGTTTAGAACATTGTGGAATGATTCGGATGACATTTTGGACCATTTTGAAACCGGACCCGATGACATTGTTGCTCTCGCGGAACAACTTGAACATGATGATTTCTCATTTCCTTTTTGAGTGGATGAAATTTCATCTCGGAATGATTTCTATCTCGAGGACATTGAGAATTTTGTTGCTGATAGCAATGAGCTGGATCTAGCAGTTGTATTCGCGATAGATTAGGCGCTTAGATTAAATGACAGCCTTCTTGATCCACCTCTCTGATCCAATGGGGGCCTCTTTATTCTCCCCATGGACAGCAGTTACTTTCTCACCATCGTGAGCCATAGGGATGCCGAAAATAGTAATTTTGGTGCACCGCGATAAAGAATCCGGGGTAGGTCCACACTCTCCACCTGTGAGCACTCAACATCGGCTCGGAGTCCGACCCCTAATTCTCCGCGAGGGGTCGTTTCGGACTCGCCTTCTCCAAGGGGATTTTCAAAGGTACCCAATTCCGAGGGTCCCCGACTTAAAAGGAACGTGGAGATCCATGTATTCCTCCTTCAAACACATTCTTCCAACTAACCATGGCTTCCCACGAAGGCAAGGTGGTGAGTTTCACACCTCTCGGTCTTTCATATTGATTTACATGAGACTTATATGCTTTTAGATCGCTATCACAGGTGCTGCAAGTGGCATGGGCCTTGCTGCTGCCCAGCTTCTCGCATCCCGAGGCGCCTCCATCTCGATGGCTGATTTAAATGAAGAAGCCCTCAAGACAGCTATCGATACCTTACCAGGTGGTCACGAGAGGCACATCGCGATCCGTGTTGACGTCAGAAATGAGACCTCCGTTGATTCATGGATCGAGAAGACTGTGCAAAGATTCGGTAAACTTGACGGAGCTGTGAATATGGCCGGGGTCCTAGGGCCTTCAGTGCCGACGACCGAATTGACCAAAGAGCAGTTGGAATTCGTTTTCTCTGTGAATGTCTTTGGTGTGTTCAACTGCCTGCGAGCTCAACTACGGGTCATGAAGAGCGGCAGCATTGTGCGTTTTATTTTAATCCAGATGACGGTGGTCGATTGTGCTAATGGGGTCAATCTCAGGTTTCTGCGGCTAGTACTTTTGGCCAAATCACTATGCCAAACAGCTCAGCATACTGTTCCAGCAAGGCGGCTGTGATTGCATTCTCAAAGTCAACTGCCAAGGAGAACAAAGATGTCCGGATCAACTGTGTTGCTCCAGGTAAGTCCCCAGAGCCCCAAGGAATATTGTATCGTGATTGTAATCAAGAATCTGATCATTGAAAAAAAAAACCCCAAGGTACCGTATATACCCCTATGTCGGCACACAATGACCCAAAACGCGTGGAGTCAGGTATTCTGGCGAATGCACAGCGAAGACTTGGTTCCGCAGAGGAGGTTGCGAAAGTCATTGCATTCCTACTCAGCGAGGAGTCAACATTTGTGACTGGGGCCGTTTACAATGTCGATGGCGGTTGGGTATACTGATTCTGGGCTAAGTTAGTATTTCTATTGGATACGAAGAAGAAGCAATTTTGGATGTATATTTGCCGTCTCCTCCCATAGACTTCAGGATCTGCTTTGCCTGTACCTACTGAAGTACACCCCTTCCAAGGTTGGAACTTTGGAAAGAAATTGCTCAGCCACACTCCCTACACGTATCGCTCGTTTAGCCTTCGCCTACTTCACATATTCAACGAGTTACAAGAGCCCTCTCATTTGATTATACTCAAGTACCAACGCCTTTGCTCTGAGCCTCCGAGCTTCTCGGTTTGTGATATACATGGCACGGGCCACCGGATGAACTTTGATCCAACCCCACGTTGCTTCTCAGAGGGATACTACCACAACGCAGCGAGCGGCATTGCTCTTAGGAAGCATGAATCAAATCCCGCTCATCCAGGATACCCCGGGATCAAATTGCAATCGCCTTTGGGTATGGTCCGGGGTGCTTCGTTACAACCCACATCCGGCTGACCAACCTAGGACTCTCACAATGCATGGATATCACCGTGTGCATTGCCATACCTGGCATGCATCCCAGCAATTGTTGCCCTACTCATAGCAGCGAGTCATCTGTTGGGACAATTCCCACATTGGCGTCCAAAGTGGACCATCCCATTCATTTCCGAGCAGCACGATCTTCTCGAGCTTCCGCTGGATCGTCCAGCACAGTCTTTGGGTTGGACCACTTCTCTGCTCATCTTCTCGGCAATTGGCCTTACAGCCGATCTTATCCAGTTGGTCCCCCCGGCGGTCAATTGGTTTGATGTCATCATTGTCTTCTCATGGGTAAGATATTCTTACAATGCTGCGCTCCAGCTTTCTAGGGGTAATCACTAACCTTCTCTAGACGGTCGCTTCAATTCTTATCGCGGTCAAGCGACCAAGAGCGTGCTCAATTGTATTGTTGGCATTTTATGTCCTACTACTTGCAGTTGAGATTTCCTTGGCTGCCAGTTCAGAAGCAAGTCTGGATTTCAAGGTTGTTGCTCGCTATATTGCCGCGGCAGCATCGGCAGCAGCATCCACGGCGATTCTTCTGATGCCTTTTCGTGAAACTTCATTGCCGTCTGTTGATATAAGCACCGTTGGTCAGCAGCCCTCCAGTGATTTCCGTACCCCCGAGGACAACCTCAGGCTCTGGCAATTTCTAACGGTGTCCTGGATGGCACCCCTTATCTCCACCGGGTGCAACAGACAACTCAATGAGGATAATGTATGGTTGCTTGGATTTGACTTCCAGCACAGCCGCCTCCACGAGAAATTTCGTCGACTTCGTGGCTCTGTGCTCGGTCGACTACTACGCGCGAACGGAATTGACGTTTTTATCATCTCTACGATTTCGATTGTCCAGTTGCTTTGCGGTAAATACAATCAAATGAATGGTTTATGCCCTAGCGCTAACCAGATATACAGATTTTTCAACGCCGGTATTGCTACAGCAGCTGTTGCAGGCTATGAAGGACCCATTGCGGCCAAAGCGTGTGGCTTTGACATATGCTCTGATTTCCTTCGCCTTGCGACTCGTCGCTGCTCAGGCACAGGTTCTGCTGCTCTGGTATGGTCGAAGATCATATGAAAGATCCAGAGGAGAGATGATCATGATGGTCTACGAAAAAGCACTCTCAAGAAAGAACATACTTGGAGTTATGATTCAAGAGAACCCTGAAGAGCCCGATAATGAAACCAGCGGCTTGGACAACGGCGTATCGCCTGAACTGGACGAATCCCCGGCCAAACCCACAGATAGCCTTTGGCGGCGCATCATCTCCCAAAGAAATCGAACGAAAATACCCCCACCGAAAAAAGCCAAGGAAGCGGCCTCGCTCGGCAAAATCTTCAATCTTTTGCGAGGGGATGTTTATGAAGTCGCGCAGAGGTTCTGGGAAGTCGATTCGTTGATCAACCAGCCACTGGGGCTCATAATTGCAACCATCCTTGTGTGGACACTTTTCGGTCCTTCTTGCTTCCTGGGAATATTAGCTGTCCTGGTCGCACAAGTCATTAATGCGTTGATCACCAGAGTCCTCCTCCGATGGGAACGTGTTAGGCGAGCAGCCACAGATTCCAGGCTTCAAATCACCTCACAATTTGTCGAAGCAATCCGTCATCTACGATGGTACGGATGGCAAAACCACTGGCTTCAACAGGTAATGGAGGCCCGGCAACATGAATTGAATATTCGGATTGTCACCAGTCTGTGGAGTATCATGATTCGCTTTGTCAATGCATTCGCGAGTGGTGCGTTTCCTGTCGTCGCGCTCTATGCGTATACATTTCTGGCTGGCCATGAGCTGCGCATTGACATCATTTTCCCTGCTTTGCAACTTTTCTCCATGCTCGAAAGTCGTTTGCGAGATATTCCAGGTCTGATAGCTTCCTTGATTAATGCGTCTATTGCTCTCGGTCGTATTGAAGATTTCATGTCCGAGCCCGATAAGAAGATCATGCCTTCTGAATTGACCGAAGGTGATACCGCGATTTCCATTGAGTCTGGCTCATTTGCATGGCCAGGCAAGGTCACACCCGTCCTCGTTGACATCAACGTCAACATCACGAGGGGTCTGACTGTTGTGACCGGCAAGGTCGGTGCTGGGAAGACAGCATTCCTGCAGGCTCTTCTTGGTGAGCTTGATACTGTTGGTGGCTCCGTTCACATTCCGAATGAAATGGTAGGATATTGTGCACAAACACCATGGCTACAAAGCATGAGTATTCGAGACAACATTCTTTTCTCTGCACCTTACCAGGACAAACGTTACAAACAAACATTGGAAGCATGCGCTCTACTTCCAGATCTCTCCCAATTCAAGCATGGTGATCTATCTTTTGTTGGAGAAAATGGTATTGGTTTGTCCGGAGGTCAGAAAGCGCGGGTAGCTCTGGCAAGGGCCGTCTATAGTGCATCCCGAGTTCTCCTCCTGGATGATCCCTTGTCGGCACTTGATCATAATACTGCTGAATCGGTGGTCCGCAAATGCCTTTTGGGGCCGTTAATGAAAGATCGCACTGCTGTGTTGGTCACGCACCGAACAGCGTTAGTGCGGCAATTCGCAGACCAAATTATCGATATCTCCGAAAAACATGCAGTTGTGTATGACAAACAAGGCGTCGCCCTTGATCAATCTGACACACCGTCTACATTCATGGACTATGAGGACGAACATGAAGCACAAACTACCCCCGAAGAAGAGGCGGCTGCCGTCCCTGCTAAGTTCATTGAGGAAGAACATCGAGCAGAAGGGGGTGTCAAGGCTCGAGTCTATTGGAATTACATCAAGGCCGGAAAGTATCGATGGTGGCTTGCCCTGGTTCTAATTCTGACAATTTACCGATTGATGGCTGTCGGGCAATCCTGGTTCCTCAAGGGATGGGGAGAAGCATATGAACAGACAACGGCAATGAAAGCAAGTCCACAAAACTTGACTAGCCAACAAGGATATACCTGGGCAGTTCCATCAAGTTTAGATGCATTGTTTACTCCCCGAAGTCCGATGGATCAATTGCCTTCTCCTCGAGAGGATGTTCGGCCCTGGCTGTGGACTTTCTTTGCAATCATCTCGCTGCAGGCTGCTACCTTGTTAGTCGCGCAACTGTTGATGCTTATCATTGTGTACTGTGCTGGACAGTCGCTTTTTCGGCAGGTTTTGGTTCGTGTCAGCCATTCCACGTTCCGCTGCCTGGGTAAGTTCTTTGACGCTGTGAGAATGACGTGTCTAACTCTCTTTCAGATACGATTCCTCTTGGGCGGTTGATGAACCGTTTGACCTCTGATATTGGGGTGGTAGACGGGAATATCAGCGAGCAGTTCCAGGCCATCGCCTTCCAGGCCATAACCTGGGTATCGTCTGTCCTGGTCATTGCTACCGCTACCCCTATGTTTCTTCTGTTCTCTCTAGCTCTCACAGTAGCATTTGTCATGGTATTTCGCCGGTTCCTGCCTACGTCGCAGAGTCTGCGCCGGCTTGAGATGGTATCTCTCAGTCCTCTCCTATCCAATTTCGGGGAACTACTGCACGGCCTGACCACAGTCCGGGCATTCCGCGCCGAATCTCGATTCCAAAGCCGTGTCATATCAGTCGTCGATAAGTTCCAGGGCATGGATCATTTTTACTGGTCACTCCAGAGTTGGCTCATGTATCGTTTTGAGAGCTTATCTGCATTCTCCACGTTCTGTCTGACTGCGTTGGCTCTATATACAAACACCACACCTGGGTTGGTTGCGTTTGTACTTATTGCGGCGAACAACTTTGTCGAGTCCACACATGCCCTCTGCAAACAATACGGTCAACTCCAAATGGATTTTGTGTCGGTGGAACGAGTTGACGAACTCCTTCATATTGAAGAAGAAGCCCCCGGGTCAATTTCTCCTCCAGCCGCATGGCCCACTTACGGCAGCGACATCGTCTTCGATGATGTGACTCTCCGCTATGCGCCACACCTTGATCCATCGCTGATGGGTGTCTCTCTTCGCATCCCTGGAGGATCCACCATCGCAGTCACCGGCCGTACAGGTAGTGGTAAATCAACACTAGCCATGTCGCTTCTAAGTGTGATCAAACCAGAATCAGGTCGGATTCTCATCGACGGTATCGACATCGCCGAGGTGAGCACGCAGGCACTACGGACGCGTGTCACCTTTGTTGCGCAGGACCCAGTTCTTTTCCCCGGCAGTATCAGGCTAAATCTAGATCCGACGGAAGAATATTCGGATGAGCAATGCACGGAGGTCTTGGGGCGATTATGCAGTCGGCATGGTTGGGATCTTGAGACGCACATTGAAGCTGGGGGAAGAAATCTCAGCCAAGGTCAACGTCAGCTCATAGCCCTCACTCGGGCTGTTCTTCGACGCAGTGCCATCGTTATCTTGGACGAAGCGACTGCCTCCGTTGATCAAGAGACTTCGCTTGAGATCCAGCAGATCATCAGGGAGGAACTGCAGCAGTCCACCGTTCTTACGATCGCGCATCGCATAGAGGCTGTCAAGGATGCGGATTACTTTGTTGTTTTAGACCAGGGAAAGGTTTCACGGGAGGGACATGTGCGAGATCTGTAGATCTGGAATCAATCCAGCGAAACAAATTATGCAACTTTGCAAAATCCAACGGTCTTCAGTGCCCACCGGGCCATGGTTATAAATTTCTCAAAAGGGTATATAGTCTACAGCTTGGGCTTGGCAGCCTGGGCCTTCTTCAGGATAGGCTCCATTTTGGTCGCCTTCATGATGTTGCCCTTGATCTTCAGCTTGCCACCCATGAACAGGCGCTGAGCGTTGGCCTTCCCGGAAACGAGTTGTGCGAAGTCGGCATCTGAGAGGTTGAGGGTGACTGTCACGAGATTGGTGATTAGTATGTGCATGTGAAGCGAGACCACGCCGGGGAAACTCACCGTCCGCCTTGCCGCCCTGGGGAGCAAGACCCTGTCCGACCTCGCCCTTGTTCTTGAGGTCGAGGTACCAGGCGGCTTCTTCGCCCTTATCGTTCTTCAAGTTGAAGGCCACGATGGCCTTGGCCTTGTCAAGGGCATCCTTGCGGTCGGCCTCGTTGCCCTGGAGCGTCTGGCTGATGACGTCGAAGGCAGCGGAAGAAGGGTGGGATTCTATCGCGGTGAGACTTAGTACAAGGCAGGACCAACGTGCAGGGGCACAGGGTACTGTATACCTTTCTTGAGAGACATGGTGTATGTGTAGGTACAAAATGAGTCGAAGTGGAAGGGGAGGTGACCTTTCCTATATATGATGACATGGGCATGTGAACTCCCTTATATCCGTACCGAGGCCCCGTGTGTCTCCATCTTTTTTTCTTTCTCCACACTCCGAGCTCTGTGATCTTGTGCGCTCCAGGTTTTCCATTGTTTTTTGAGAACTGTGCGCTCCTAATTTGATCATGATCGACGCTCTTATGAACCCGTCTTCCCACCTCTGCCCCCAATGCCCAGGTGTTTCATTTCCGCCGACTCCACACCGCGGTGCGCTGGGGTCACACAAATGCGGCAATCACCGCGAGTCTGTCCATCACTCCGTGCTTCTACAGACCTCCGACGCTATGGTCTGAATGACACATACCACTGTGAAATACAGATGATTTATTTGATCCTGAAATATTCATTTTAGTCCGCACTCTGGCCAGACTTCATCTCGTTGGTCCCTTGAAGTGATCTTCATGTGATGCATGCTGTATCATTTTAACACTTCTAGGCAACCTATCGATACCTTCCACAAGCGACAATTTGACTGAATCGCCCCGACAATCCTCCTTTCTGCTCACAACATCCCCTCCCCGGTGGCGCCGGGGCACCGTCCCAACTCCCGCAGCGGATAACCACATTGTCGAGGTTAGATGGTGCAGGTGATCTCGGCGCCTCGAATAAAGATTGCTGCTTGAGACGCGTACCTCGAATTGTCAGTCTCATATATAAAGCTATAAAGCTTTGAGTTGCCAAAGCAACTTGTGTTGGACATAGCCCAGGTAGTACAATTGGTCCAGATCTGGCTCGGTGCAACCTTGGAGCATGAAGAGTGCAGGCCAGCGTGGCGGTATCACCGCCTGATAGTACTCGCTCTCAGTGATGTCAAGTCTTCAAATCTGCATTCAGTGACATTTTGGAGATTCAGTGAGTTGAATCGAGACTGAGTGTATACTGACCCTGTGGCGCATCCGTGAAGCTACCTCAGCCATGATATCCCAAGTCCCCCAGAAATCAATGAAGACTGAGAGATGACACTTGGATGGCGACATCAAACCGTAATGCTTGATCGGAGAAACATAACACCAATCCATCATCTTTAGATCAATTCATTCTACCCATTGGTCATTCATTGCCTTCAAACCTTTTCACTAGTTGCCAAGTATTGACCGTGCCATCATCTCCGTTGTCAAATGTTTCAGCCCTTGGATTCCCATGAGATTATTTGCGACATAATCCGTCCGGGAACGAAGGTGTGTCCATTCGCCCTTTCTTCAATCTCGCAAGCGAGGAAAGAAAAAGAGAGAGAAAAAAACAGCCCTGGAGTGAAAAGCTCACTAACCACAACTGCTGGGTGGTCAGGGTAGTCAAGTGACATTCCCGGACTAGTAGACCTCTGCAGATGCCTTTATCCCATCTTCTGCGGACTAATATCGTTCCTTTTCCAGGGTGATCAAAAGACCAGCGGACAGTTCGTTTGTCTGCAAGGTTGGAAAATCATAGCCTAGCCAATCGCTTACGGCAACGTCTTTCTTGGTCGAATCTTATCAGGATATCTCGGGGACACGCTGAGGCGATTCAATGTGATGATCGTGATGTGCTTCTTACCCACTGTTGTCATTTTGGTCCACGAAGTTTCACAAGCATATCACTTGTCGCGATTATTGTGTCAAGTATCACAGTCTTGTTATCGACAGATGCTGCTGGGAACCGTTTCCGAACTATGGAATAGCCGTTCAACCACTTCATCCTGGGCAACATTCCTTTTCCTGCGGCGTGCCAGGATGCGAGATGAGGATAGCAGAGGCTGTGTGGCAACAACCATCTGCAAGGTGCCACGAAGGATTGGGACCATTCTGGTGGGCTAGCTCAAAGCTCTGTTGCGAGACTTGGCAATGAGTACTCCAGGCCTTCAAGACTCCCTCGAGGCATATAACGTGGTCTGTTAGTTGCGTCACCTTTGGAGTAAAGCTGGATGGGTGAAAACTTGTCCATCTTTTCACACGAGTGGCGGGGTCTGGGGAATTTCAACCATGGCCGAAGTGGTTATGCTGGTGCTTTGTTGGGTTGGGTTGATGTGCTGGGTGGACATGCGAGGAGTGTAAGATACAACTATTTTCTCCAAATGAACAGTAATGCATGCGCTGACTTCAGGACCTTGGAAGAACCTTGATCTAGGTCTATCTTCGACTAAGACTTCTCGCCTCCAGGGCTAGGGACGGATTATCTAGGTATAGATTTCAGTCTGTTTACTAGATTGTCTTATCATCTGCGAATACCTCTCAATACACGGCATCTCTACCTTGTTTCACGCACATATCACCAAAAGCTTGGATCGTACACATCGCCTTCTAACAGTGCTATTATCTGGCCGGACGGAGAATCGCCCGCGCTATGTTTATGCTGAATTCCAAAGTTGTTGGCGATTGGTGCGTATCAGCGATGTACGGAGCAGCTTACTGCATAATCTTCGGCTATTCGTATGCGTGGCAGATCAGTACGACAAATAGCGAACCCTGATCTCTTTGGAACCCAACGTAACATTGATTTGCATGAGCCACATAAATGCAAGACTCCCGGGTTAATTACGGTACCAGGTAATGTTTTCAAGTATTTTAAGTGAATCCGTCGTACGGAGCAGTTCTCTCTAGGCACATCCTTTCAAAATGACATCCCTGGTGATCTTTGACTTCGACGGCACCCTTTTTGACACCCACGAATCCATCGCTCAAACAATCAGGCTCACTTTTCATGCCCTGCTACCAGCCCACACCCCACCACAAAATGAGATCTACAGCCTGATTGCCAGTGGGTCTGGATTGACAGAGACATTCAAGAAGCTTTACCCCTTTCCCGTGGAGTTTACTGCGACCGTCGAGAGTGAATGGATTGAACAATACCGCACCCTCTACGCCATTCACGGTCAACCACTCATCAAAGCCTTCACTGGCGCAAAGGATCTTCTGACAGAGATCAATTCTCTCGGGATTTCCATCGCCATCGTCAGCAATAAGGGCGTCGAGGCTGTAAAGACTGCCTTGAGACGCAATGACTTGTATGGCATGGTGCCCGAGGATCTCATCATCGGTGACAAAACCCCAGGTGCGAAGCGCAAGCCGGATCCTTCCAGCTTCAGCAATATTTTGGCCCCCACTCTCCAGCAGAGATCCGGTGGGCAGATTATGGCGAGCCAAGTGCTTGTTGTAGGTGACACGATTGCGGATATCGAATTTGCAAGGAATATTGGGAGCAAGGTTTGCTGGTGTCGCTATGGGTATGGGGATCGAGAGGCTTGTCAGGCCCTGGAGCCGGACTTCGTGGTTGACGCGTTAGAGGATGTGGTGGAGCATTTGAATGGTCAAGTCTGAATCTGTACTTATGACCTTGAACAGAATACCTCGGGATGGAAGATCATGTTGTGCCTCTTGAAGAAAGGTCACAATAGATAATATTCAATTTGCAACGATCTAAAGCTAGGTGAGCAAGGGCTAAGTTATTAGGTTTGGCCATTGGTCTTTCCAGAAGTCTTTCGAAGGGTTCTTTGAATAGTAATTTTGTACTGCGTGCGGATGTTTCTTTCATTTTGAGGCGAATGGCATCGGTGGGTGCAGGAGATAGGCTTCAAAGGACCATAAAAGATTGAGCTTTGGAAGCAGAAACGCAGAATGATCTGCAGAGCATACGAGTATAAAAGCCCTGTTTCACTGATTTGACGGGGTTGGCATGTTTGACGTGTTTGCTACGTTTGCACTTCTTATCGCTTCACGCGTCTCAATCACATAGTGATAGGCGAACGCGCCCCAAGATATCAAAAGTCTGCAGGGTTCGACCAAGCCTAGGTCCATTCCTCTTTCCAGTAGATCAAAAGAAGCAGTAATCAAATGGAGTCTCGATTCCAAGTAATATCTCGAAGTTCCAAGATCTAGAAAGAGGCCAATATCCCTCCAGTTCAGTGAGGCTCAAATAACCCGGGTGGGCTTGGCACCTACTGGCAATGACATCTTTGGCCAATGTAGAACTTTCCACACCCCGCCGACGCAAACGTGGCCCATCGATTTGATGTGTCGCAAATATTGGGCTCTCGCCTAATCTTCATCGAACTGGTCCCTAAGATTCGACCCCCATGATCCGCCGTCCGTCGCCCTTCGCAACTATTCGTCACGATCGCATCTTTTTTCACTTCCGTCTGTCGTCACCCCATTTACCCGGCCAAAGCGTCTAGAGTACTCGATGTACGTACTTGTGCCTCCCTCTGCGCCCCAAGATGTGACAAAGCCGCATAAATTACGTTCATACGTTGTTTCTCCCGTCTCATCTGCGACCACCCGCTGTTTTGACTGCTGTTTGCTCTGGATGTCCAACATTTGCTGACTTCCGCAGACCATCCTTCCCTGATCACAACGTACCTGGAGCTTCCTAAGTCCAGAAATCTGCCTTTGAGCTTGACCTCCACCTCTATTACTCTCGCTTTTGCCCGAACTTCCATTCCCCGCAATACCATCGTTCTGGTGCTCATGGTCGTTACGAACTGTTGAAACATGTCTTCTTCGGGCGATAGATCCAAGGAGGACCAGATCAAAGACCTTCTGGAAGATATCGACATTCACAAATTCATTCGCGATGATACCCTAGCAACTATGGGCGACTGTGAGCAAGCGAGGGAGATCACGGCAACCCTCAGGTCCAAAGAAATCCAACTCGCAGAGCTCCTTGGAGATCCTATTCCCCCTCTCCAAGCTGCTCTCACTCCACCTGTCGTATCGCCCACCCCGCCCATGCCTAGCTCTGCTCCTGCGCCTCCGCCTCCGCCTATGCCCTCTGGTGGATTTGCCGGATTTGCCGATGAGCCCCGTTGGTCTTCCACGGGACCGTCGCCTTTTGCTACTGCCTCACGGCGTCCGGCAAATATGCCAGATGTACCAGCCCTAGCTTCAATGGATCAATCTCGGAAGCGCCCACGCCCGACCTCCGGATCATCGCCCCCAGTCCAGGAGTCCGCGAAACGAAGCGCGCCTCCGCACTCTGTATCTCGCCACTCCAAAATTCAGGAGATAGAGGCTCGACAAAAACACGAAATCGAGGAGAATAGAGAGCAGTACAGGAAGTTGATGAACACGGCACTTGACACTGAGGAGCTGAAAGATCTGGAAATTGAACTTGAGAGCATGGAGAAAGACATCGTTTCCTCGTTCCAACTCGAAAAAGATGCAGCAATAGCTCGGGCGCTGCAACACGAGGAGGATATTTTGCCGCTCCCTGCAGCAAATTTCATACAACGGCCTTCGTGGAATATGCCTCATCGAACCCAGCCGATTAAGTCCGAACCTGGCTTGAACCGCATCGGTGCCCGTCCGCCATATGTTCCGCTACTCTCATCCAGCCAGCGCAATTCGAGTTCTGATGACGGATTCGAAGAGATCACAGCCGATTCGTTCAACTCTCGCACTGGTAAACAGCCAGTCTTTGGCAACCCCTATGCACCATCTTCTTCATTATATGTCAAACCAGGCTACCCCTCTTCATCACAATGGCCCGACTACTCCTCACCAAGCGCCAGACCTCTCCCTTGGAAGTCACCCTACATGACCTCTGCGCGAGAGGCTATGAATTGGCCAAGCGCCGTAGGGTCCATGCCAGGGTCGTATCCAGGGATGCATAACTCATATGACAAGTTTGATCAGGTCTTCGACGTGGTTCGTGATCAGCAACAGCTTTTCGAGGATGACGTTGACATCGAGGCCTACAACGAAAGAGAATTTCCCGACGATATCAAAAACCTACTCGACGGCATCAAAGACATTCGTGAGGCGACCAAAGCCGATAACGCGGGATCTCCTGATGCGCTGCGTGTCACCTTGATGAAGCATCAGAAAGTCGGCTTCAACTGGATGAAAGCCAAGGAAGAGAGTAGCCATAAAGGAGGTATTCTCGCAGACGACATGGGTCTCGGGAAAACCGTTCAGGCAATCGCGCTTATGGTCGCCCGTCCTTACGAACATGAAGAACGACGTCCCAACTTAATCATCGCACCCAAAGCTCTCATGGAGCAATGGAAATTAGAAATCGAGCGACACGTTAAGCCTGGAAAGCACAAACTGGCTGTCCTGATTTACCACCAAAGGCGCAGGCCCTGGAGAGAGCTGAAGAAGTACGATGTGGTCATCACAACTTTCGGTACGCTAACCGCACATTACAAGACATTGCTTGACGGGGAGAAGGCGCAAGAAGAGGGCCGTGATGTTTCGTTAGTCCAAACATTGAAATCCAATGCAGGCCCTCTCAGTCCCGGGGCCAAGTGGCACCGTGTCATAGTTGATGAAGCTCAAAACATCAAAAATCCGTCAGCGAAATCTGCCATCGCATGTTGCCGCCTCAACTCTACCTACAGATGGTGTCTGACTGGTACACCCATGATGAACCGCCTCGAAGATTTCCAATCCTTGCTGGCGTTCTTGCGTATCAAACCATATAACAATGCGAAGAAGTTTAAATCGGTGGGTACCTGCCCCTCTATCCCATTGTTTGTCATTGCTAACGTGTCCTACCATGCAGGACTTTGTGAGTCGTATCAAGTCTGGTTGGGGTGGAGAAGATGTCATGAAGCAACTTCGTGTACTGGTCAAATCTGTCTGTCTGCGACGTACCAAGACGTCGAAGATTGATGGGCAGCTCATCTTGCAACTTCCACCGAAGGTCATTGAAAAGGTCCACGTCATATTTGATGAGAGAGAAAGCCAGGTTTATGGCCAGCTTGACACAAATACTCAGAGACAAATCAACCGATTGCTCGACGCTGGAACATTAGGCAGAAACTACAGCCACGTCCTGGTACTCCTTCTCCGACTACGACAAGCATGCTGCCATCCTCTTCTCACGCAGGATTTCCGAGCTGAAGCCCCTCCATCAGACCCAAATGTCGACAAGATCGCCAACGCTAAACTTCTGTCTGCTTCGGTGGTCGAACGCATCAAGTCAAACGATGATGAAGAAGATGATGGAACCTGTCCCGTTTGTATGGACAGCGTAGAGAACGCAACAATTTACATTCCATGTGGACATCATGTATGCTCGGAGTGCTGGATCCGCATATCTGACTGCGCCGGCGCCAATGCCATCAACCTCGAGGAGGACACTTTCATCAAGTGTCAGAACTGTCGAGGCCCCGTCGACCCCAAGAAGCTCACGGATACAATCTCATTCAAAAAGGTCCACGACCCAGGTTCAGTGCCAGAGTCCGAAAACACCGGCGGTGCTACTGCCGACGCCGAAGACAGCGAAGCCACCGCAAGTAGCACAGAGTCTTCTGATTCAGACAGCGAGACTGAGCAAGACGAGGAAGGCAATAAGAAGAAGAGATCACTCGCCGAACTGCGCACTGCCGCCCTTCGGAACAAAGCCGAAAAGAAGAAGTATCTCCGCCGTCTCGAGAAGACTTGGTTTCCCAGCTCAAAGATCACAAAGACCCTGGAGATCCTCCAGGCCAACGAGGACCGTGGCCTGGGTGAGAAGACTATCATCTTCAGCCAGTTCACCTCTCTCCTGGACCTTCTCGAGGTCCCACTCGCCCGCAACGGCTGGAACCACGCCCGCTTCGATGGCAGCATGAATTTGAAGGAACGCAACGCTGCCGTAACAACATTCACCAACGATCCTTCCTGCAAAGTCATGCTTGTCTCGTTGAAAGCAGGCAACTCGGGACTGAACCTCGTGGCCGCATCGCATATCATCATGTTCGATCCATTCTGGAATCCTTACATCGAGGATCAAGCTGTCGATCGTGCCCATCGTATTGGGCAGGTCAGAGATGTTTTCGTTCATCGCTTGCTTATTGAGAACACTGTTGAAGATCGTATCGTTACCCTTCAAGATCAAAAACGAGAGTTGATTAGTGGTGCTCTTGACGAGGGTGGCACTATGAATGTCTCTCGTTTGGATACCAGGGAGCTTGCTTTCCTCTTTGTATGTCTAGTTTCTCTCTTTTTTTCATTCTTGCTAACTTCTTCCTAGGGTGTTCGTGACCTGTGATACCCTCGACATGAGCCATGCATTGTCCCTGCTTGCGTCATGCAGCTTTATCTCCAACGATGTCGCTTTGAATCCTTGTCCATGGTCTGTCGTATTTTTACTTTGTTGTTCATTTTCTGGGTTTTTTGGGGGGGATTTTCGGCGTTGTCTTGCCCGCATCAAGGATTGCTATACCCAGGCGTGTTTTTTCCTCGGGATGTTTTGCTCCTGTCGCGAATTTTAGTATGATCAGTCGGGTAGAACTCATACAGTGGTGTTTCTATGGAAGTGAAATCCTCCTGATCCAAGTACTTTCTCAAAGCGAGCTCGAGATTGTGAAAGATCTAATCTATCTAGTAAAGAAAAAAATTTAGATCTTGAAAGAGTACATGCTTTTTTTTTGTATGCGTGCGTGCTCATTTCGGGGAGGAAAAAAAAAAGACAATTGGGATGTCTAAACTACTAGAGGGGGAAATAATCAAAAAAATGCATGTGCCATCCCGTTGCTTCACACAGCCACCCTCCCGCTTTCATTGTATCGTGAGTTCGGGGGGCGGTTTGCTTTTGCAAGTGCAACCCCCAAATAAAAAACGCAATCCCCGGGGGTCGTGGACTTCCTGTCTACCTGGCGAGAGCTCGGGGGAGGTCAGGGAAAGGCGACTCCCAACTTTCATGTCGGAAACTTCGTGAACCCGTCGCTGAATGCACCACTTTACAGGTCGGCATCATCCTCATCGGGGAGGGGCTGGTTGGCGGCCTCCTCCATCTCCTTGCGGTAAGCCTCGAGCTGAGCCTCGTCAACGGTGACCTCGGGGGGAGCGAGGGCAAGACCAGCAACGAAGTCCTATATATTTTGTTAGCGCTGATCGACAAGTGATGGAAATCATGCGGGACGTACGAGCTGGGGGTTGCCGACAAGCTTGCGAGCGAGCCAAAGGAAGGGCTTCTCGAAGTTGTAGTTGGACTTAGCGGAGATGTCGTAGTACTGGAGGTTCTTCTTGCGGTGGAAGGTGATGGTCTTGGCCTTGACCTTGCGCTCCTTCACGTCGACCTTGTTACCGGTGAGGACGATGGGGATGTTCTCGCAAACACGGACGAGGTCACCTAGGAAAATTTTAGTACTCGTGTTGGGTTTCTTTCACGGTCGCGGGGTCACTCACGGTGCCAGTTGGGAACGTTCTTGTAGGTAATGCGGGAGGTAACGTCGAACATAATAATACCGCACTGGCCGTTGATGTAGTAACCGTCACGGAGACCACCGAACTTCTCCTGACCAGCGGTATCCCAGACATCGAACTGGATGGCACCGTAGTTCTGTTCGCGGTATTAGTGACTATGATCATGTCGAAGCGGGGCTCGGCGGGGTATGTGACATACGGTGTTGAAGTTAAGAGGGTGGACCTCGACACCGAGAGTGGCGATGTACTTCTTCTCGAATTCACCAGTCAAGTGACGCTTAACGAAAGTGGTCTTTGAAACTTGTTAGTAATGAAGTCGCGGTGAGGCGGTTCGATGGTGCGATCGATGATTGACAGGCGCGGGGCAGGGCCCTGAGGGTGATTTCGATGTCACCATCAAGAGATCTTTGAACCAGGAAAATAAGGACCAAGATATCCAAACCCATTGCCCATCAAAAATCATTCATCGACTTTGAATGCGCTTACCTTTCCAGTACCACCGTCACCGACCAGGACGAGCTTGAAAGTGGGGGTGGGAGCAGCCATTTTTGAAAATCAACGGTTCAAAAGAAACTTAATATAGATAAGTTCCAATGGGTCTCGCGAAGATGAGGAGGGGATGTTGTTGTTTTTAAAGGGAGAGTAGAGGGGTGCCGGGAAGGAGAATGGAATTTTTGCCCCGTTGGCGGTGGTCACGTGGTCATTGTGCCTGAGGCCCCCGCTGACGTAGTGACGAGGAAAGAAAAATAAATACGAGTCAAACAACACATATTTCTTACAGAGTAGTGGGATTTTGAATGGTTTTGTTCTTGTGTTATTGGCTCGGTCTTTTCTTGATTGAGCAATATTACAGACTTTGTTTTAGGCTGATGGTCAGGCCCAATGTCCTCCGGTGGTATCGCCGTCTTTGTAGCCTAAACCCTCATTTTTTTTTACAAATCAAAGAATCTGCAGAAACCCAAGGAAATACGTTTCACATTAGTCATGAACAGCGCATCGTCGATGTATAAGATGGCATCAATTGGGCCGTGGTTAATTCCAACAGAGCCCTCTTACAATGGAACCAGGTGGCATCCGAGCAAGCCACGACCTCCCCAATTCTGCCGGGGAGTGAGTTGTAGATGTAACTCGGAGACAGGACCGGTGTCTTCCTTGCGACTAACCTTAACCAACACCACTCGCTGTTGGAAAGGAAAGTATGTCAGAGATATTCACTTTGCGATAGAAATGCCAGCTCACTGGATGATTACATACCCCTTCATTTTGTTGTACTGTCTCGGCAACCTTACTCAAACGCTCATGGTTTAACCAATTGACACCCCCAAAGCTTCGAATAGAATCGCCAGCTTTGAGGCCTGCCTGGTCTGCTGGACTTCCTGTGACCACACTGTTGACCTTCGCGAACGGTGCCTCGAGGGCACCACTACCTGTCGTAGAGCGGTTTGGTAATGAGTGCACGACGGGAGGGTGACTTGTGCCATTGGTGGTTGGTCCAGCGCCGGGCGTGGTTTGCAAGTTGGCGAAATGTGCGTGAACTCCCTTTTCAAGGTGGTGCATCACGTCCTTGTGGTCATTGCGTAGATGGATCATACGCACGCGTATTGTTCGAACTAAGGTTCTCTTAGCGATAGTTGCGGGCCGATCGAGTTGCGGGGCATACCTTGCGCAATGTCGATATCATCGCGGGGAAAGCCATCGAAGGTAGTAAGAGAGGAGGTCATGCGCACCCCGTGCTTCAAGGGAGAGTCGTTAGAAATAGTGACGGAAGCCTTGGGGTGGGAAATCTCACTGATTGGAGAACGCTACTGAGCGCAGACATTTCCTCCTCGATGCGTTCCTTTTCCTGCATCAGGTCTGGCATTGGTAGCTTAGACACATCGCGAGGGGTACCTCCGGATGCAGGTCCGGAGGCCACAGTTGGGGCGTGAATGTCATCCATGATCTTGATCAGGTCTTGGAGAAGGTGAGAGGAGAGGTGGGTCTGTCCAGACCGATTTATATAAGCGGTGATGCTTGGCGCGGGAAGTATATATGTCCACAGTAACCTTGGAAGTATATTCTGAACAGCATCTATACATTCTCCGGAAGATAAACACCAATAACATATTTAGGAACAGATGCTTCACACACCGATATTACAATGTCGACTATGGCTAATTTTCATCATGACGTACCTAGATGAGATTCAAATCGCAATCTCCGGCTTCTTTTCCTTCGAAATGCCGGGCATGCAGACAAGGAAAGCGCCCCTCTGCTCTTTCGCTCCAGGGCTGTGATCGCTGGTTCGACAAAGACAATACCATTCTCCATGTCAGAATCTAAGCTCTTGATTTGACCTCCGGGATCACTTCTTCGGATGGCGGAACTGACCAATTTTGAAAGACAAGGCCTGCTGGCAGATGAAGAACTTGAGAAATACCAGAATAGCGGTGATGTGAAACCCGTGGACAAGGCCCCTCACCCTTTCAAGAGATGGTATGATAGCTTTCGCCCACGAAAACATGATACGTCGAGCCAGCGGCGACACGTGGAGGGCTGGTCGGATTCTTCATCTCATGGCTCGCGCGATCACCGTTCGAGTGTGTCCGAATCATCGCAGTTCGAAACTATGTTGACGGCCTCCACCAGCGTCACAAGTCAGTGTCTGCTGCAATCACGGACAAGCGTACCTGGTAGAACAACAGCCAGTATGTTCTCGGACTCGGGCAACTCTGGTGATTCACCCCATTCGAGCTCGAGTAACCATCTGGATGAGGCCACGGACCTCAGGGCAACGAAACGGCGTCACATACTTCGGGAGCTTGTCACGACTGAGTGTGATTATGTGTTGGGCTTGAAGGCTCTTACCGGAGTAAGATATCTGGCAACCTTGAAGGTAGTTCAGATTTGCTGACCTATGTGCTCCAAACACAGATCCTCACCATCTTTAATATCCGACGAAAGATATCGGACAACGTTCAAGAGATCTTAAACATGCACGAGCATTTTCTGACCAAGCTCCAGGCGGCATCTCCAATGTCGGCGCTTCATGCCCAACGAGCAAGTGACTTGGAGTTCACATCCAAGGGCATTTCAAAACGGTTGAGCACGAACCTGGGCAGCTTGAGGGGATTACAGCAGCGATCGCTGAGGAGTCGGACAATGAAAGCCTCTGTCAACCAGCGCCTCAAGGCCCTCACAGCTGATCCGGCAGAGGCACTAGATGTTGCAAGGAAGATAGAGGAACTGGTGAGATGCTTGGTATCAATTCCTTAAGCAGGCCCCCACTGATTTCATGATATAGTCGCGTTTGTTCTCTGCGTATGACGAGTATTGTGCGAATTACGAAATATTCTCACACGATGTTGCGCTTCTGCGCCGGAAACCTGCCGAGTGGACAATCTACGATCGAGGAATTGAGGCAATGGCCAAGTCGGTTGCATCAACTGAGCGCCGCAGGCATGATGACAGCAAATCAATGACCTTCAATGACTTATTGATCAAAGTTAGTGGAATCACTCCCGATGACTGACTTGGCTACTCACATATTTACAGCCTATTCAACGACTTTGCAAATACCCGTTGATGCTTCAGGATCTACTCAGAGCTACGCCTGTCAGCGACTGCCCATCCGCACATGATGAAATGCAACAAATTTTGGATAGTACACGGAAGTTGGTAGGACGCATCAATATGGCAACTGGAAATCCAGTATACAAAGATCGCATTTCCAAAACAATGCTGCTTCGCGAGAAGGTTGATGTTTCGAAATCAGTAAGCGACTCCAATCTCATGGCTATCATGAACATGGCTGATATACCCCAGAACGATTCCTTGCAAGACATTTACCAAGACCTGGGCGCGATGATCCTATGTGGCGTGCTTCATGTCACCTACCAAACAACTGAAGCGACGATAACTGGGGAGTTCATGGTCTGTGCTCTTTTCAACCGCTACATGCTATTTGCGAAGGGGGTCGATGACTTACGTCGACTAGAGGCTGTGTCCTGTGTTTGTCTTGACAAGGTCAAGATTGACGGTCTCCAAAATGGACGAGGCAAGTGTTGAACCCTGGACTGATACTGGAAAATTCCTGACTGATCTTTCAGGACTATGTTGCTACGGGTGTATCTTTTCATGGAAGCTTCTGTTTCAAGAGCGGAATCGGAATTATGAATTCGTACTCAGCGCATCATCGGCGGTGGAGGAGAGGCACTGGAACACTGAAATTCTCAGGCTATCCGCATCACTGGCCGAAGTTGCCACGCCTAGGACCGGGGAGTCAGAGGCTCATTCTTTCTTAACGCTCCGGTTAGCGCCTCTGGACCAGGTTCAATATCAGGTGTCTTCTTTAGCTCGACGATCATGTATGGACTCGGCGGCGGTCACATGCAAGTACGGGGTTCAGCATGTGGTTATCAGAAAAACGCATTACCCACGTCACGTGGAAGAACCAACTGCCCAGGTTGAAGGCGAAATCGAGCGTCCTAAGACACCTCCGGAGGGCGCATCGGTGACATTGGTTGCCCGGCGGATAGACCGCATTCGCCTGGAGCGACTGATTGTGGACGTCTGGTCTCGGGACCTTCTCCCAACCCCAGGAATGGTTTTGGGGAGAGGTGATCTCTTTCGACGTCGTCCACTTATGAAAAACCTCAGTATTCACACCGGGTTCCACAGGCGCTCAGCTTCCGTTGGTGTCACCACTTCCCGCAAGCCGTCAAGCGAGGTTCGGTCAGAGTACGATGGAGAGACCAAGGAGATTGGACGCAGCAGTGATGCCTACGATGACAAGGAGGAGAAGGAGGTTGAGTGTCAGCCTTATAGCCCTGTCACACCACAACAAACCCGCAATCTGCGGCTCATGGGCTCGTCTCGAACGAATTCACCTCGAACGAATTCACCTCGAACGAATTCACCTCGAACGAATTCACCTCGAACGAATTCACCTCGCAGCGAGATCCGATCGAGCCAGGACGATAGCCCTGAGCCAGCTCCGTCTCCGAAGAAATGGTCATCTCCCAAGAGTTTGTTTAGTGCCTTGGCACCCAAGAAGTTGAAAAAGGCCCCGCTCTCCGGTTGATGAACGAAGTGAAGCCGATGCAAACATTCTTAGCCAAGGACGTTATGTACGAGTAACAATGACCCAGGGGGAGGTTGGAATTGAGAGTTAGCTATTATTAACTTGGCGTCACGTAATGTCCTTTATGTGTTAGGAATCCAATTGCCACTCCCTTGCCAATATCCCCACGTTTGGCGTCACAGCGGATCCGGCAACAGACAGGGAGCTCTCCTATGACGTCGACTGGTGCAATAGTTGGCATTCACCGTGCAACAATCACAGTTAGAAGTGCGGGATTAGAAGGACTTCTGTGACATGTATGTAATACTTCTCCACTCTGTCCAATTTGCACCCTATGAGTAACAGTACTCGAAATTGTCTTGACTTCCCTCACACGATCACCGCGGGGAGCTTATATAGTGACGTCACCGGCCATCATCACCTGAGCTAACTTTACTTAAAGCCCTGGACTTTCTCTGTCCTCCAGTTCGATTTTCTTATTCTCTTCAACTTCATATCTTCACTTCTTCTCTCTCAACCCAATCACCTTACATACAGTCATCATGCCTCGTGGAAACGATACCGCCTCTAAGATGTACTACAAGGGTAGCTCCGAGGACTTCATTGTCTTCGTTGACGACCTTGAGGTCCTCCAGAAATGGAAGAACGACCGCAGCATCGCTCTGGCCGATGTCCTCAACGGCTGGAAGATCTTCGTGACTCACTCGTAAGTCTTGCAACTCGAAGCTTCCCATCCCACATTTCAACCTTAACACCTCATAGCCACGGTGCTCAAGGTGTCCTTGACACTGCCAGCAAGGCCGCTCTCCAGAATGAATTCGGTACCACCGACGAAGATGCCATCATGGTCAAGATTCTTGAGGGTGGAGAGTTCCAGGCCGCCACTGTAAGTCTCCCTATCAATTGCGGGGTCTCGTATACAGCGTACTAACCACACATGTACCGATAGGCACGCGAGCGTCAGGGCGGCAAGAATGACTCCAAGGGAGCTATGGGCACCTCTCGCTAAATTATACCTCTCCTCGGAAACCGATGACCCCTCCATTACCCCCCCCCCCCCACCTTTGACTCTATTGAGATATCCCTACCTCGATCATCCCTGGTATCCCGCGATTAGACATTTCGCACTTGTCTCCACCCTGGAATGGCCCTGGAGGGGATACTTGGGGTTTGCATTGAAATACAGGCTTCTACACCTGGAATCATGAGATTATGAATGATGAGCCATTTAACTCGTCGACAAATACACTATTATTTGAAACCAATCCTGACTTCGTAGATACATGTTCTCATAAAGTCGTCGAGGTAGCGGAGCAAAATCTATAAGGACAACATATTATAAAGCAACGTGCTCAGTGGTTCACTGGCCTTCGTGTTTCACAATCTCAGGAACGAATCCCCTTTCCCGTCTCTTCATAACTACCCAATCTCCCAACTCCGCCCAGACAGCCTCCTTCTCCGCCAACTTCATACCAGCCGCAAGGCCACTCGTAGTCGTAGCAACAAAGACCGGTGCCCCAGCCCACCCTTCGCAAACTCCCATATTCTCACCCTCCTGCCACCCGTACCGAAACTCCTCCTTCCGAATGCTCCTGCCCCGTCTCACCCTCCAAACCGCCTCCCAGATACCTTTCCCAACAAGACATACAGCCTCTGGTCTCTGCGCAGCAACCTTGGCTTCCAACACCGGAACTCCGGCATTCATCTCGGCGCGGCTCAGCATGCTCGCGTCGCGTGTGGGTCGCTCCACGATATTCGTGTTGCCCACGCTGTAGAGACCAGGAAGTTTATATGTATCTGCGGGTTTATGGCGCATACTTGTAATTCCGGACGAGTGAAGGAGCTTCCAGAACAAGTTTGATGGGTGTGCATAGGCGTATCCCGATATGCCGGTCATAATTCCTGGGTTCACGCCTACCAGGAGGAGAATTAGGTTTGGAGGTATAGTGTCGCGTAGAAGGGATTCTGTGGCGCTTGGTCCGAGGGATGTGGGTGTGGGTGTGTTGCGCTTGCGTTTGCTTGAGGGGGATATTGGGGATAATCGAGTCAGTGGGCGAGAGATTGTGGTTTCAGTTGATCGTTGGATTGCTTTTCTGCGTTTCGGGCTGGGTATGATGGTTTCTGTATGGGCCTGCATGGCTTGGTCTTGCGTATCTGTTTCTTCGGACTTGATTGCGTCTTGGGATATGGTTGTGGTCGTTTCTCGTGCGATCTCGGTGCTCTCGTCGCTACCTTTGTGCAGAAAATGCTGCAGTCGACCGTGAAAACTTGTGATTTTATTGACTGGTACATCGTCGAGGGCCGATTTGGTGGCAATGTTGTCCTTCCCGGTCGTACAATATGACTCTGCGGGAGGCATGATTCTTCTGCAAGTTTGGGAACTTGTCAGTGGCAATGGTTAGTTTTGTTTTCGCGAACCCGTCGATCGATATTCTTATATATTGAAGCACTGGTATCATTGCCCAGGTGCTCTTCTGAGGTCCTTCAAATGTGTCAAGGCCCAGAAGCATCCTTTCATGTCAAAAGAGCGCATCACGTGGCGATCATGACCTGGGGCCTTGTAAACAAGGCATCAATTATCACTCTCACTGGAAGGGCACAGAATGAAAGATCTTTCTCACATTATATGGAGTACAGTTATCGGGGAAACTTCAAGTAGCAAAAATGCCGGGTTCCTGGTATGTTCCTATGCGATGTCGACAATCCACTCCGAGCCCGGCCTCCAAGCAGCCTCAAAAAGCAATTGTTCCTGAAGATCATGAATTCGTTATACATTAACTTATATACAAAGTCCGCATTTGCGCAATCAATGTGCATAGCGGGCGACCTAGGTATCCAGGTACATCTTTATGCTTTGAGTAATCCATGTCGTTTCGGCAGAGTCCAAGGCTCCGGGCAAACGACCTATACAGTTGATCAGCATGGAACTATGTACTCGAAGATCAGAAGAACATACCTCGCCTTCACTGTAGGCCCAGAAGTAAACACCTATCCCGATCAAATAGTATATTGCCGGATCGGTGCCTTGGTATAATAGTGCTGCGAGCAATGCGCTAAGTGGGTATATGATAAGACGGACTTCAATGCTGCGGTGCGGCCCTGAGCCAGCAAATGGCTTCAGTGGCCATTCCCATGCTATCCCAATAAGGCCCATTAAGAGATTCAAGATTTGGAGGACGGGGACGGGGGCAACGGCCGCATCGAGGTTTCTGGAGACAAAATCCCAAAAAACCTTTGGCCAAATGAAGCCTTCGATAGCGCTGGCGACTTGATCTATTGGCATTCTGTCAGTGTTGCTTGGACTGAGGATTCACGGGGAACGTACAAGCTGCCGCAGTCAAAATGATCAACCGCCCCCAGTGGTTCTTTATGAGTCTGCCCATTATGTGAGTGTGTGAGCGTAGTATCTGGTAGAGCCTCGTCCAGCGAAGGCCTCGGAGGGTAAGGTAATTTGGATGTGGAAGGCCCGGTGCGAAGTAATTCCCGAGCGTCAAGTGTCGCAGAATTAGAATAGCTGCGACGTGTGCGGCGGCAGAATCAATTCATGGTAGCCAGTCAGTCATCTGGACATGAAGGTGTATATTCATGAGCTCAAGGTTGCGTTTGAGATATGTTGCTCAGTATCATTATTGTAATCGCATAATTCTGGGGAAGAGAAATTCACCCGAGGAACATGCTTGCAGGCGGGAGAGAGGATAAGAGTCTATACTTAGACTGACCCCTCTGATAGCCTGATGGCCCATAACTCAAATTGACATAGTGGGACTTTTTTTTGCCAGGATGTGACTGCCGTGCATCAAAAAGTGATGCACGTCTGGGGTTGGTGTACGAAAAGGATAGGGCTAAACTGTGATCCGCACGGTTGCCATGGAGCCTGAGCCAATCACTCATAATGAGGACTGCGAATGGTGGCCATCCCCTCTCTGGAGGATTCTTGAAGAACCGTCGTCGCCGTGTGATTGGAGAGCGGAGATGTGACGGAGCGGATCGCGAAGTGGGTGTCCGCAAATCAGAGGTCACCACAGCCGGGACTTGGCGTGATGAGCTGCAGTCGCACGCGCCGTCAGGGCTTTTTGCCGTAAATCTCGCAAGGTCTCATTGACATTCAAATTGTATGATACAGGTGAGACTCAAGGCCTAGGCTGGCTTTGTAGCAGAGACATGTGAGTTTGGAATTTTCCAGATCAGATGACCGCTGCAGCCCTGATCTCAACCTCATTTCGGTCAATACTACTACACTCTGCAGTAGTCTGCGGAGTACTGTCTTGAAAGGTGCCAGGTGGGTCGCTACTAATGAGAACAGTGCCGAAAAACAAATATAGCTCCAGTCAATTGAAGATCTATCTTCGGTCGAAACTCAAGCCTACCAGCGCACGCATCGTACTCCAAGTCTTGAACCGAATGGCAAGCGTTCTCACCGACTATCAATCCCCGGAGTTCCCGTGTGACGAAAAAAAGCGCCTGCAGGAGGCTTTTGATAGGCTGCTTCCCCAGTAGCTTTCTTCTTTGGCTTCATCTAGCGCCGGCCATTCACGGTCTTTGATACCACTCCCCAGCCTCTCATCCAACTCGTTCGGGGTATTGGTGTCTATTTTGGGCACTTAATTTAGTTTCCACATGGTTGAACCATTCGGAGAGAAATACCGGTCAGATAAGATGGCATCGCAAGCTATTTCCAGATTTTCCCCCCTCTAGTCTCGCTTCGTGGGGAATGTGGCACGGTGGTAGGACCGTCGGCGTACAATCCCTCGCCTTGATTGGTGTACCTGCTACGAACGGTCGTAAAAATAGAAAAGTGGTCAGATCATCAATTTCACTGATTGACCAGGATCACAATCAGTTCAAAAGAACAAGCCAAGTCCGACGAAGCACGGCGTGGAAGGACGTCGAGAGATCAGGCAAGAATTGACGACACAAGCGAGATTTCAGACTCCCGCCCTTTTTCTCTGGTCATTTAAAAGTCTAAAGCACAGATAGAGCACAGACAATAAGATTTTGGATGATGTAGAGTAGAGACGAGGCCTGGAGGGTGTGTAGAGCCCGAAGCGACGAAAGTAATTATAGATCGGCCCCCCCTCACCCCTGCAGCTAAAACCACAACACTGGGATTTTTTGAACCTCCAACCTTCCTTCGGCCTTGTCTCATTTCATCTACTGACGTCAAAAATGCCTGAAACGGTCTGAAATTAGATCTCAATCATCCCGATTCTCTGCTGGATACCTAGCGGCCACTTTGTGCAAAGGGCACCTACTGCAGGCGGCCCATAACCCGCGCATTTCGACGCACAACTTCACTTAGCGTCCATCCACTTTTGACGTGCAGCATCATAGAAAGTCGCATCGGCGAATTATTAGCCTGCTCTGAGCCATTCTGACCGAGCTTACCAGCCCTGAACTCAAATCCCCCGATCGTGATTCGGGTCAAGTTCATGGAGAACCAACGGCAATCCAATTTCAAGCTCTCAAATCCTCCATCCTAGCAGAATCTTGCTGTGAAAGGAGAATTTCCAATCTAGCTCTTCACTGAGTTTTCTTTTTGTCAACAACAAGGTTGCTGGTCAACTTCGTCACTCCTTTGGTTGCTATTGTCCATTTGTCGCTGGTCGGCATTCTCAAAATCGCAAATATGGTCGCAACTAATGAATCTTGGTTCAAGAGTAACGGTTGGACCGTCTCGAAAATATTCTTCCATCTGTTCTTCTGGGGCCTCCACATCGGTCTCTTCGCTGTAGGATGGTATGTGTTTTGATTGGTATCCGTCTTGGGTGTACAGCTAACATATTTCAGGTACCTGCAGGCCTCAAATCCAAAACTGGAGCCACTGAATGTTCTCCGATATTCCGTCTGGATCTCGCGAGGTGCAGGCTTGGTGCTGTCGGTTGACTGCACCTTGATCTTGTTCCCGATGTGTCGAAACATTCTTCGATGGCTTAGACCGCAGATTAGGTGGTTACCACTAGATGAGTCGGCTTGGTTTCATCGCCAAATAGCCTATGCTATACTGGTTTTCACGGCTATTCACACGGCTTCGCACTATGTCAAGTATGTTTCTCTATCGTTGTTTGCTTTCTTTGGCTGATTTGATTTAGCTTCTACACCATCGAAAAACAGCAAATTCGTCCGGAGCTTGCCGTTGAGATCCATTTCACCCAGGCTGGTGGCATCACAGGCCATGTTATGCTCCTCTGCATGATGTTAATGTACACCACCGCTCATCACCGCATCCGCCAGCAGGCATATGAGACCTTCTGGTATGCGCATCACCTTTTCATACCATTTATGTTGGCCCTCTATACTCATGCCACGGGTTGCTTTGTCCGAGACACCACCGACCCAATATCCCCACTGGCAGGAAAACAGTACTGGGATCATTGCCTTGGGTACGAAGGATGGAGGTGGGAGTTGGTAATCGGAGCCTTGTACCTCTTTGAGCGACTCTATAGGGAGATTCGGGCTCGACGGGACACAGTAATTACCAAGGTGATTCGTCATCCTTATGGTGAGGCACCCTTCCGATGTTCTATTGAGCCTAGCTAACCAGTCTTAGCCGCTATGGAAATCCAGTTCAACAAGCCAAGCATGAAATACAAAGCCGGACAGTGGCTGTTTCTTCAAGTCCCTGATGTTTCCAGCACCCAATGGCATCCGTTTACCATCACATCCTGTCCCTTCGATTCCTACCTTAGTGTGCACGTCCGGCAAGTTGGCGACTTTACCCGCGCCCTCGGAGACGCTCTCGGTTGTGGTCCCGCCCAGGCAAAAGACCTTGAAGGTCTCGATCCGAACGGCATGTACGAAGTCGCTCTACAGAACGGTCAGACCATGCCATCAATTCGCGTGGATGGGCCCTATGGTGCGCCTGCCGAAGACGTCTTCGAAAATGAAATCGCAGTGCTCATCGGTACTGGTATAGGTGTCACGCCATGGGCATCTATCCTCAAAAACATCTGGCATCTTCGCTCAAGTCCAAACCCCCCGCGTCGTCTGCGTCGTGTTGAGTTTATTTGGGTCTGTAAAGATACATCATCCTTCGAATGGTTCCAGGCTCTCTTATCCTCACTCGAAGCGCAATCTGCGAGCGCCGCCGTCAACGAGGGAAGCACAGAATTCTTACGTATCCACACATATCTGACCCAGCGTCTGGATGCAGACACTGCTGCAAATATTTATCTCAATTCTGTCGGCCAAGCTCTCGATCCACTTACCGAGTTAAGGAGTCGGACGAACTTTGGTCGTCCGGATTTCAGTCGTCTTTTCACGGCGATGCGTCTTGGGCTGTTGGACCAGTCCTACATGACTGGCTTGCAGAGTGCTGCTACCACCGAGATCGGGGTGTACTTCTGTGGTCCCAATACTGCTGCAATGCAGATCAGTGATGCAGCCAAGGCTGCCTCGACGAAGGATATTCGGTTCAAATTCTGGAAAGAGCACTTCTAGTTTTTTTTTTTCTGTTACATTTTATTTCCCCTTCTCATATACGAAAGACATGAGTCACGAATCTCTATTTTTACTGTCCCCTGCTTGTCATGGATTCCGCTCTGCGTCTTCCAAGGTTGATTGATGCTGAGCTATCTATGGAATCACGCGGATCTCTGCTCGTGGTTACTCGAGCATATATAGGAATCATACCATATGTTAATAAAGGCTGCTCTGGAGCCATGCTGATATAGGAATATGTGCAATATATTGATACTTAATTTTGAAAAGCTCTGGGAATCTTACTTTTACTGATTTTGCCTTATCTGTTGAATTCCCCACAAGCTTATACGGAAACTCCCAGATCAATGATACAAAATTTATGGATGTGGTCCTCCGGTGATTTCAAACTCATGCATTTAACCCTCACTACCTAGAAGTGCCGGCGTCTCTTTCGCTTATTTCTCAAGTTGCCTCGCTGAAGAAACGATTCTCTGGTTTCGCCAGGCCGAAGTGCTCACGTAGTGTCGAGCCCGTATACTCATCACGGAAAAGGCCTCTCCGTTGCAACTCGGGAATCAATCTGTCTGTCACCTCATCCAAGCCCTGGGGTAAGAAGGGGAACGTGCATGTGAATCCATCCGAGGCCTCCTCTCGCAACCAGATCTCCATTTCTTCTGCAATATCACTCGGTGATCCAAGGAACGTCAACCCAGCATATCCCCCGTATCGTTGGGCGAGTTGTCGGATCGTCAGCCCCTCTTGCTTGGCCAATTTCTCAACTGCCTCTCTGCTCGTCTTGCTCGCGTTCGTCTCGGGCAGATCATCTGGGAGGGGGCTGTCCGGATCAAGGTCACTTATGTCTACACCCAGAGAGATGGACAAAGAAGCGATCGCACTGTCGTAATGTACCAAGCTGTCTAAGTTCAGCCGCTTCTGTTGTGCGTCCTGTTTACTATCTCCAACGATGATCATTGCAGCCGGCAGGATCTTCAACTCGTCTCTCTTGCGTCCCGCCCGCTCAACCCGCCCTTTAATATCAGCATAAAGGGCCTTCGCGCCATCGATATCTTTCGGGCTGCAGAACACAACCTCCGCCGTCTCAGCCGCGAGTTGCCTCCCGGGTTCACTCTGTCCAGCTTGCACGATGACGGGCCAGCCCTGTGGTGGTCTAGCAATATTCAAAGGGCCGCGTACTTTGAATTCATCCCCGGAATGATTCAATGCGTGTAATTTCGCGGGGTCGAAATATTCACCTGTCTCGGTATCACGGGTGAATGCATCATCGGCAAAACTATCCCACAGCCCAGTGACAGCATCATAAAATTCGCGTGCTCGCTTGTACCGATCACCATGAGCTAAATGCTCATCGAAGCCAAAGTTATGGCTTGTTTCTGGGTTGCCGGTGGTGACGATATTCCATGCAGCTCGTCCACCACTCAAATGGTCCAGACTAGCAAACCGCCTGGCAACATGATACGGTGCATCGTATGTTGTACTTGCTGTAGCAGCCAGACCAATCTTATCTGTGACAGCAGAGAGGGCAGAGAGCAAAGTAAATGGCTCAAAAGAGGTGACTGTATGGCTGCGCTTGAGGGCCTCGATGGGCATGTTCAATACGGCCAAGTGATCGGCCATGAAGAAGGCGTCGAACTTGGCGGCTTCAAGCTTTTGGGCGAATTTGGCAATATGTTTGAAATTGAAGTTCGCATCAGGAAATGAGCCAGGATAGCGCCATGCTCCTGGATGCAGGGACACTGGCCGCATGAAGGCCGTGAGATGGAGTTGGCGCGGAGATTCGGTCATTTTGTTCTTTGATTGCTTGCGGGAAAAAGGAAAATCAGGTCAATTCTCTTGACTTTATACAGTGTTAGCCCCGCTGTTGGAGACATCGAACCGATTTATAATCCTCTGTGCCTACTGCGTACTTCGGTAGGTATCTTGGATGGCGTGCTTAGGGCAGATTAGTACGCGAGCAGCTTATGTCCGACCTCAATCTGCTCATGATTATTACCGGAGCTACATTTTGATTGACATTTAAGATGCTCAGAAAGATTTAGATTCTCCCTCGAAGAGTTCCAAAAACTGCGTAATCACCAAGCTCCAGCCCTGGAGGGATTTACAACCGACTCCGACAAGCCTCGTGCCAAAAGTCGGCAAATCAACTTCTTAACATGGGAAATCTTCTCAAAACGCGGGTTTTATTGTATCCATCTCATACATGCGAGACTACAACCTTGGAACTTCCTAGTTCTAAAGTTACAATCTCCATTCGGACAGACTGGGGAAATGGCGGGGTTACCACCACTGCATGGTTGACCTTGAGATGGATCAGTACGAACTGCTTCAGCGAGGCAACGGAAATTTACTCAACAATTACATTCCAGATTAATCATACACACAAGCGGAGGGGCCTACATAAACCTCCATTGTTGAACTGTAACCCGCCCCCCAACTTGCCTCCCCATTCCACCAAAATCATTTGTTACGGGTGGGATGTCTTACGACATCTCACTCCCTGCCCTCTGGTGCACCCAGAACTCCTCCACATGATGGTGAATCCGGAACCCACGCTGCAACATCACTGAGTACAGTGCCCGAAGATCAGAGTCGCTGAACCCCGGGTGTTTAGCCTCCACCTTAAAGTTGGTCCGGCATGGGGGAAGCGCCGCGGTCAAATCGGCGCGCAGGTGCTCGAACGCGATCATGTACAGCTCCTTTGACCATGGGCAGGCGCGTACTGCCCGGTGATAGATCTCACAGGCGCGAGAGACATCGCGCTCTCCGTACAGCTCGAACAAGATGTACAGCCGCCACACCGTAAGGTTGCTCTGAGCTGAAACCGAGCTGTAAACCTCGTACGGGTGGTGACGGGTCGGGGTACTTCCGACGGAGGTTGTCGAATCACCAATCGCTCGCTCGAACGCCGCTCGAGTTGAGTGGGTGGTCGATCCGTAGACGACCGGGCGCCCCATCTCAACGTAAATGCTAAAGAGATGAGTGGTGATGGGCACCCGGTGGGTGTGGGGCGATACGTTGGGCCTATTCGTGGCTCTGCCGGTAGTAACCGAAAGAATGTCACGGGTGCGGTTGACGGGGCTCACTCGCGCATCGTTCCATTTGAACAACGATAGGAACATCGTGTTGTGCGGATACCAAAGCAAGCTTTCATGAAACAGTCCACGAATCTCATAAGGCTTGAATTGGCCTTTCTTCTTATCCACCCACAAATAGATGAAACGGGCCCTGGCTTGATGAAGTAGCTCACCAGTGAAGATCTTCACATCTTCCTCCAGGGCATTGAGAGATATGACCGCAGCATCGTAGATACCAATGATCGACCGAAGCGACTGGCCGTTGAGATAGAGTGCAATGGCGTGGCAATCAGTGTATGATGAGTATGCCTGGGCATCATTGAGCGCGAAGGCATTTTGCTGTGCCGTGACCAAGTAGTTTTGGAGTCTGAGGAAATGGGCGGGGCTGAGTTCTGTGTCATCAGCTGTGCCATATGACAGAATGTCAACTGTTTCGTGAGGCATTGCCTGCAACAGATAGGCTACACGCTTGTCTTGGCCATCATCGAGCAATTCCCACATCCAAGAACTCCAGAGCGCCGCGGATGAGTTGAGAGTTTCAGTGTCAGAGTTCTGGGACATCGCCAAGGCATTTGCCCAGACCTTAACAGCGAATGAGTGATCCCCGGTGCGCCAATGGATGAGTGCGATGGCATTGTAAAGCCTCAGGTCAGATGATCGTTTGCGTAAAAGATGCTTTGCATATTGCTTGGCCCGATTATTGTTGCACGCAAAAGTGATAGCGAGGGTATATTCAGCCAACGCTTGGTCCTCGAAGTTATCAACTAGACCGTAGAGCACACGCCGGACAAAGTCGGGATCGACAACCGAGGACGCATGAGAGGTGGTCTCGGCCCACTTTGACAGGGAAGAGAACCAATTCTTTGGATCCGCGAAAAGTGTGTCTTTAGTTTGGATGAAGTTCTGATGTGGAAAATCGAAGGGTTTGATAGCAGTCGTTTCGCGATCGTTCTGCAACTTGATCCAATCCGCAATCGTGTTCCGAGGGTCGTCCATAAATTCATTTCGAAGGAAGTTATCCCCACTCCACAGTCGAGTGTCTCGTATGTTTTGTTCCGTTGCCAATGAAGGAAGATGACAGAAGTACAAGAAACCATTCACCAAGGGTTGGAAATTGTCGTTGAAATCCAGGAAGTAAGGGAGTACCTGCTTGAAATCGATGTCGAGGACAGCCCGATGAGACCCGTCTTCTTGAGTGGCATTGAAATTGCTGGACGGTACTCGACATTTGACCATGCTTTCTCTCTCAGCACGCGCCCAGGTTTTGAAAAGGTCCGGGAAATCCGCATTGACGTCGAAATCATTGCTGCCGGCATTGCTGTTGAGATAAGAACCCCCACCTCCATTCCAGCCAATCCAGCCACGATCTCCGATATGCGCAGTTTGAGATGTCCAATACTTTCCGAATTCCTCAAGGGCCTGCTGTGGATCTTCAATATGAGCAGGTCGGAAGCATGTGAACTCGAGCACTGCCTGCCATAAGCCAACAGCCAACTCCGTGTTCCCTGATTCTCGTAAGAACAGGGTCAGACGCAGCAACAAGTACGATCTGATCTGATTTTTGTACAAGCCAGATCCAACACGGAAGTTGACACTCAGACAGTAAATGTAACTGTTGAAGCACTTCTCGAAAGTGAAGTCCGCAGGGTTTCTTTGGCAGTAGTTGAGATATTCAATCCACAGGCTGATAAACTCGGGATGACGGGCGAGTACTTCTCCCCATTCCTGGGTGAGCTTCGCACTATCCCAGAGAATTGCGCCCAGCTCCATACGGCCAAGTATAAGGTGGTCAACCTGAGGGTTGTGGTGGTTTTTCCTTATTGCTTTTTCATACACAGACAACTTAGAGTTGGCCACAAGTTGGGCCTCCGAGTATGTGAGGGAACGGTTATCATATCTCGGCCCGGTGATAACAATCTCTTGGTGCTCGGCAAGACGCAGCCATGCTATGATGTCGGTGTGGTCGTGCCTTACGGTCCTCCATAGCTGGTTATTGCGATGGAGTATGTCAGACTCCGTGGTATGCTTGACACTGGAATTTCGAGAGTTGGTTCCCGTATCTGATTCGCCCAAGATCTGCAACGGCTTATGATCATCGAGGTGGGGGATGGTTGAAAGGATACCGGGCTGTGGTGGAAGTTCTGTTGAGATGAAGTCCTGCAGATGCTCGGTGATAGGAATTGGATGGGAAGATCCAGTAGACTGAACATAGGGAGCAAGGGGGGGCGAAGCCGCGGTCAAGGCGGATAAACTGGCGGAAGAGAGAGGTTTGGATGGAGCTCGACCCGCGGCATCGTGAAGTACAAGTGTCCCTTCGTGCCGAGATTCGACAGCAATACGCTGGCCGGGGGCACCAACAACAAACCCATTACCGGCACGATGGTATGCGGGAACTTGATATCGAGAGGAGCCATAACGTGCAATGTCGCGATCACCTCGAGCGTCTAAGACGAAATCCACGCCCGTCTCATTTGCCTCGGTGCGTTCTTCCTTGTGTTCCGCGCTATTCTCCAAGCGAGCTTCTGCCGCTATCTGCGAATCACGAAGTCGTTGCTTACTCAGTTGCCGGCGACGACGAAGTCGGCGCGGCAATCTGGAGCGCCCGCTATGGCGACTGTGTTCTCCATCTTCCGAGTCGGTTTCGGCGGTCAGAGTAGCGAGAGGAGGTCGGAAACTGGAGAAACGTGGAACATCCTGAATTGAGAGTTAGTTAAATACTCGGGTAAAAGACAACAGACTGTGGCATCACTAACCCGTGACCTAGATGAGTCCATCGTGGCGGTCGATCTTATCGAAGTGCGCACAAGTAGATAAACCGGACTATTGATAATCCGTCGGGATCTCGGCAGAGGGATATTCCGAGATCCGGCGGTGTGGGAGGAGCTTCGGTGAAACGTATCTCCGAGCGGTGAGCTCTATCGGCAGAAAAAAAAGTCAACCGCCTGCCCTGATGCATATTTGGCTCAGCATAAACTCACCAATTGCTTCAACTTGCTTTTGGATTCCGGAGAAAGCAAAGCTTGGTGTTGAGCTACAGGGATATGGCCTTCTGTGTCTCTGTGTGAGCAACTGAACAAATCACGAATCGCACGTCGAACATTGTGTCAGGAACATCATCATGGCTTCGTCCCTAGCCGCGCAGCTGTCGCAAATCGCGGCCAAGTCGACACATGAACTGGACCTCAAGGCGCAGAGGGTGCTCCACTCACAGTCACTTATTTTTGACCAGAAGATCGCTGCGACCCAGGACTTTGATGCGATCTATGACATTTGTTACGATGGGTTCCAAGAATTATGCTCTCTGGACCCCCGCTTTGTGGAGTTTGATCGCACAATATTCAGCGAGCAAAGCAAAGTAGAGGATCGCAGCCAGATGAACTCACAACAAAACAAGGAACTGGATACTGCGGTGGAGGCTTTCCTGGCGCTGGTTGGCGGCAGGCTACAGCTTAGTCCAGCAGTGAAGGCGGTGGATTGGCTCGTGAGACGCTTCAGGTGAGAAAAAACCGGAGAGGAGAGATGTGAAAGAAAGAGGACGTGAAGGAAGAAAGAAGAAACGTCCACAGGTGGACTTCATGGCTGACATATATGGCAGAATCCACGAGTTCAATACGACGACCGTATTGTTGACATTTTTACCTTACCACACCACGCCGCTCTTCTTAAATCTATTATCCATCCTTCCCGAAAACCTTACACCGACTTTCAAGATCCTCAATCCATACAAGCATAGTCTCATCAATCCGCCAAGACATCCGCTCGTTCACAGCGCAGCCACCAACAAGTCATTTTTTGCAGAACTAAATGAATATGTGCTGCAAGTCTGTCGCCAGAATGCTCAGAGCCATGCATTGCTTACTTTCTGGGCTGGTATTGTTACTGAGGCCATTGCAACAATGCTTGATGTTGCTCGCTCGGGAAAACGGGAAGCCGAAAAGGATAAGCATGAAGATATCCTTCTGCGGGTTCTTCCTGTCCTCAGTTCTGCCTTCACGATTGAAAATGTGCCCGAGCTTCTTGTCGGGTGCTATATGATTTGCGTTGTCCTGGCACAAAAGGCCTTCCTCTCCAATGAGGTCATCGAAGGCCTCATGGAGAGTGTTGTTGGCTCTTGGTCAGAAGACACCAAGACATCTGGTTTGATTTGTTTATCAGTCCTCGCCCAACAAAAGCCTTCTATTACAATCCCGAAGCGAGTTTTCAGGTCCATTCTTCGCCTGGAGAACCCCGTTAATCAGCTTTCTGAAGTTGCCACACAATATCAGACGTCCAACTTGCTCCTTGGAATTATAGCTGGGTGCCTGAATGATCTTCACAAGCCGAACAACAGCCATCTGGCAGTATTGACTTCTATTTTCGACCGTCAGCTTCTTGGCCAGGATCAAATCGGCAAGGCAATGAGCTTGGTTCTCGAGGCCGCGTCTAGCGCCGATGAGACCCGCGGCATGTCTTTGGATGCCCAGACACAACTCGCGGAGCTTGTACAAGGATTCAATCGCTCCGAAACTCTCCAGCACGTCTTCCAGAAGACTTTGAACGCATCCTCATTCAATATTCCGGCTCTCGAGCACAACCTTCAGACCGTCATTGAGGCCCCTATCGCGGCACCTCTCCTTGAAGATGTGGAGATGGCCGATGTAGACGAGCAACCTGAAGTGGATGCATTTACCCCGGCTTTGGAGTCATTGGTCAATGAGCCCCTGTTCTCGTCATCTTTCCTATCCAAGCAATCGATCATTGAATTTGACAATCTTGTACGGGTCTTTGCCCTGGCCGCTGATTCCGAAGAGAACGTGGAAAGCTTTACCAATTTGTCCATCCTGGGCAAATCTCAAGCCACAAAGTCACCTCAGTTCCTGTCTTTCTTCATCAGAGTCGTGACTGGCCCTTATCCTATCGGGACCAAGATTGCCGCTCTGAACGTTGTATCATCTGTTCTTGCAGCCGCTCCCAGTGACTTCGATCCCCAGGCTCTCCTGCCATTCTTGTTTGTTGGTCTCTCGGATCCCTCCGAGCGGATTCGTCGTGAGACTGCTGGTGTTCTGGCCATTGTTGCATCTTTGTACAAGAACTCAAAGGCTTCCGACAGCTCCAAGCCTTGGGCATTCGACTCGATTTACGGAAAAGGAAAGCCTTCCACGAGTGTCGCATGGCTCTCAAACAAGGATTCTCAAAAGATTCTGGAGCGATCTCTTCTCCCTGAATTGGAGGAGTCTATTCTTGACCCCAATCACGTTCATCGGGCGCTAGAGGCTACTCTCCGTGGCAATGTTCTTTCGGAAGCCTCCGGCGCATCCGAGCTGAAGAAGGCTCTGCGTCTAAGTTTCTACACCTCCTTGTGTTCCCACATCAATAGAATCCCGGTCTTTTCTCCCAAGATTGGCTTGTTGAAGTTGATCAACACTGTGGAGAAGGTCTCCACTGCAACCCTTGCCGATGAGCTTCTTCCATTGCTTGGAGACTGGCGCGGTTTAACCGAGAAGGAAGTCGAGGAGATCTGCAGCAAGGAGCGCATCATTCCATCTGAGACCGAATCCCTGATCACCGCTGTTGTCACAGCAAAGAATAAAGATGCATTGGATATTCTTCTCTCAAATGCCAGCTTTAGTGATTCGTTGCGTCCGGCCTTCGTGGCGGCTTGCTTCGCCCAGATCAAAAACGTTTGGCCCAAGGTTGCTGAAGACCGACAGCTGGCTGCATCGGAGAAATTGCTTGATATCTCCCTTGGTGTATCGGTCAACAACAGCCCTTTGATCAACAACTGCCGGAATGTTCTGCGCACTATTGAGCTGTCTGGCGCTGTTCTTCAGCAATTCGTTCAAAAGATCCCCGTATCTATCACTGATGTCGAATCCATTGGCCCTGCCCCCAAGCGGAGACGCACCAGCCAGAACAACATGATCGCCATGACTGTAAAGGACGAAGCAGAGCTGACCAAGCTTATGGACAAAATGACCTTCATCCTGGAAATTGTCGACAGCTCTTCCCCGGAGGCTCACCCCGAGCTGACGGATGGTTTGTTCCAGACTCTTGCCGCCCTTCACCACTTCAAGTCTCAAATCCAATCTGGCATGAGCTACCTCCTCAGCTTGACCCTTGGGAGTCTTTTGGCTATTGCGAATCAGTCGAAGGGATCTGTCAAGCCCAAGTTCGACACCTCTGTCATTAGAGCTGATCTAGTCGTGGATTGCGTTCGCACCACAGACAGCCCACAGGTCCAGAATGTGGCACTTCTACTTGTTGGCAGCTTATCTGTCATTGCCCCCGAGTTGGTTCTTCACAGTGTCATGCCGATCTTCACATTTATGGGCAGCAGTGTTCTTCGCAAGGACGATGACTACTCTGTCTCTGTCATTGACCAGACCATTGATCAGGTGGTTCCCGCACTCATCCAGTCTCTGCGTACCCAGAAGCGGGATGTCGTCTCCGGTACTTCCGAGTTGCTGCTCAGCTTCACTGCCGCCTTCGAGCATATCCCCTCTCACCGGCGTTTGCGACTCTTCCATGCTCTCATCAGCAAGCTTGGAACCCAGGACTTTTTGTTCGCTGTCTTGGCAATGCTTGCTAACCGGTACTCAACCGATAAGGATGTTCTCACTCTGATGACCGGCTTGGTTTCGGATACTACCCCTGTCATTGAGCTCACCACGTACAGCAAGTATCTTATGCTGATTAGCGATGCTTTGAAGCCCAAGCCTGGTATCTCCCAGGTTCTCCTTGGAATCGGCAGTGACGATGGACGCGAACCTCAGAGCATCTCAATTGACTTACTGCGAGATCTCGCCCACCTGTTCAAGCACTCGTCCCTTAAGTCCAAGCTTGAGACGGCCTTCGAGTCGGAGGGCGAGCTTGCCGATCAGTCGCGCGCATGCTTCTCTCGGGTATTGGAACAGGTATTGAACATCGGAGAGGGTGTTAAGAACATGAAGCTCGTGAGCCAGGCTTGCGGCGAAGTGCTCGGCTCCCTCTTCAGCACTTTGTCTCTTGTCGACTTCCTCGACACTATCGAGGTTCTACTCCAGGGTCCTAACGACGAGCTCCGCCGTAAAGTCCTTCGCCTGCTCGAGAATCGCCTTCGCCAGACCCCCGAGCGTGACAATCTGTCACAGATCCGTGTCCTCGACTTCCTACCTACATTGGTCGGCATCGTCGAATCTTCCCCCGATATCTTGCTCAAGCATGCCGCTGTTTCATGCATCGATCGTATCACCGACAAGTACGGCCGCAAGGATCCGTCTAAGGTTATTCCTGCCGCTAGAGCTGTTGCCAGCGAATCTTGCCTTGGTCAGTCTGATGACCGCATTCGCTACATCGGCATCCTCTGCCTGGCTTCTATGGCCGAGGTTCTGGGCCAGGCTATGATTCCCGCCCTTCCGGACACCCTCAAGCGCTCTTTGGAGTTGCTCGAACTGAGCCTCGTTTCTGGCAAAGAGAACTCCCGTCTCCACGATGCCATCTTCACGCTCTTCTCTGCTCTCTTTGTTCACTTGCCATTCATGATCTCTGCTGGTCACTTGGACAAGGTTATGCTGCTTTCTTTCAAGTCTGCTAATGCCGACATTGAGGAGAGCAGCGACGAGAGTCGCCAAGAGTCCCTCCGCTTGCTAGCTCGCAAGGTTGACGTGAGTGCTACTCTTGGTGCTGTTGACCGCAACTGGCAAAAGGCCGTTGAGGCTGGCCCCATTGCCGTCAATGAGATTTTGGAGGTAGTCACTCTTGCCGTTGACAAGCATCCCAAATCCACTATCGCCAAGAACATTGGTACCCTCACGAAGATCCTTTTCAAGGCATTCGATCTGCGACGTGAACAGATCGCCCTGGGTGATAAGGCTGTCTTTGAGTCGTCTGCCATTGACGAGGCTGAGTCTGCACTCAATGACGTGACCATCAAGATGATCTACAAGCTGAACGACAGCACCTTCCGACCCATCTTCCTTCGTTTCGTCGAATGGGCCACTACGGGTGCTCCCAAGAAGGACGAGCAGGCCCAAATATCGCGCCTCACAACTTTCTACAAGTTCCTCGAGGTGTTCTTTGGCACTCTTCAGGTACGTTCTATATATTCATCTCATCCAGGCTCCCCTAACATATATAGTCTATCGTCACCGGGTATTCCAGCTACGTGTTGGAGAATGTTGTCGGTATCCTGAGCACCACCGGACCCTCCAAGGCCCAGAAGCCCCTTTGGCTCGCAGCCCTTCGCATGCTCCGCAAGTCTTTCGAGCATGACCAAGATGGTGAGTTCTAACTTGTGTTCCATTCCATGTTGGCAAGTCTAATATGCATTCGCAGAATTCTGGCAATCCCCCTCCCACCTCGCAAGCATCTCAGGTCCCCTGATCTCCCAACTCGCCCACGCAACCACCTCGACTACTTCGAATATGGTGGTTGCCGACGTTGTACCCACGATCACGGAGCTGGCCCTCGCTGCCGACTCCACGGATAACCACAAGGAACTCAACTCCGCTTTGATGAAGTATCTCCGTCCTTCATCTGCGCCTAATGCCCGCTCTGCAGGTGGTGACAGCGCTTTCACTCGTCTTGCCGCCCTCAAAACCGAGCAGGCTCTTACTGAGCAGCTGGGCGAGGAATGGCTGGCACTTCTGCCGGAGATGTTGCCTTACATCAGTGAGCTGATGGAGGATGAAGACGAAAATGTCGAGAGAGAGGTCAGGAAGTGGGTCAAGCAGATCGAGAAGGTGCTTGGTGAGCGCCTCGATGACATGCTGACCTAGTGTTCTTTTGTACAAAATTCGCATTTTTGGCGTCCAATAGAGTGTGCAGATGATTATCCACGGATATTCTGTACTAAAATTGATTGTTTTCACTATGTTCCGATGGTATTTACTCAGTAGGTGCGGTTGATCACGATTAGGATCCTGGCGAACTAGATACCCCGACATTGTTTGATTAGTTTGGCCTCCAGTGCCCCGGATCAATTTTCAGGGACTGGAGCATCCGCTGCATCAACCCCAGCTTTCCATCGATACTTTGAGGCGGGATGGTCTGCTGGGGGACCTGACTGTCCTGGTTCTCCATAAAGGTTCTCGCGGTAAGTTCCCTTTGGAGCGGCATAGTCGTCCCAGAAAAGACCACGCTTCTGCAGCTCGGGGATCAAAAGATCGATGATGTCTTTGAAAGATCCAGGCTTGATGGCGTATGCCTGTTCATCGAAGTTAGTCAAAATCTGAAGCTGGATTTCCAACGCTCTTACCAAGTTGAACCCGTCGACATCGGCCTCTTCAACCCAGCGTTCCATATTATCGGCAACTTGAGCAGCTGTTCCAACTGGCGTGGCCCCCAGACCACCAACAGTGATATGCTGACCGACAGTAGCTTTAGTCCACTTGGCGACCCCGGGCGTTGCTTTTGACCACCCCTCGACAGCAGATCTAAACCAGTCAGCATGATTCGCAACCTTGATAAATTTCACATACCGAATCGCGTTACTCTCAACATGTCGCAGCTCTTCATCATCTCCATAAGTGTCCAAATCGATTCCAGTCCATCCGCCAAATAGTGCAAGAGCACCATCAATCGATCCCAAGCTCCGGTAATGCTTGAACTTCTCAATTGCTTCTTCCTCGGTCTTGCCTAAAACGGGACAGATCAGGGCAAGGAATTTGATGCTCCGAGGATCACGGCCAAACTCGTTCTGAGCTAATTCGCGGATTTCTTTCACGTTCTTCGCTACCACAGATGGACTGTGACCGCCTACGAAGATCGCCTCAGCATGTTGCGCCGCGAACGTCTTGCCCGCTTTTGAAGTTCCTGCTTGTAGAATCACCGGGGTTCGTTGGGGACTTGGCTGACACAGATGAGGCCCGGGCACATTGTAGTATTTGCCCACATGGTTGATCTCTCGCACGCCTGCTGGGTCTGTATAAATGCCGCGCTCCCGGTCACGAATCACGGCATCTTGCCGCCAAGAGGACTCCCACAGCTTGTAGGTAACTTTGATATATTCTTCCGCGAGTAGGTAGCGGTCGTCGTGCTGTTTCAGTGTTAGTCCACAATCGCTGAAGCGAATAAGGAGGCTTACATGGGGTTGTTCGGCTTGGCCTAGGTTGCGAGCGGCCGAATCGAGATATCCTGTGACAACCTGAATGCTTTCAGTATCTTTCATACAAGTTTTCTTTTGTTCTATACAGATCATAGACTTGAACTTACGTTCCAACCCAGACTTTATATCGCTTCAGATTAGCGCTGATATTCGGAGATCCAGATTATGTTCACATACCGTCCCTTGGTGAGATGATCGACCGTTGAAAGTCGCCTTGCGAGATGATATGGCGGTTCGTATGTTGTTGTGACCGTGACGCCGAATCCAATATGCTTTGTGGCCGCTGCCATAGCAGGAACTACGGCCAAAGGTTCATTGACTGGCCACTGTGCGCCGGAGATGATTGCAGGGTCAAGATTTCTTGGGCCTTTGTAGACATCGTAACCACCTATGCAGGCTCTTTGTTAGAACAAGTTCTGTATTCCCAGCTCTTAGAATTACCGAGAACATCTGCGATGAAGATTCCGTGAAATTTGGCCGATTCCAGGAGCTGTGCTAGCTCTACCCAGTGGTCGACATCGTTGAAGCGATGAGACTCGTCCTCCGGGTGTCGCCATAGTCCAGGGGACTGGTGCCCGCTACCTGTCAATCATTAGTGAATGACAGAGATTTTGGCATTACTCCACTAACACATCTCCACGAAGGCATTTAGAATGAGCGACTTGCGAGGTTTCTCGGTGGACATGATGGCGTTTAAAAGAATACCCGTGCCAATTGAACCGGAGAAAATAAAAGATTTGAATGCAACTTACGGATGGACTTGCTGAGTTATAAAAACAGTAGAACGCACCCCGCGCGCGTCACATCTATAGCATCAAAGTGGGCCGCGATGGCGTGCGGGAGATCATGGATCAGCACTGATTTTGGGTCTTTTTGGGGCTGCAACAAGCAACTGTGATTCGCTCTGCCCTGAATAGACTTGAAATATGCAGATTCTATTAATCTCATGCCGGGGTTCTTCTCGCCCGAGAAAAATAGATATTTGGTAGGTCTCTGGTGATGTGATTCAACAAAGTTCGGAATGCTCGCAGTTCCTCGGTTACCACGTCGCTTTCTTTTTGCTGTCCTGCTATTGGCGCTATTTCTTTTCACTGTGGTAAAGCCTTGGGAATCAGTTGTTTTTACTCCTTTCTGACTTTGAGTTGTCCCACATCCGCATATGCTTGCGGTAAGATCGTATGGTGCGCTGTGATGTTACCTAGGTATCTTGGCCTAGATAAGAAGAATAATCCGAAGCGCACACACGAAAGTGAACACAAGGCGTCGACTCACTTCGATATCTTCAATCACATGAGTGATATCATACATATATCCAAACTTTAATCTGGGAGGTGGAAGGGGTTCAGCCGTGCATTGAGCACCTCATCGCCGATGTAAATCAAGCCATTGCGGACCCTATCACGAACCCTTTCTCTCAAAAAGAAGAACCTAGCTTCTACATGATGGTCATATGTAGATCATGTAGTCTACTTAAGTACATAAACCATTGATTGTCCACTGGGTACTTCGTGATTCTTTAATTTAATGCGCATGAGCTTCTTGGGTTTATATTTCCAAGTGCAGTGACCCTATCTAATAATTCCACAAGTTGTGCGCTCCCGCACAATGTCAAGCCTGCAAACTCGCGATGGTGTTTCAACGGTTCAGCCGCCCTTATCTCAGGCGGTTGGGTACGTTGTCGTTGTTGTCATCGGTGTGATCATAGCCTTAGGTCTGTGTTCCAAAGTGTCTAATAAAAACGTCTGAATTATGCTTACTCCCAATAGCAATGATGGTCATCACCAAAGTTCTAAAGAAAACCACCGGTGAAGACAATAAAAAGACTGAAATGTATGCACAATATCTACTTCCCCGGAATCTGCTAACCCAAGCAGGTTTATGACAGCGAACCGCACGGTTCGAACAGGACTCACTGCATCGGCCGTGATATCAGTCAGTCTCTAGCTCCTCTCGTCGAGCCCTAACTAACTATCACAGTCTTGGCTTTGGTCGACCTCACTACTGGGATCCTCATTTGTCGGTTATGACTATGGTGTCGCAGGGCCATTCTGGTTTGCAGCCGGCTGTAGTCCAATGATTGTCTTCTTTGCGCTATTGGGAATTTCTTGCAAGCGAAAGATTCCCGAGGCGCACACTTCACTTGAAGTCGTGAGAATTCGATATGGTACGTTGAATACCTCGAATCTCTTTGAAATTCATACTGATCTCCATAGGTCGTGTTGCCCATGTTGTGTTTATGGTCCTTTGTCTGGTGAACAATATCTTCGCTTGCGCAAACATGCTTCTCGGTGCCGCTGCTGTGATTACCGCAGTGTAAGTTGTTCCACGAAATTCCAAAGTTCCTCTGTTTCAAGTCGCTGACGATATTAGCACCGGCATGCATATTATCGCGGCTACATTCTTGCTCCCTGTCGGAGTGACAGTTTATACATTTGTTGGCGGTATCAAAGCAACGCAAGTATTACCACCGAATTAAGCGCGCGGCTGCTAACAAACAGACAGTTTCCTTACTGATTACTTCCACACGGCTATCATCATGATAATTGCTTGCTATTTTTCTGTCAAGGCCTTTTCCAACGACCAAATTGGCTCCGTAGGGGATCTTTTTGAACTCCTCCAGGCAGCCGCACGTCGAAACCCAGTCTCTGGCAACCAAGATGGGTCCTATCTGACAATGACATCAAAGAGTGTAAGAATCATTCTCTTTGTACTGGAGCGTTATGTCTGACTCGACTAGGCAATCTTGTTTGGAATTCTACACACACTCGGCAACTTCGGTCTGGTCATTGTGAGTGATTTAAGTAACACCGATCATGACTGTTCTAACTCGCAGTAGATGGATACTAGTTACTTCATTAAGGCTTTCTCGGCCTCCCCCGCTGCAGTTGTACCGGGCTACACAATTGGAGGAATAGCTTACTTTGCCATCCCTTGGGGTCTCGGAACGGTGATGAGCTCGGTTGCCCTGGGTTTGGAGAACCAGCCCAATTTCCCAACTTTCCCAAGAGTGAGCCAAATACCCTATCCATTCCTTTCCAAACAATCTCTAACATCAAATAGAGAATGACTGCCGATGAGGTGAGCAACGGACTCGTTCTTCCATATGCTGCAATCACGCTCGCAGGCAAAGGAGGCGCGGCAGCTGTTCTCCTTATGACTTTCATGGCTTGCACATCGACTCTTTCTGCACAGGTGATTGCTGTGAGCTCTGTTTTGAGCTTTGATGTGTATCGCGAGTATTTCAAGAAGAAAGCCACGGATCTGGACTTGATTCGCGTAAGCCACTTTGGTGTGATTTTCTTCGCTGCCTTCTCTGCTGGGTTCAGTACGATGCTCCATTACGTTGGCATCAATCTTGGTTGGACACTTTACATGCTCGGTATGTTTTGAACATGTTTTTCATGCTCTATCTAACAAAATTCAGGCGTTGTGACATGTCCCGGGATTTTCCCGATGATATTTACTATCCTCTGGCGCCGCCAAAGCAAAGCTGCTGCGATTCTTTCGCCTGTGCTAGGCCTCGCCACAGGTCTATCTGTATGGCTTGGCTTGGCATCGCGCTTTAGTGGCGAGGTGTCCGTCGCTTCTACGGGCGAGGTCCTCCCCTGCATGTATGGTACAGTTGCATCGTGTTTGTCGCCGATCTTGTACTCTGTTGTCATCACAGCTATCCGACCGCAAAACTACGATTGGGATGATTTCAAGAGGGAGAAGCTCTCGCTTGAAAAGTTGGATAGTGATCTGACGACTGCTCACCATAACGAGGTCCCCGAAGGAAGCATCGAGGATGGAGGTCGTGCTTCCGGGCCTGATCAGAAAGAACTGAAGAGATGGGCAACCATCGCTGCTTTCTGGGCTGCAGCAACTTTTTTGGGTCATTGGGTTATCTGGCCACTGCCTATGTATGGGTATGTTGCTTGGATCTATTAACTGAGTGTAAAGCTGGAATATTGCTAATTTTTTCCCTCCCCTCACCCAGGTCCGGCTATGTCTATTCTAAAAAGGTATATTGGTACCCTAGCTTCCTGCCATTTCTAATGAGGTCTAACAATTTTCAAGTTTTATATCGCCTGGGTTGTGGTTGGCATCATCTGGCTCTGGCTCAGCATGCTGGTTGCCGTTCTTTATCCCATTCTTGATGGTGGTATTCACCAGATTCGCGACGTCTATCGCGGGCTCCGAGGAAAGAAGATTCTCACCGAAGCCATTCATAGCAACAAAGGGAATGGTGATTCAAGTATCTCTCCCTCTGCTGGATCGATTAGTGATGCTACTCACGTCGGAGAAGCGCAAGCTAAGTCGCAAGATAAACTCTGAATATTGAATTCTGCGAATGGGTAAATGGGTGAAACTAAAGAATCTGGGGTTGTTGCGGCAGTACGGAAAATACTTAAGTATAGTATATGGTGGCCCTCTGTTTCCTTTCGTGAATGTATCCTTTTATATATTACAGTGAATTATTACAATGAATTTTGAAGATTGCTACTGCGATCTTCCAGGGCCTTCCCCTGTCTGCGCTTTCAGATACCAGTTCTTGCTTTTGATTCTGACTAATTTTGCTATTTCCATCATCCATAATAAAAAAAGAGGTCAGCCAGGAGACTAAAGACAATGATCTCTTCAAAACAGTGAAACGGACTCCTGGCTACCTATGACCAATGGCGGGATTCATCATCATATCGCCTTATTTCAATACCACGATGAAACTAGTTCCAGGTTGCTTCAATCAAATGTTGGGGGAACTGCGTTCCTGTGGTCTGGGAGAGGAAGATTAAGCATCATCTCATTGATATCAGTGCCGATGTGCTTCCTTTGTGTGTTATCCGGCATTGATAGAACGAACAGCAGGTGGTGAATCCATACACCAGTTAGCCGATCTCCCGATAGTCCTTTGGCTCCGGGAGTCACCGCAGCTTTGATGTCAACCCAGTAGGGAAGGAGATTCTCTTGATTGTTCATGATCATCGCCTGCAACACCACATTTTGGACATGCACTTGCCCGGCGGCCGTCTGTTTTAGAGCATGCCCAATGACAGGCAGGCTTGCGCCAGATAGCCTTTCAATATTCTCCTTATCTTCAGAAAAGATCCGCATTGATGAGGACCCAGTATCTTCAAGAAAGTCGAAAGTAATGGAGGTCGCCATTGTATTCGTTGCCTGGGTAGTCGGATTTCGAATTGCTATCATAATCTATTCCAATGTTAGATTTCCATTATATCCATGGGTGTCAGTATATGGCCTCAAGGCTCGCTTCATGGGAGAATGTACCCTGTGGATCGCTAGTCCTTCTATGTAAGGTTCCATAGAAAAGAATACATATAAATGGTCCGGGCTGCAATGGTCGATCTAATTATATGAATTAGTACCATGCGCTTGACTCTATGTATCAATCTTGGTTTAAATGGCACCTGAGCACCAATTTGGCTCCAATATCATTTTTCCATGGTGCCCCCCCCTCCCCGACCCTTCTCGTAAAGTTCAACTTACTCCTTCTACCCAAAATCCCTTTGGACCATGCTTTGCACTGAGAGCATAAAGGTCCTTCATTTCCAGCTTCTGGGGACCAGTGATTAGCTCACCATTTGACCAATAAGTGACTGAAGTGCCATCCCAGTTCAGCTTTCCAGAGCGGTAAGCTGCCATGATAGCTTTCACGTTAGGAAGATTTTCATCCTCGTCTTGATCGGCCTCAAGACCGCTCCCCAGCTTTTTCAAGCAGTCAAGACGTTGAACAACTGCCCAGCTAAGTCCCCGTGGCTCGGATTTGATCATGTCCCTAAATGAAGGCGAAGAGCCTTTTGCATTAGATGATGCATTGAAACAAAGCACATTACGGCGTGCAGTCCTCACATTCTTCGTTTTCTGATGGCTTCAAATTTTTTCATCCTGTTTTCGAAAAAGTCAGGCATGATTCCCTCAAAGATACGTTCTTTGCATCTCGCAATTTGGCCCTCGGTATCGCTTTCTCAATATGTCAGCGAAAAAAAAGGATTAGTAGATTGGGCCTTTGGACCTTACGCTTCATCAAGGTCCGGCTCATCTACGTTCCATCCATCAGGCACATCGGATGGATCTGTGATGGGAATTTCACGAGGTCCCCATATTCTTCTTTCGGGCCTGGTCTGTCCTGATGGTTCAGGGAAACGAAAATTAGCCCCACGCTGAAGAAGCGAGTTTGCAAGGGTAATATGAGGCGACTCGGGGTCTTGTTTATTCCTTCTTGTCTGATTGGATTCCACTGCGTTAGAATTGCAATCTTTGTAATGGGACTTTTTGAGGTTCTCTTTCAAAAGGACGCAGTAAGCATGTTACCTTCTTCGGGCCCTTAGATTGACCTTTTTTGGACACGGTGCTAGATCCAGCAGCTTTTGGTTTTCGGGTGCGCTTTTTTTCAACAAGTCCAGGTACAAGCTCAGATTTACCAGTCTTAATTTGAGCGCGAGTGGTGGGCATTGTGATTCAGGACAACTTCTAAAGCTTGAATGTCTATTTCGGATCGAGCCAATGCGAGCAAAAAAGACATAGACGGCTTAGAGTCTGGATATATATGGGTTAAGATTAGAAGTCGAGCATCCATATTAATAGATTTTGCCTAGAAGTCAATCTTCTTTGATCTTCACAGGAACTCAGAGCTCAAAGAGATGTGTTGAGTTGAGACGGTAAGAAGTCCAGGAAGCCAAGGAAACCCTCGAGGACAAAGAACGACATATTGATTTCTGATCAAGTATCCTTTTTTCTTTGATTCTCAGAGGGGGGGGGGGGGGGGGGGGAACACCGGAGTGTGAGGACTGTGACGGCATAGAGAATGAGCAGGTCCCAAGGAGAGGTTAAACTCGGAGATGACGCTAATGAGCAATTGTCATTTGCATGTATGTAGGAGATAGGTAGTCATAGGGGAGGTCGAACGTGAGGATCGGAGAGAAGGTGATTCCCCGAGGGCATATCTCGCGAAATCCAGAGGATACAGGTTCACAAAGAAGAAGCGAGTTCAACACACTCTAAGCTAAAAGACTCAAAAATGAGAGAAACACACCATTGTCAAATTTTCAAACCCTGAATAGCTGCACTTTCCATCCTCAAAACTCGTGACTATCTACTGATCTCCTAGACCAGCGATATGTCACTTTCACACAAATAGTAAATAAGCTTGGAATTCCCTAGCTATATAATGAAGCTCCAGTTAGGCGCGATAAAATTAGTCTCCAATGTCGCTTTCAGGCATCGGTCTCACAAACGATGCCCGGTAGTTTTCCCAAACCAGCATTTAAATGCCCATGCATTTTCTAGTTTGAGGATAGATTTCCATCATGAATAACAATTATGCTAATAAATTAGTCGGTCAACATACTTGGAACATACCATTCCCGTCAATCAAATAGATCGAATTGAAAAAAAAAAAAAAAAAAAAAATAAGAAGAGGGAAAAGAAAAACAACACTCAAGTTATGAACTACACAACGCCAGGTGACGTCATGAGTCAAAACATGAGCCACGTGATATCGCTAAAGTGATCGGCTTCCCGACCCCGCGCTCCTCGACAAATTGTATGTGTTGACTACGATAGTATTTAATCGTTGATTCTTTTACAATCATATCTATAAGCTCTTGCTGAATCCACTTGTCAAGATGGGTATCTTCGGTCACCACAATCTTGATCCTGTCGCTGAGCCTATCGCTATTTTCGACCAATTTGTTGCGAAGGAGCCGCAGACATTGGTCCTAAGAGAAAAGGTGCTCTCTGTCTCTGGTGATAGCTTTGAAATTAAGTTTGCCGATGGTCAGCCATGTTTAAAGGTGCACGGAGCCTGGGTCTCCCTATCTGGTCGCAAGAAGGTCGAGGACGCACATGGAAAGCACCTGTTTGATATCGTTAAGGAACTTCTACATATCCACGCGACCTATGCCGTTGAGGATACGCATGGCAAGAAGATGTGTGAGGTCAAGAGCAGTCTTAAATGTATGTGCCATCTTTCATGATTCAAGACCATTCAGCAACCTTGGAATATAGGTACATGCTGTGTGATCTTTTACCTTACTAACTATACTAGTGCTCGGCTCCAAAGCTACCGCCAGCTTCACTGATAGCAATGGCAAAGCTAGAGTTCTGAAAATGAAAGGAGGCTGGTTCGATCATACCGCCGATATTGTCGACGATAAGAGCGGCCAAACAGTAGCTCGAATTGATCGGAAATTGCTTAGTGGTCGCGACCTTGTGTTTGGCCAGCAAACCTACGCCGTTGTTGTGGCACCTGGAGTGGACGCAGCATTGATCGCTGCGTTGTGTATCTGCTTCGATGAAAAGAATAACGACGAGCGTGGTGAATAGTATAACCAGCATATACCCGTGAACCCAGACATGTTATTCAGCAACAGTTCATCTGAATATCGAAGTTGAGGATTGACCTGTCTACTTAAGTAGTTGTAAAATTACACATTACCTTGATCCAACCATGCTGTTTCAAGGTTGTATTGTGCGAGAAAGAGAAAACTGATGTTGTGGTTGTTGTTATTTTGGGGGGGGGAATGGGGGGAAATTAGGGTCATAGCTTCATTCCGAAAGTGTTGGAGAGTCCTACTACAGGCTAGAAGGGCCTTCGATTAGCCACCAAGGCGATCATGGTATCACCGCAAAAATCTGCATTTTTTTTTCTGTTTGAAACCAAGAAAGCGAGGGCCAGATCTCGAGGGGCATGAGAAGTAAGACTACGAGTATCCTAGTTGAACCCCTTCTTCAAGTTATCGTACTTGGAGGCGGGATAGTCCAGCTGATTCCCGCTCGGTTCCAAAGCATTGATACCTCCAAAGTTATCCACAACCTATAAATTTCAGCGATGTCCAGCGCCAGGTGAGGGTTTGGGCATACCGTAGAAATCAAACTGTCGCCCCCTTTCTTATCAGCACTGCTCTCCCACCACATGCCACCGCCAAGTCCCCGGGACTTGATGTATTGAGCTTTCTGGCGAGCGATGGATGGTGTATCGTAGCTGATGAAGAGTCTCCTTCCTTGGTCGTAGCAGTAGCTTGCGACGGGCTGACCCAGCTCGGTGACTGCGCATCCAGGAAGAGGCAGTGCCTTATAATCCCACACACCCACGTCCCAGCTTCCTTGTCCAACACCGTTGAATGAAGTTCCGGGTCCATTGGTGCTCGTGAATTGGCGACCGTAGAGAGGCATTCCTAGGACGATCTTGTGTGGCGCTACACCCTGTGAGATGTAGTAATTAACTGCCTGATCGGTATTGAATGGGGTGCTGGAAGGGTTGTCGTTGGATGGGTAGACGTTGGCATCGTGACCGGCGATCGTGTCCCAATTTCCGGAGTAGTCGTATGCCATCAAATTCCAGAAGTCGAGATATTGGTCCATTTGATTCAACCGCTCCTGGCGGTACCTCTGCGGACCTTGAAACGTTAGTTATATTGGATCATTCGAGGGCAATGGGACCTACCAGCTGGAGATGCGACAGTAAGCAAAAAGTGATAACCTCCCGCATTGGCTGCACTGTAGTTATCCAGAGCCTTGAGATTGTTAGCTGGTCTCTTTCCAAAAGTTGGAAGCACAAAGAAAGGCATACCGCGCGCGTGCGTCGAAGTGCGTCGACAAACTTGTCGGCCTGGTCATCACTCTGAGGGTACTGCGAATTTGTAAGTCTTGAATATCTCAGGATCAACCTCCCGGGTGTGGAATACTGACCTCGTAATCAACGTCGATGCCATCAACGCCGAGGTTCTTGACCAACTCAGTTGCAGAATCGGCAAATCGCTGGCGCCCTGCATCGGTATCAAAAGCAGGAGCAAAGCTGTTTGAGTAGGTCCAGCCTCCAATGGACAGAAGAATCTTGAGTTTACGGTTCCTCTTCTTGAGCAAGAAAAGCTGCTTGATACAACCATAGACGTTGTTTCCAGAGTCGTTCCAAGAGTCACTTGGGTAATGCTTGTCAGTGTCGGCCCAAGTATCGGAAAGGAAGACGGATCCGTCAGTGCGAAGGTTGACAAAGGCGTAGAGAACACTGCAGTAGAATCAGCTTTGTTTCAGACTAAATTCAACACATTGAGATGCATACTGTGTGAGCTTCTCGGCGGGTAGATCCTGGGGCTGGAAGTTGCGTCCGTAGATGCCCTGGTGGAAGAGTCAGCGAGCTTCTCATACATTGTCACAACGGATGTCCATTTTGCAGTGCGCCAGGTTGGTGGTGGTATACTTGCCCAGTTCACAAAATATGCCACAGAGCGAAATCCGTTGACATCGCTCACGTCACGAGACTCAATCTCAGTGACATTAGATCGAACAAGAGGGATGGAGGCAGCGTTGGCTAGCCAACTCAAGGCTACCATCAAAAGAAGGAAAAAACGCATGATGAATGTGGATAAATCGTTTTAAATGGCGGTCTAAGTTGGGCTCGAACCAGCGAGTCGGTTAATGATTGAGTAATTGAGAAGAAAAGAAGATGTGTGAAGAGAGGGCTAGGAGAGAAATATTTATAGTGGAGAGGGAAAAGAGAAACTCGAGGCTCGGCTCGTGGTTGAGCTTCAACTCCATCCTATTCATGCTGAATGGGTACTATTGATTGCTCCGGTTACCCCTTTTGGGGCCTTCGCGGCTCTAGGGGAACAATAGACTTCATCGTTGGAGCATTCAATGGCAGATAAAGTTCAATGACAGGATGAATTAAAAAACTTGTATTCAACCTTTTTTGCAGGTGACTTATTCTTTGGTATTGTTAGTAAACTTCTATACATACTGGAACTTTAGAAATGCACCTCCATGCATCTCGTCTCAAGACCTGCCTCTTTGACCAAAGAAAGATGTGCACACGGTCTAGAGACGTAGGTCAGTCACCAATCAGTGTGTGACACTCTCAAATCTCAACCTAGGCTTTGCTGAATATTATCCTAGTCGCCCTGGGGGAACAACACTAACCAATTACTCCCCTCTATTATAAGATGGGTGACATTGTCAGAATTCTTTTGCACAGCGGTGACGAAAGGAGGTAATCGGGACATATGTTGTTTGGGAATTACTCTTCTAACTCTTCTAAATGTTGCGGTAAGGTGGCTCTAGATTGTCGATCAATGTAACTAGATGGTAGTATCCGCAAGGTGAAGACACGAGGGTCGACAGGGCTGCTGACCTGAAACCAGTATAGTGGTTTGGATGCAGGAACCAGGGTCCTTTGGACACTTCTAATGTAACAATTGAGCCATGCGACCGGAGCATGTGCCTGAATACCCTCCGCATATTTTGCGTTCTAAGTGCATAAAACATGGAGCGCATGATCAAGGGCCTGCGGTCCTCACGTGTCTCATGCCTCAGGTTCGGGGATCTTATTTCATGGAATTTCCGGTTAGATCTGACTATTCGGTTGAATTTGAATAACATGCAAAACGTTCTAATATGACCAGGTGCATGATAAACTCATGGGTTCTTGCATATATCTATCAATCAAAACATCTTAAATGTATCTCAGTTCACATTTCCTCCCGCGTAGCAACTAGTTTTTTTTCCCAAAAAAGCTCCCGGAACTTACGCTCATCCGGGGCGATCTGAGCGGCTCCGGTACATGAATACCGTCAAAAACTTGACAAGAAAGCTACCTCGGAACTTGACTGGGACAAAACGGCAACTCAGTTTGGCGCCGTCGTTGATGGAGGATATGCGGAACTTTGCTATGAGGTCGTCGGACGAAATAGACCTCGGACTTATAGAAAGAAAAGGTGTTATTCGAATGTTATTTCGGACACTTCCTGGGTTGCATTATAGTTTGACTCTCGGGTGGAATTTGAATTGGGAGATGGAACTCAATTGAAGATTTAGATTTTGCTGTTCTCAATAGAGTTACCCAAATCGTCTCGTTCGGCGGCTTATATTGGGCCTACCCCACAGTATGCATTCTGTTCTCTCTACGCGTGTGACACGTGAGTATAGCTTCCCCAGGTCAATGCCTACTATAGGTATCCGCTGGCTGTTTGTTTTTATGGGCCACTACATATACACACAGCCCAGGCTACTTGCTGTACTACTAGCTACAGACAAGTGGAGTTGGGACACCCGAGTCCCCGCGGTCCCCCGCGGTCTGCGGTACCCCAACGCGGTTGCCGTTCCCTAGCCCCCGAGAGCCAAGCCAAATTTATAAGAGAAACCACGACTGCACTTCTATGTACGCCTTGTCGTTGACAAGTGGGTCGCGGATGATTTCCGGCCTCAGTATATTATAAACTGTGATTCCCACTATGTGATCACGGTTTTCAAATCCATTGGAATCACCTTTTCTTGCGAGGGTTCAAGGCTTCGACCTCGTCTCTTCCTCTCTCCACTAGCCTCAGAGTCATAGAGCGACATGGAACCTCGCACCGCCATACAAGATGAGCCCACAAAATCGGAAGTAAGTGGCCATGAGCCCTAACGGCTGGACTTCACTGACCATTGCAGAGTGTGGAAAGCAATGAGAAAGTGAGACAATGCGATGCTAAAATCGAAGACGTTGAGACACAAAATCAGCCACCAGATTCTTCAGCCAAATACTTGATGGATCTTGACCGCGGTATCGTTGGCTGGGACGGAAAAAGTGACCCTGAGAACCCTCTCAATTTCACTCCGGCGCGGAAGTGGTTGATCACAAGCCTTCTTTCGGCAATTGGATTCATGACACCGTTCGCATCTTCTATCATCGCCCCGGCAATCTCGTCCATTGAGAAAGAATTCCAAGTGACCAATATCACCAAAGGCGCTATCCCCGTGAGCATCTTCCTTCTGGGGTATGCAGTCGGACCATTGTTTCTGTCTCCTTTCTCGGAAATATATGGCCGTCACATCATTATGATCTCTGCTAGTCTTTTCTTCTGTATCTGGTTGATCGGCTGTGCTCTTGCTCCATCAATTGAGACCCTGATTGCATTTAGGTTCCTTTGCGGAATTGGTGGTTCAGCATCCCAGACGGTTGGAGGAGCTACAGTCGCCGATATGTTCCCTGTTCACGAACGGGGTAGAGCAATGGCTGTGTGGATTCTTGGGCCAATTATGGGCCCTTCTGTTGCACCCGTCGTGGGAGGTTTCGTGACTGAGAAGATTGGCTGGCGGTGGGTGAACTGGATCACTCTGATTCCAGCAACGCTGGTAGTGGTTGCCATGGCGGTGTTCAATCGCGAGACCAATCATCAGGTTCTCATCCAAGCCAAGACGGTTCAATTGCGGAGAGAGCTGGGTCGACCTGACCTGCAAAACTGCTTTACCGATGATGCCTCTGCTCTGTCCAACAAAGAAATTATTCTCAGGGGTCTTGTCAGGCCTTTCCGACTGCTCTTCGGTTCTGCGATCGTCTTTGGTGTCTCTCTCTATATTGCTTTCGCCTATGGGTGTCTTTATTTATTCTTCAACACCATTCCCACCGTCTTTGAGGGCACCTATGGTTGGTCAACTGGCATCACCGGTATCGTCTACCTGGCACTCTTGGTCGGATATAGCATTGGCGTGACCATCTTCTTCACGTGCTCCGACAGGTCAATAGTTCATATGACGAAGCTCAATGGCGGGGTATACGAAGCCGAGATGCGACTGCCGATTTGCATCTACTGTGCTCCATTTCTACCAGTCGCCTTCTTTCTCTATGGCTGGAGCAGCGACAAGGGCGTCTTCTGGATCGTTCCAGTAATCGGACTGGTCTTTTTCGGTATTGGCTTCGAGTGCGTCTGGCTAACCACTCAGGCTTATATTGTTGACGCGTACTCGCATCATGCCGCTAGTGCACTCGCGGCGTTCTCGGTCATGAGGAGCGTTGTAGCTGCTTTTTTGCCTCTCGCTGGGCCGCAGATGTATCATGAGATGGGGATTGGCTGGGGGAACTCACTCTTGGGTTTCGTTGCTCTGGCTCTGATTCCTGTTCCGATTTTGATCTACAGAATGGGCGCAAAAATTAGAAGGAACGAAAAGTGGAATCTCTGAAAAGCATGTCAATCCTGAGCTTATTTTTTTAGCATGCAATAGGAGTTGACAGCCAAAGCTTGGTCTCTCCACACCTCCGATCGACTTTTCTAGGCCGTGGGATAGACCCAGTGGAACTTTAGAAAGGGGTGAAGAGTGTGTACGTGTACATCCAGGCCTCTAATTTTAGCCATGACGTCATGCATGATCTTTCAAAGTACAGAGTTCTACCTCAGGGGTACAGAGTACACAGAATCAAGTTATCATAGAAATAAAATTGGCTGTAATGAGCTTATGAATAAAGTATCGTAGTAACTGACATGGCAAAGTGCGCAAGAGACAATGATGAGACAAGAACATAACGGAAGGTGGGTATATTCGTAACATGAAAAAGAAAACAATAGAGTGCTGAACGAGATGACTTTTTGTGTTGGCCCATGGTATGAGGGATCATTATGGTTTGCGACGCGATGGTTGAAGCGGATACTGAGAATTCAGCGAGTTGCCACACCCACTGTCTCCGAGTACCCAGGGGGAGCGAGTTCGATGACAACATCGCTGACTGGAGGGTCGTGGAAGTTGGTGGGAGAGGTGACGTTGCGCGGCTGGAAAAATTCGTCCAACTCCTCTTGTGTGACCACGAGACCAAGGGAAGACTTGATTGACTCGCTAAAGTTCTGGCTGGTGAACTGGATAGGAACGCGAAGGGAGACTGTCGGGGTCATGATGTTTGCCGCGGGTGTGTGGTAGGTCAATGAGAGCTCGAGAGAGTAGGTGCGAGAAATCAGACAGGAATGGAATGTCGGGACGTAAGTTTTGTTCTTGGGGAGTGTGATCGGGATCACAATGGAGGCAGTATAGTAGGTATCGCCGGCGAATGTGGAGGATGGGCCAGTTGACGAAGAGTCGGAGGAGGATGCCGAATCAGCCGAATCACGACGAGAGTCGGGTGTGTGCTTGGTCCATTGTGCCGAAGCAACACACATAGTTGAGAGGGGAACGGCCTCACTGTATAGACCACGACCGACTTGTGAGAAAGGAACGCCGGTTCCATGAGGGAAGTCCTCCCATGGCGAGGCACTGTAGAAAGTGCTTGAGCGGAGCTTGCTGGTCATTGTTCCGAGTGGGGGTGGTTGTTCGTTTCCAACAGGGTCGAATCTCAGGTTGACGGTCGTGACCGTGCTCACGGTATCAGAGGGCTCGCAGCTTGGGGGTAGCAATTGAATCGGCTTGGGTTGCGATGTTCCGGCGACAAGTCTGCCCAGTGTGCTTCGTAGCGTTCCACGCTTGACAGTCTTCTCCTTTCGCAGGCAGAGAGACGACAATTCGGAGATCTCGACAGGGGGCTCTTCCTCCACGACTGGGATGATGCGAACTTTCTTGGCAACTCCGGCGATAGACTTGGCTGTTTGACCGTCGTGTCGTTTTTGGTGAAGGGATGCCCGAATGATGTATGCCACCTGCGACATGTCGGGAGCCATGTCATCTATCAGTGTTTTACCATCGCTCGCAAGCATGGGATCACCCAATGTTGGCGGGAGCATGGTGTGAGAACGTCCTACGTGGGCGTTCTGTTTGGTGTGCGAACACACCTGGGGCAGCAGGCGGTCCGGTACGACAAATGTGAATGGGAATTGGTATGAACGACCACCTTCCAGCACTCGAGGGGTTGGGTATTCATCATCTTCAATCGGCTGGCGCAATTTCAAGAACATCTGTTGTGATCCTGTACGGCCGGGACATGATGCTCGTTCTACCGTAGTTCGAGAGCGCCCTGATCATTGACTGTCAGTCCAGAGTCCTGAAATTTGAATGTATAGCAATGGATACCTTCCAACACAATCTCAATCTCCTCAAATCGCGTGTCATGTTCCGCAGTAATGCTGACAACGCCCTCAACGCTCTCTCCAGTGGTGTAGGAATTGACACGACCAGGGTTTTGTCCGGCCAGATCAATTTCCACCTTGGGCTGAGCTCGTCGAGTCCACGCATCCAGCTTCTCAGAGCCAGAGCTCAAGATCGATGTTGCAGCCGACATGGTATATAGTCGGGAAAATGTTCCGCAATCAACCCTTGGAAAATATCCGTCCTACTCGTATGGGACAGTGGACGCGTCCTAAGACGAAAGGCAAAGAAAGTGAAGCTGTAAAAAGAATTCAGGATATGAAAATGTATTTAAGAAAATAATAATAGTACTCCGAGGAGTAAAAAAAAAAATAATAGGTAGTGGAGACCGTCGACAACCGCACTGGGGACTATGGAGTATGGAGGGGCGTTATTCAATGTTATATAGTCCAACGCGACCTTCAACACCCAAACACCTAAAGTTCTTACAAATTCGATTTCACACTGTTTTCTGAGTCACAAGCCATTAACAATGACGAGAATCCACGTGTAGCGCCAAAAGTGAGAACAGCGTCCACAGTCGGTCAATGTAAGGAAGGCCGAGCCTGAATGACATCCACGTAAGGAAACAATACGCCTGATTGGTGGGCCCGGCTTAGAAGATCCCCTGTTCACGCCCTTGGATTGACATTCCGCATGTCGTCAAGCCATTTGCCGAGAGCTTCTGGCCCTGGATATGGGATGCGTCAGCTCCTGATCACGAAATTATGTGTTCTCAAGTGTCCATGGATGTAGGTGAGGTATCTAGTTTTTGGGGCTTTGGTCGGAGAATTGGGAGCCAAACAACAGCCATACAACAACCAAATAAAAGGCAATAAACGAACAATAATATGCCAGCCAGTCGCCAACGGCAGAAGTTCAGGTTCGAGCGTGGATCATACAGGAGAAAAGTGGAGAGACGCCTTTCTGCGACATGCACGCCCTTCGTGTCCCCACTGATGGTCCGTCCACATTCTCGAGCTTCCGTTGTAAGGTGGCCAATCATGCAGTGCTGCGGAGAAACTCTCATTGGAGAGGAACTGGGGTTGATTTCAAAGCCATATAATCTCTCTCGTATTCCCATTTCAAATGATTCTTTGAAGTCTTCAGAAAGTCTTCAGAGTACGAGTAGAACTTGAGGTCATGAGTTTCCCTCGGGAAACGAAATGACGGAATAGACCCTAGTCTCGGGAGCCCCAGAATTTTCCGACCATAACCGAGTCGAGATGGGCCGACCTCGCGTGTTCTTTTTTTTCTTTCTCGTTGTTCCTTGTCTACTCGGCGAGATCGGAGAGATCGGTGTGAGAAAGAAAATCGGTCTACCGAAGTCACGGGAACCTTATGACTTACCTCCGTACTAAACCCGCTGCATTTGATCTATTACATGTGTTGTAGTGTTCTACATTGAATGCAAATATATTGGTTTTGATCGACAAGTGCATGCTGTACGAAGTACGTCACTATCCTCATCAGCTCACTTGAATGAGTCAGTCGCTTAACCATAGCCGAAACTATGGAGTAATTAATACTCCTATTCCATACTCCGTATATATTCTGTGTAGCTACTTAGTACTATACTACTTAAGTATTCAACAGAAGTGCCCCGGTGTCAAACCTTGGAACTACTGCTTCTCTGGATTAATCTCTGAAGAGCACTGTCCAGACAGGGAAACCTTGCATGCAGTATGTCTACCAACCCGGATTTTACCAACCCGGACAATAGTTTTGACTACGACGAAGAACTCCCCACTGATAGAGCCCAGACATGGACCCTACTTGAAACATACAGCAAGATCCCACCGGATCAGATCGAGACCCATCTTAAAGACATTGTAAGTCCTCATCTCACCAGCCAACATGAAGAAAATCCACCCGCTAACTGGTACCAGCGTCAAAAGGCTTGGAATGTCTTTCCCTACGGCTGCATCGGCCACTGGCTATTCCTGGACTGTGTGATCACCTCGCTGCCAGAGTACCCCGCCATTATTGCGCGCGTCAAAGCAGGCGACGTCCTTCTCGATGCCGGATGCGCATTCGGCTACGTCCTCCGACAAATGGCAGTCGATGGTGCCCCGGCCACGAATCTGATTGGAGTTGATATTCGACAGGAGTTTCTCGATCTGGGGTTCGAACTGTTCCAGGACAAGGGGTTCGAAGGGCGTTTCATCACAGCTGACCTGGTGAATGTAGATCCGTCCCTTGCTGAGATCGCTGGCACAGTCGACATCATCCATGCGGCGGCTCTGTTCCATCTTTTTGGATGGGATGATCAGGTCAGTATTGGTGTGCGCTTTGTGCAACTCTTCAAGCCGGGCGCGAATGCGCTTGTCATCGGGAGGCAGATTGCTGATCTTGAGCCTTTGGACCCCGTTGAACATGCCACGCAGGGGCGAGGATGGTACCGCCATAATATGAGAACTTGGCAGATGTTATGGGATGTCGTTGGCGAGAGGACGGGGACCCGGTGGAAGGCTACTGGGATTGTATCAGAGAAAAGGGGGTTGAAGAATGTTCCCGGACCGAAGGCGGGAATGTCCTTTGCTGTATACAAGACTTAGTCGTCACTTTGATCGAGACGAGCATTACATTCAACAAGAGATGCCAGGAGACGAAGAAATAAAGATATAAAATTGGAATTTGATATTCTACAGAGATTACAATTAAACTGAGTATGTTCCGACTGATAAATTACGACGTTGACCCGTGGTGCATTGCGGATCGTATCGTACTCAAAAAGCGTCGAGGCGTTTGCACGCTTCTTCTTGTCTCAAACAAGCCAGCACTTGAAGTGACTGGGATGCATCCAGCTCAAGATTAGCCGAGGGAAGCGGCAGACCGAGCGAGGAAAGAGACGACTGGGATTTAATTGGCTGACGCCTGCATGGTAGAATGCCGATGTGGCTGTCGAGACATGAACTCGAAAGAACGATTGCATGTGGTTTTGAAGCCACCAAGTCATCATCCATTATGTGAAAGAGGTATCTAAAGCCCGATATGAGGGCAGCAAAAACGCCGAGGCTAAACCGAAATCAATAGGCCACACGTGTTCGCATATCCTGAGCAAAGTTAGTCAAAATGGCCAAGCCAAAGCGCAAAGCTGAAACTTACCGAAATCTTGCGCTCGATCTCACGAACTGAGCGATCAAGCTCCCCAGCAATCATCATCTTTGTGTCATTAGGTAAAAGGAGATACATCTCGCAAAGATCTCCATCTATGACTCCCTTCACAGGCGCATAGTAACTGCGGTACATCAGGTGGTCACGACCAGCGAGAGGTGGCTGGGTGGTGGCCATCTGAGTCTCCAGAAGCTGGAAGAAGTCGACATCCTCACGGCCCATGAAGGGCACAAGCATTCCAATTGTACCGTGGAGACCGGTCCAGACCAAAACGTCTCGCCCTCCAGGAACCAACTGAGTCTTGTGGATGCTAGTCGGGATATCTTGCACGTAGTATTGAATCATCAAATCGAGGCGATGAGGGGTGCCTTGGAGATAACCTTTTTCGTGCTGAAGATGGGCGCCTGAACCATCCTCGTCTGCTTCGTCAGAGGCCTTGCGAGGGCAGCGCAGTAACCAAAGGTTGCCGAACTTGTCGCCACCTGCGGTGGTCTCGTAGTCAACCATTGTTGTTGCAGAGGTCCAGCGCGCGATGAAATCATCGGCGAAAGGAATAAGGACGTTGTCTTGGTATTTGTAAACAACGTACGTAACACTTTCGCGAACATCGCTGACAACAATTCGGTTTCCTTGTGTTTGAAGTCCGACAATTGTCTTAGATACGACATCCTTCTGGCATTTTCGAAGAAGCTGCTTCATGCCGAGATCATACAGACGAAGGCTTGTGCCAACTCCTGCCAGCAGACGGCCTTGGAATCCGAGAAGAGCAAGGGGAGGTTCTTCAACATGAGTCTTGTGGATGAACTCCAAGTCACGGCCATCGTCTTGGAAGCGATAGATATGAATGAAGCCTCCCGAAGATGAGGGAGGGCTGACTACCATGTCTTTGGCTGTTCCCACGACCAAGAATGTTTCCTCGTCTTGGCTAGCAAAGGACACGGCTGCGAGGCTGACGGCTGCCTCGTTGTCCTCCAAGTCGAGGGTGAACACGACAGACTTGGTGGTTACTGGATCAACAACTTGAATGCATGAAGCCCAATGTCCAGTACCGCGAGGATATCCGAATTCAGCGGGTGGTAGCTCTGCGATTTCGCCGTCACGAGCCTGAGAGTCCTCGATGAGTCTATGGCGGGTAGTGGAAGACAGGACATTGTTGTCGGATTCGATGACATAGAACAATGGCTGTTCTGGATGCTTGACAAATCGTCGAGGTGTGTGGGCAAGCGGAATGGACTCTTGGAGCATGTTGTTGTCGAGTTTCTCGACGGAGAAAATCCTGTTTCAAGTCAGTGTCACGGTCGACAATCAATGTGTTTCAGCGAGGCAAGAAGTGAGTTGATCTCAGAAGGAACAATTGGAAAAAATAAAAAAGGTTTGATCCACATAAAATTTCGGAACGCTTTCTCTCATCATTTGATCAGGGGGGCGGGGATGGGGCGAAAGGAAAGAACAAACATACCTCAGGTTTCGGCCTTGGATACCGATCATTCCCTCCACACATTGCTCACTGGAAAAGTTCCATCCCCACTCAAGGCCAACATAGTCCAAGGGGGTAAGCATAAAGCTCTTAGTTTGAATGTCGGAGTATCCGAGCCACGGGCGAGCGCTCAATGCGAGCACAGCGGTTTGGCCCTTGACAGACACTTGAGACAACTTCACGGGCTTAGCCCCAATGAAGCGAGTTCGAGTGTCTGAAAGCTCGCCTGTGACTTCGTCCAGGACAGTGCGGAGATAAACTCCAGAGTAAAGACCAATGTGGAGATAAAGGGTTGTGCCTCCTGAGCTTGAATCGGCCATGGCCATGATTTGAAGTGCAGAGGGTGCAGATGTCAAAGCCTGAACAGACTTGTTCTCGAGAGTCGAGTCCGGGTCGAGGCTGAGGATGCGAACGGTAGAATCGTCACAGCCAACGGCTAAGAAAGAGCTACGGACCCGACCTTCAGGGACTTCACCTAGACTGAGGGACGTAACAGTGCCAGACATCTGTCGGCGCTCGTCGTATTCGGCCAGAGTCCCATCAGCGTCCAACTCAAAGTAGACGATTTCACCGGAGCTCAGTGCCACACAAACTTGGCGTTCGTTGGTAGCAGCAGCGACAATGGATCGGTGCTGAGGCGCAGGCCATTCGTTGACCCGTCGATCGGCAAGAATGTGGCGGATTCCACGAGGGTGTACTTGAAGCAATGAGTCTTCTCCAAGCTGCTGCACGGCCAGTGTTGGAGCAGTGGAAAGGAAGCCAGTGTCCGACACTTCTTCGACGATCTCACCAATACTCAGGACCAAAGTACCGTTGGCAAAGGAGAGGATGATGTAGCTATGGTACTCGTCGGCACGAGTCACCTTGGTAGTCCATACTGCAGATGGAACTTGTTGAAGATCGGATTCCACAAGCTCCGACACCTCCAGTCCATGCTTAAGAGTACGGAAGGAACTGCGAGCCCCAGAGCCACTGATCGTGTAAATCTGAGGGGCATCATCTTGGGTGAGGTTGGTGATTTTGCTGTCGATCAGAGGAGTCAATGAGTTCATGCTCTCCATGAGGGTAACATTTTCCGCCCCTCGGGGTTGGAAGTAAATGGGAGCAGACGGGACAGTGGGGTCGGCTGAGAAAGAGTCACTTGAGAATTCAATCTCTTCATCGTCGTCACCGAGCTTTTCAAACTGGTACAAGTTGTGGTTACCGCCTTCACTGGCAACATAGAGGAAACCGCTCCGCAGGATATGGAGGTGAGTGGCGACAGGAACGGTATCGAAGTATTTGATCTTCAGAGCCTTCACTTCTCCGGTGGGCTGACCGTTGTCATCCTCAGCCATCTCCAGTGTCAACTTGAACAGATCACCGTCCTCTGACTGCAGGAGGTAGAAGAAATCTCCCCGCATCTTGTGCATGGTTCCAGATACGATCGAACGTTTCCTTTCTGGATTCTCCGTGGGTCCGCTACGACGCGGAATGGGAACGCGGAACGCATCTTGGTTGTTATGTCGGTAAGTGATGTTGTCTTGCGCACATACCAAGACACCACTGGGGCCGTCGGCGCCGCCAGGTACTTGGAAGAGAATGGAGGCTGTACGATCAACTGGGTCTGTCCACTTCCGAACGACATGGTTTAGACCAAGGTCAAGTTCGTAGTAGACAAGAACCTTTTCAAGTTCCTCGTAGGCCTGGCCAGTAGGATCCTGATCGGCTTCCGAGTAATCCACTTCAAGGGCAGCGAAGACAGGATTTTCGTAACCCACATCCAAGGCGATCATAGCAAAAACCAGGGTTTGCGGCTTGTGAGCTTCAAGGGGCGAAGAGATGGTAAGCTCGGCCTGGGAGTTGCGGTTGAGAACATAAACCAGCTTGTTCTTTTCCACGGACGCGAGTAGACAGGCACGTCCTTTCGGATCCACTGCAAGATACTCCCCAGGGACGACACGGCGTACTCCAGACTTTCCAAATGTTTCCAAATGGACGCGATTGAAGCGATTCTGCGAGGGGGAGTATTCGACGATCGCGATTCGCCCAGAGTCAGATCCGATGACAACATAATCTATGATTATCACTCAGCACAGTCCACATATGACAACTTGCGAATATCGACGTCGCTTTCCAGGGCAGATCTTCACCCTTGTTCAAGGTGTCGGTTCGGGAAAGGACCGTGCTGCCCGGGAGCTTGAAGAATCACTAAATTGAACTCCCAGGGAGCAGAAAGGGGAGCTAAAACTTGAACATACCTTTGCTGCCTCCTGCAAGGCGGAAGGATGCGAGCGAGCGAATTATGCCAAATACATTGGTGGAGAAAATTGGAGTGATTTTCCCCTGTGCTGGGATAGGTCGGTGAATGGTCAACGACGAGCCTGACGCGGTGATGATCTGCTGCTCTTTGGATCCAGTGAATTGACCCAAAATAGCTTGAGTAATAGCTGTTGGCTGTTGGACCGTGAGCGAGTACATGAACATATGCGAAGTGGTGGCCATGGTGGGCAACTAGCTGTCCGGTTTCCCGGCACTAAGAGATTGTCAAAGTTGGCACATGCAATTGCGATGTCGGGGTTTTGAATTTTACATCAGTCCCATCGCTGCAAAGCGGAGTCAAGAAAGAGAAACACCTCTTCAAGTCCACCTGGCACTGGGAAAGATAAAAGTCGCGTGGTGCAAAAGGTGAAGAACATCCGGGCTGCCACACGAGGAAGAAAATACTCGCTAGCGTGGTTGCACGTGATCTGGGAGCTTCGACCGCCTTCTTTGACCGACCATGAATTGCCGGCGATGATAACGCTTTGGCGGCAACTGGACATTTGTGACTTTCCTCTCTTCGTCATCTCGTCACAAGTATCATTTTCTCTGCAGTTCTCAAACTGCTTCAACCCATACCTTTGCTTTCTTGCTCTCAATATTGATCGACATACCTGCCCCGGCTCATATTTCCCGATCACCCCACTCGTGCATATTGCATACTCCAACCATGGCTGATGATACAGCTGCCGCAGAGGAGGCTCCGATCACCTTCACTGTCAAGTCATCAACAGATGCCAAGTACACCTTGACACTACCACTTACCACTTTGGTTTCAGACCTGAAACAGAAGCTCGCCAGCTCCGATTATACCGACACCCCCGCAGAACGTCAGCGATTGATCTACTCAGGTAGAGTGTTGAAGGACACCGAGACTCTCAACGCTTATAAGATAAAGGATGGCCATACCATCCATCTTGTGAAATCCGCTGCAAGTAACCAACCTCGCCCAAACGCAGCTGCTCAATCTAGCCCCGCTGGTGCCACTACTGGGGCAACCCCAACCCCTGCTGCTGCCGGTGTCCCGACCAATCTTGCCGCTGGAACTGGTAACAATCCTCTTGCTGGCTTGACCGGTGCCAGATATGCAGGGTTTGCCCAGCTCCCGGGTGCTGGGCTTTTCGGCCCTGATGGTGGGGTAAGTGATCCTTCAAGCGTATCGTCATTTGATGAGTTCAGCCATAGCATCCACAACAGTCCGCTGACCCTCGTCTGTCTTCTAGATGGGTCCTCCTCCCGATGCTGACTCGATGCTTAACATGCTTGAGAACCCCCAATTCCAATCCAGCATCAACGAAGCTCTTCAAAACCCCGCCATGATCGATATGATGATTCAGCAGAATCCTATGTTGCGTGATATGGGACCCGGAGTGCGCCAGATGATGGAAAGTCCAGAATTCCGCCGCATGTTAACCGATCCTAGCTCGATTCGCCAGATGATGCAGATGCAACGTGCCATGGGAATGGGTGGTGGACTTGGTGGTGCTGGCGAAGGCGCGTTCCCCGCCCCGGGAGTTACCAACACAACTGCCGAGGAAAACCAAGGTAATCAGCAGCAGAATGGGCAGAACTACCCAGTCGGGATGCCTCCAAATCCATTTGGAGGTGCTGGCGCCAACCCTTTCGGTTCTCTTTTCGGACAAAACCCATTTGGCAATGCCACCCAGCCTACTCCCACCCCTGGTGCGACTCAACCTGGAGCGCAGGGCACTGAGTCTACCGACCGCTCCGCGCCTGCTGATGGACAAACCCCCCAGGCTCCTGCAAACCCTTTTGCGTCACTATTCAACCCGGCCGCATTCGGGGCTGCTGGACAAGCAGGCCAGGGTGGCATCAATCCATTCAATCCCCAGAACAACCCGTTCCTTCGTGATCCTGCGCTCTTGTCTCAAGTGATGCAGGGTATGGGTGGGCAAAATGCAGAAGGCGGCGCTGCTGGGGCGAACCCTCTGGCGGCTCTCCTCGGTGGCGGTGGCTTTGGTGGTATGGGAGGTGGCTTCGGAGCGTCACAGCCTCCTGACACTCGACCTCCAGAGGAGCGATATGCAGATCAGCTTCGCCAACTCAACGATATGGGATTCTTCGAATTCGAGCGCAACATCGAAGCACTGCGTCGGTCCGGTGGTAGTGTCCAGGGGGCCGTTGAGTATCTCCTCAGCAGCCCATGATTGATTCTGGCTAGCCTTTGTTCCTTCTAGCACAGCCTTCTGGTTTATTTTACATGATGTATTCCATTTTCCTTTTGAGGGCGACGTAGTCCCTCGGTACCTATGACTTTCCCATTCCCCTTTTATTTTAGCCTGCTTGTCTTGACCCTTCTAGCTGTCTGGATATGTGGTAATGACCCGAGAATTCCGAATGCAAAATGATTTATGAGAACTCTCTTTTACTCTTTTTAAAGTTATATCAATAATTTCCAAGGTTGAGGCTGTTCAAAACATGGGTGTTTGTGTCCATTCGGATCTATATATGCGACACCCACCTAGCGTGAAGTATAAAGAACTTAAAAGAGACGCAAACCTACATACTATTTAAGTACCCAACACCTGGACATTGAGACTATATGTTCTTAGGGCTTTGACAGTTCATACTGATATACAAAGTCTACAGATAAACAGAATATTTATTTCCCTGTCCAATTTTCCAGAGTCCTAACGTTGGATGTGTAAAAATCCAGATCGACGGCCATTGAAAAGCCCACAGCTGCCCATGTGGATCATTAGCTAATCGGCGATCTGGGCAAGTTGACACGACAGAACATCTGAAGCCCCTCGATCATTCTTAGCTCAAGTTACGCCCCTTTCTCAACTCTTCGTGTCGTTGTGGTATTAACTGCCGTATCATTCGTTATTGTTTTCGATTCATTTCTGCAATCTGAAGCTATATCCGGCGATCCTTGTCATCACTACTACACACCCGGCTGATCTACCCCGAACTGCTCTCATAGCGCTCCCAAGGTCTTTATTCGCGAATCCCGAACTGGCTGCGCTAGTCGTGGCCCTGGGGATAATAATTCCCTAAGCCGAAGCTGCAGACATACGAATCATACATCGTGTACATGTTCCGATAGTCCATTTGTTCCGACAAGGCCAAGGAGGAAACATAGTTGAGCGCATTGAGTATGGCGTCTGTTTCACTGTGTCCCCAAAAGTGGGCTGTGTGGATACTGCTGCTCGTATCTTGCGCCAACGCGTTCTACATCCCTGGTAAGCACTACTAGCACGAAGTGAACTGGCTTTGTAGCGTACGGGAAACTAACCTTGCCCTTCGCGCAGGATACTCCGTAACCCGGTACAACGACAACGATCCGATCCCATTACTCGTCAACAAGATCTTCTCCGATAATACCCAATTGCAGTATGCCTATTTCGATCTCCCTTTCGTCTGCCCACCAAGCGGGAAAACACACGGCGGTTCGCCATTTGGGTCTGGCCAGAGCGTCTCCTTGAACCTCGGAGAGGTACTGCGTGGCGATCGAATCATGACATCCGATTTTGAACTCGCTATGGGCAAAGATCTTGAATGCCAGGCGCTCTGTACCCGTGAAGTCGGTCGGTCGGACGTGAAGTGGGCCCGCCAGCTCGTCAAGGAGGGATATGTGATTGAGTGGATCGCGGATAACCTACCAGGGGCTACTAGCTTCGTCACCGTGGACCGGAGTCGCAAATACTATGCCTCTGGGTTCAAGCTTGGATATCGGGATATTTCCCCAGTCAGCGGACAGCCCCGGTACTTTATCAACAACCACTTCACGATCGTGATCCGCTGGCGGAGCGCACCAGAAGGGGGCAAACTTGTTGTTGGATTTGAGGTCTACCCGAAAAGTATCACCGCCGAGGATCGCACAGAGTCGGGTTGCCCTAAAGCTGTTCACAAGGATAACGAGGGACTGGGGCTGTACCTACCGCCCAATCTTTCTCGGATGCAAGAGAAATACTCTGGACTATCCTATATTCCAGAGGATGATGAAGATGATGACGGAGCGACATTAAAGATACCTTACACTTACTCTGTTTACTTCCGGGAGGACACCAAGATCGACTGGGCCAGCCGCTGGGATCTGTACTTCACAAACCAAGGTGAAAGCTCCATCACCCATTGGCTAGCCATCCTCAACTCCCTGACCATCTCGACTGTGCTGGGGGTGACGGTCTTTGTCATCTGGAGTCGCACCGTGCAAGGTGACCTCAAAGGCCGTGGCGATGGAGCCATGGATGATCGCAAAACAAAGGGTCGAACCCGGCAAAGGAGCGAGAAGAAAGGCGATGGATCTTTGGAAGATAACGATGTGGAACGTGATGCGGACTACTCGGACGATGAATCCGTTGAAGACACAGCCGGCTGGAAGCTTCTGCATGGCGACGTATTCCGCACTCCTGCCCACAGTGGCCTTCTCGCACCCTTGGTCGGCTCTGGCATGCAGTTGTTGTTCATGGCTACTGGCTTGCTCTTGCTCAGTTGCCTGGGTGTCCTGAATCCTAGTTATCGCGGTGGTTTTGTGAGTGTCGGTATGGGTCTGTTCGTGTTTGCTGGTGTCTTCTCCGGCTATTTCTCGGGAAGACTCTACAAGACCTTCGGTGGAAATGCTTGGCGCAAAAACACCTTGATTGTATGTACAATTCTTGACCTTTGATTTACTCAACTGACGAAGATTTCAGACTGCTTTGCTATTCCCCGGTCTTGCGTTCTGTCTCATCTTGCTCCTGAACTTGTTTGTCTGGGCCCAAGCATCTAGCACGGCAATCCCATTCAGCACCCTGATCGGTCTTCTTGCTATGTGGCTACTGATTCAAGTACCATTGGTATACCTTGGAAGCTGGGTCGGCTACGTGCGCGCAAAACCTTGGGAGCACCCCCTCAAGACGAACGCTATCTCTCGGCAAATCCCAACTCAGCCTTGGTACCTGCGTGTACCCATCGGTCCTATCATGACAGGTCTGGTCCCATTTGCGGTCCTTTTCATCGAACTGCTTTTCGTCTTCAAGAATCTCTGGCAGGACAAGACTGGATACTACTATGTCTTCGGGTTCTTGAGCGCTGTTTCGGTCGTGTTGATAGTAACGGTGGTTGAAGTGACCGTGATTGCGACATACAGTCAGCTTTGCTCCGAGGTGAGACTTGATTTGGCATATGGAGTCATTCCCTGCTAACAAATTCTCATAGAACTATCATTGGTGGTGGCAGAGCTTCCTCACCGGCGGCAGTAGCGCATTCTGGATTTTTGCATACTGCATTTGGTATTACCTTTTCAAGCTCCATATCACTGGGTTTGTTTCAAGCCTACTTTTCTTTAGCTATAGCTTCCTTGCCTGTGCTGTCTATGGCCTTCTGACAGGAACCGTCGGCTTCTTGGCCGCTTATGCCTTCGTCCGGCGTGTTTATGGGTATGATACTCGTCAAATGCTATGATTTAAAACTAACAGATTCGAATAGCGCGATCAAGGTGGATTAGAATACCAACATGTCGCCTACCCAAATAATTCAGAGCCATGGCACCCAGTCTGTGTTTCTTTACATCTATCATTCATGGAGCGATTCTCCAAATTCGCATAGGTGAAGTCATCTACCACCACGGCGTATATTTTCCATTTTCTGCATCTTCTGGACCTCTAAGCAATGAGCCTTTGATTTCACTGCCGCCTCGCCTCCCTGGTGTTTGAGCTCTTAGCATCAATGAAAACTATCATTCCATTTCACTCTTTGTCTGATATGCACTCACGTTTCACTTGTAGATTCTGTGATCGTCACTCCTGCTTTGGATTTCATCTATGCCCAGGTGAGTCCGACTTGTGTCATCAACTGACGGCCGAGTGAAGTAAAAAAAATCGTTACTGTAGCGATAAATTGCATTCTCTACTTCCCTTTCAACCTTCTTCTGCCTTCTCCAACCAACCTACCAGACTGCCAATCTCAGTCTTCAATTGGCTTCTCTATCAAAGCTTCGGACTTCTCTATCAGAATTTCCGGACTTCTCTATCAAAAGCTGCGCACTTCTCTCTCAGATTCTTCGGACTTCTCCATCAAAATCTTCGGACTTCTCCATCAAAAGCTTCGCACTCTGCAACTTGCTTCATCACAGATCGGACAAAGCCACCGTTTATCTTCATTCTCTTGTCTTCTGGCGTATTCAAACTCACGCCATTGACTACATTTGGTCCAGACTCCTTCATCAATCAGCGGTTAATCCTACCATCCCCTGCCCCATTCATTTTGAATGAATCTCATTCTATTGGAGCTACGACATCGTGAGATCAATTTCATTCAAAGCCTTGATCGCTGCCTTGATCGCTGCCTTGATCGCTGCCTTGATCGCTGCCTTGATCGCTGCCTTGATCGCTGCTTGATCGCTGCCTACACCTCCCAGGCTAAATCTATAAGACCACCAGCTTTGGTCCTGATCTCCATTATTTCATCACATATCTCCTACATCTTTCATACTTATTGATCTTGAGCAGTATTAAGACATGGACTCCAAGATGACTTCCGAGAAGATACCCATCCACGACGTGGGACCATCTAACATGAAACCAACTGCTCCCCTAGGCGATGCGCAGGAGCCCTCTGCTGCCAGCATGCTTTCATCAACGCTCGACCACCTCCCTGGAAAAGTGAAGCCCGATGGGAAGAAACAGTCTGCTTCTCAAACTCTCTTCGATATCCTGGCCAGGTCCTCCGGCAAAGGTGCTCTGAGCAGCTTTGGTGAGTCTACTGGTAACACCCACAGCGGCGCCAGCACCCAGACCACAGTGCAAACACCTGGATCCACCTTCAAGTTGCAGACAGACCCATCTGCGCGAATGGACGAAATGCCTATCATCGAGGACCCAAAGACAACCGACAAAGCAACCCCAGCCTCGCTCCACGGAGCTTCCAACAACACCCGCAAATCTGCCGATCAAGTGGCTGAAAGCTCATATGACACTGCCTTGAGTTCCCAGAAAAACATGTCCAACAATCTCGTTGTGAATACTTCTACAAAGACAAGCCCTGTCTCCTCCAGCAAGAGTGATGGCAATGGTAAGTCGAGGAACAAATCATCTGGAAATATCTCCAGCTTGCAGGAAAAGTCGTGTGAACAGCCCATTGAGAACAATCTCGTCACTGGCCCGAAGACCGTGGAAAGTGAGCACTCGGTCGTGCCTTCCAATGCAAGCCCTCAACCATCCAGCATCGACCCCAAGAGTGTCGCTACGGAACCCCCTTCGCAAATTACCAGCCAAACCCCAGAGACCCCGGCGGAGATAACCATCAATTTTGACATACCCAAACATGTCCAAGCAATCGCAAATCAGAACTGCTCTGAGACATCTGTCTCACGACCTGTGCCAGCTCCACCCAGTCCGTCCGACGACTCTGAGAGTATTTTGGACCAGGCTTTGAGTAGCATCTCTCCGGATTCGCCTCAGATTGACCCCTCTCAGATTGACTCCTCTTCTCAGTCGGGGACTTCAATCTCATCTGAATTGTCTGAGACTGAATGGGAACGCCTTTGGGACATGTGTTGGCATTCAGAGGGGGAACTTAAAAGTATCGGAATCCCGACCCTCGACCACGGTTTGTTGCCGGCCGAAGCAACAGGAAATTGGTGTGAGCAGTGCCGAAGTATGTTGAGAAATACCTGTCCCTGAGCCTTGAATTGAGCATGACTGACATTGAACGTTTAGAATGCACCGACAGGAACGAGGACGAGCCTAACCGGAAGAAGCTTCAAAGCCATGAGACGCGAATGCGGGCGGGCGCTGCCCAAGCTAGAATGTACTTCCGAAAGAACCAGAGGCCACGACTCAAACCTGGACGTATTGGCGATATTAAGGAACACGTCTACGACACTTGGGATCCGGCAGTGAGACTCGATACCATCTACTGGACTCAAGAAAACATTGACCGGTTCGTTCGTGATGAAGAGAAAAAATTCCACGAACGCCGGACCGAGTGGGGCTGCTGGGGTCACAAAGGACGCCTGGTTGGGAGCAAGAAACGGGTAAGTGATGTTGCTTTGGTTTTATTCGTTACATGTTTGCGGTTCCTTTTCGTACATGGGACTAGTGAGTCGCCCGTTTGCTCATTTCCGGCATCCGGGCCATCTCATGTTGAAAAGGAAACTTGATCTCTTCTTTTGATCAACAATTGACATGGCGGCTAACATCGTTTTCAATATTTAGACATGGACCTGCTGTCGACGAGGAGAGGAAATCCCCGGATGTTTTGTCTACGAGGGACACAAATACATCGAGAGGGATACTCTTCAGGCCGCGTGGCAACTATACAAGACCCCTACCAACAAGCCCGCGGATTTTCGGCAAGCTGTCGTAGTCAGTTGCCAGATGGGAAAGAACACATGGGGCCAGGACGAGCTGATAAAAATCGCCGTCCTTGACTACTTCTCCGGCGAGGTCTTGATCGACAAGCTGGTTTGGCCAAGTGTCGAGCTTTGGCACACCGATCGATGGGTAACCGGGATCGAAATGGTGGAGCTTGAAAGAGCCCACCACGACAATTCCGCCATCGAAGGCCGAGACGCTGCCCGGGAGCTGTTGCACCGTTTCGTGGGCGATGAAACTGCCATCATCGTCCATGATGGTCGACGGAATCTGCTGGCTTTGAGGCTCACTCATTGCCATGTCGTTGATGTCAAATATATGGCCAACGACAACCCGCGGCTCGATCTCGAGACCATGGCAGAAAGGCACTTGGGCCGTCCAAGTGAGTCGAACTCGACTCGAAGCACCCTCGATGGTGCTCAAACTTGCCAGGAGTTAGTCCGGCACTTCCTCGAGATCTGATCACTTGAGGGAGCCTCGTGATTGGAGCCCTTGGAAGGTGTTCTTGGGGATTGGAGAAAGTGGGGATTTCTTTTGTTCTTTCTTTTGTTCTTTCTTTTGTTCTTTCTTTTGTTCTTTCTTTTGTTCTTTCTTTTGTTCTTTCTTTTGTTCTTTCTTTTGTTCTTTCT